GCGACCGAATCATGACCTCCGACTTCGAGCTTGCGATGGGAAAAGATGTTGAGTGTCAGTCGCTCTGCACCCGCGATCTTAGTCGGTCAGATGTGAAATGGGCTCGTCAGCTCGTTAAGGACGGATATGTGATCGAATGGATTGCCGATAATCTGCCCGGAGCCACGAGCTTTGTGACAGTGGATCGAAGCCGCAAGTATTACGCTTCCGGATTCAAGCTTGGCTATCGAGACATCTCCCCAGTCACCGGGCAGCATCGGTACTTCATCAATAACCACTTCACGATTGTCATCCGCTGGCGGAGCGCACCGGAAGGAGGGAAGGTGATCGTAGGCTTTGAGGTGTACCCAAAAAGTATTACCGCCGAGAACCGCCTGGAAAATGGATGTCCCAAAGCTCTACACAATAACAACGAGGGATTGGGGCTATATATCCCGCCTAACCTCTCGCGAATGCAAGAAAAGTATTCCGGACTGTCATACATCCCAGACGATGACGAGGATGACGACGGAAGCACAATGAAGGTCCCTTACACCTACTCTGTTTACTTCCGAGAGGATACTAAGGTTGAATGGGCCAACCGCTGGGATTTATACTTTACCAACCAAGGTGAAAGCTCGATAACCCATTGGCTGGCGATCATCAACTCGTTGACAATTTGCACCGTGCTGGGAGTGACCGTGTTCGTCATCTGGAGCCGTACCGTGGAAGGCGATCTCAAGGGTCGCGGCGATGGTGCTATGGACGATCGGAAGATGAAGGGCCAATCTCGACGCCGGAGTGGCAAGTCCGGCGAGAAGAAAGGCGAGGGTCTTCTCGATCATGGTGTGGATGTGGAGCGCGATGCGGACTACTCCTCGGACGATGAGGCTCTCGAAGATACAAGTGGTTGGAAGCTTCTTCATGGAGATGTGTTCCGTACCCCCGCTTATAGTGGTCTTCTTGCCCCCTTGGTTGGATCGGGAATGCAATTGTTATTCATGGCTTCAGGCTTGCTCCTACTTAGCTGCCTAGGAGTCTTGAACCCAAGCTTCCGTGGTGGCTTTGTTAGCGTCGGCATGGGCCTGTTCGTCTTTGCTGGCCTTTTCTCCGGTTACTTCTCAGGAAGGCTTTACAAGACCTTTGGTGGAGCAGCTTGGCGTAAGAACACACTAATCGTGCGTATCCGCTCCATTTATTCATGTGCTATGCTAATCTATGGTTTCAGACTGCTTTGCTCTTCCCCGGTCTGGCATTCTCCCTCGTGTTGATTCTGAACTTGTTTGTCTGGGCTCAAGCATCCAGTACGGCAATTCCTTTCAGCACTCTAGTCGGCCTCCTTGCACTTTGGCTCCTCATCCAAGTTCCGCTGGTATACGTTGGTAGCTGGGTCGGCTATGTGCGTGCGACGCCATGGGAGCACCCCCTGAAGACGAATGCGATTCCCCGCCAAATCCCACCCCAGCCCTGGTATCTCCGCAGCCCTCTCGGCCCTGTGGTGACTGGCGTCATTCCATTCGCGGTTCTTTTCATTGAGCTGCTATTCCTTTTCAAGAACTTGTGGCAAGACAAGTCTGGCTATTACTATGTCTTCGGTTTCCTGAGTGTTGTCTCAGGCGTGCTGATTGTCACGGTCATTGAGGTGACCGTGATTGCAACATACAGCCAGCTTTGCTCCGAGGTAAGAATGTTCTTGCCTTGCATTATATATCGCCATACTAACTTCCTTAGAACTATAATTGGTGGTGGCAGAGCTTCCTCACCGGCGGCAGCAGCGCTTTTTGGATTTTCGCCTACTGCATCTGGTATTATCTGTTCAAGCTCCACATCACCGGCTTTGTGTCAAGCCTGCTGTTCTTCAGCTACAGCTTCCTCGCTTGCGCTGTGTATGGGTTGTTAAGTGGAACCGTTGGCTTCTTGGCCGCTTATGCGTTCGTCCGGCGTGTTTACAGGTAAGACCGCTCCATCGAATCTGGTAGGCAACGAGCTAATTGTGAGAATTACACAGTGCCATCAAGGTCGACTAAAGGTTTGCACAACTACACCATCTCTTTTTTAACCTTTTCAACCTAGAGACTTCTTGTCTCATCTACCTCTTCATGCCCTGATCTGTCCGATAAGCATAGGTGAAGTCATCTACCACCACGGCGTATAGTGTTCTATTTTCTGCATTTTCTGACCCGTCCGAAATATTGAGTCTTCGTTTCCCACCTGTGTTGAACACAAGCACAAGACGCTCTTTCTCTTTCTCTTCCCTTCTTTCTTGTCCGTGCCCAGTAAACCAGTATTTCTATCAGACGCCTTGGTGAAGGCCTGTCATCTTGCGTCATATTGTTATATTTATATTTCGTATACGTTCGCCTGAGACAAATGAGGCTTCATTACAAATACACGTCTAAGTTTGAGTATTCATTAGTTATAATGTGTTGCAGAGTATCTCATCCTTAAGTTAAAAAATTTGTTCACATGAAGGAAGTCAAATGTTTGAAACCTATCTCTCGCCCTCCGATATCTAACCTCATTACTTAAATACACCCCTCAGTATCGGATCTATCTTTCCTTCTTCTCCTTCTTCAATCACTTCCATATTTCTCATATCCTTAACAAGCTAGAAGACACGTGCCTGACGGCAGGTACAATTAGCCAGAAAGCTCTACGGAATATTATCTTACGTTTGCTACATCCTATCATCCTAACAAGAACACTCCTTTTTGAAGGGACATCTCCCGGGTGTCTGATATACAAGATATATCGCCTTTTGAGGCCCTGTTTCATTCTTCTACTCGTTACGGAAATGAATACATTCAACACATTCCATTCCCCCTCCCACAGTGGAAGGGTTTGATTTTTAGCTATAGTTAAATTTTCAACATCAGATATTCTTGGATAGCCTAGAGGAGAAGGAGGGGGGGGGTAAGGCCTGATTCTATTAATGACTAGAACGGGCCTTGTAGCCCAAACGAAGTCTGATTTGATTTCAGCTAGAAGCCTCAAGCAAATAGGCATTTATCATATTAACAGATATTCTCTAAACAGCAACTGATGCTGCGAAAAGAGGTCACATTCACAGTCCATTACTCATCTAGGGTTTGCCTGAGCAGTCCTCTTCCCCAATCCCGCATGTGGATTCACTTCGACCATGATGATCGCTCTCAGTCAATGTATATCAAGTCATTACAGATGGATGGCAGTATTTTCGTCTAGAGGACACAGGCTTTTTTTTCTCTAGCAGAAAACCCTTTGTATACTATGGCGTGGTTAGACCTATTTCTGAAAGGAAAAAAAAGGCAACGTGTCACATGCCTCGGGGAAAAGATACTGATCAAGGCCTGCATATCGCAGTAGACTACGGAGTAGAGAATCTGACTATGTACATCATAGGTCTACATCGGGAGAAATCATCCCGTGCTTACTCGGCAATCTGTACGACGATGCAGACGTGGCCATGTGGAGTAAATCGGACATATAGCAATCGTGCATACAAGATACAACATAAAATGCAGGTTGATTTGGAGGTAGACGTGACCCTATGCTAAGAAACGGCGGTGACTGTGTTTCGCCTCCGAAGTACGTAAAGATTGTAAAAATCCGGGGATGATCTTAGACCGCTTCTCATGGCGTGCTCGGAAAGGGGGATTGCTCATTGTGGAGCTATGAGACATTGACATTGGCATTCCAATTCCGTCTCCTGGATTGTTTCTTTTTTTCTTCAGGGAAATGGAAATTGTTAGAAGAACCGATATAACAGAAAAAAAGAAAAAAAAAGAACAAAAACCTAAGAGGAAAACGAGTCCCACCGGCGGACTACTCCGTTGGCATTCTCACGACGTCTCGTTTTCCTCCCCGGTAGTGTAAAATGATGCAATGTGATTGGTTGTTAAGATAAGCAAGTGGAACCTCTGCCCCTAAGCCTCGCCTCTAACCTTGTTGGGCTATCCCAGGGAAGAAAGGACTGAGATGATTGGCTGACAAGGTAGATGACACGATCCTGTGGAGCTTAAGGTTTGGCTAGTGGTTAGCAATGGGATTGACTAGCCCTAAACAGGTTAGTGTTTACAAGGTGCTGTCACACTGGAAACGCTGCCATGGACGTGGGCTGTCAATGCCGTTATCCACTCCGGGGTCGAGTGCGCGTGTGAACTGAACTGAAGATAGACTTCGTACTAAAACAAGCTACTTTAGATTGATATACTTTAATTCTTATTATGGACTTGAAGGGGCGGAAATATCCCGTTGGTTTTACATGCACAATTGGTATTGAACTGGTATTGTTGTACTTCTCAATGTGACTGATGCAACTGGACCACACGCGACCAGTAAAGTGGCGACTCTCTGGGCACTTCCCCCTAAGGGAATTAATTGCCTACAATTGATAATGATCAAGTCTTGTGACTAGACATTCTTATTTACAATCTGGTTATTGCTAGAGATAACCAAAAATCCAATTGGGTAGGAATAAGTAAGTTCGGAGTAGATGATTCACTCCGTAGATCTAGTTCGGTATTATATTCATTACCATACCATACATACCATACCCAATATGTAAAATCACACCATCGATGCCTCGAATGATCCCATCTCTTTCAAAGCCTGAGAATACGTCAGTACCGGATCACCCCTGATCTCCGTTGCAGGCGGGAACTACTGTAATCTAATTTGGGCTACTACATATGTACTACTTTGTACAATATCGTTCTACAGGGTTTATGAACAAATAGGAATAGAATGATGTTATCTTTACCGTTATCGGGAAATATTACATTGAAAATACATACACCTTTTGTTTTCAGCCTTGGCCTTCATGGGGGTCGAGTTCTCTCGTTTTTTCCCCTTTTGGTCTTTTTGGGTTATTTTCTTTTTCTTTTTTTGGTCTTTTTTTCTTTTTCTCCTTTATTCCCCACATTCTCTCTCTACTTCATATATCATCCGCTCTCCCACACTTTTTTCCTTTTTCTTTCTCTCTTAATTTAGTTTCAACTTTCAATACATATTTTGGCCGTCCATTGGAACACATATTCATCATGGCGACCAAGAAGCCCAATATCCTTTACATCATGGCCGACCAAATGGCCGCGCCCTTGTTGTCTCTGCATGACAAGAACTCCCCCATTAAGACCCCTAATCTGGATCGCCTCGCCGACGGCGGTGTGGTCTTTGACTCCGCGTACTGCAACTCACCTCTCTGTGCTCCCTCACGCTTCGTAATGGTCAGCGGCCAGCTGCCCTCCAAAATTGGTGCATATGATAATGCGGCCGAGCTGCCCGCGGATACCCCCACGTATGCCCACTATCTGCGAAAGGAGGGATACCACACAGCTTTGGCTGGAAAGATGCACTTCTGTGGCCCGGACCAGCTTCACGGCTATGAACAGCGCCTGACCAGTGATATCTACCCCGGTGATTACGGCTGGTCTGTCAATTGGGACGAACCTGTACGTTTTTATGAACCGTGGAACCACTTTGTAGAACCATACTAATTACAATATGTAGGACATCCGTGCCGATTGGTATCACAACATGTCTTCCGTGATGGAGGCAGGCCCAGTCGTACGCACCAATCAATTGGATTTTGATGAAGAGGTAATCTATAAGTCAACCCAATATCTGTACGACCATGTTCGTCAGCGCACTGAGCAGCCTTTCTGCTTGACTGTCTCCATGACTCACCCTCATGATCCTTACGCCATGACCAAGGAGTTCTGGGACCTGTACAATGATGTCGAGATCCCGCTTCCCAAGAACGGAGCTATCCCCCACGACCAGCAGGATCCGCACTCGCAGCGCGTGCTGAAGTGTATCGATCTGTTTAACAAGGAGATGCCCGACGACCGCATCCGTGCCGCACGTCAGGCCTACTATGCCGCCTGCACATACGTCGATACCAATATCGGCAAGCTGCTGCGCGTTCTTGAAGACACCGGTCTGGCTGATGATACTATTATCGTTTTCACTGGTGATCACGGTGACATGCTTGGCGAGCGCGGCCTGTGGTACAAGATGACCTGGTTCGAGAATTCGGCTCGTGTCCCTTTCCTCGTCCACTCACCCAAACACTTCGCTCCGAAGCGCGTATCCGAGAACGTCTCCACCATGGATATCCTCCCTACATTCGCCGAATTGGCAGGCGTTAGCCTCATCCCCGGACTTCCCATGGACGGCGTCTCCCTCGTCCCGTATTTGACCGGCGGTGAAGGCCTCCGCACTGATACCGTCTACGGCGAGTACATGGGCGAGGGCACCCAGGCCCCTCTGATGATGATCCGTCGCGGCCGCTGGAAGTTCATCTACTCAACCATCGACCCACCCATGCTCTATGATCTCGCCAACGACCCAGAAGAGAGAACAAACCTCGCAGCCGGCCTACCCATCCCATCCAGCTCCACCCGCGCAGCCATTGCAGCGAAGCCAACCAACCTGGCCTCAGCTATCAACCTGCCAACTCCAAATGAAACCCCGCACGCATCGCCAGTTCCCCAGCGCGCAAACACGGCAGACTACCCCTTCCCCTCGGATACGCCCCCTCGCACCCCGAGCCCCGCCAAGATCCCCCTGCAGTGCCCAACACCACGGACCCAGCTAAGATCCTGGCTTTCTTCCTCGATGAAACTCATGCCCGCTGGGATTTGGAGAAGATCCGCCAGGATGTACTGTGCTCCCAGCGCCGCCGCCGTCTCGTCTACTCCGCTTTGATCAAGGGTACCAAGTCACCCTGGGACTACGAGCCGCGCGTTGACGCAAGCACCCAATACGTGCGTAATCAGGGTAAGGGTGTTCTCGACGATGTCGAACTCATCTCGCGTTGGCCCCGTGTGCTGCAGCAAGCTGCTACTGCCAATGGGATGTCTGTGTGAGCTATCCAATTGGGGTTACGTGGATATACCTATTGGTTCAGATATTCGTTGAAACGTTTTGATTGATTGCATCCTTTTATTTTCTGTGTTCCTCTTGCATTTCAGCATTATGATCTCTGGTTACATTTTGCGGCATTCCCGGCATCCATTTCATTTTGGGTTCCAATTTTTTTCTTTTTTCTTTTGATGATCATATTTTTGGATTTTATTTTTTGACTTCTCATTCTAATCATGAGACGCGTGCTATACCCGGGACTTATTTCCCCAATTTGCATCTTTTCATGTGGGTCGGTTGTGGTTCAGGCTGCATGGATTATTTTGTATATATTTGTGCTTTTGGTCCCCCGGGTTGGATGTCTTGTCCTGTACATTTGCTGTTGATTTTGGATTCACATTAAGTAATTATATACAATCAGACTGTCAATTGGGCTTTTGTATTTTTGTTTCTCCTTTAACTCTAGCTGCTCTTTTTGTATTTCCTTCCACGTTTGTCTTCAATTGTTCAAGTCCTGTGATAAACCATGGCAAACCACCCTTTTCGATCACGGGCTGCAATAGGATAAGCTTGTTCCGTGAGATATCTCACATCAATTCATCTTTGTAGTTGCGTAGCGAGAATGCGCTGGACAAGGATTTTGGGGCCTTGTACAACTCCCAGTTGCGTTTCCGGGACATCTCGTCACCTTCTGCATTTTTCCCGTCTTCGCCGGTCTTCTCACTGGCATTGTCCTGTTGATGACATACAGGTAAAAATAAATCCTTTCCACAGCAAGTGAATCTAGAGATAATCATGTCAGCCATATCATCAATAACTAGGATTGATTTTTGTGTCGAATAGTAAATGTCAAACCTGACTTTATGTGAAAGCGGCTCAGTTCTTAATATCTCTATAATTGGAAAGAGAAGAAACAAAGGCCCCTTACCTACTGCTTGCACACGGGTTGCACGAATGAGTTCCTTCATTTTCCGCACTGACTCAAACCTCTGGTCATCCAAGAGAACCGCCGAGGCGACTCGGAGTACAGACAGAGGTTTTCATTAGCTTCGGGAGATCGAGGATGCCTTGCTGAGTTCACATGTCCGAAATTGCTTTTGTCATGCTTCATGTCGACAAGATTGTCAAAATAACACGTTTTGTTTGGGTTCGTGTTGCTATGTAGCCACTTGGTGGGTTCGAGTATCACCTCCTCGTTAATACTCGGTCGATGGCGTGTTGTTGGTGCGGGCGGGGCTTGACATAGTTATACTTTCGACCGCTTCGTTGGTAGGAAATATGCTATAGACAGATCCACGTTGGGTCAGCAGAGAAGAGGAATTTCAGGGGAGGCAAGCTTACCTTTACCCAATCCCCACCGTAGAGGGAGATTCAGATGGCTTAGAGTAGGTAGAGGGAATCAGGGAATGATACGGGGAAGAGGAGGGTGTAAACATTTGAACTTTTATAGGCTGTCGATTAGCAAAAAGTCACATGTAGAATAATATTAGACAAACATCTTATTCGTTGATAAGAGAGCTCAATAAAAGCCTACATACGAAAAATCAACCTGATTTACGCATTATCCTTCTATCCTTTTATCCCCATTATACTAGATACAGAACTTCCAGAGCCTGCGTAGTAGTCTAATTCTACGTCGTATCCCGCACTCCTTGTTTCACCAACAGTCGGCCCTGGATAGTAATAGTCAAGAAGTCATGGATCTGAATTGCCATTGGATACTGCCTATATACAAAGGAACTCCCAAAATTTGTAGGGAACATCAAGCAATTGTGTGATATTATTTAACCTGAGGTAACGTGAAGGGAGCTGTCGCCTTCACTGACAGAACAGTCCTTACCGTTCGAATCAAATTCAACGACGCAGGTAGTTTCACACCAATGGTGATACCAATGAATGCAGGATCTTTCTATAGCCCGCAAAGGCCAAAATGATCGACAGATATAACGATCGGGTAGCAGGTCAAGCCGAACGCCACCACGGTAGGCGTATTTAGTTGAACTATAACGGAAATTGCAGCGCATCGTACTTGGTATGTACCCGGAAATCATACCGCAGATCGGTTTGCCAAAGAGGTGGCTATTCCGGAAAAGTCTACTATCGTGAGAGATAACTGCAGAAACTGTAATGCATGTCCTACTGGACTATCCCAACCCAGGAGACCTACGAAAGGAGGTACGGGGTAGGCTAGGCGGTGCATTTGACACTGCGCCGACTCTAGTGGCAACAAAATCACCTGAACGATAATTGTACACGAGACAATTCGTTTATTTCTACAGGTACCATGTTATCTCGGTGGGAATGAATCCATGAGCCTTAGCCCCAGGAATCTTGCGATTTCATGTACTTTGTAGTTAGCTACTTTCTTGTTGTTTCAGCTTCAACCCTAGCGGTACTTTAACCTCCTCTCTATCTTCTTCTAAGCTTCTGCGCGGGGAAGTCCTAGTTCTCCTATAAAGACTCGCCGAGCAAATAGAATGTTGATATATACAAAATGACCACTGTCGAAGTCCTACGACGCAGCTAATTACTCCTTGATATTAAAGGTATACAACACTAATATATCCCGATCCTTGAAAACTAATATAATGTCCTCTGGTACCCCACAGCCAATCTTCCAAGCGCACCCAAGGTTCAAAGCCCATTTCGTCATTGCCCAACCCAACCCCCTTCTCTTCACTCTCCCCAATCGCCAATCCCACCTCTAATAAAATCTCAATCCCAAGATGCCCTCCCTCACAGTAGCAGTCGCCCAATCCCGTACCCACGAATCCCTGTCCGCAACGCTCCGTGCCCTCGAAAGAACAAGCGCCCTCGCCGCCCGCCGCGGCGTCCACCTTCTCCTCTTCCCAGAAGCCTATCTAGGCGGATACCCGCGGAGCTGCACCTTCGGCTTAGCAGTGGGAAGTCGATACCCACGCGGCCGGGACCAATTCCTCGCGTACTTCAAGGCAGCCGTTGATCTTGGCGATACGCCGGCCGGTGCCGGGAATGAGTGGATTAGCCGTAGGCTGGAGATTGCAGAGGGGAAGAGGTTCCGGGGAGACGGGACGAGGGAGTTCCTTGAGCGTGTTGCGAGGGAGACGGGGGTGTTTATCGTTACGGGGTTGGTGGAGAGAGCGGGAGGTAGTTTGTATTGTGCTGTTGTTTATGTTGATCCTGTTAGAGGGGTTCTGGGGAAGAGGAGGAAGGTAATGCCGGTATGGATTGGATTTCTTTTACTCTATTTCTTTGCCTATTGTACTCTCTATTATTGATGTTCTGTCATCGGTGCTATACTGACCTCCATAGACGGCAGCTGAACGCATGATCTGGGCACAGGGTTCCCCCTCAACCCTCCGTGCCGTCACAACAACCCTAAACGGTATCCCACTAACAATAGGATCGGCAATCCGCTGGGAGAACTATATGCCGCTCCTACGTCAGAGTCTGTACTCCCAGAACGTCAATATCTATCTCGCTCCCACAGCCGACGCCCGCGAAACCTGGCTCCCGCTCATGCGCACCGTCGGCATAGAAGGCCGATGCTTCGTGCTCTCGGCGAACCAGTGCGTGCGACCCTCCGAGCTGCCGGAGTGGGTTACCGAGAATATCTGTGGAAGTCCGAACCGGAATTCAAACCCAAGCATACAGACAACTTCAAATCCGGATACTCCTGGCAAATCACAAAGCCAGGAAAGAAAACTGTCGGTCACTGCTGAGGGTCCGCATGAGATTGTCTGGCCGCAGAGTCACGGTGAGGCTCAGGGTGAGACCCAAGGTCAGGGTCAGGGTCAGGGTCAGGCGGAGAATCCCTCTACGAGGGATACTAAGCAGTCCCTGGCTACGGACTCGGGATTGCAATTGGATTACGTCTGTCGTGGTGGAAGTTGTATCGTCTCGCCGCTTGGAGAGGTTCTTGTTGGTCCGCTGTGGGAAGTCTGTACAGATGACATGCCGGACAGTAGCGATGCTGCTGTGACTGATTCCGCGCCTGGTCTGTCAGCTACCGAGACCAGTCCTGCTGTGGCGGCGGGTGATGGGTTGGCTATTGCGTGCATTGATATGGATGACTGTGAGCGTGGACGACTCGATCTTGATGTTGCTGAGAGTTATTCACGGAGTGATGCGTTTAGATTGGAGGTTGAGGGGTTGGATCTGACACCGCCGCCTTTGTAGAATTTTGATTTTACTGAGTAGGTAGGGTATATGGTATTGATTGGGGGCGTTTACGTGTCTGGGTATGGACTGGAAGTAATGGACCGAAGAAAGGAATAGGAATGAGATGAGCTACGAAGAATGCCGCTAAAGAAATATGCAATTGAAAAACTTTCCACTAGAAAAGACACAATCATCGCAGAATCACAGATTCTAGTCGTCAAGGTAAAAAAATAAAAATAAAACTCGTCCCAAACCCCAAACCCCAATTGCAAACTGCAAACTGCCACCGCTGTACGAAACGCTTTGGGATATCAACGGATATTAACAATCAATGATCTTCGTCGCCATGCCAGCACGTGAGAGCTCTGCCCGTCCTCTATATACACCCTCCACCGTTTTAGATCGAAACCCCTTCTAGCGGTTACCAATCTAATCCAGCTCTATTTATATACCACTGTTTATTCAACCAGCCACACAGGCGACTTGATCAGCACTGTTGCAGGGCCCTTGCCATGCACTTCAACGGCCAAGAACGCTGCAAACCGAATGCGCGGGGTGCTTGGAGCTACCTCTACAGGCTCGCTCTTTTCTTCAGTTGGTCCGGGCGCCGGCGCCGGACGACTGATCTCGGAGGCATGCTTTCGGCTTATCAACCCGCCAAATAAGGACTTCTTTGTGGACTTTTGCTGTGCCGGTGAAGTATTCTCTACTACTGTAGCGGTTGAGATAGATGAGATCTCTCCTTCTGTCGCAGCAGGCTCATCGAGCTGCTCTGGGTCAGCTGGTGGTGGGGGCGGGTGGCTCAGTGCTGGTAGTTGGCCTTCGACCTTCATGTATTGCTCGGCGAGAGAGATGCCCGGTAGGAAGTAATCGACGCAAACATCGCGGGCTTCGAGAGGGATTTTCTCGATGATGTTGATTGAGTTCTCAATGATCATGCGCACGCTTGCTTCTAACCCTGGCAGTGCAATTTCGTGCAGCTGAGATCCCATGAAGGTAGCAAGTTCCGCGATTAGATGCTCAACTAGCTCAATGCGATGTTCTTGGGCTTCAGGTCCGACTAAGGACTCACTCAATCCATCGAAGGTCGTGCGACGCCAGAAAGAAAGTCTGGCAGAGGCATTCTCTCGGTCCTCATCAGACGATGGTCGCTGCCGTCGCAGGTTCATTTCAATATTCTTCAACTGCATGCTGAGTCCTGGATCCAAGGATGGATGGAAATAACGCTGGAATACTTCTTCTAATAGCCATCGGCTGATTACCGCCCGTCCGACCGCGGTCATTTCTTTCGTGCCGACCGATAAAGCATCGTCGGTGACCATTCCATTTAGCCAGGATGGAATAATACGCCAGTATTTGCGCATGGAGAATGCTAGATCTTTAATCGCTCCATCAAGTCGCTGGAATCTGTTGGTATATTCATTATCGTCAAGCACGGTACGCGACACCGCCATCCGTTGGTGCGCTACTGTGTTCTGGAGATGCTGAACCTGCGCATCTTTCTCAAAGTAATATCGTTTCACCTTGGAATACTTGGCCTCTGCTCATCATTAGTTGTTTATCAAAAAGCGCCCAAATAGAAAAAAAACCTTACGGAGTTCATCATGCTTCTGGATCAATGCCCGCACATCCACTTCTCCGGACTCGCGGCGGTGTGCATTGGTGGGTGTGCACCGTCCGGGATCAGGCATGTTGTTTGACACACTACCCTGCCGACTCCGGTCTTGCTGATTCCTCTCCTGTTGCGGGGAACCTGCAGATTTTTGTCTGTCCAGCTGTAGAGATTGACCTTGAGTTTGTGATGCCCGCCCGGAAGACTGCATGGCGTCAGGATAATTGGACTGTAACGGGGAAAGCGCCTCGAGAGTCTGCCGGGATGGGGGGCGGGTATTCAATACCGAATCCTGCCCAGGGGAGAAAGGCTGTCCCTGTTGAATATGGTCCGGCGCGTATTGTGGCGAGTCGGGGACGATATCGGCAGGCGACGGTCGGACGTACTGTTCAAGCAGGGCTGGCTCGGGGTTGGACCGCTGGGTTTTGGTATAAAGTGGTTGGGCAGGTTGTACTGGCTGCTGCGACCAATCGGAGTTGTCTTGGGTGTGAGCAGGATGGGAAGGTCTGGGAGTTCGTGGAGCCGGTTGGTGTTGCTGTTGATAGGTGAGAGATTGCGGTGCGGTCACAGGTGAGGGGTTCTCCGAGTAGGAATGCCGGAGATGCGATGGAAATTCGTCGGTCTCGTCTAGGGTCTCCGACTGTAAAATCCCGGGTGAGGCAGGTTGTGAGATGGGAAGGGAGATTGGTTTGCCCTTGACAGAGATGGTGCGCTCGACACTGGACGAGAATAGGCCCTTTCTGCGCTGAGAGTCCTCAGGGGCAACGACGTTGACGGTCGGTCTGTCACGTAGAGGTTTCTGACGCTGGCTTTGCGACCGATTTAAAGTCTGGGGCTGATTCTGTTCAGGGCCAGGAACAGAGTACTCGAATTGTGAAAAGCGCCGGTCTAAATCACTGGTGTTGGGGTCCGGAGCAAACGCGGGGTGGGTCAACTGTTCGGCGCTGCGCATAGGATGATTACTTGTCCGATTCGAAGGCGACTTCCTTTTAAAGATGTGGTGCATCACTGCTTCTGATCCTGATTGAAAAAAAAAGGTAGGTGAGAGAGAGGGGGGAGAGGCTGATTTGGTCGATCTGGGGTCGATGGGCGGTGATTGGAGAGATCTGTTCTATATATAGGGTAAACAATGGATGAACTTGATCGGCTTGCACCAGAGTATAAAAGGGGAATTGAATGTCTTAAGTGATATGTTAATTCAATGAATATATATAGTATCTAATACAGTGATAATATCAATTAAATGAAATGTCTACAGAGACATATTTCATCTAGTCTATATCAGTCCTAACCCCAGGTCTATATAGACAGACATCCATCAAAGAAAAATCAATATCTGAAAGAAAAGCCAACTTCCTATACAGGTCGTTTTGAATACTCTCGATATCAGCAAATGAACACGAGCCCTATACGAGCCTCGTCACATACTACATACCATACTTCGGTTATAAACCGCCCCCAAATCCCTCAGGCGTTAAAAAAAAATAAAAAAAACAGGTCCGCTCTTGAGGGCGAAGCAAATTATAATCCTCGTATGAGGTACCATTCCTCATATCAAGAATAATAAGAATGGTGGACCTCGAAATATGTGATGGAGGGTTATTTTCTCAGCCCCAGGCCAACGCGTCAAGGGCTGAGCCCAAGACCAGACACGCGTACAATGTAAACAAAAACTCAATATCTTTCTAGTAGGATTTTTCTATTCGTGGCTATTTCATAACTCGAAAACAATACTGGTCCTTACGATCCAAAAACACAACCTTGTTCAATAACCCCGCTGCCTCGACGAGGCGCCTAAAATCTTCTAGCGGGCTTGCGAACACGTCGTAGTCATCATAGTGGATCGGAATTGTCAGATCTGGTTAGATCAGCTGAATCAACTGCAGACCCTGTTCCGCATCCATTGTCACCAACAGCGCTAGCGGTTCCATTAGTCTTCCTACTAAGGGAGAAGGAATTGTTGTGCCGCCGAGGTGAGCGAGCACGAGGTCAATTCGTTGGCCGGCGTATCACTTGGGAATCTCGTGCAGCTCGTCTACCATCACAGTATCTCCTGATATGTAAATGCGATAACCACAGGAGAAGTCTGCAGTATCGGTGTCATAGCCTAGCTCGAGCATCCAGCCATTGGTCGGCGGGAGCTGTTGGTATGTTAGATTGATAGCCGTCTAATTAGGAACATCCAGAAAAAGAAACCCCCACCCACCACATTGGCTAGCGTGTTGAGCTTCTCCACTACTCGATTAGGAGGCACATGTTTTCCCGGCATTCCTGTCACACGTAGTCGGGGCTGTCCCGGCCCTTTCGTGCCTTCAATGTTAACCTCAATTAACTCAAATGGATCGAGCGCCGACACAGATGTAAATGAGTCCTGTTTCTTGGAAGTGAGATGCTCCTTCGCATGTGGTGTAGTGATAATGAGTAGATCATGCCTCAAGGAAGCCTCGACCCTTTTATCGAAGTGGTCCCTAGAAATATCAATGGCCTGATCAACTACTCTAGGCTCTGAGACCTACTCGTGATAGTGGGAGAGAAGAACAAGATCAATCCGAGGGAGGTCGTGCAGGTCGACGGCTGGATCAGTGAGGCGCTCACTTGACACGCCTGGACCGAAGTGGACATGGTCGCCTGCGTGGAGGAAGTTGGGCTAACACGCTCAGTCTGTGAGCAATGAACTTCCGATCAAAAGCTGACATCAGTCATAGTCCGTATTCCAGCCCACTCTCTGCTTTATTTAGTACATGCTGATATATTTCTAGATGTGAACTGACATTATTGTTGTGGCTGTGCCCACGAAGAATAGGGATGCGTTCTCCTCCAGCTTCGTCGCCTTCGCTGGGGGAAGTTAAGCCTGGGTGGAAGTCTGCAGTGGAAGGTCTCGGGTTGGAGGATAATTCCTTCTCGGGTCGATTGATATTCGCTCCATGTCATATGGGTAGTGAGGGGATGTATTACAGAAAAGACAAGCATTACACACGGGGCTTTGGCTACTCTTTATACAAGTCTACGTATACATGACATCATAAACGGCGATAATTATCTTGTCATTTAGTAGGACGGAGCAATGGGATATCCTGGGTTGGATATTCTATGTTGTAGCCCTTCATGGGTGCAGCAGCACTTTGCCCCGACTGTGAAGTGTCTCTGTTGGTGGCTGCGTTGTTCAGACATTCGCTGTATTTTGGTCTGTTGTCGGTTTAAATGAGAGTAGCATGGCCTGAGACCCTGTCGTGGGATTGCATTTCTAGATGTAGTGTTAACTTATTGTCCCTCTTTTCAAAGTATGATTTGAGACCATATCCTTTTCTTTTAGCGTCCAAAAACGATGAAGACGATGAGGAATCCTCGATGCAAAGCTGTAGTTCCAAGGGAGTTTGATTGGGATTAACCTCAACGAGAGACTAGTCACGTAGCAGCAACTAGAGGGTCTGCTGTTCTGCCTTCCATTTTGTGATCTCTCAGATCATTCCCTGGTCTGATTCTTGCAGATAAGTAGGCACAGTGGGAACAGCGAATGTAGGGCCGCAACAGCACGGCTAAAGCAATTCTGTGAAGTAAATGGAAGGAGGTAGCGCCTGTATGCTCACACTTCAAGACATCTGATGAATCTTCGATAGATGTGTGAGAGAGGAAGAGCTAAAAGAGAGTAGAATGGGAAGGTGCGCAGTCAAAGTTTTCACGTCACAGTTCTCTTCATTCTCGCTTAATCTTACCTCATCCTGATTTTAATTTGCGATTATGTGGACTGTCATAGTTCTTACAAGTCTGAACTGTGGTGTAGATAGTCTATGTACGTAGTGACCAATAGAGATATGTGAAAGCTATTTCCCATACCCAATCAGTGGGTATTATGTTGTTCCTTATAAAGCTCCAAGCCATGGCCAGTACCTCAGGTTTAGTAGTTTGTTCATCTCAATTTCATGGCTCGTATGCTACAGCTATAGATCAACCCAGTGAGTTGGATCCTATTCTACCCTGCATGTGGCACTAACATAATTCATCCTCAAAATTACTCTATCCATCTCAAATCCTTTGGGAAACATGTTCCGAAGATACGCAAGAAACGTCTCGAAGAACGGAGAATTAACACACGCCATGTGTCTTGCCGGTCTTGCCCTGCAGTGAGTGTTTCTCTCCCTTGTAGTGAGGGTGAGTGCGCGACTCGTGCCGAGGGTGGTTGCGGTGGCTCTGCATATGCCTGCGGAGCTGTCAGTATGAAAATAAAATCATCTAGGGGGGAAAACATACGTCCTGTACTTGGCAATCATGGCCTTGTCCATAGAATTCAACGTTTCGATGGCAAGTTTGAAGTCCTGAAGCAAGCTGTCGCATCGGTTCATGCTGAAGTCTTCGCGGATGACGATTCGCATCATCTGCAGCTTCTCGCAATTGGGCGCCATAGTGTACGCAGGTACAATCCAGCCACGTTCACGTAGTTGGTGGGCCACAGCGAATTCATCATAGACACGACCGTGGTTGGGGGGAAGACGGAAGGCCACCAGAGGCAGGCCACGGCCACACTTTTCGCTCAGGATGATCATGCCCATCTTCTCAAGCTCCTGAGACATATAGTCGCTGATGCGAGTCAAGTTGGTCATGATTGCACGGTAGCCGTGCTTGCCCAGACGGATCAGCTGATAGTACTGCCCAATAACATGAGAAGCGCCCTTGGAGAAGTTCAGAGTAAAGCTGGCCTGGTCGGCTCCTAGGTAGTTGATGTTGAATACTAATTCCTGGGGCAAAAACTCTGGAGAGCGCCAGATGACCCATCCGACACCAGGGTAGACCAGACCATACTTGTGACCCGAGACGTTGATGGAAACCACCTTTTCCAGGCGGAAGTCCCATTCAAGTTCAGGGTGGATGAATGGAGCGACAAAGCCACCACTGGCTGCGTCAACGTGGATTGGGCAGTCGATGTTACGCTCCACCAGTAGATCGTTGATCGCCTTGACATCCTCGTATTCACCGGTGTAGGTGGTACCCAAGATAGCACAGATACCAATTGTGTTCTCATCCACCAAATCGACTGCCTGTTGGGGGTCGAGAACGAAGCGAGTGTCGGTGCAGTAGACGTACTTCTCCTCGATATCGAAGTAACGAGCAGCCTTTTCCCAGCAGACCTGGACAGCACTGTTCATGATAATGTTGGGGTGCATGTAGTCCTTGCCCTCAGCCTTGCGCTTGTTCTGCCATCGCTTCTTCATAGCCAGTGTTCCAAGCATGATAGCCTCGGAAGACCCAATGGTTGAAGTACCCATGGCATTATCACTGGAGGGATCAGTGGGAATATTGAAGAGTCTAGCAATCATATTCACACATCGGTTCTGGATCTCGGCGGAGTGCGGGTATTCCTCATAATCAATGAAGTTCTTGCTGAAAGATTCGGTCATGATCTGCTCAATCTCCTCTTCCATGTAGGTTGTGACGAAACTAGCGAGGTTGAGCTTGGGATTACCGTCCAGACTCAGCTCATCCTTGATCATCCGAGCGGCAACCTGGCGGGGCATCTCTCGCTCTGGCATTACATTCTGAGGCATATGATCAGCGGCAAAGTGACTGCCGTAGACATTGGTATCGAAGTCATTTATATCCGGAGGATCAATAGAGACAATGTCATGAGTAGGGGGGAGGACCTCATTGTCCTTCTTAACTTTGGCGAGATGAACCATAATTGCGAATAAAGAAAAGATAGAAGATCAAAAATAAAAGACCAAAAGGACTAAAGAGATCAACAATCTACAATTTGAACGAAAAAGCAGAAAACCCAGGAAAGATATGAGAGGGGGGAAAGACGCCGGCTACGTACCTCTGTCTCCCACGTGCGGGGGAGCTTTTAATGACGCACTTGATCAGCCCATCACTTTTTTTTCCTTTACTTCTTCTACTTCTTCTACTACCTTACTCTTATTCCTTTATGATCTTCGATGTTTCTATCCAATATCTACTTTCTCTCTCTTCTATGTATTCATGTACATAAAATTCCCGAAGGATGATCCCTAGTTGCGAAAGCTTGGTCAAAGCTTGGCAAAGCGAATTGATGATCCCGATGGAGCCGGCCTGCCCCCCTCTCAAACGCAGCCACGACATGGAAAAGGTCTAAGAGTCCACTCAGAGTTCAGAGCTTACTCTGCCGCAGAGTTTCCACTGTGGCGAACTGATAGTAGAAGTCCAGGCTCTTCGGATTGAGCAGTGTACCCGAGGGCTTAATGGTTTTCCCCGAGACAATCTGCTTCACAGGGAGCTCCACCTTTTTCAAGTTGACCGTGGTCTATGACGATAGACGTGGGTCAGTCCCGCTTTAAATATCTTGTTTTCTCTATGGATTACGATTCACATACCGGAATTTCAGGGGTCTCGAATATGAACATCGGTACATGGCGGGGGCTGAGCTCTGAACGGATCGCACTCTTCACTCGTGTAACAAGGTCCGGTGTGAAAGATACCCCTGGCTTCATGAGCAAAAATAGTATCACTCGCTCGTCTGTATCCATTGGTCGTCGCTGGCCTACGCATATGGAATCACCAATCTCTTTCGAAAATTGGCCCTCCAGTACCCGATAAATCTCTGCTGATCCGAACCGCACTCCTGACGGGTTGAGCACCCCATCAGCACGCCCGTGAAACACGATCTGTTTCGTAATTGGGTGGATTGAAATGAAGTCACCGTGTGTCCATACATCTGTAGAGTATTAGCGACCATAGTCATATGCACACAGAGGGAAAAGTAGCCCCACTATCGAATCTGCCAAAATACGCATCATGATACTTCTTGCCGCCCTTGTCACCCCACAAAAATGTGGGCATATTGGGAAAAGCAGATGTGGCAACCAATTCACCCGGAACACCCTCCTCCACGGGTACCCCCTGACTCCGTCGCCGCCCTCAATAGTAGAGTCGTAAACCTCCACGGGAATACCTAGACTGCCTCCACTGCACCCGCCAACATATAGCGGGACAACAGGGTTGCCGGTTCCAAAGCACCCTGCGATATCAGTACCGCCAGAAATATTATTCAAACGGGTATGAGATGGGAACCCTTCGTCGTAGAACCACTCAAACAATGCATCCCGCAGGACCATGCCAGTGCTTGTGACGACCCGTAAGGAGCTGAGGTTAAATTTCTCACGGGGCTTGATTTTAGCCTGTTGCAACTCATGGAGCCATCGGGGTGATATTCCAAGGTGGGTGACCCTGCAATAGATTAGCCTGGGGCTGTATATCGTACACCGTGGAGTAAATTTCAACAGACGACTTACTTCTCCTGTGCTGAAATGTCAAGCAAAGCAGTGATACTTGGAATAAATGGGCTTCCATCATATAGCACCACCCGCACCCCAAAAAGCAAACTCTGCACGGCGCACATATACATAATCCATCCCGTGGTCGTGTATTGCAAATTGACACAATCAGGCCCGAGTTCAGTATACAAACTCCCCTCCTTGCTCGTGTTTAGAAGCACGCCGCCAACTGAATGAACGATACACTTCGGCTGTCCTGTCGTGCCAGACGAGTAGACCACCAAGAACGGATCGCGGAACCTAACTCTTTCGAATTCGAGTTTCTCATTCCCGTCTGCCTTTGCAAGATACTCCGCCAGAGTCTTCACCTTAGGGATCGAACTGATATCTGCCGGCCGCGAAGAGAACCGAGGTAGTGAGACGACACCTTCGAATTCCGACTCGGACTCCATGCCTTGAACAATTTCCTTAATCTTCGATCGCAAGTCGATGGTCTTGCCATTGTAAACCGCCAAGTCGTCCATAAACAGCCAGCGAGGTTTGATCTGCACCAGTCTATCCAAAACGCCCTTGGTACCCATATCTGTGGAACTAGACGAGAAGATAGCTCCCAGAGCTGTCGACGCTAGGAACACAAGTAGTGTATCTATACTATTCGCCGCGCAGAGAGCAATGCGATCACCCCGAACGACCCCATTTGCCTTCATAGCCTGAACCATAATTCCGGTCCGTCGTCGGAGCTCGCCCCAGGTCATATGGACGACTTCATGCGCAGCACCTTCTCGGACTTCGCTAACGGCAATTTTGTCGTCTTCTTTGCCTGTTTTGTCGCCAACAACATGCGAGAAGAGTAGGTTCTCGGCGAAGTTCAGACGCACACCGGCGAACCATTCAGGCACGCTGTCCATTCGAGCAGATTCATCGACTACTTTTGTGTAGGATCCCTCGTGAATCAATTGGAAGTATTTCCAACAGAATTCCCAGAATGCTGAACGGTTCTTGATTGAATACAGGTACATATCATGGAATGACTGAGAGGGGTTAGATAATATAGTACGGCTTACGCAGGCTGGTTTCACTCACGTTGAACTTGCGTCCGATGGATTTCTCTAGGTCTCGCTGAAAGTGACCCATCTGGGTCGACTCTGGAGCCGGATGCTGCCATACTTTACGTGGAAGGGACGCCATGATGAATTGAAGGTGATATGTGGAGAATATAGAATTCCTCAAGCCAGTTTTATGCACATCTTCCAGGCTTACCGAGGCCCAAAACATCTGTCCGCGGGCCCAGTGTGCGGGGGTGGGGATGTGGGATCTGCATCTATTTTGGACACATCTCACATCTGCAGACTTATCGGAGTTCAATCTCACACCGCTCACCGCTCACATTTTTCTTTTATGCTGTATACATGAAGGTATTTTATTGTATCCTCGAGGTACCGAATCAGCACACAGCACGAACCGTGCGAGCTTATCCCGTCGTGGTGCGGACCTAAATACCAGTGCCGGACATCTAGCCGATTTATGTACTTATGTACGATTATTATTCCCATGCTGCATTTCCGAGCTTGCTTAGATATAGGAAAAATACAGCTCGCCTCATGGATAGACCATTACGACAGGCCTTAGGACAGCAGGCTAAGAATTATAGGGAAAGAAAAACCACTCAACACAAAGTAGGATATGTACATGTAGTTAGAATACACACCAGCAATATCCACTAAAGCCTATCGAGACAACCCACTACAAAACTTCCGCGTCACCAATGCCCGAAGCAGGCTACTATCACACGGATAATATAGGTGCGAGAGAATGTTATAGCATACCAAGTACTTCAATACCACCACGACGCCCAGTCTGCCGAATGATCCTCGAATCCACGTTTCTCCAGTAACTTTTGGACCTCCGACCTCCACCAGTGCGTCTCCTCGCCGGCGCCCGGATTGGGAAGATCTAATCCACTAATCAATCGAAACTTCGTTCGTATCCATCCTCTCGGGACATAACCAGCGATCTCCCAATCAATGATCCCAATAGTACCATCTTTCGGTACATCTTCCACAATAATGTTTCCAGGACCGAGATCGGCATGGTAAAAGACGAATGTCGAGCAATCCATACCCATCAATTGACAAACTTCAGTAAGCTTCTCAGGACGAAAATCCATAACAGTTCCGCGCTGGGTAAGATACTGTTCAGGGATGCTTTTTCCGTCCACACCACCAAGCACGTCTCCTTTCCAGCCTGCAAGGGTCTCGCAGGTTTTCACCACTGCCTCCACATAGCGATGTTTCCAAGTTTCATCTAGAGTAGGCCAGGCATCTCCAAGCGTCCGGCCAGGTACTCTACTAAGAAAGAGATAAGACCGGGTATCATCCCTAGCGTCGTGCAAGACGCGAGGAGTCTCAAAGTGAGGCTTTTGCTCGTGGACAAAAGCCAAGGTAGTAGCCTCTGATGTCGCGCCTCCATATGCAACTTGACTTTACAAAAGGCACTTCTTCCTATAGACCGGACCGCAGATCTCTCCCTGGCTTCATACACGAGTACAATTCTGGGATTATCGGCAAGTAGTGGAACGGTTGGAGGCGGAGGGGTGGGCGCGTTGGTGAGGGTGTAGCTAAGATTGTCGGCTGAGTCATACCAGGAAGAGGCATCGGAAAGATCGCTCGAAGAACGGAGAATCAGGTCGCCAATAAGCTAGGTGCTCTCATCTATTTGCTTGATGAAGTCTCTAACATGGTCTTCCATGGTCTGAGCTAGGGCAAATGGTGACATCTTTCGCAAGGGCTATAGTGTCAAATGAGTTGTAAAATGATGGGACACGACAAGCCAAAATATTTGAACGATGACACCGCGAACAACTGGGAGGATAAATATATGCGTTCCATAGCGGGGCGGAATGTAAACAACCTGGGGCCTTCACCGTATATACGTGCCAACCTTGGAAACCGCTCTAGGCCCTGGGGCCCCCTAAAAAAAATAATTACCTAATTATAGATTTCCATGTAGGTATGTAGTACCTACATACCTAGGTAACCCCGGCCTAGTGAATCATCTGGAAGCGGGGCCGCAATAATAACGCTATGTACGGAGTACCTATAGAGCCTTTAGTCTTCGTTTCAAGATACCGAATTTCATGCCACAATTTATTTGCTCCATCGTAGCTCAGCTTTCAGGACTGCTATTCAGAAGTTTGATGTAAATTCCAGGCTGCCGAGGACTCTTCTGTCTGAAAAGAGCATAAAGTATTTAGATAAACTTTGGATTCCTTAATAGTGTCGACAAAATTAGGTACAATAATAGCATCCATTGAAATAAACAGCACATGATATGTTGAATATCGAAAATCTCGTTGAAAATCAAATCTGAGAACTTAAAGACATCGAATTGGCCTTATATGGATGGGTGAACAGGCCACTCAATCCTCACTTGACATATGAGCAAATCTATACCATTGCCTATCATCCTGATAATCAGTATAGCTCCTGAAATTTTCGAAGATTGGGAAGAAAGAAGAGGACTCCTTTACCGCAATTTCGAAAATTACTTCGTACAAGAACTTCAATAGATCGAAACTACTCCGTATACTTGGAGCTATAAGGTAAAATCAAGTTCAAGATCTACACATAATATTTCGTTCCATAGCTTAATCTATCATTCAGAAACCAGTCCCGTTGGGTCTGGTTACATCTTCCTACTTGACCTTTTCCTTCTATACAAAGGTTCAGCTCTTTGCTTGGACTTTCCTTCCTTCTTTCATTCCCTTGTCTCCTTGTCTCCTTGGAAACGCCCAACGGCGCTAATTACAAAAACCACACTCGATTAAGTCGACTTTTCAGAGAATTTGCAGCCACAAAGACGCCATTCAATCTTGGAAGGCGTGTCTCCTGTGCATGCCGCAGGAGACGATATTCATAACCTATCTCATGAAATAAATCGGCCATCGCAAAGATCGAATGGTCTGTTGCATGGCTCAACCCGATACTTGCCACCCCAGCATAACCTGGGTGTTTGGAACCCGGAGAAGGAAAGAATCGACGACGTCGAGTGCCTGGACATTGGAGGTTTTTTTTCTTGGGCCAACCTATAACAGCAGGCAACCCTTGACTACTCCAAAAAAAAAGGAGCCGGTTCACGTTATCTAGTAACCATCCATGATCGCTGGAGCCGGATACGACCTGGTACCGTGGTCAAGATACACGAGTGAGTATCTTACCTTGGAAATACATTTCTGCTATTGCAATCTAACTCATTCTAAGGTGGGCTCCCAAAGATATTGGGAAGTAACATCTCGATGTTATCGTCTCGAGTAATGACCGAACGTCCGGCATTGAGGTCCTTTTGAAGGTCAGTCAGATAGCTTCATAGGAGCTAGTGCGATAACTAATACAGCCTTGTTGCAGCCAAGGCAATCCGAACCTGACTATGGCCTCCCAAATGCTGTTCCGAGACAGTGCACTGTACATTGTTATTCCTCTGGCCTAAGAGGCAGGCCCTGGAAATCTTTGAAGGAGGCAAACACCCCCGACGCATGCCCTGATCTCTGCAAACCTCATTGTGTGGAAGCAGGAAGGTCATCTCACAAACTCGACTTGCGAGAGCTAGTCGATTACTTTCTCTCTCAATTCCACCCAGCGTTGACTTACTCGTCAAATTCTTCAACATCGCGAGCGTGGTGCTAGGACGAGTTGCAGGCATTCTGTGGTGGAGATAGTTTCAGCGTGGCGTTTGTCCCTGAATCCCTTGTGCATCACAACCCGCCTCTACTCGTCTTCCAGGTACGCGTGAAACTGGAATTCCTGCGCAGAAGATTAAAGTTATACAAAAGCCTACGCCGAAGTGCGAAAAGTCCAAGGAAAGACTGCTCGTTCTGAAAGATTCACCTTCGTCCCCACCAAAGGACCAAGATAGACTTCATCGTGACCCCCTTATGGGGAGGAATCGGTTCAAACGAATGATGAAAATACCACGGAGCATAGGACCTCGCGATTACCACTGACAATACTGGGTGTGCAGCCAGCCTTACGTGATATTGGTGATAAGCTGGGGAGGAACCTTGGAAGATAGCTCGAGTCTTGAGGCTCCATAGTATATCTGGAGCTACGCATTGACGCCTGACTAGCGGTGTACATCAGCCAACAATTTTGGAAACCCAACGACTTCGCGGCCATCCACCAACTTAGAAACAATTAATCCTTTACATTATTCCAAAGCTGCTCCAAGACGCAAATAATAAGCACTATGATTCTGATTCTGATATATAATTTCAACTGGTGTATCATCAAAGCCTGACAAAAGAAAGAAAAAAAAACAAAGCCCGAGGCAACCCTGAGGGTGCCTACGAGTCCCTCAACAGCCTCAATTAGCGCACAACGGATATCATACACCGGCTCCCCACCGCGATTACTTTATGTTGTACTTATTTGAACTTGCGCTTCAACCAGTTCAGGAACCCACCCTTCTTCTTCTCAGCCTGCTCGGCCTTTTCGGCCTGCTCTGCTGCGGTCTCAGATGTGTTCTGAGTCTCTGGCTGGGCCTTACCAGCCTCCTCGACAGGCTCAGCCTTGGTCTCGGGCTTGGGGGCATCAGTCTTAGGCAGCGGCTCCTCGCCACGCTTCAAGGCAGCCTCGGGCTTCTTAAGCTCGGCTTCCTTGGCAGCAGTCGGAGCAGCGCCCTTGTCGCCCTTGTCGCCCATGGAAGAGAGGAGGGCAGCGTTCGCGGCGGCGACTGCTACAGGGGAGGAGGGAGTCTTGCCGGCGCCGGACTGAGGAGGGGGGCTCTTGGGGGCGGGCTCGACGGCCTTCTTTTCCTCAGCAACCTTAGGTGTCTCGGCCTTCTTCTCCTCGACGATCTTGGGTGTCTCAGCGACCTTAGCAGTCTCGGCAACCTTGGGTGCCTCAGCCTGAACAGACGCAGGCTCAGGGGTTGTGAGCACAGCAGCTGAAGCGGGTCCAACACCGGCCAAGGTCTCAATGGTCTTCTTGTCCTCGTCGATGGTAGCCTCGATCGGCTCCTCGTCGGTCTTGGGCATCTTGTGGGGCTTCAGGTTCTCCTCGGTGTTGAAGATGGGCTTCTCGTACGGGCGCTTGGGGTGGGCGCCATCACTCTCGGGAGAGGTGGCAATAGGCTCGGGCGCAGCGACAGCGGGAACGGCAATGGGTTCGGGTGCAGCAGGGGCGGCGACGGGCTCGGGCGCAACGGCAGCAGGGGCGGTGGTTGATTCCGCGGTCTTGGGACGCTCGACCAATGTTGCGGGAACGCCGGTCGCGGCGACCGAGGAAACGGGCTCCTTGGTGGTGGTCTCGGGGAGAACAGCTGCAGAGTCCAGGTTAGTGGAAATCATTGTCGCGTTTTTACTAATTCGCGCCATACCAGTGCCTGCGGCAGCGCCAGCTTCCAACTCGCCCATCTGGCCGGCCTTGGAGGCCTGTGCTTTCTCCACGGCCTCCTCGACTGTACCCTGGTTCTCTGTCGCGAGAGCTTTCTCGGCCTTCACGGCCTCCTTCATCTCCGCTTCCTTGGTCTCCTCCACAGCTGGGATCTCAGTTGCGGGAGTCTCGACCGCGGGAACGGCCTCGGGCGCCTTGCTGGGCTCAGCGACGGTTTCGGTAGGCTGTGTTACAGCCTCGGGTGCCTCAGTCTGCTCGATGGCCTCAGTCTGGCCTTCGGCTTGCTCGATCTGGTCATTGGTCTCGTGATCGGGTTCACTGAAGAGTTAGATTGATGTGGGTATAATGTTTGAAATTTTCAACTTACACCACGTCCTTGACGTTGTCTACCGCAGCGGCGGCGACGGGCTTGCTGCCCTTCTTGTTCTTCTTTCCTCCTTTCTTGGCCATGGTTGAGATTCAAGTGATTCTGCACTGGTCAGAATATGATGAAATGGTAAGTGGCAGAAGTCGACTTACTATAGTGAAGTGTAGGAAGGAAGAAGACAAGGCAAGGGATGACGCGGTATGTTCTCGTCTCTAGGGTTCTTGATCCGTGGTGAGGACAGTTCTGGAACACAAAGTATCACAAATTTAATCTCTTTTTTTTCGCCCTTAGTGTTATAGTTATTATTAGATTCAGAATGCTCTTTTTTTTTCAAATTTCAAAATCAAAATCAAAGACTTGTATTCGCTATATTTGTTCTCTTGTATTTTTAATTCTACATTCCTCCGCATGCGATGTCTTCTTTCATACTTCCCTTGTCGTGTGAGCTTGGGCCAGCCCTAATGTCTGCATCGGGTAAATAGGGTTGTGCCTTGCACGACTAGGGGCCGTTCAGGGGTAAATCAGGGCTCAAGGATGATCTGGGGAACAGAGCTTAAGATATCCCTATTCATTTGAGTTAATGGGGATTGGACACATTCCCGCTTGGAGAAGGGGCTGTAAACAGCGATTACATCATCTCTGAAACAGGCCTGAATATAGGTAGAAGATCACAATAAAAGACAAAAAATATTAGTAATTTAGAAAAATATGTACAATATATATATACAGTTATAAATAGTAAAATCAGCACATAAAATAAGTACAACATACATAAAATGCAAGATTCATCTTTGAAAGAGACCAAGTCAGAAATGGGTGCCCCCACTAAGATGTGTATGCTGCGCAGTAGTGGGTTGGGGGCGTTATTACATGCATATATAGGACGTCAAATAATGCCACTTTCTGTCTTTGATCCTATGAGGTCATCAATATTACACACAAAAAAGACACAGTAACAGAAAATGAGTCAATAAAACAAAAACATAAAAATTTAAGTGACCGACGCAGGGATCGAACCTGCAATCTCTTGATTCGTAGTCAAGCGCCTTGCCATTGGGCCAGCCGGCCAGAGTATATACGACGTGGCCAAAATGTGCATTATAAACCAAAACTAACACCGGGGACCAAAGTTACCTAAATAGGGAAAACCGGCAAAACTGTGCCGAGTGGGGGGCGCCAAATTCGACCTCGAGGCCCACCTGGGCAACTTTCTGATTCCGGTTTATTCCCGTGGGGTTGGCATTGACACATCCTGTTACGAACATCAAGTAATGATGTAACTCTGAGGCTCACAATTATTATTAATGGCCGATCCGTGTTTCTGGAAGACTTCGATGCAGATACGCCACTGACATTGTCGGGATGATCATGTATATTGACTGGACTTAATGACATATATGGAGATCCATTTATTTCGCCGATAGTACGGAGTACTTTATGTGCAATAGAGGATTGTAACAGTGACATTGTGCAAAGTTGGCTCGGGTCAATTGCTCGGGAAATTAAATAGAAATAGTACTATGTACTCCGTAGTATAATCTACAACATACGGAGTAAACTACTGTTTTAATCTCAATTATACGGGGAAATCCGAATAATAAGATGATAGGATAATAATAATGTCATAGTTCTTTGTGGATTTCATAGTACGTACAAAGTACAGAGGCTAATAACCAAATTTGCCCCAATATCTTCACCGGATATGGACCGGAGACGCTTCTGGGGAACCCGACTCTCTTATCTCTTGCCGTCGCATCCACGTTTACTTGGACTATTAAGCCCATAATTCCCACTTTTCCTCTCCTCTCATTTTACTCTTTAATTTCTTTCTACTTTTTCTTCTCTATCCTCTCATAGAATGATAAAATTGTCTTTGATCAAAAACCCCCGCTATTCGTGCTTGCACAACCTCCGCGTCCGTTCCCACTCTGGGTGTGGTATGCACTGAGCCATTTTCCCAGGAACCGCCCGCATTGATCTCTGAACTTCTTGAATTTGAATCTTGAATATCTCTGTTCACAATTCTTTTCTATCCAATATGACGTTCCGCGAGAAGGTCAAGCGGGTGTTCCGCTCAAACTCCAACTCCAAATCCAAAAACGATGGAAAGCCCAAAATCGATGGAAAGCCCAAAATCGAATACTACAGACGATCCGAGTGCCCTCCTTCTAAATTCCGCGGTCCATTCGACCGTGACCATCAAAAGAGCCTAGCCGCCTGGTCTTTCGCCGGTGCAACAGTCGAACGATCTCGTTCATTCGAAGTATCCCTGTCACCTCTTGACATTGATGAGGGTTACGGCGGTTACTCCCGACCCTCCAATACGGACGACTCGGTGTCTCCGGATAATGCAGTCGATGTCGATCCAGGTACGCATTGCCCCAGTCCAAATCGAAATAAATGAAAAAATCAATTCTAACTTTCATTTTCTCCAATAGTCTCCTCCAATCAAGAGATACTGGCTGAATCCTCGCCACGCGGTGCTGACTCCGGCGGCTCTCAGTCCTCCACTATCATCAACCCCTCCAGCTATAGTGGCTCAATGATGACCCTTATAAACGAGGGTTCCATCTATGAGATCCCGGAGGATTCCAAGGACTCGAAGTTCTTCCTCAAGGAGTCAGTTCGCTACTCGTCGCCCCTCGTCCGTGCCATCTCGCCCGCTATGTCCCCGTGCGTGATCTCCGCCCGAAAGCACCTGCCTTTCGCCCCCGAGGACCTCACTCGCGCCTTGGCCGCCGTACAGGTCTGCTCTTGATTGATCGATCCTCTTGATTGATCGATCCTCTTGATTGATCGATCCTCTTGATTGATCGATTCCTTCGACAATTTACTTTCGTCACATCCAAGCGATTGTTCCTTTTTTCATTATCCCTTCCATTCCTAAAGGCTCGATGTCTTTTATTTATTTAACCCTTTTTTTTTTTGGGGGCTCCTTTTGGATCCCTTGGGACCACGGTCGGACTTCGGACATCGTCCTCTTGGTACCTTACCGTTTTTGGGTATCAATGTCCACCATCCCTCAACCAGCGTACTGGACACGCTACTTCACACCCATCGCGGAATCTTTCGGTCGGCGATAGTCTTTCTCTCATATTTGTCACGCATTTGCATTGAGCGTATACCCGTTAAGGTTTTTGGCTGTTTGTTTTATTTTTTGGTGTGGTCTTTTGAGTCATTTCTGCTTTGATGGGTTTAACCCCCCTGGCTTCGTGAGCCATTGCTCTCTATCACGATATACACGTCGCGAATTGTCTCTCTTGGAAGGTCTAGAGAAAAGTTAAAAAGTCGCTAGAGATAAACTTCTAAACTTTTGGTCTTTCGTCTTAACTGTATACTCTTCCTAAACCTCCAAACTAAATAAAAGGTACACAAGAACTATATACTCCGTAGATCGCTCTAGATCTCACATCTTGCAGTTGTTCTCGAAGAATCTCTAACCCCGCCTCAGGCCAAGCTTTCTTCCCCCGCGCTAACATCGAACATCGTACTGTTTCGGTAATGGTTCGTGCGACCGGCGAGTTTAGTATTGATGGGTTTTTCGGTATGGTATCCGTCTAAATTCTAAATGGGATGACGCTTGTAACTTTGAGCTTAAATAACTTTGTTGTGAGGCTATTTTGATGTTGTCTTGATAGTATTGCCGTATATAGTTGGAGATGTACAATGTACTATTTGAAGTCTAAGTGTCGTTTATTAGTGTTACACCTAGAATATGAGGACCTGTGAAATCGACGCCAGTTTATACCAAATTACTTTAGAACTGTCCTTATTTTGTATGAAAAGTTATGTCTAAGTTTCACTTATAGAACTTGAATCCAATGGCATACTGAGCATCACACCACGACTCATGTGATAACCCGCTCCTTCAGCTCAATGCCAAATTTATCTTTTAGTTCGTCCCGCAACAGCCTGGCAATTTCCGCACTCGACCAAGGCGCCACCATACCCGTCGCCGGAATGCGCCCCTCCAACACAGCCAGAACCCCAACAGCACAGGGAAGTCCTACAAGTTTCGCCATCGCACTGCGAGCCCTCGGACCAACAGGCTCTCCATATTCAACTAGAGTACTCGATCTCTTTTCCACCGAACCACCCGCATGTTCGATATCAAAGATGTGCTGCAACACAATCATATCTCGTTCTCCAAGCTGGTAGGCCATTCGGGTCTCCAGCACGGCACAGAGCGTGTCAAGAGGTGTACCATATCCACCAACAGGCGTGGGATCAAAGAGACCAATCCACCGTAGACCTGACAATACACGATCGACATCGTCTTTATCCGTGACGAACGCCTCAATTTTCTGTCTAACTGCATTTTCAACCTCCTTCGGTGACAAGGACTCCGAAAGTCCGAGTAGGGAAATAGTCAATTGCACCCAAGTTGTACCCAACCTCTCCAGCACAGCCATTCGCTCTTGCGAGAAGTACCCAATGGCCACCAACGCGCGAATTATCTCAGGGAACCCGGCATATCGCAAGGTGCCCCGAAAGACGGTGTGTGCTTCGGGGATGTTATAAAAATCGCGGAAACCGACTGAGTCTCGGTTGGGGTATCCAACCAGGTTGAACCCCGGGAAAATGCGCTGTGGTGAGGCAGCCGCCATCAGATTCTTTCCGTCCACGGTTGTGACGTCGTTATCGCGGTACCATTGTGCGGAGTTGAGAAGGGCAAGGAAACCTCCTCGAGGACTCCAGGAGAACTTGTAACCCAGCGGGTTGTCGGAGTTCTCTGGTGCAGGGAGAGCACCACAGTAGCTCGTGAAGGCTTTTACTTTTCCGCCCGCTTTGTGAACCTCGTCAATCGTCTTTACGGCGTAAAGGTGGTCGATGCCAGGGTCGAGACCGATCTCGTTGAGGACTGTTATTCCTGCGGCCTTGGCTTGGTCGTCGAGTGCCCAGAGGGCGGGCGAGATGTAGCTCGTTGTCACGACTGGTTTGCTGTATTTGATGGCGGCTGAGACAACGAGGGCGTGGTGGACGTAGGGGATGAGGGAGATGACGATATCTGTTTGGGAGATGGCCGCGCAGAGGTTCTCCGGCTCGTTGACTACATCGAGAGCCATAGCTGTGGTAGACTTGTAGTTTGCGGTGAGGGCCTGGGCGGCACTTAGAGTGCGGCAGGCTACGGTGACCTCGACGCCTGCTTCGGAGAGCGCTTGGACGGCGGGCTCACAGACAAAGCCTGCACCCAGAAGAAGGGCTTTCTTCCCGATTGCAGAAGGCATTGTAATGATATTTTCTTGGGTTTGAATCGTGCTGAGTCACTGTTCCCGTATGGGAGGAACTGGATATGAACAGAATGAGAAGTGCAGACTATTAGCAATGCGAGATGGCTCGACAGAGTGCACACCTAGTGATGATAGGTTATTACAGATGATTGCAGGTGATGAAAGGTCACGACAGATGATGACAGACGATGACTATCTCTATGGGGCACTTGGTCGAGGCTAACATCGCTAGTGTCGTGCCAAGTAGGCCAAGCATCGCTAAGCAGTGGTTTTTAACCCCACCGAAGTTTACAGTCACGCCAATGATGGGATTATGTGTAGAAGGTTCATTGCATTGGCAAATGTGGCCTTTGAGACACTTGAAACGGAGTCCGTAAAGTCAAGGCTATGTTCCAACGTACTTAATCAAAACTGACGGATTTATTATCTGTATTTATACCCTTAGAAACAAAAACCAAAAACCAGCCGTAATAGCAAGTTGTAAAACTGTCAAACACCCGTAGAAAGTAGTCATATTAGGATCTTTTGCAACTTGCGAAATCGCAATGCCCAATGAATAGTTGATGTACAAAGTAGACACCAATATGCTATATATAAGTTTGGGAGAAGGATATGCTCCTAGGAGGACCACTGTATTCTCTTAAATTCACCATAGAATATGTGTAGAGGGCAATAAGCCGAGTGTGCCATTGACTTTAGGCTTCAATGGCAAACTATTTTGCCTTCTTTATGTCTCGTTTGTGGCCATGAATAATAATAACTATGTAAGCGCCCGGTCTTGATTCCGGATGTATTCCAAAGATTCACGCTTCGGCAATTGTACAGGATAACCCGGCTCGACCGAGATCCCAAAGTCAACACTTGGGAGGATCCGAAAGCTAGGTGGAGAAGGTGATGTTGGTTGACCAATCCTTTACAATCAACACTCTATTGTTTCATCCAGAGGACGGGACAGATGGCCTGAGCGGCGTAAGCAGATCTAGAAGGACACATATATTACTATGAACAAGCATTCTTGAAGGATCTTGAAGTCTTATCATAAATGTCCTAAAATCTTACTTAATTGCTGCGGTAATAAAAATCACAATCGACATTTTGCTATATTTGACGATCGACTTCCTGCCCCTCATACCAAATAAGCAAAAGCCCCTCGATTGTATTCGCTAGTTACTATTTGATATGACTATATAATGTTAGAACTGCGTTTCTCATGTCAATTTCTTAATACATATTCTTTATCACTACTTGGGTATGATGCAACGCGAAGATTGCTTAGTATTAGTACACTGCTTAGAAGATGCTGCCTGGAAGACGGCTGCCCATAATTCACGATCTCTGCCATTTCCAAGGCTTACAAGTTAGCTTGATGTGATCTAGCGATATGTAATCTTTCTAGTGTAATATACGTACTATGCTATTTATTTAAATATTCTCACCGTGTTACTATGCAGCATAGGATTATGGACGAGCGAACCTAAGCCTTTTCATCCTGTACTGCTTACCGCTAGCAACTAGCGTGGATAGCGGATATGGTGAATAGGAGCTTCCAGCCGGTATAGTCTAGGGTAGTATAGTAGGTGCTTTTCAACTCAGGTTTATCACCAAACATCAATTGGGCACACTTGTTACCTCCACTGTGGTCCTGGTTCAAGGCATTCTATGAACCGGTTATTTCCAGTTTTCCATATCAGCTACAGTGGACCCCATTCTATTTTGACATCATCGGCGGGAGTACCCGCCGGGGTGTCCCGCAGTCGGTCCCGTAGGTAGTCCGGTAGTCCGTCCCGTCGCCCATACGGAGTACGGAGTGCAAATGCCGTATGTGTACGGAGTACATGGATATCAGACTATCTGTGCGACCGTGCCCAGTGGAGACCCACACAAGATCCATAAACCTACCCCAGAGACAGGCGCCACCTGCACAAGAAAAATTCCGAGAGGTGTACGGAGTACGAAGAGCATGTATTCTCAATCTATACGGAGTAGCTAGTATCTTTTACTATGTAGCCCCTGTATACCAAACATACGTACCAAATGCGGAACGAAATCTGACTAGGTACAGTACTGGTAATCCATGGATGTGTAGAGGGTTTCTTCCCCGGCGGGCCGGACCCCACTACATAGATACTACATAGTCCTCCTCAACGTCGCATAAATCGTCGTCTGCCCGAGCAAGAACTCTACTACAACAATGCGGGCAAGGTAGATGTCGAACAGAGTGGATATTCAACGGGATGCTCTGCAGGAAACAAAGGCTTATCTGATAATTTACAGTCCTAATGCTTGGCATCTATCCAGTCTATGGCAAGTAAGCCACATCACTGATTAGGATTGGGGCGAAGGATTCAGACAAATTGCTTGGATTGCAACGTGAATTGTAACTGGTAGAGAGCCATGAGGGCGGCTGAAAAAAAGGGTTAGAAGCTCATTCAGCCGTAAAATCCCCGCCCTGGTCCCGAAGACTTTTATCTAGGTGATTGCTATTTCGCTGACGCCTCGTTGATTATTTTCTACGCTGACGGCGTGAAGTACACGCACAAATCTCAAATTGTACCCCGCCATCCCCTTTATTTGTGATTTCGGTCAAAGAATACTCGATAGCTAATGTTAAACCAGACATCAACCCAGCTGCAGATCGTTGAGGGCGAAGTACCTTCGTGGTGAAACTCTGAGATGAATGCACCCGAACACGGTGGCAGCATGCCAATGCGGTGGGGAAGAGAGGAAGATGAAATTCTGCGCGCTTGCGTTGAAGAATACAGTGAGCTTCTCTAGTTTGACAGACAGCCCTGATCTTGGAGAAGGAAATTATCAAAGGGCTTCCTTGAATGCAAAGCTTATGTTGGCTGTCGATAGCACAAATAGGCCATTCAACAGACTGGAGCCGCGTCGCCGCGAAGCTACCCTTGCGAACAAACAAGGACTGCCGCAAGCGATGGATCAATCGCGTGTGTGGCAGCCTTAGAAAGGGACCATGGGAAACCGATGAGGACATGACGTTGCGTGAAGCTGTAGCGCAGCATGGTCGAAAGTAAGCACTCCGTCGTGTGCTCATCGACACATTCCCATTCTCCTCCCCGTACCTTCTATCGAGCCCGCAATTTTTTCAAGTAAACTGACTCAGTAATTCGTTTAACGCAGATGGACACTGGTCGCCGGTGAAGTTGGGTCGCGATCTGCTGACCGTAGGTGGATGCTTCTCTCATTGATTAAATTCTCTATGTACCACAGTTCGCTAACAAGGTGGCTTCAAGAATGTGCTAAGCGGTGGCAACACAATTTGGATCCCAGATTGGATCATCAGCGGTGGACTCCTAAAGAGGTATGTATCCCTTCAAGCTATCGCAGCAGAGTGGCAAAAGTTTACCCGCTGAGGCTGTGATCAGGATGAGCTCCTTCTGGAGTCAGTAGAGCGCTACGGTCGAGAATGGAGGAAGATCCAAGAGAAGCACTACAGCACCAGGTCAGCTAATGACTTGAAGAATCGGTTCGTTTCATTTTTCGATCATCAGGAACTCTACTAATTTGCCGCTATAACAAGATTTAGTATTCTCTCGAAAAAGGTCACAAGCAGGCCGCCGTCTAGATCGGAGCTCGGATGTTTATCATCTCCGCCCTCCGTTGGTACGGGTGATCTGGGCCAGGATAGTACGGGCTCGGACACGAATTCAGCCAACACATCCGGTCTGGACCCAGTTGTGTTTCATGCAGAAGGGTGGGGCGGGATCTACAATTCTAATGATCTATTAAGCGACGTGGATCAGGCTATGGGGTCGACTATCAACGTACAACAACCACAGAATCAACAAATGCAACCTCAGAAGCAGGCCGTGCCATTGCAGCCACTGAGCCATTTTGATCCTTTGATGATTGATGATAACACTGACCATCTTCCTGTCACTTCAAGCTTATTCTGGCCTGTAGGCTTGACATCGCCGCAAAGAGCATGTTCAGGACTATCTACTCACGGGAGTTTCTCAAATACCATCCTCACCAGCGGACCTGACGCGATGTCTTACGACCTGTATAATCCCACCCAGACTGACGCTCGCGATGGCAATGGGCTTGACGGGAGTGGCAGGACTAGCAGCCATGTGGCAGATCTGCAGCTTGGATTTGACACAGTTGATCCTGTTCCGGACGGCATGAAAAACGACAATCTGAGTTCGCTTCTGGCGCACAAAGCGGGCCGACTTATCAACTGCAGCCCGGGCGGCAGTGTCTCCATTCAAGCCGAGGGGTGTGACAGGGAGGTTCTAAATTATGTGCTTGACGTGTTGCTCCCCATCCGACATTTGGTCAAAATGGAAATCAACATGTGAATCATGGGTTGCCCATAGGTATCGACTCTCCAAAGCTCAATCGCCAAGAACCTATTATCATGTATAAAGCTGTGTATAGGTGGGATTCACCCACCTACTCTCATGCATTAGCGTATAAAATTTTTTTTGCCGTATTTAATTGGTATTGTTATATCTTGATACTAATAAAACCAAGCACTTTACTCTGCATATATGCATATAAGCATAGATCTATATATATTTACTACTCCGTACTACTAGCATAAATTAACAAATCTATTTGCATACTAGCTGATTTAATGTAGTATTTAGTAGCCGCCCGTGCCGCTTCAATAACTGCCTGGCATCTAGCAGGCATACTGTCAATTAATCCAGAAAACAACTGCTCCGGGACTGCATCCTATACGCCAACGCATGAGAGTGGGTGGGCGAATCTCACGTACCTTTGCACAGAGATTCTAACTTCCGGCCTAAATATGCTCTTCGCAATTGCTAGGTCTATTATCAAACAAAGAGATGGGCTTAGCTCTGGGACCCGAGTATAGTATTTCCACTCTTATCCAGCTTCCGGCCCACCATCCATGCTCTCCCCTCGCATGGCGTCCCCCTCCCACTATGGGCCCCTCTCCTCTCGGATAGTGGGGTTATATGGTAGGCGAGGGGATTTGGGGTCCTCTTTATCTCTCTAGGCAAGCCATTTTGATCACTCACCCGCCTCCAGCTCTCCGCCCTCCAGTTACAGATAAATTCCCCTCGTGGAACCTATTAGCCCACGAGTCCGAGTCTCAACACTAAAAATGACCCGTCGCGTTCTTCTCACCGGGGGTAACGGCTTTATTGGATCCCATATCCTAGCCCAGCTTCTTGACCATGGATGTACAGTCTGCTGCACTGTTAGAACTAAAGAAAAAGGCGACAAGATTTTGAAGGACTTTGCCGGGCAGCAATCTCAGATATCGATTAAAATCGTCCCCGATATCGTCGCATCTGGAGCATACCACACAGCAGTACAGGAGACCCCTGCCTTTGACACCGTCTACCATACCGCATCCCCTTTCACATACACAAATGTGGAGAGCAATCTTGAGTTCCTCGAGCCGGCGATCAAGGGGACCTTGAACCTACTCAAAGCCGTGAAAGACAATGCACCGAACGTACAAAGGGTTATTTGGACTGGTAGCTGTGCCAGTGTGATTGATTACAACAACCTGGTCTCGGATCCCCCAAAGATTTACACGGAAGCGGACTGGAACCCGGTCACATGGGAAGAGGCAGTTCACGGCGATCCGTCGAAAGCGTACAGGGCGAGTAAACTCTTCGCCGAACGGGAAGGTATGTCGACTATTCTCAATTCTGTTGATGGAGACAGTACTAACGAGGTCTTCACTATACAGCATGGAAGTTCATGGAAGAAGAAAAACCGTCTTTTGACCTGGTCACCTTAACTCCGCCGGCGACCTTTGGTCCTTTGCGGCACTCTATAACAAGCATTAGAGAGCTGAACGAATCTAATTCTCGGTTGTGGAAACTTTGCCTAAACTCAACCAAGGATGCGCCTGTGCCGTACATGCCAGTACACACTTATGTCGATGTCCGGGTAAGTCGCCCCAAGTTGCTCAGCGCGAGCGATCGTGCTAATATAACTGAAACTAATTTTCTTTAGGATCTTGCAACCGCCCAACTCAAAGCTATGACTGTCCCAGAAGCTGGTAACCAACGGTTTATAGTCTGTGCCAGGCAATTTGACTTCCAGGATGTTTGCGATATTCTCCGATCGCACTTCGCCGAACTGGGGGAACGCACACCGCTTGGGAAACCCGGGACACGTTCCTTACCAGCTGGAGCATACAGCATCGATAATTCTAAAGTGAAGCAGTTCTTAGGCCTGGAGCCCCGGAGTCTTGAGGACACCATTTTGGATGTTGCGCGTTATATGTTAGATCTTGAACGTAAGGAAAAGCAAGCCCATGCTACCTAGATTGGTGTCATCATCCCACAGTCGCCTAGCCCAAAGAAAACGCCGAAACGGCAGTACGAAAAAAAGACAATTACCTATGTCTCTCATCCTTCTCAGCCCTGCGGAGCTTAGGCCGTAGTGTTTTATATCTTGAACCTGTCTGCAAGGGGCCGTAGCGGCCACGAGCCTCAAAATATTATCAAGACCACGGAAGCTTCAATAGAGCAGTCTCATCTGGAATCACTTCTAAGGTTGGTGTAGAATCTGATGCTTTATACTAGTCTTAGAAACGGTGTTAGTTGTACTATGTGACTGAATAGCTTTCAGTCCTTCCCCGTGGTAATAAGATATGCCTAGGAACAAGTTACCCAAGAGACTGAGATTGTACTACCTAGACCCCGGCTGCTCTATGAAAAATGAAAGACACCAACGTTGCTTATGGACCTCGGGAGTGGCTGGATTTAAGGCGAGTGGGGTTTGCCGCCATCGCTCCACTACTCGGGTCCAATGTGCGGAGTTTACCGTTATCTCCGGCCGTCTTTAACACCGAGGGTACCTATCATTGGGCTATAGCTCTGAGAGCTGCATTCAATGAAATAAGTTATGCAAAGGGTGGACGGACCCGAGTTGGGAAGCTCCACTTTGTCCACTCCTATCGTTAGGTAGGAAGCATATCTTCGTTGCTAGCTGGGTTAACGCCGAAAATGAATGCGTACATGTAGGTATGTTTGTAGCGCTGGATAAGGCTAGCCCTTATTCTAGGACGATCAAGATGCACCAAAGAACGCGGACCTCCTTTTTCTGACTCTCGAATCGCCTCGGGAATCACTCACAACCTCACCTCTTCCTTCACCCGTGTTCAACACAATGTCGGAAACCACCACCACCGACACCGAAATGCAGCATCAAGGGGCCGCGACTGGCTGGACCGACTCCAGAGCAATCTCGCGAGGCTTGAAAGTGCACCAAGATGAAGGCCGGTCACTCGGCAATGCAGTAAACAGGAATCAATCAGGCAAGGCGGTGTCTAATCGCATACAACCGTTGACCCTGGAATCATCGGATCGTCCGCCCCGAGATATACACGGAACAAAATGGGTGTTTGCTCGTAAGTTCTGATATGACTTTCGTGTTCTATAACTCCCGCGTTGGATGTATTCCCTAACAATTCGTGTTTTAGTGACGGCCATATTGTCCAGCGTGTTCTTGTTCGCGCTGGATCAAACGATTGTCGCCGATGTTCAGCCAGACATCATCGCCGAGTTCGAGTCAATAGATAAGTTGCCTTGGCTCTCAGTTTCCTTCCTTCTCGGAACTGCCAGCACCAATCTGCTCTGGTAAGCATTTGCACCGATTCGACCCGGCGCAGCCAAGTTGCCTTGGGCTAACTGTGAGATTATGTACATATGCAGGAGTCGGATCTATAGTCAATTCAATCCCAAATGGATCTATGTGCTCTGCGTAGCCTTGTTCGAGGTCGGTTCGGCTATCTGCGGCGCAGCGCCAAACATGAATGCACTCATTATCGGACGTGCTCTGGGTGGCCTGGGCGGTGGAGGAATGTACTTGGGTGTGATGATGATGCTGTCCCTGTTCACGACACCTGTGGAACGACCAAAGTATATCGGAACTATCGGGGTGGTGTTTGGTTTTGGCACCGTGTGAGTGCTCTTTCACCGAGTGGAGAGCAGACTGAATCTGATTACTGATTACTGACTATGCCATCTTTGCTCTAGCCTTGGACCGGTCATTGGAGGTGCCTTCGCTTCTAACCCCTCCACAACGTGGCGATGGGCGTTTTATATCAACTTGTGCATCGGCGGCGCTTTTGCGCCAGCGTATTTCTTCTTGCTTCCGTCCCGGGACCTGCGACCGGGTGTGAAATTCTGGGACCGGATGAGAGCAGTGGACTGGATCGGAAACACTCTTGTCATCGGAGTGTACGTCTCTGGGCTCATGGCCATTTCCTTCGGTGGCACCACCTTTGAGTGGAACAGCGCCCAAGAGATTGCAATGTTTTGTGTCTCAGGCGTTCTTCTCATCATGCTCTGCGTGCACCAGGTTTTGTCTGACCCGAAGAATCGAATGTTTCCGGTCCATTTCCTGAAGCACTGGGGCCTGTTAATCCAATTCTTGGTCGGGGCCTCTGCGGGGACATCGTCTTTTGTGACCATCTATTTCATCCCGCTCTACTTCCAGTTTGTGCAGCACAGTGGTTCCCTGCTGTCCGGTGTGCGGTTATTGCCATTTATCGGCTCCCTAGCGGCCTTTACTATGTTAAGCGGGAACTTCATGGTCAAATCAGGATACAGTATGCCATGGTATGTCATCGGCTCGGTCCTCGTCATCGCCGCCAACGCCATGCTTTACAAGCTTGATCTCTCGACGTCCAATGGATTCATTTACGGTGGGATGGTTCTCAACGGTATTGGTACGGGAATGTTTCTTAATGCTCCCTTTGCCGTCGCCCAATGGCTGGCTCCACCGCAGGAGACATCGAGTGCTGTTGGATTCATCATGTGTGCTCGAGGCGGAGGCCTTGCCATTGCACTGTCTATTGCAAACAGCATCTTCCTGAACCTAGCCGAAAATGGGATTCGCCATCAGTTTCCAACAATGGACAAGACACAGATTCAGAGTCTTACCTCCGGCGTCGGCAGCAGTCTCTTGGACAGCCTCAGTGAGGGCCAAAAGCAGGAAGTTCTCGCAGCGATTGTGTACGCGATCAGTCGTGTGTTCATCCTGTCCATCGCCTCCGGCTGCTTTTGTCTATGCCTGTCGATCTTCATGGACCGCAGAAAAATCAAGGTTGGCTAGGTAGCTGTCTGATTATTTTAGACTCAGCGGTCGAACATTTCGCTTTCATGACATGAATCTCGGGCTTTTCAAGTTCATATATATCTACCAATCGCATAGAATAGAAAGTTTCCTCATGAACCTCTAGCTACATTAATATAACTCTTTCAAGTTAGCTTGACAATTTCCAAGATTTCAACAAGCATCTTATTTATCATAATGTTGCAAAGTTCCTCGACACTTAAATCCTATGGTCTATATTGTTGTAAGTACTGCGGCGGCCCATAGGTTGGATGAGAGATCATAATTTTAATTTTTAGACTGGCAGAAAGTATATTACTACGTACTGCCTATACTATATGTGAAATCTAATTTAATATGATATTGGTAATTTGTCTAGCCCTGGAGGTACTATTCCTCGCTATAAGATCCCCTTTTTGTTAGAACTTGACATGTGCATACTGCCGCTTCAAGTTCGTCCTAGATATATTATTACAACGGTATATAGAGAAGTCAAGTTCAACTTCAAATTCGAAATGATGATCTGTGTGAATAAGGCAGTTTGATCCAAGGAAAAGAGTCCATTCAACAAGATATAGCTCAGGCTGGAAAGGAAGGAAAGAAAGAAAGGCAGGAGGAAATAACAATGTGGGGCGCGCAGGCGCGTATCCCCAGCACGTGATCTAAACGCCCAGGTCCATAACAATCTGGGATAATGCACACCCGTGGACTTCACTCAAGATCTAGGGTTGAAGGTTTGAATGAATGTTTGAACGTTGGATTCAAATTCTATACTGCTTTAAATAAGGTCCAACTTATACATAAATCGCATCAGTGCAAAAAGCCCGCTTTCCTCCAATACTCTACAAATCTAGACACCACTTCCTCACCGACAGGCCCGACTTCTCTCGCCATGGTGCTGCTATGCGCCTGGGCTTGCTCAGTATCTAGAATTAGTCCCCCACAAGCCATCCGCTCAAAGTTTGACTCGAGCCAGTCCGGCATCCCAGGTCGGGCGGCGGGATTCTCGGTCTCGGGTACGAGCGGCGAGGCCCTGACGCGCCGGACCCATTCCTTAAAGGGTACCAAGTCAGTCGAGCTGGGAATCCCCAGGGCGCGGGCGAAAAATTGATTCATCTCGTTCCACGGCTGGCCGACGGGGTTGTCGACGTGGTAGACAGGGTGAGACGCGTTCGGATTCAAGACGAGGTCGGCCATTACGGCGGCGCTGAGATCGACAGGCACCCACTGCATGATCCCGTTTAGTTCGGGCCACGCGCCCAAAGCCTGAGCTGACTTGATGAAGAAAGGCAGGTGCTCGACCGTGTTCCAATACCCACTGGTTGATGAGCCCGCGATCTGCCCTGGGCGGGTCACCTGGGGACGAAACAGGGCGGGAAACTTGTGAAGTGTCTCATCGAGAAGAGCCTCGCAGACCCACTTGGCCTCAGCGTAACCAATAGGCACAGTAGATGAGACGGGGACGCGGCGCTCTAGTACGCGGCCTGTGGTGCCAGACTGGCCGACGACGCCGATGGAGGAGACAAACTGGAAGCCGACCCGGACCCGGTTCCGACCAGGCGCAATGGCTGCATCCCGTGCCAGGTCCAATAGGTTTCTCATAGACTGAAGTTGGGGCGCAAACGCGGCGACAGGGCGGGTCCAGCTCATGGGCCAGGCGTTGTGTATAATGTGTGTGATATTTTGCACAAGCCAAGTGTATTCATGCACCGGCAGGCCGAGTTGCCGCTTGGCCGTGTCGGTTGCCAGTACACGCAGCTTCGCGCGGGATCGCGGCGCCAACTTGATACCTCGTTCCTGGAACGCCTCTTGTTGTCTTTGGAGGCCGGGCACGCTGGCGGAATCGCGGTTCACACATACGACCTGGGCAACCGTTGGATTTTCCGCCAGCTTTTGGACAATGTGGGACCCCAAGCTACCAGTCGCGCCAGTTACGAGAACAACAGCTCCACGACTAGGAGCTTGCCCATTGTTTTGCATCTTTGCCTGTAGTCGAAGCATATTTGGCGTAGCCCAGCCGTTGGCATACTGCTGCACCAGTCTCTCTGCCTCGGTTGTCCGCGCCCCATGATCAATCACTGTTGCCTCTTTCAAAGGAGATGCCTTAGGTGACCGTGGACCCTGGGTGCCTGATGCCATGGCCATGATGACTGTTTGGTACGCATTGGCCGACATGTGTCCATCCGTCCAGTCGACATGCCCGAAGCCGGCGTCGTGCAGTTCGCGCTCCCAATGCTCGGGCTCGGCGGTGGCATGCCTGAGGCCGGAATCGACCAGGCCGAAGACAAGAGAAGCCCAAGGGACATCCCGGGTCATCTGTAATGCCAAGAGGAAGCCGTCTGAGCGCAAAACCGGCCGCACGTTGGAGAACGATGTCACGTTAGAAGAGGCGTTGATCAGCACCAGATGTTGTCCATGTAGCGCTTGGTCCACGATATTCGTGACATCATGCACCGCAAAACGGATAAATGGGTACTGCTGCTCTAAACGCCGGCGGGCGCGACCGACCATGAGATGGGATGAGTCAGTGACGATATACTCGACCGGCCTGTCGAGAGCGGAAAATAGAGACGCCATCACGAGCGTCAATCCCCCGGTCCCAGCTCCTACTTCAAGCACCTTAAACGTCTCTCCTGCGTGGCTGGCAGGAAGGCGCTCAAGAACGCATTTCACGACCTCCTGGATCTGGTCATAACCAGCACGGAAGAAAGGGTACTCAGTATGTAAAGCCTCGAGCAGCGCCACCCCTTTGGCGTTGTCTAATATGATAGATGAGCCATCCAATTGGCTACTCAATATGGCTGTCAACTCCTGACCGGCATGATAGGCCAGCCGGGTGGCTGTTGCAAAGTTTGGATGCTGGGCCAGCAGATCTGGCACCATCGTGTGGCTCGTCTTAGATGGCACTGCCAACCAGGTGCGCGTTACTTGCCCTGTAGTAGAGTCAATATCTACCAGGCGTGCATCTCGCTCTAAGAAGCGGTTTAACCACTGTCCAAGTCGAGCGTGTTGCGGAGGAAATGACACTCGGTTTAGTCGCTGGCCCGGAGTGGCAGAGTGCAGAGGGCACCCAAGCTTGTCAAATGCCTCGACTATGAGTGCCGTACAGAGACGGTTGCTGCTGGCTAGAAAAGCCCGCTCGAATTGATCGACATGGTACTGGCCGAGTACTTTGTCAGTTGCTTGCTTGACTTGGTCAAATGAGATAAGAAGATCCGAAGCCGACAAGGCCAGCTTGCTAGGGGAGCTTGTTGGCACCACGATGGTCTCTGATGGCGGCGTCAAAAGAGGGCTTGAATCGGACCAACTATCAGACGAATCCACGTCATGCTCTCCTATAATTACCGCTGTCGAGTTTCCAGAGGAATCGTCCTCATCGCCAGACTGCTCCTCGTCATAATTTTCTCCGCTTGCACCGTTCGTCGCCTTCAGCACAGCATTCTCAACGCATGCTATAAACTTGCGAAGAGTGTTGGCGCTCATCTGTTCGGTCTGATCTAGCGTGCATCCAAATGCCCGTTCTACTTCACGACCGAGCTCCATGCCCATCAGAGAATCGATCCCGAACTCCGCGATATCGGCATCGAGGCCCATTTCATCAGTATCAAACCCCGTCACGGTGGCGACCAGCTTACAGACTGCCTCTGTCATATCCTTAGTCTGGACTTTAGATGATCTCTTTTCCCGTTTCGGGGGTTGGAGGTGCTCATTAGTCCTCTCAGGAGATCCCGACCCAAACATCGCATTCTCTACACAAACAACAAATTTGCGTAGCGTGGTAGCTTCCATCTGCTGGGCTGGATCCAGCGCGCACTTGAACATTCTCTCCACTACGTTCGAAGTTAGCCTTGTGGAACAACTGGAATAGATATATCCATGTATATATATATGCGATTTCACTTACCTTCACGACCAAATTCCATTCCCATGAGTGAATCAATGCCGTATTCGGCAATCTCGACATCCAGCTCTAGTTCGATGCTCTCGATCCCCGTCAGGCGGGCCACCAAGCTGCGCACTTCGTCTGTCATATCGCGTCGGACGGAGGCTGAGACCAGTTGCGCATTACCTCTCGGCGGAGACTTCGCTTGGATGGCATGGTTTGCTGTCGTAATACTGGCGTCGACGCTCCTAGCAGCGGCCTTAGGTTGATGCAAAGAGACATTTGGTGCAGATTTGATGCGCAAAACTGAATCATCCTTGGTCCTCATCTGCAGCATCCGGCTCATGGACGTTTTCGCCACGCGCCCCCACTGCACACCTAGCATGACTTCAGCCAGCTCTCCAGTCGTAGGATCGAAGATGAAAATGTCCGTCATGTAGGATCGCTCCCCTTGTCGTGCATGGCGGCCATACACGTGCCACGCGTCGATCCCCGCATGCGCGGCCCTTTGATGGGTCGGCGCCCGCATTAGCAGCTCAACTCCCTTAGCAATATAGATATCCTCGCTCAGCCTCGATGTCTCTGGACTCATCAGGTTGGTCCACATGCCGCCGATTTGCGCAAATGAGTCACTCAGTGGCACATCTAGCCAGGTGTTCGGCCGCCGGTGCTTCGCGTCCAGCTGCACCAGACCGGCGCACTCAAATCCGGAGCCCACGACATAGCGCACGCCGCGGTAAATATCTGAGTAATCAACTACCTGACCAAAGGCTCGGTAGACCTGACGGCCTTGAAGGATTTCTACCCCGTCCTCGTCAAGACCAGCGTGAAGCAGTTCCTGAGTCCGATTGTAACTGACCAGCCTCGCCAGCTGTGAAAACTCTTTGATATACTGTTGGTCTTCCTGTGAGCGCACTTGCACACACGCATCCGCATGCGTTTCCTCTCTGGCTGATTCATTCTCCACGCTGAAGAATCGAGCCTTCCATTCTTGAGTGGCATCAGCCGCCACCAGATCTAGATAGAAGGCTCGCGACGGATCGAAGCAGATTGGCGAGTGGTTGACCATATCACGCACCACAGGCTGCATGGCGCCGGCCTTCGCCCACTCTGGATGCAGACTGAGCACAGCCTCGATCATGATATCAAATTCGAGTGTGGCCGGGCAGATAGGCGCCGTGTGGGCCACCACGTGGGCCGACACCAGTTCCATGTATTGGTCAGACTCTGTATTGATGCGGAAACGGGCGTGATTCATGCTGCTGTCTTGATATCCGATAAATGTCCACAACGCTGATGGCTTCTGCTTGCCGCCTGCCTCTGCTGGAAGCAAACCGGTTTGGTCAAGGAGCATTTGGGCAGCCCTCTTATTGACCTCTTTCAACGGCGATTGGATAGGAAGCCAATGCCGCGAGGAGGGCGATTTGTCAAACTGATATGGTGGCAAGACCATCGTCGGGTAATCTGATGCCTGCAGCAAGTGGTGAGCCCAAAACTTTACCCGGAGACCCTGTTTCCAAAGCGCGACCGTGGCGTCGGCCAGGCCGTCAAGACCAGACTTGCAGTTGGTTACGGAAAGACTTTGGAAGTGTTGATCCGATTTTGTTGGCGCCAACGCTCGTGCGGCCATGGCCGTGATGGTGGAGTTCGAACCAGCCTCTAGGAAGATAACGTCCGGATGTTTCTTGGACAGGCGTTGCACGGCATGGTTGAAAAAGACAGGCTGGCGCATTTGCTGGGGAACGAAGGTCCAATCCAACTCTCCTTGGCTCGCCTCTGCCGTAGCGCGTTCGATGGGGATGACCGCTGGGTGGAATTTCAACTGCTTCCCAACCTCCCCCAAGCCGTCCACCAATTTGTCGACCAACTTGGAATGAAATGCGTTGGTCACGACGAGTCGTTTGCTCTTGACCTGGAAAGATTTGCCGTCTATCAGGAGTTGCACGGCGTCCAACGCTGCTGTAGTGCCAGCTAGCGTGAAGCTGCGCGGACCGTTATAACATGCAATGCTAACCGAGCCATCTGAATCAGAGGCACCATTGGCCGCTTGGACAAGATCGTGAACCCTCGATTCGTCGGCCTCAACCGCCATCATGGCACCGGATTCTGGTCCCCACAAATCACGCACCAGTGTGGCTCTCGCCGCAACAAGCCGCACCGCATCCTGCAGCGTTAATACACCCGCCACGCACAGAGCAGTAATTTCACCAAAAGAGTGGCCGACTACTGCGACAACTTTCGACTGGAGACCACAATCTTCCCAACTCTTGGCACAGGCATACTGCATGGCAAACAGCATAGTCTGTAAGTGGATGACATCTCGTACCTGTTCGCGCATGAAAATATCAGGGTAGATACTCGGAACCCCAAGAGATGTGACAACAGAGTCAACTTCATCCAGATGCTGGCGAAAGACGGGGATAGACTCATATAGATTACGGTCCAAGCCTATCGATTGGGAAATCTGGCCGCCAAAGCACAGGATCACCGGTCTCTCTAGCTTGATTGAAGTGATGCTAGTTGGGACAGCAGCATTTGACTCAGCTTCGACCCCCTGCCGCAGCTTTTCCTCAAGCTCATGAAGAGAACGACATGTGAAAATATAGCCATGCGGAAGGCCCCGGTTGGACTGTTGGCTCATGTTGAATGATATATCAGCAAGAGAATAGGGCGTTGTGGCCAACGAAGACAGATATGAAGCCAACTTGGTCCTGTAAGCAGCGATCGCGCGAGGATCCATGCCGGGAATCCAAAACGGGTACTGGCAGTTCTCGCTCGTGATTCTCGATCGACCACGCGAGGGCGCTTTGGCTTGCGCGACAATCATGGATGCATTGCTTCCGCAAGCACCATAGTTGTTGATAAGGGCCACCTTGTGCTTATCGTCCCATGACCGCAGCTTGGTGATTACCTCCATCATGTCATCCGGTCGCACGTCAATGTTATGATTCATTTTGGTAAAGCTGGCTTGGGGCGGAATGAATCCTTGGTGCATCATCATAATGACCTTAATGAGTGAAAGCACCCCGGAAGCACCTTCTGCGTGGCCTACAAATCCTTTGACAGACCCAATAGCCAACTTGTTGCGACGGCCAGACACGGGGCCTCCAAGAGCGGAGCGAATACTCTCATACTCTGCCGGATCGCCCACCGCCGTACCCTGTACTGAGTAATTAGCAGTGAAACAAGCTTTGTCAAAGAAACAATACGAGCTTGAAAACTTACCGTGCCATGAGCCTCCACCAATGATATGTCTTTTGCCGGTACCCCCGACTTACGTACCACGTCCGTGAGCAGACGGGAGAGAGAGGGTGCATTTGGTACAAATAAGGGCGTTGAGTTCTGATTCTGGTAAACGCCTGTACTGGGAATCGTTGCAAGCACAGGATTTCCGTCGCGCACTGCATCGGACAATTTCTTGAGAAAAACAAACCCGAATCCCTCAGCGCGACAGTAACCATCCGCATTGTCGTCGAACGGCTTGCACTGGCCAGTTGGGCTGAGAAAGTTCCCAGCCGCCATATCCTGGTGCCACAGCATACTAGTGATGATGCTGGAACCGCCGACCAGAGCTGCCGTACACTCGCCTGCCATGATGTTGAGACAGGCGGTATGGAGCGCCACCATAGAGGATGAGCACGCCGTATCTAATGTCATACTGGGGCCGGTCCAGCCGAAGAAGTGCGAAAGCCGCCCACTGATGAAGCTACGGAGTTGTCCAGTGGCAGTGAACGCGTTAGGCTCGTTGCTGAACGCGTTTTGATCGTAATCTACGGCCGCGAGTCCGTGGTAGACGCCGACATGCTTGTCTGGCTGGGACATTGCGAAGTAACCGGATTGCTCCACGGCTTGGTAGGCTGCCTCCAGAGCAATTCGGCCTTGTGGGTCTATGGCGGCCGACTCTCGCGGGCTGCGCTTGAAGAACCTGTGATCAAACGCGTCCGAGTCGCGCACGAAGCAGCCATACCAATTGCGTTGGCCCTCTGGGCCTTCTCGAAACAGTACATCCTGCGGAAGACGATCTCCGGTGATGATCTCGTGTTGACTCTCTCCCGTCTTGAGCATATCCGCAAACTCCAGCAGATCATCGGCCCCCGCCGTCTTCACAGACATTCCAATAACCGCAATAGAGTCTTTTTTGTCGTTGAGGTCCGGCGTGGAGGGTACCGGAAGTTGGAATTGACTGGGGATAAAAGAGGATGAAGGCTCTGGTACCCTAATTTCCGTGAGAGGCTTCACAGGAGGTGAAAGGCGTGCTGCATCATCCGGGACGTATATCTGGCGTTTTCCTACACGCCGCATCATACTCGGTGGGACACACTTTTGCAGACCCAGAGTCACCAACAGTGGCTGCTTATCCGCCATAACAGAGGAGAATGTTCCGAACCAGTTGCATTGGTGCACTAAAATTCCTTGCACTAGCATTTCGGTAACATTCGGCGCCTGCACCGCCTTCCCTTCGGCGCGGTTGTTGTACGTTGTCAGAGCCATTTTGTCCGCAGCCGCGTACTGTAGACCCTCCATGGCATTGCACATTTCCACGAGCATGTCGGCATAGATTTTCCATGCCGAATCCGGGCTATGAATGTGCGCCCGCATGCCCAGCTCCTGAACGATCGCCCCAGCCTCTGCCCGAAGCCGGTTCGATAAGAGCGGCGCGGTGTTCTCTGTTGTGATGACAGTGGCACGGGTGGCGTCGAACATCACCGCCAGGTACGAATCCGGGGATAAGGACTCAATGATGCGCCGTACCTCATCTTCTTGCTTGGGGCTGATCCAGGCTACAGCAAATGCCGTCGATCGGCCTTTGCCTCGGGCACTGTCCCACACGTTGCGGGCATCGGCGAGTGCGCCCAAGAGCATCGCCAACCGTACCGCCACCGAGCCATACTTTTCTAGCTCGTGTCGGTTATGTGCGCTGGCCACGGCGATAGCGCTTAGCATCCCCCCGCAAAACCCTAGGGACTCAAAGCGGTTCGTTTTTTCTGACTGTTGATGCAGCTGCTGTTGAGCAACAAGGTTGGCGTGAAGGTCTCCTCCGGCAGTGCTATCCTGGGTGAGCTCCAGGTACTGCCAATATTGCGTGAGCTGGATTAGGACCATTAAAGGAGTAATGATGATGTTTGGTAGTTCAGCCTCGGGCAACATGTTGGTCTGTTCATGTCGAAACCATGCATCCAAGTCGCTTAGCTGCTCGTGGCCCGGGATGGCAGCCCCAACTTCGGGAATCTTTTCTGAGAGGGTTTCCCAATAACCGGTTAACCCTGTGATCGCCTTGAGAATCCATTCTCGGTGAGGGCCTTGGGCGATGGGTCGAACATGTTTGTCCATCGCCTGCTTTGTAAAGGTGCCAATATGTGGGCCAAAGATGAATGTCGTCGCGAGCTCCCGCGACGCATCGACCGCGGGCCCTGCGCTATTGGTCTTTGTCCGTGACATAGTGTGTGTAAGATGGGCGGACGATGTCAAAATTTTGGACAAGGAAGAGTAAGAAGTATCAACAAAACAAATCGACAGAAAAAGAGGAGGAATCCGATGCACGACTACATAGGTCGTTTGTTTATCTCACTGGAATCCATTAGGATGCAATATTATAAGGCTGTAATTCAGTCCGACCAGAAGGAGTAAGGCTTAGGGCCTGGTTTGCTTCTGAGTGGCTGAGCGCCTCCCGTAATGCGGAGGGAGTAATACTCGGGCCCATGTCGACCGCGCACAAGGTCATTACGGGCCCGAGTATGATCCCGGGGCTTCGGGAGTAGAGTAATGATTGTACTGGATTCCTTATGGCACAGAGTAGAGCAGGATTACGATAACGAAACAGCATGTGAGCCAGAACAAGCCTCATTGGCTTATGATTCACGGTTCAAGAGTAGGACCGCGTTTTTATGGCTTGGAGGGCCGCCGTCGGATTTCTCTGCCTGGTGCATAATAAGCCTTTTTTCGGTCGACAATACTTATCTCAGAGATTCTAGATAATATCTAACGATACGAAAGACGACCTCGGGACGCATTCTAAGCCACCAAACAGAGGCCTGAGAAGATCTGCAGACTTGCGGATATTCACCCGTTCACGATCTAGGAATTCCAATTCGACGTCAGACTTATCTGGACGAATGAATGAACGCTGTGATTGATCTCATAGAAGTTTCCCGGATTGAAATTTATTTTGGCCTTCTCGTCACATCTATAGCCTGACAGGTCCGATCTACTATTTCCAGCTATCATCAATACCTCCAACCATCACAACATGGGCAGCACCAGCGTGGACGCTCAATGGGCCACTGAGCCCATTGCTATTATTGGCCTGAGTTGCCGGTTCGGGGGTGACGCCAGCAACCCTGAAAAACTATGGAGTATGCTAGCTGAGGGCCGAAGCGCATGGTCCGAGGTACCGTTGTCTCGGTACGGCCACAAGGGACAATATCATCCCGACAATGCAAAGCTAGCCACCGTGAGAGACGCTGCTTTCGTTTGAGGAATCGATCCTAAGTTGCTAACCAACGAACTCTAGACAAGCGTGAAGGGAGCTCACTTCATCGAAGAAGACGTGGGCCTCTTTGATGCCGCCTTTTTTGGCTTTCCGGCCGAAGTTGCTTCGGTAAGATAACCTCTTCAACAATACCAAGACATGCCGGTGTAATAGAACACTCACATACTTATGGTGACTCCCAACAGGCCATGGATCCTCAGTTTCGGCTCCAGCTCGAGTCGACTTACGAGGCGCTGGAGAACGCTGGCCTCACACTTGCTCATGTCGCCGGCTCTAACACATCAGTATACGCCAGCGTCTTTACGCACGACTACCATGATGGGATTCTACGGGATGGGGACAACCTACCGCGGTCTACTCTACTTGGTACGTTTTCGGCCATGGCATCTAACCGAATCTCGCACTTCTACGACCTTCGGGGTCCGAGCATGTCAATCGATACAGGCTGTTCCGGTGCTCTTGTATCACTGCACCAGGCCATCCTCGGTCTGCGCGCTCGTGAAGCCGATATGTCAATTGTTTGCGGAAGCAACCTGCTGCTAGCACCAGACTGTTTCAAGTTATTCTCTTCACTTGGCATGCTCTCGCCTGACGGCAAGTGTTACGCCTTTGATTCGCGCGCAAATGGCTATGGCCGTGGCGAGGGAGTCGGTGCTGTTATCATCAAGAGGCTAAGGTTAGTCCATATACGATTCGAAGAGATACAGAGAGTAGTGGGTGGTGGAGACTAATGAACATCAATCTCTGTAGCGATGCCCTGGCGGCTGGCGATCCGATCCGAGCCGTTATTCGCGAATCGGCTCTGAACCAGGATGGAAAGTCCGAAACCATCACGTCGCCATCAGAAGCGGCGCAAATTGAACTCATGCGGGAGACGTACCGCCGAGCCGGCCTTAATCCCAACGACACTCAATACTTTGAGGCCCACGGTACCGGTAAGCCAACTGGAGGCAATTCTGATGAAACTCTACTGACTTCAGCTTTTCTCTTCCCAGGCACACCAACGGGGGATGGCATTGAGGCGCGCTCTATCGCAACTATGTTTGGACGAGAAAATACAGGACGGACCCGGCCGCTGTATGTCGGCTCAGTCAAGACATCTCTCGGCCATACCGAGGCAGCATCGGGCATAGCGGCGCTGGTCAAGGTTGTCCTAGCCATGGAAAGGGGCCAGATCCCAGCCAACACTAATTTTGAGAAACCAAACCCCAAGCTGAAGCTAGATGAATGGGGCCTGAAAGTCGTCACGGAGATGGAGTCCTGGCCGGCCGCCGAGGGTGAGACGCGCCGTGCTTCCATCAATAACTTTGGCTACGGCGGAACAAATAGCCACGTCATCATGGAGGACGCCAGGCCCTTCCTCTCTCAAAGCTCCACTAGAACAAGGATAGAGAAGGATTCGGTTTTGAAGAGAGAGGTGCTCATTATGTATGGCCGCGACGAGCAAGCCTGTCAAGGCATGGTTTCTGCCGTTAAAGGGTACCTACAGGGCCGCACTTCCTCGACTGCTGACCCGGAACGCCTCATAAAAAATCTAGCCTGGACTTTCGGCATGCACCGGACGCGCTTTCCGTCGGGTTGGGTCTCGACACACACCGTGCAGTGGTCCGGCAATGAAAATGTGCTGGAGCAAGTCATCCATTGCCTGGACGAGCCTCAGTTCAAGCCAGTCCGCCTTCCAGGAGACAAGGTGCCGCGCATAGGAATGGTTTTCACTGGTCAAGGAGCCCAGTGGAATGCCATGGCGCGCGAACTGATCGATACATACCCCTTATTCCGGTCTACTATTCAGGAGGCGGAGGAACACCTCGTCAAGTTCGGCGCCAGTTGGTCCCTGATGGAGGAGCTGATGCGGGATACGGCCACGACTAGAGTCCACGACCCTGCGCTGAGCATTCCCATATGCGTTGCCGTACAGGTGGCCCTGGTTTCCTTGCTCTCGTCATGGGATATCAGACCCACGGCCGTCAGCAGCCACTCATCAGGTGAAATTGGGGCTGCATATACCGTCGGGGCCTTGGATCTGCGTCAAGCGATGGTGGTTGCGTATTACCGAGCAGCCATGGTGGGTGAAATGTCGCAGAGATCTCAGGGCCCCAAAGGTGGCATGGGTGTTGTTGGAGTTGGGGAGAGCGCCGCCCGGGACTATCTTGACCAGCTAACAAAGGCAAACGGCAAGGCAGTGGTTGCATGTGTCAACAGCCCCAGTAGTATCACAATTGCGGGCGATGAAACGGCCGTTCAAAAAGTCCTAGACCTGGCCACCCAGGATGACGTATTTGCACGCCGACTCAAAGTCGACACGGGCTACCATTCCCACCACATGATCCCCGTTGCTGAAGGCTACCGACAGGCCCTCCGTGCTGCTCTTAGCTCTGGAGACGGTGTAGAGGACAAAGAGCTAGATGTAATTTTCTCGTCACCTGTCACTGGGAGCCGCATTACGCGCACAAAACAGCTGGTCGATCCGGAGCACTGGGTCAACAGTCTGACACAGCCAGTGGAATTTGTCAATGCATTCACCGATATGGTGATTGGCGACATGAGCGAGCCGGCCAGCCACGGCCACAACGTGGACGTTGTTCTTGAAGTCGGACCTCACACTGCGCTAGGAGGTCCTATCAAGGAGATCCTTGCACTCCCCGAATTCGAAGGCCTTAGCCTGCCCTACATGGGCTGTCTCGTGCGCAACGAAAATGCACAGGACTGCATGCTCAAGATGGCCCTCAATCTCCTGCGTAGGGGCCAGCACATTAGCCTCTCTCAACTCGGCAGTGATACCTCACACGAGCCCCGTGTTTTGACCGATCTGCCTCCTTACCCGTGGAACCATAACGTTAGGAGCTGGGTGGAGTCACGCCACACCCAGTCCTATCGCGCGAGAGAGGAGGATTTCCACCACCTTCTCGGTTTCCCTGTGCCAGGCACGAATCCTGATGCAGCGTACTGGAGACAGCAAGTGCGAGTTTCCGACAGTCCGTGGCTGAGAGACCATGTCGTGCAGGGAAGCATTCTGTACCCCGGTGCGGGCTATGTTTGCTTGGCGATTGAGGCCATGAAGCAGCTTGCAGAGAAGAGTGACAAGGGCGCATCGCTGGCTGGTTTCAGCCTGCGCGATATCGAGATCCACCAGGCCCTTGTAGTACCTGACAGTGCGGACGGTATCGAGGTACAGACGGTGCTTCAGACTGTAAGTGACAAGGAGGTCGGCTCCCAAGGCTGGAAGAAGTGGGAGGTATGGTCTGTAACAGCAGACAGCCGCTGGGCACAACATGCTCGTGGACTCATCCAAGCCGATTTCAACGGTCTAGCGACAAAGACCGTCGGTAGCTTTCTGTCGGAGTTGGGATACGTCCGACGTATCGACCCTGATGACATGTGGGCCCATTTTCGTGCTCTGGGCCTTTCTCACGGTCCCTTATTCCAGAATATTTCAAGCATCCTGCATGATGCCAGCAACAAGGATACTAGACGTTGCGTGACAACCATCGACGTGCCGACCGAGAATTCCCCACTGGAGAAGCATCTAATCCATCCAGCGACATTGGACTCAATCGTTGTTTCGGCCATTGCAGCCCTCCCCAGTGCCGGTGCCTATGATCAGGGCCCTCGAGTACCACGGTTCATCCAAAACTTAAGAGTTTCATGTTCGATGCCTTCCGCGGCCGGCCACCAATTCATTTGCAACACCACGCTACCACAATTTGACGCACAGAAGCTCACGGCCGATATCACGCTCGTTAATGGCCATGAAGCTGTACTGGAGATGGAGGGCCTCGTGTGCCAGTCTTTAGGGCTCAGCGCCACCGCCCAAGCTTCGAAACCAGAGACCAAGGAACTATGCACCGAGATCAAGTGGGCACCAGACCTGACCAGCACCCTCTCGCTGGGGTCGTATGGTGCGTCACAGCTTCTGGAGAGGCTCGGCCCAGCAAATGAAATGCGGAAGTATGAGAAAGATGTGCTAATGCGCCTGAGGCGTATCTGCATTTACTTCTATCACGATGCGGTGCAAAGTCTGACTGAGCAAGACGTGGCTAACCTCGCGCCGCACCTGGTCAGGTACCATGATTGGATGAAGGAAGCCCTTGTACTTGCAGCCGCACAAATTCTAGGCCCCAACAGCGATACGTGGGCAAAAGACTCGCAGCAGATGCGCGAGAGAAACATCATCCTTGCCTCTTCACAGAGCGTCGAGGGGGAGCTGGTATGCCGGCTTGGTCCTATGCTTGTGTAAGCTTCCCTCAGAAAAAGAAGAAAAAAAAGGAGAAAATACCTCTTGAGAGCACGATTCTAACTTATAACAGGCCCATTCTCCAAGGCAAGTTCGATCCGCTCCAGCTCATGACAGAGGAGCTGCTGAACAGATACCAAACAAATGCCTTACGGTTGAGCCCGGTTCTTTCCAATCTCACCTCCCTGCTGTCCACCATCGTTCACAAGAACCCTCGCGCCCGTGTGCTTCAGATCGGCACAGATTCGGGAGCGGTCCTACGCCACGCGCTGAAGGTACTTGGTAGCGACGAAGAAGGCGGCCCATTCGTTGACAGTTGGCATTTTATCGACAAAGCATCGTCGACTTCCTTTGAGGCCACCAAGAAAGAGCTTTCAGCGCAGAGCGAGTATTTGGAGGTGAGCTTTAGCGAGCTAGATATTGAGCAGGACCCATCCGACCAAGGTGCCAAGCTGGGAAATTATGACCTTGTGGTTGCCATCGACACGTTGCACAAAACCAAGAATCTCAGGAATGCAATTACAAACGTACGCAAGCTGCTGAAACCCGGTGGCTCACTCTTGTTTGGAGAGACGACACAGAGTCAGATCGACCAGAAACTGGTCTTTGGACTCCTTCCCTCTTGGTGGACATCCGAAGATGCTGAACGTGGTTCGGGTCCTCATCTGTCCGCTCCCATGTGGCAGGACTTTCTCGTAGGTGGAGGCTTCACGGGCCTTGAGGCTGAGCTTCGCAGTTGGAGGTCAGATGAGGACATGCATACGATGAGCACCATGCTTTCATCGGTGCCTGCGACGTCCTTGGAGCTGCCCGAAAAGGATGTCGTCATCGTGGTAAGTAGCCAGGCGCCTCCACCGACGTCCTGGCTAGACGCTTTGCGCAAGTCCATAGCGCAGGTGCCGGGCAGGGAAATTTCTGTTTCAACAATCGAAGCTACCACAGCATCAACCTTCCTTGGGAAGGCTTGCATATTCTTAGGCGAGGTGGACCAGCCATTGCTGCACAATCTCGGCGACTCGGTCCTCCGAGGTATCAAGGACATGGTCACCAGTTGCTCGAACCTGGTTTGGGTCACACGTGGCGGTGCTATTGAGTGCGACAGACCCGAAATGGCTCTGGCCTCCGGTTTCTTGCGTGTCTTGCGAAACGAGTCTGTTGCTCACAGCCTCATCTTGCTGGACTTAGACCCCAGCCAACCCACGTGGTCTGAGTCAGCTTCCTCGGCCATTGTGCACATGCTAAAACATGGCTTGGCTTCCGAGGACGACGTCTCTTCCGCAGTACAAGAAAACGAATTCGCCCTGCGTGATGGTGTGCTCATGATCCCGCGCCTTGTTAAGGATCCAAAGCGAAACAGACTGGTCTCACCGGAAGGACCTGATTGGACGTCCCCTAGTTCTTTGCCGGAGGTACCTTTCCTTCAGGCAGATCGGCCGTTGCGTCTGGAAGTTGGCATTCCCGGCCAGCTGGATACGCTGGCATTCGACGTCGACCGCGAGGACGAGGACACCTCTGATGCCAACCTAGTTGAAATTGAGCCTCGAGCGTACGGGCTCAATTCCCGGGATGTCTCGGTAGCCATGGGTCAACTGCGCGACCGCGGGATGGGACTGGAATGCGCCGGCATTATCACGCGGTTAGGTCTGGAGGCTGCCGACCAGGGATTCGCAGTAGGTGATAAGGTTATGGCTCTACTGCCTGGCCACTTAGGCAGTCGTGCCCTTACGAGCTGGCAGCATATGGCGCATATGCCTGATGAAATGGGCTTTTCTGAAGCCGCATCGCTTCCATACATATTTAGCACCAGTTATATCGCCCTGATGGATATAGCAAGAGTCCGCCCAGGCCAGTCGGTCTTGATCCATGCGGCGGCAGGTGATGTTGGCCAAGCAGCAGTTATCCTCGCTCAGGACTATCTAGGTGCCGAGGTCTACGCTACCGTTGACTCCCCAGAGGAACGCGACTTGCTCACAGGTGAATACGGCATTGCGAATGAGCGCATCTTTTCCAGCAGGGATGTATCCTTTGCAAAGGGCATTCTCGCCGCCACAAGTGGACGTGGTGTTGATGTTGTACTCAATTCGCTGTCTGGGGCTTTACTGCAGGCCAGCTTCGATGTTGTGGCATCTTTTGGCACCTTTGTCGAACTAGGTAAACACGATGTGGAGAACAGCAGCCTTCTTAACATGGCCAGCTTCTCCCGGGTAGCAACCTTCGCGTCGCTCGACTTGATGGCAATTCTTCGAGAGCGAGGGGATGAGGTGCACCGTGTTCTTAACGAGGTGGTTCGCCTCACTGAGCAGTTTATTGTTCGGCCTATTCGCCCAGTCACGGTCTACCCTATAGGAGAGGTCGCACAAGCGTTCCACCATATTCAAGCGGGCAAACCCGTAGGCAAGGTCGTGCTGTCGATCGAGCCTGATGAACAGGTCCGGCTAGTGCCACGTGCCCCGATACCCAAGCTCCAACCAGACGCATCATACCTGCTCGTTGGTGGTTTGGGCGGTATCGGCCAATCTATTGCACACTGGATGGCTGCCCATGGCGCGCGGAATATCATCGTCCTTTCCCGCAGTGCCGGTCGTGCCGACAAGTCCGGGTCATTTGTGGCTGGCCTGCGCGAGGTTGGTTGCCACGTCGTAGCTATCTCCTGTGATGTCGCCGACAAAAATGACCTCGCGAGAGCTCTTAACATCTGCACGCACGACGAGAAACTGCCGCCGATCCGAGGAGTGGTGAATAGTGCAATGGCACTGCAAGATTCACTTTTCGAACAGATGACGCTAGAGAACTGGCAGGCCTCCCTTCGTCCCAAAGTGGCCGCGACGTGGAATTTACACGACCGGTTTTCGGATCCGGGCTCGCTTGATTTCTATATAATGCTCTCATCCCTCTCGGGCATCCTCGGCATTGCCAGCCAGGCCAACTACGCAGCAGGTTGTTCGTTCCAAGATGCGCTGGCACGCCGGCGACGATCCATGGGACTTCCAGCTGTGTCGCTCGATTTAGCTATTGTGAAGGATGTCGGATATGCATCCATATCCGAGGCCCGCGCTGTCTTGGACAGCTGGCGCCGAGCGGGCCACTCGATCATTCTGTCCGAAGCGGACGTTTTGCAAGCCTTTGCGGCGGCCGTTCTGTTTCCTCTCGACCAACCTCAAATCATTGTCGGTCTGAACACGGGCCCGGGGCCACAATGGGACTCCGTCATGGGCCACGATGGACGATTCCAGCCTCTGCGGTTTCGGCAGTCGACCGCCGCTCGAAGCCAGGCGCTTGAGACTGAGACGGACGGCGTGACAAAATCACTGTCTGTGCAACTGAAAGGGGCCAGCTCGCCTGACGAGGCAACGCAGTTGGTGGGTGAAGCAATTGCCAACAAGCTTGCGGAGGTCTTCATGATTCCAGCCAGCGACATTGACTTGACTAAGTCGCCTGTCCAGTATGGCGTCGACTCGCTGGTCGCAGTGGAGCTCAGGAACATGCTTACGCTTCAAGCGGCCGCTGAAATTTCCATCTTCAATGTTCTCCAGAGCGTGTCGTTGGCGGCACTGGCGGCGGATGTTGTAGCCAAGTCAAAACATGTGACTAAGGCGTTGTAATTACACCTCGCGAAATGCTGCTACTCAGAACTCACGATTATGACAGCAGATACCTGCCCGGCAAGTAGTCAAGGACTCAGGAGTCACGCCTCAGGACAGATGGCAATTTCAAAAATCTAGCTCACACCGCCCTACCTACGCCTATATTATGAATACATACATTTCCATTAACTATTCTAGTACTCCATACATATACTACATAGTATGTAGGTGTAGTACATATAGTTAATAATGCATATTTGATTCATACTCGTAACTATCAATATTTGATATTACCCAACTCCTAAATTATTAGAAAATACCTAGTTTCAGTACATTGATATATTATAAATTCGTAGGGAAACTGTCAAAGGGATATATAGATAAGCAAAAGGTCCGGTACAGAGCGGTGATGGCCAGATTCAGCTCTAGAGTCATAGGACTCTTAAAACGATCAGCCGTGTGGATAATATAGCTTAAGTACGGCTGAGTGGACGGGAAGCCCTGTTCTCCACGTAGTATGGTCGTATGTACCAAGACTTTCATTAGTATGTACATGTTTAGGTACGCCCGGAAATCTAGCTTTGTATTTAGCGATCTTGGATGTTGGAATTGATGTTGTTTGTGGGTGCTTTCCATTCTACTCCGTATGTGCTATCATTGATAGGCCTCTACAAAGCCCAAACCGCAGTGGGCTATGGGTTGGGCCGGGCTTCGAGGGCCCATTTTGCTATATAAATATCATCTTGGCATACATAAAGTAGCTGATTGATGACTGTATTTTACGTATGTTCCAACCTGTATACTCAGTAACATTTCATTATCATAGTAAGAAGTAGGAATTATCAACACTAATTCTAGTATTATAATACCGGATTTCATATAAAATTAATAATTCCCACGATGATCATAATAATGGTGGTAGTATTTTGCAATTGCCAAGCACTCAAAAAGTAATCTCAATACCCAAAAAAACCAGCAAAAAATGTATTAATTATGCAGTTGCGATGGATTGGTATGTTTGTATTGTTTGATGAATAATGGGGACCCAGTATAGGCCTAAATAGGCCCTATGGGCTCAAGGTATAAGCCCATAACACATCGATGGGCCCGAAGGATAGGCCCAAAGCCCAACCCATTAGTGGGCTGGGTTGGGTTGGGCTTTGGGCTTTGTGGGCTTTGCAGAGGCCTAGCTATCAATGTTATCGAACATTCTCCCGGCGTCAATACAAAAGCCTTCTTGCCGTAAAAACACCAGCTATAATATATCAGCGAAAAAGTGCCAAGATTAGTAGTTAATGAGAAGCATCCTAGAACATAGGGTAGTAATAGATATCTTGATGAGCAGGCTGGCGAATCGACCCCTCTTCGGCATATTGAGGCTTGTAAGCTTACCCGTACCCTCCATGAATACTAGTATGTCCATATGTAGTATATAACATTGAATGAATTGGACTGAAAGATACTGTTGGTAGTGGTGGTCGCGGCGAAACGGAGTGTATAAATTGTTCGGAAATTTCATGATCGGGACCGGTGATCTTTTTCTTTCTTTCTCATTCCAATTATTATAACCTGCCCCTGGACTGGCGAGTTACACACTAGGCACAAAAAGACCACTACATCTGAGCATTATGCTCAGATATTCCAGGCTCCGATATATATAGTGCGACATGATACCAATCCATTTAAGGCCCGGCGTAGAATTTCCGAATCAGTTGGAAGCGGCCCCAAACCTGCCAATATTTCGCCTTCTACGCTCTACGCGGCTCCGTAAGCAGGAATACTCCGTAAATTCCTACAGCAACAATCCGATGCACGTAGTATGCGGACCGGAGTGTACTCTTCTCAACACGAAACAACAGGAGCGCCTCCGGAGTAGAACAGCCAAGGTATAGCATGGTTGGAATCAATTTTGACATGCCATACCAAACCTGGCTATCGCCTTAAAAAGGGCATGGCATTGACCCGTTCGGCACACGAGTTACGGTAGGTACTGTGAGCATCTACGACATTTTCTAGCTGTCACGAAATTATTGGTGTCCGTGATTCAACAAGAAAGATGTCGAAATCTATTGAGCCAACCACTTACAAGAATGGCTTTAAGCAGCCATCCGAAGGCGAGCCTTGGCTATACCCACAGCCAGGAAAGGAAACGCCACCCAAGCCGCACTATGTTACACCACAGTCCGTTGACATTGCGACTGCGCCAGTCAATAATTCCCTTGGAGACAGCAAGCTGCGATCGTGGCCGACTATCTTCAATGGCACAAACAGTCCTGATGGAATCCCGGATTGGTGGAATCCGTCTTCGGATGTAGACGTTCTGATCATCGGTGGTAAGTAACATATGAAAGCACGTACCGGAGGGGTCAGCCCTGCTGCCAATTGGGATGAGAGGGGGAAAAAGGCAAGGCGCAAAAGGGCAAGCAACTAACACAAATATATGTATACTTCAGCTGGACCCACCGGTCTTGAAACTGCCTTGAGTCTGATTCGACAAAATGTGAGCTTTCGCATTCTTGACCAGGGAGAGATGCCTCTGCCGACGGGCCGGGCGGATGCAGTCTTGCCACGATACGTCGAGACACTCAACGCATGGGGCATCTCAACCGACGTTAGCGAGGAGGGTCCCATCATCGAGCGGACAGCTGTCTATCGAGACGGCAAGGTGCTCTTTCACGGACGAACTCATCAGTCAGACTCACGGTTCCGAGGCTTGCACGTTATCACGCAGGGTCAGCTGGAGCGTATCTTTGTGCGCGACTTGCTCCGCCATCAGATTCTAGTGGAGCGCTGCACCACATTGAAGGAATTCGAGATCTCCGAAGCGGAAAATCCAGAACGCCCCATCAAGGCGGTCATTCGTAATAACAAGACCGGACGGGAGGAGAGCATTCGCGCCAAATTCATGGTCGGCAGCGACGGCGCGTCTAGCATGATCCGCAAAAAACTCGAGATCCCCTTCAACGGCGTGAGTACCGATCTATACTGGGGTATCATGGATGGGAAATATGAGTCGGATTACCCCCATGCCTGGATATTTGGCTGTGTCCTCAGCACCGAGCATGGGTGCTGTATCATCATTCCTCGCGAAGATGGGCACATTCGACTGTATACACAGCTCAACATGTCTCTGATCGAGCGCGCTCGCCAGGCAAGGCAAGAACGAGACCCGGGCTTCCAGGAAGCTGGTGGACGAGTTGATGTCCACTCCATTACCCCAGAGGAAGTCTTGGAGCAATCGAACCGGATCTTTGCCCCTTACACGGTGAAGTTCGCCTCGCCATTGACCTGGTACGCTATCTGGAAGGTTAGCGAACGAGTTGCCGAATCTTTCTCCTCCGAAGACCTGAGAGTGCACTTGGCAGGCGACGCTGCGTAAGTCGAATCTAAAAGCAACCCCCAACTGGCAACCAAACCACTTCTTGGCAGAGGCTAACCGGGATATAGACATGTTCACAGCGTTTTCGGTGCCTTCGGCCTCAATGCATCAATTCTGGACGCTGCCAATTTAGGTTGGAAGCTGGGATATTGCGCTCGTGGTCTGTCTCCAATTGAAACTTTGATGCCAACATATGATATGGAGCGTAGGCTGCATGCCTCGAATGTGGTGTATCTCTCGGGCAAGTATCTTCGATACTGCTGCAATTCCGACATCCCAGTGCCGCACACCCATGAAATGGGTAAGGATCTCGGTGCCAAAGCAATCAAACACGCCGTTCGAGGTGAGCCGTATGGGTTCGCCAAGCCCGGAGAAACCCTTCCAGAGCATCTCTACCTCGCCGACTACTTTCACAAGTACGGCGCATTCATGCTGGGTCTTGATGTTGCATACGGCAAGTCAATGCTATTCCCCGCGCAAGATGAAGATTCCGCGCCGGTGGTTGTCGACAATGGCGTTCGCGCACCCAATCCACGAGTCAGTCTCAGCTCGGGAACTACTGGGTATCTCTTTGATGTGATGAAAGGTGCGGGCTATTTCCATCTTGTGGTCTTTGCTTCGTCAATCGAGGGACAGGCGAAGTACAACGTTCAGAAATTTTCTGAATCTTTGCGTGATCCGACGGGCTTCTATTTGCGTTATGGAGCCCGGGAGGTGTTCAACGTCGTCTTGGTGGCGAAGCGACTGCCTTTTGAGATCGATGGCATCTTGGCAGAGCCAGAGCTTCAGGGGCTTAGAGAGGCGGCAACCATTGTGTTTGACGATCAGGCGCCGGATGAGGACGGCCATACAATGTGGGGGGTTGATCACGGTACCGCTGCGGTGATTGTTGTCCGTCCCGATCTGTGGGTTGGACGAAGCGTAAGACCCGACCAGGTCGATGAGCTGGATAAGTATTTCTCTGGGTTCATGATCCCACAGGTAACAAAACAAGTCAATGGAGATGGGCCCAATGGAAAATCTCAGACATCCTAGTTACATTCTGATCGACCGAGATCAGGAAATATTAGACTGTCGCCGAACCCAGTAAAACCCGGGTCCGGGGGCCCAATCCAGGGTTTTTTATACAAATAAGTAGAAACAGTCTAAAATACGAGGTCGTATATCTTATACAAATACTGGCTGTTATATGCACTGGTGTCTATAGACTGCCGTACCCAGAGTCATGATTGTTGCACGTCTGAGATAAAATCCCTTGTGCTATCTGTTCGTGGCAACCATGTTAGATATACGGATGAGGTACATATGAGATCATCGTGACTCCATACAGTGCAATCCTCATTCAAACGAATATATGTAGCGAGATGCCATGTTAACGATATCTAGCATCCAGTACACTTCTTCTATCTTTGCCAGAAACACTGAACATCATGGGCGGTAACAAAGTTACAGATAAACACGGTAATATTATTAAACCTGGCAACTATGTTAGCACCAAAATCCGCGGCGGGACGCATGAAGGACATGTAGGTAAACCATGGCCGGAAAATTTTGTTGGGATTACAGAGTGCGCTAATTGCTCATATGTTTAGGTGGAAGAGATAATCACGGACAAGGAACGAGCGGAAGAGGTTGATGTGAAAAATCCGCCAAAAGTGAGTAGAATAATATGATCCGGGAATGTGATTAGATGCATCATGCTAAGGGCGTCTTGTCTTCGAACAGGTACGCTTCGAGAACAAGGATGGTAAAATGGTGGCACACAACCCAGGCACCTTGGAAATAAATGACGCGCAATAAATGAAAGCAGTCAGTATATTCTTATTTAGGTGATTGTGATGGGCCTTGTATTTGATGTCGAGTACTACGGGCCTACTGTATGGCGCAAATCCCAACTCTTTCAATTATTTTGTCGTGCGTAGCTGATTAAATAGGATAGCACGGAAATAATAAATGATCGCCATTGGACTGATTATTGTAATGCAATTCTACTCTATTTTACCCATAATATTGTACATGAGAATATCATATCAATATCAAGCGACTTGAAGACATTGCATGGACTGCTCAACGATCTCATAAGTCGATGCACTTAGCCACTAGATAGCGGGAAAGGCTAAGGACTAACTAGTACATTTCGTAGACCTTTCGCATTAGGTCGATGATCAGAACAATGTTTGTTCAGTAGCTACTTAGGTAGGCTCTACTCCGTACCGGAGAGCGAAATCAATGCTTTTAGGATCCTTACTCTGTTAATTCCCGGCGCGGATCGCCGAAATCTGGATAATATGTGTCGGGGGAAGGACCCTTCACGGATTTTGACGCTTCAAACGGACACAAATATAAGGGGTAGGCAATGCCATTTTGACTAATTGGCTTCTACTGCTATATACGTTTATAGGGAAGAGATCGATTCAAGTCAAGGATGCCATGATCAAAAGCATCGTAATTTAGGACAAGGTCTTAAAGTCTAAGCGAAGACCTGTCTCATTAATAGGTATGTAGGATATTAAGTTATGTCATCGTGAGGTTTATTTGCCCCTATATGTACGATCTTATAATCTGTCCATCTGTTAAAACAGCAGATCCAGTGACTACCTAGAGACACATTCCAGCATCACAGATACGGAATAAATTGTGCGAACTTCTAGGTTTGTATCGGAAGTAGTGTTCCAAATACGCATGTAGCACGTACGTAGCCTCTGAACATATATTCGTATTTCGATCTCATTTCTCCTACAAAAACTCAACAACTTCAATATTGGTTGATATATGCTTTTTTAGTCCCAATGGTTCACTGGGCAAAAGTAATACATCGATGGAAAACAAAGAAAATGCATTGGCTGTATGGCGGAGTGCCCATTGGTTGAAATTTGTCCCATTAAGTTTATCACATGATCAGCTTCGCCCTAGGTCGATTTAGATGAGATATTTACATGAGGACTACAGAACATAAGGGAAGCTAGGAAGCTCAGTTTAGTAAATTGCATAAGAATTGAGTGGAGCGTATGCTCAGCGTGCTGTGACGGCGAAGGCGCATACAATAGAAAACGCATTGCCAATAATAAAGCTGGCGGTGAAGTGCATTTTTCATCGGGGATTAGCAATTTCCCCAATAATTTCGGAAGTACTCCATGCTCCGTACTAGTTGGAAAGGTAAAATTTGGCGTTGAAAGAAACCTAGAAGAATGTGTAGTTGAATGAAAGATGTCCTCGGGTGGCTGAAAGAGACCCTTGGGGAAATAGGATCCACAGGCCAATTGAGGGCATAGGGGTATATCCAAAATATGACCTGTCAAATTTATACCCCTGTACTCGGTAGAATGCAAAATATCTCATTTTTAGGATAAAGTAATGCTCATTCTATGAACCGAGTCTGAACGTAAGACTGAGAAACGGCAACACGTGGAGCGGGAGCTGGGAAAGAATCACATCGTGGATTTGAATTCGGCCTGAGATAAGGCTCGGTCTGTGAAACAGTAACAACACTATTGGGAAAGCGCAGATGGTGTAACACGACATATAGAATTATGCCTTGGAAAGGCCTCAATTTTATTAACAATCAACATTATCGGCTTTGGTGGTAGAAGGAGCTAGATCCCTGCAAAGTAGCACGCCTCAATTACGATGTGGAATCTGATCATACTAGATTGAGATTAAGTAAATCATTGGCGAGGTTTAAGTCCCACTACTGTCACCGCTGCGGTTCATTGCATCTAGAAGGATTTCGGCTATTAGGACAATGATCGATTGAACTATTCCGTATTCCATACGGAGTATTCTAGCCTGGTTCTTGATAGCAAGATTCCAGACAAAGAATTCAAAGAGTACGGAGCAATCGACCTCGGGAAGTCTGATGATTGAGTGCGTTTGCTGTCAGTATGAGAAGCAAGGTCGGTGAGGATTGATTACCTCAAACCATCTCCTACATGCCCAGGTGGATAGTTCTAATGATGGGAAATAAATCTTACCGTAACTGCATCCGATCTCATTATTTTTTTAAATTGAGAGCCATATTGAACTTGACATAGCATAGCCTGTCAGATCCTCAGTTTATGCCCTTAGATGGTGAGTCAGATTCATGCTGTCAAGTGGCCCAGGTGTGGCATGTAATTTTCTCTCTAGAATAGACTGAATGATATATATTTATATTCTTATATTCTGCTGTATATAAATTTTCTGTACAACCAAATATACCCCATTCAGAAGTGAAAGAAGTTGGAGGAGCCAGTCAGATAATCTCAGTAAGACTAAATTGAGCTTCCTATCCAATTGGCCTGACCTGAGAGGTGACTATTTCCATACGGAGTACCTAAGGCAGGAAATTCCACAGTGTACTTAACGCACCTCCTCCCCACTGGTACCACGCTCTGACTTCTATTGCATGGTCTGAATAGGCAAACCTCACATTCATCCTGTTTCTCTTTTATGGCTCTTTCTGATCTGATTGTCAACCACTACACCCAACCATCTACCAATCCAACTTCTACTTTTCATCCCTTTATCTTAAGGATAAGAACATCATGCGTCGCTCTCTGCGCCGTTTTCTTTGCTTTTCCTCCAAATCATGGGACCCCGCTGGTTCCACAACACATAACACGGAAAATGTGGAAGATTCCATTCGCCTGAGATCTACTGGCAGAGCACCTGCTCAGTCACGGGTTGCTGGTCCCTCCCTGGAGGGGCTTGGAAGCGTACAGCCTCGGACTCACTCAGTTGCTCCCTCGAGATGCGATAGCAGCACACAAACCGAGTCGACAATTGCCTCAGAGAGTGTAACCAGAGCAACAACAGTATCAACCGTCATTGTCAACACTTCCACGGGCCCGGAGACTCTTGCCAAGCTCACTTCAACCTCGATATTGAACACGACCACACCGTACACTCCCATAATGCAGCCAGATGGCAGTCTGCGGGCCCCCCAGCTTACATTTGATGGCTATGACTCTTATGGGGGCCGGTTTGCTCCTGAATCAATAATGGGATTTCTTTACGAGCTTACATCATTCTTCGAAGCCACCGTCTCAGACTCTTCATTCTGGGAGGAATATGTCACGTTCCAGCGTGCCCGAGTCACACCACTGCACATGGCTGGAAAGTTAACCAGTCTGGCAGGAGGGGCCACTATCTGGCTGAAGCGCGAGGACAAAAATGAATATGGCAGCCACAAGACCCGCAACATCATCGGCCAGCTCCTGCTAGCTCGCCGTATGGGCCGCTCGGAGATCGTCACAGAATGCGCCTCAGCCAAACATGGCAAGTTCACCGCTGCAATGTGTGCACGTCTGGGATTGCGCTGTGTGGTCGCCATGGGTGCAGATGACGCTAGTGCCCAGGAAGAGGACGTGCTCGAGATGAAGTCACTCGGCGCTAAGGTTTTGATGGCTCGCGCCCCCTCTGGCATGGGTAGTCTCCGCTCTGCCATCACAGAAGCTCTGCGATATGCGGTCTGCAATCACGAATCTGCCTACTACCTCATGGGTAGCCCAGTGGGGCCCAGTCCACTTCCGACCCTAGCTCGCACGTTCCAAGCCCTTCTAGGCGAGGAGGTTGCAGCCCAAATGCACGAGGCAGTAGGTCGCCAGCCGGATGCCCTCGTCACCGCCGTTGGTAGCGGTAGCGGTGCAATTGGTCTCTTCAGACCGTTCCTTCATGACCCAGCTATTCGTCTGGTTGGCGTGGAAGCCGCGAAGGCAGCTGCCCTGACAGATGGTGGACTCGGAGTCCTTCAGGGTGCCCGGACTCTCCTGCTTCAAAACGACGATGGCCAGATCCTTGACTCGCATTCTATTTCACCCGACATGAACTTGTCTACCGTGAGCCCTGAGGTTGCCCATTGGAAGGACTCTGACCGAATTGAAATTTCCACGGCTACCGACGCAGTTGCCCTGGATGGATTTAGAACACTTCAGCACCACGAGGGGGTCTTGGCTGGTCTTGACTCGAGTCACGCAGTAGCCAAGACACTCGATCTCGCTAGAGAACTCGGTCCGGGTAAGAATGTGGTTTTGATGGTGACCGGATGCGATACTATTAGCGTTTCTGAGTTGGATGGCTGAGTTGCTTGAGGGGCACAAAAATGAGTTATGATGACGACTTTCTTCTTTTCGTTGGGAATATCCCATATCGCTTTCATTTTCGGAGTTACATTCTTTGCTTTCATTTGCCAATATCCTAGGCGTCTTATTGTACCATACTTTTAGTTACTTGCGAGTCAATGATATGCCCCAAAGCTATTGTACTTGAGATACTTCCAAGGTTGCCTTTTTTCCCCGTAGAGAGGCTCTTCTATGTTGAGTGGCTTCTTATTTACAAGCCGGTGCTTGATGCCATGTATGTTTTCCTTCCCTGCAAGGATTTCTTCATTCAAGGTTGTGGTCATCTTTGCTTTTTCCATGAAAATAGACTTTCTTCACCCCTATGTTGTAGTGCATTACCTCCAAATGAGACAGAACAAGTTGGCGAGTTGGCAAGTCAAAATTCAGTATATTCCAAGATTCTTTTTTACTTTTTGTCATCAGTCATATCGGTATATTGTATACAGTAAAGCCCCATAGAGAAATCAAACGACGTCATAATTTCAATCCTCATGTGTGACCGACATATCCAGAACCTCAACCCGACCTCTTCCGCGGGTCTCATTGCTCACCAGATCATTCAATCCCTTGAACGCACCGGGCTCAGCAAACCCAACAATCTCCCATTCATCCCCACCAACAACTTCTTGCGATTCAATCGATTCAATGAAGGCCATGATTTTGTCCTTGACGGTGCTTGGGGCTTTGGGCGTAGCTTCCCCATCAGACTGACCAGCCTCGATGTCTGAATCGTCCCTCTTTGAAGACTTCTTCGATCCCTTATTCCCCTTCTTGTTGTTCTTCGAGCCGCCGGAGGGGGCTTCCTTCTCCTTATTCGACGCAGCACCTGGAGCAGCCTTGACAGACTGTTTCAGCAGGGATACCGGGCATGTCACACGAAGACGCATGCGAGCTCGCATAACGGGGATGGGCTGCCAGGCGATGAGAGCCTTCATGGCATCCAACGCTTGACTCTTCGCCGAGCGGGTCGCCGAAAATCCCGTCCAGAGCGGCTTCTTCGGCTGAGAGGGTTTCTCCTCGCCATCTCCATTGGCCTCCGCGCTCGCTTGTGTCTGTTGTTGTCCGCTGGCCGAGGTCAGTTGATCCAACGCCTTGTGGATCATTCCGGTAGTGTACACGCGCTTGGTTGAGGGGTCGACTAGTCGACCTGACACGATATCCAGTACTTCCTTCTCCACTCGCTCGAGGATGTCTTTGCGCTCACGCTCGCCAACTTGCACTTCGCCTTTACGGAGGATCTCTTGTAGGATTTCCTCGCGAGAGGTACCGGCTCCGAAGGCTTTCACTAGCTCTGCTGATGGGGCGGTTTGTGCTTTGGAGACTGAGAGGAACACGGTTGGGACTTGGAGGACATTGTCGAGATCTTTTTCCGCGCCGGAACGGTATTCGAGCAGTTTGTTCTTGTAACAGGCGAGTTCAAAGCGCTTCTTGCCTGGATTGAGGTGAAAGGTTAGAGAAATCAAAGCGACACAGATAAGACAGAAGTGTACCCTTTTTTAGTCGGACTACCGACACGTTGGTGAATTTGATCTGGTTGGAGGGTTGGTTGATAGGCATTTTGGTTGTGAAGCCACTGAGGGCTGGTTGCGTCAATATTTGAGAAAATGCAGACACTAGAAAATGCGGTGATATTCAAGATATGTTTTTGAATACTATTTCCAAATGGATGACACGGTCAAGAGTGAAGAATATGTAGACTGAGTACAAAGTATTAAAAGTTGATTTGCGTCAGGAAATATACCCAAACAGGCTTAGTAGCAAAGCTCGTGCCCCTCCAGCCTGAAGGTAACCTTGGAATCCCGTGACTCATGCTGAATCATCCCATCATGGGGTCGGGCCCCCTCTTAGAGCCACTTGATTGGTCCAGCCAGCTCATCTTATCAACCCCGTCCCCAGCGTCATTGGCCTTGGACGGGACCTGCTTCTTCCTCATCTCACAAGACCAGGACATCATCGTCTTGCTTCTTCAAACTCATCAGCTTCATTTCAATCATCAGTATCTTGTGATATCTTCAAATTGTAGGTGATTGTCTTCCTTTGATTCATTTTTGAGAGCCATTCCGCAAACGGTTACTGATAAGAGGTGCCTGACTCCAGACCCCAAGGTACCCGCTCCCCATCAATAACTCATCATTACCATCATTTTTGCTGTGAAATCCAAACATATTTTGCAATGAGAGTCCTGTCTACCGCTCTCTTGGCGGGAGTCGCTTCTGCTGCTGTCCCGTCTTTCCAGCAGGTCCTCGGAGCTCCCAGTGAGAATGTGGAGAACGTAGCCCAGCAGGGTGCGGATGCATTCAAGCCCCTGCAAAACCTAAAAAAGCAGTTCAAGTCTCTCTCTGGTGAGGCTCGTCAGCTCTGGGAGGAAGTCTCTAACCACTTCCCGGAATCCATGGAGAGCGCTCCTTTGCTTTCCCTACCCAAGAAACACACCCGCCGTCCTGATTCACACTGGGATTATCACGTCAGTGGTGCTGATGTTCAAGACATCTGGGTAACTGGTGCTGAGGGCACCAAGGAGCGTGAGGTTGACGGCAGACTGGAGGCCTACAACCTCCGTGCTAAGAAGGTTGACCCCAGCGCTCTCGGCATCGATCCCGGTGTGAAGCAGTACAGTGGTTACTTGGATGACAACGAGAACGATAAGCATCTATTTTACTGTGAGTTCGGAAAACATCCGTTTATTACCTCAAGTTTATCTAACCTCCGAAAGGGTTCTTCGAGTCTCGCAATGACCCCAAGAACGACCCCGTTATCCTGTGGTTGAACGGCGGTCCCGGCTGCTCGTCCCTCACCGGACTTTTCCTGGAGCTTGGACCCAGCTCCATCGGTGCTAACATCAAGCCTATTTACAATGATTTCTCATGGAACAACAATGCCTCTGTGATCTTCCTGGACCAGCCCATCAATGTCGGCTACTCCTACAGTGGCTCCTCTGTCAGCGACACTGTTGCTGCTGCCAAGGACGTTTACGCTCTTCTCACACTGTTCTTCAAGCAATTCCCTCAGTATGGTACACAGGACTTCCACATTGCTGGCGAGTCCTATGCTGGCCACTACATCCCTGTCATGGCTTCGGAGATTCTCTCCCACAAGAAGCGCAACATTAACCTCAAGTCTGTTCTCATTGGTAACGGTCTTACCGATGGTCTTACTCAGTACGAGTACTACCGCCCCATGGCCTGTGGCGAGGGTGGCTACCCCGCTGTTCTAGATGAGAGCACCTGCCAGTCCATGGACAACTCCCTTTCTCGCTGCCAGAGCATGATCCAGTCTTGCTACAACAGCGAGAGCCCTTGGGTTTGCGTCCCGGCCTCGATCTACTGCAACAACGCCATGCTTGGCCCCTACCAGCGCACCGGCCAGAATGTTTACGATGTTCGTGGCAAGTGTGAGGACACTAGCAACCTGTGCTACAAGGGCATGGGCTACGTCAGCGAGTACCTCAGCCAGGAGAGCGTCCGCGAGGCTGTCGGTGCCGAGGTTGATGGCTACGATTCATGCAACTTCGACATCAACCGTAACTTCCTCTTCAATGGTGACTGGTTCAAGCCTTACCACCGCCTCGTGCCCGGTCTCCTTGAGCAGATCCCCGTCCTGATCTACGCCGGCGATGCTGACTTCATCTGCAACTGGCTTGGCAACAAGGCCTGGTCCGAGGCTCTTGAGTGGCCTGGCCAGAAGGAGTTCGCTTCCCTCGAGCTTGAGGACCTCAAGATTGTACAGAACGAGCACGTTGGCAAGAAGATCGGTCAGATCAAATCCCACGGCAACTTCACCTTTATGCGTATCTTCGGCGCTGGCCACATGGTTCCTATGGACCAGCCTGAGTCTAGCCTGGAGTTCTTCAACCGCTGGCTCGGTGGCGAGTGGTTCTAAACACTCGACCAAGTTACTCTATGATACAATGCGTTGATGAATTTATCATTACACTGCGTGTTATTGATCTTGTGACTGGCTATTTGCACACAATTTGACACCAAGTCCTATGAGGAATTGAGAATGGCCGTATTTTCGGCCATCTGTTTTCCTGCTGATTTCCGGTGGTTTGGCTTCTGTTTATATACGTCTACGCAGCTTTGAATTTAACCAATCTTGGATAGACTTGAACATTGAGTAATGAACAATCATAAAGCGTTAAGTATATGTAACCGGCCCTTGAATTTTTACAAAAATTACAGACACTCGCAAGCGAGGGTCCGCCACCTATATATGCAACATACCACCCATATAACACTGTACCTTTTACTAGGCACACCATACAAAAGGTACATGTGTAAATTCTTCTTTTTCCAACAATATTACATTGGGACCTTTCATTTTAAGTATAGCACTAATATTCTAGTGCTATCCTAGTACTGTTTTAAAATTTTAGGGCCAAGTTTCAAGGACGCCTTCTAGGTTATATATCTTATGTTAGGTGTATAGTAGGTTAAAATTTCAAATCGTGATACTAGAAGAAGGCTCCCTAAACCTTTTCTAGAAACTTGAATTTCGGATTGAGATAGATAGGGCTATGATATATGTGAGATTATAATAAGATTTCAAAGAAAATTCTAGTACTAAATTTCTATTTTCTATATTTCTGACATCGTCGACTTCGACGACGATTAGGAACCGCGAATTCGCACGTAATTCTTATGATATCGCACGTTTTGACTCGGATGTTTAGTTTATACCTTATTAATATAAGCTTATATGTATTTTAAATTGATTTTAGGCATAGTGGGTGGAGTGGTTGATAGTTAAAGAGAAAGTTGTGAATTGTCAAAAAGTGTCATATGGGTGGCGGACCCTCGCTTGCGAGGGTCTGTAATTTTTTTTAAAAAAAGTAAGAGGCGGTTAGGTGTAAGTTGAAGCTAGAGGTACATACATTAGATGTAGGCAGTGTAGATATCCATGGTATATGTGAGTGGGGTTGTTTGTGATAGGCGTAGATAGTCACAGATGGAGGGATATCGATTAAGAGTACCCCATAGTTGTTGATTGATGGCAAGCATGGGCCTTGTTCCACACCAATGGTCTAGGACATCTACCCCACAGCAAGATATTCTACCCTACGAGGGCCGAGGATATAGACCGGATCAAGGAGTTGGCTTGATGCACAACGGATGATCCCATAAAATCCAAGGCTGATAGCAAAGTACACGTATCGAAGAGATCGGGTCATTTCATTGATATGGTTCATTTTCAATTTTTTGAACTGGATCATGCCCAGCCCAGCGGGGAAAAGATCCCACGAGTGCTGCCCATAGAAACACACCGGAAATAACGGAATCCCTCCAAGAACCCCCGGCAAAAAAAAACGAACAGAATAATTTAGCCCTTCTTCTTGCTGACACCGACGGTGCGACCGCGGCGGCCAGTGGTCTTGGTGTGTTGACCACGGACACGGAGGCCCCAGTAGTGACGCAGACCACGGTGAGAGCGGATCTTCTTGAGGCGCTCAAGATCCTCACGGAGCTTGGAGTCAAGACCGTTGGAAACAACCTGGGTGTCCTTGCCGTCGGTGATGTCGCGCTGTCTGTTGAGGAACCACGAGGGAATCTTGTACTGAGTGGGGGTCTGAAGGATGGTCACGATGCGCTCGAGCTCTTCGGTGGTGAGCTCACCAGCACTATATAAAAAGTGTCTTGTCAGCTTTGCTGGTCTGGAAAATTTGTGCGATTGTTGTGCGATATTCCGCCCCTGTTCCTATTCCGCGTGTCGATTCAGGTCGAAAACAGCTCAATTCTCTCTCTTCAAGGGGTTCCTCCAATAACAGATGCATGGGAATGATTGATATTCGATGGGGGTTGTGGCGAAACGTACCGCTTGGTGAGGTCGACATCGGCCTTCTTGCAGACCAGGTTGGAGTAACGGCGACCGACACCCTTGATCTGGGTCAGCGCGTACATGATCTTCTGCTTGCCGTCAACATTGGTGTTGAGCAGACGCAAGATGAACTGGAAGTTCGTCTTCTCGCCGGTCACGAGCGCTGTTATCGAGAAATCCACATGTTAGCCAACATTCAATTTCGAGAACCGCCGTCTCTGCCACCGGTTCCTGCTCTTCTTCTTTTGGCAAATTCGTGGTTGTATATCATATAATTCTCTCAGACTGAAAGGAGGGGTCGTCACGTACACATGATGGGCGATGGGCGAGGATCGCGATGGGTTGTCGACAGAGGGATGGAGAGAGGAAGTCCAACTGAGTGACTTTGCTTGTGGGATCGGGTAATTGGGGCGCTAACCTTATTTGGAAGAGGGCTCGCTTGTGAGAGGCTAGGCCCGAAACGGCTAGTACATATAGCAGATCATGTGAAATCACATGACTGTTTATTTCAGTGTAAGATTCTTGTAATTTGCTCTGTTATTTACGAATATCTTACCTATCTTAGCTGAAGCCCTGACAGAGCGGCTTTGTTTTCCTCGACATGAAACTGTGAAGAACCCAGTCATCAGCCACTATAGTTTCTCTTTGTGCTTCGAGTAATCTTTCATCAGGTCCACATAGTGGGTTTTCCTGGTACTGTCAACCCTTTGATACATGCGCTTTTGCTCTTTCTCTTTCTTCAATCTTTGATTGAGTTGATTGAGTGATTCGATCAGTCTCTATTGGCATCCACTGGTCCATACACTCTTGGCTCATATGTTTTTCAGGCCGGACGATGCCAAACGTGCCCAATTGACTTCTTTTCATGGAAACCTCAGAGATTTCTGCTTCAATACCAATCACCTTCGCACTTTAATGGTACTTTCTCGGCTCGTGTTAGGTTTACTCACGGTCAAGCAAGATGGCAAGATGGCAACATGGCCACAACATCATTTGCCTGCAATGGATCCGGAACCTTGGTCTATGTGTACAGCCTTCCAATCTATTCAACGATCTTGAATAAAATTCAAGTTCTTTGTTTTGTAAAAAGAATCCCAAAACTCCACTGTTGTTAATATTAGAAGCTTTCTATTTTTATTCTGTTCTTTGATATCCTCTGGATTTGGCCTCGACTAAGAGACTATGAGCTAATGTGACAAATATAGAATTCCCCCACGCTCATGCTGCCCTGGCTCTAAACCTTTCCTGGAATGCAAATGCTTTGCTCATCAAGAAACAAGATGTTCCCATGGGTATTGGATTCGGGGCGCCCGGTGTGTCCTTTCATCTCGTGCTTACCATCTACATTATGACACTCTATTTCTTTCTGTTGGTAAATAGGGCATTCAAGCTGGCATTTCCGACAATGGATGCTCCTCGTTATCCATTAAAGCGCTTGGTTCGCACTGTTTCGGCCTTTGGTCGATAGTTTCCAATCTCCTCGGACCAATATAGGACACCCAAGTATTAGGAAATTGCCCTTGATTGAGCCTATCGTGGTAGATTTTGAGACCTCGATCTCTTCACTGCCAGTTTATCAAGATGAGTAATAATGGTTTCTCTCCGCTGGAGATCCCTCCGCTTTCCGATTTCCCAGACAAGCCAGAGGAACTCGAACATCCATCTCCGCCCTTACCCCTTTACGATTTTACTGTTCTTCCTGATCCGCCTAACGACTGGTCACATTTCAATGTCAAGTATGGAAGTATTCTAGGTGGCCGTAGTCGTTCCTTGAGGCTCCCGCAGCTGCAAGTGTTGTCGAAGCATTACTTCTGGGGAATGCATTATGAGGAATCGCATAAGACCGCGAAGACAACGAGAAAAAAGCCAAGTCTCAGGGCTCAACAGGCGATGCTCTTCAAACTTATCTACTACATGCAAGAACGCCATCGTCCGAAGACTTGGCTTGAAATGCTCAATGTTAACCGAGATACTGGACCACGACTCTTGAGATACGACCTCGATCCGCGCCCAAAGCCACTAAGTAGGTGGTACAATTCTCTTCCGGGTGTGAGCACAGCTATCTTGAATGCGTATATACGCCCTCAGGATGCACCACCAGATATGCCCGACTACGTCCTTCAACAGTATATGTACTCGGTTGACAGCTTGCACACACCACCCCCACCTGCACCACCTCCAGCGCCATCATTTGACGCACAACAAGAGGAAATCCTCCGTATGCATCTATTGCAACACATGAACCCAGGAGTCGAATTCACACCGGCTTTTTCATTGACAGATCCGCCGGGTGTGAAGATTCCGGGCCCTGCACCAGGCGAAAAAAGGCGTGCAGATGACATGAGGGAACCCAGAAGCAAGCACTCGAGAGAAATTTCACCCGGGGCTCCTGCCTACCGAGGTCGCCCTCGCTCCCCCCACCCCGCCGTTTCAAGATCCCGTCTTTGCTGCTGAGGATATCACAACTTTTACCTGGACGCCTAGTCTGGCACCTTCTCATACAGTGGCCCCCCTTGGAAATCACCAATTGGGTCCCGTTATGGCGAAAGCTATGGGCCCTGTTGACACGCGAGCGATTACGGATGCCGTGGAACAAGCCGTGATGAAGATCGTGTATGCTGATCTCGACCGTGATCCCCACATCCCGTCTATTGAAAAACCCGTTTGCCACCGGACCGCCCAGTCCTACAAGGATTTGCTCCCGATGAAACTCGGATCCTTCCCTACCACGGGGTATGTAAAGTTGTCGCCATTGACTTTTGACTGGGATCCAAATGGCACTACATTTCCGGTCCGGGGCCGTGGCCCTATCTGGGATGCAATGTCTTGTGCCACGGATGCTGTTATTGTAGCGGGAATGCTACTCGATGCTGGTTGTACCAATATAGATCGCGCAAACAACCGGGCGTCTGAGTTCAAACAAATTGAAAAAGCATTCATCGAAGTGACAATGGCGAGCTGGGAGACCATGGACGATAAGACTTCTATATTTGTGCGTGATGAGTGGCTCCGTATGTTTATCGATGGCTCAAGCGGCTTGCAAGTGGGACAGCCGATTCCTCCTTGGGCGGTATGGTCAGTGGCCACGAGAAGCTTTGCTCAATTCCGCTATTTTCACGTTGAGCGAGTGACCCCTTGCAAGTGTCAGTTCGGGATCCCGTTCTATAACTCCCATCAAGGATCTTGCATTTTACCTGGTTATCAACCGGGCGACGAAGAAGGAGTAGATCTCCAAGTGCTGATCGAGCGATGTTTCTACCCACGAAAGTCTTTCAGGTGTACTAGGTGTGGTGATCCGATGGGAGTTACTGGAGAACGAAAAATCGGTCAACTCCCACTGCGTCTAGTGGTAACGTCCGATATCAAGACGCGGATCCGAAATCACACGGAGAATCTCAGTTTCAATTACATAGACTATGAAGATAAGCAACAAGTCGCACATTACCGTTGGCTTGGCGGCATCTATAACAACGAATCTCATGCTCGTTTGTTTTGGACAGATACGAAACGAGGCGAGAAAGATAATGGGAATATTATGATGTACGACAGCCAAGTCAATTCCGGGGTTATTATCGGTGGAATCCCAGCATTTCAAAATGAAGAAAAAGTACCAACTGAATGGGTCAGCCGTCATGCTATTCCGCTCATTTTCTATGAACGAATCATGAATCCCACCAGCGATCTTTTGGCAAAGGCCAACAATGCGATGCTCGAGATGAGCAATTGCCTGAGCGAGAACAAGAACATTCTTGAAGAACATATCCCTTGGAAGCGATCTACTCCGCCACGGCAGCTGCAGGATCCATGGCCTCGTGTACTTTCATATAATGGTGAACGCTTCAGCAGTTTCAACCCCGGCTGGGCAACATCGAGTGCACCCGCCAGATCAGCCGCTCCACAAGCTGCTGTACCCTCTCAACCACAAACTCACATTGACCCGATGTTTCTTGATCCATTGGTTATTGACCCGTCGCTCATTGATCAATCGCTTTACTCGACAAACACACCTCCAGAATTCGATTTGTCCTCATTCTTTGACCCGACAAGGCTTGAGGACCTATCGAGCCCTGATCAAGCCCAATCTCAGGAGGATTACACCAATAACCATATATTCCAGTCGATGTTGGAGACTCCGCGCTGGCTCGGTCCACAATCTGAAATGTGGCCTGGGGGTCTGCCTAGAGATGAAGGAGCTTTGGACTTCCCTGAGCTGCCTATGTTGCCCGACTCGCCCGGACTAGGCAATAGCAGGGGTACTGGGTGGTCAGGTATTGCCATGGGAGATGCAGAGGAGACTATGTCCGAGTTTCGAAGCCGACACTTCCGCAGTACGCATGGTGATAAGCTCAAGAAGTCCGCGATGGCAAACTATGCTATGGCGAAGCAGGCCCTGGATCCAAGGCAGAGATATGCTATGAATTCATTCAAGATACATGGATACAGCTCAAGGAATAGATTTAGTGATGCAGATGAGGATGCGGAGGAGCAGAGAAGGGAGAAACTCACCCAAAGGAAGATAGAGATGCAAATGAAACTGGATCATGATCGGAAGAAGAGAGAGGAACGGAAGAAACAAGAGGAGCTCGACCGAAAGCGGAGAGAGGAACGGAGGAAACAAGAGGAGCTCAGCCGAAAGAGGATAGAGGAACGGAAAGAGCAAGAGGAGCGGAAAAGACAAAAGAAGCCTGAACTAAAGAAAAAGAAGAGAGAACGGGAAGAAGAAAAAGAAGATGAAAGTGAAGAGTTACTGGAGAAAGACCCGAAATGGGCGAGAGAGGAATACTATAAACAACAAAGACAAAAGGATGAACAGAAGAAACGGGAAGAGGAGAGGCCGAGGATATCAAGAAGACCGGGGTTGAGGAATTCGAAGAGGAAAAACACCGATCCAACATGGAAGCCTGGTGATAGTGACACCGATGAGGGAGATGAAGTATATGAAGCGGACTTGTCTTGATTTGATGTTATGTTGAATATATTTGAATATGTTACATATTTTAGTTCATTTACTTTGTAGTTCATTTCTACATAAAATTCAATATACGCCATTAATACTAGTCCGCACAGTCATCTGCCAATCAGGGGACTCTTATTTGATAAAGCCGAAACCCGAGTCTGTATACCGCGAGATTAGTATATATATTTAATACTAGTACCTTTTGACTAGTATGTACAAATCATTATTACCCCTTAATGCATAACAAGTCTACTGTAGCATATTAGAGTACAAAGTAATGTACTATTATTTGTAAGATAATAGTGAATGCAACGTTTCCCCGCAGTTTACCCCAGACTTGGACTTCCCCTTTCCCTCTTTTCTGTTTCTATTTCATCCTTCAGTTTGATTTCGCTACTTCAATAATTTGCTACAACACTAACAGCCAGTCATCTAGTCAGTTAACTTAGTCGCTTTCTATGATCTATGATCTATTTACATGTCCGGATCCTGCAGTTTGCAGTCCCAGATCTACCAACGCAGTGGGGAATTAATCCAAAAACAAGCCAGAAAAAAAACAACAACAAAAAGATGTCACTCTATAGACGCGCTCTGGGCGGGCCTGTAGCAGTGTTGCTCTTCTTCGGTGCTGAGACATATCCACCGAGAGTGCCGTCAGTGTTGGTCACATTACCTTGAGTATCACGACGGATACCAAGTTCAATCAACTTCGCAAACACCTTGGAGAAGTGATCAAAGAACAAATCTTTATCCTCGGCATACTGCTTAACCCATGGAGCAAATGACGGATCCGTTGAGAGCGCCATATCAGTCGGCAGCATCATCAACGGCTCCTCATCCTCATCAGCATCGGGATCCTCATACACAAACTGCGTGTTACCGGTCGCCAACGTGCGAGGCTTCCAGTCAAGCTGGAGCAGCAATTTGAAGAAAGAGTTCGAGAACCGTGTGGGGTTGGTCACCCACGGGCCCTCGAATCCACTGCGGTCGCCGTGGCACCGGCCCAGGTTGTGTCCGCCAGTCAGCGCTACGATCTCCTGGTCGTTGAATCCCATGCGGTTGAAGATGAACCGCAGGTGGTCGGCGCCCTGGGCTCCGTCTGGCAGTCGTCCCCGGGGTGGCAGCTTGGTGTCGTCGATCAGATCTGTTCGTCCGCCTTGCCAGGGAATGTCCGGTCCGCCCATCTCCTTGATCGCCACCACGCCGGCCAGAGTCCACAGATCAGAGTACGTGATCCAAGGGTGCTTCTCTTTAATCGGCTCTAGGAATGCCCGTCCGTGCTGCAGACCAGCGTTGGCCGGATCGCCACCCTCGGCTTCGTACCGCATACCGGCTCCGTTCGAACCACCGGTGTCAGTTTCAGCATCGTACGTGCCAGAGGAGTGCCTGTTTGAAATCATTGTCAGTCACATTGCGTTGGCAGGGGCTTATCGCGCCGTGGATCTGGGGTGGCCCGATCGGGAAACGACAAGGATTCAAGAACTATATTTACTTACCATGCTAGTCGCACGAAAACAGGTCCTGCGCTGCCATCGTCATAGCCAGGCTTCTTCAGGATGGACGCGATGTCCTTGCGGACGGCATCATAGTCGTGAGTGCTCATTCTCGGGTCTCGGCCGATAACGCTTTCCGGGGTAGATTGTTCGGGAAGAAATTGAACAAACTCAACGTCGGCTTCAAGAGGATCTTTTGAAGAGGCTAAAGTGAGAGGATTAAGGATCAGAAAGAGAAAAAAAAGAAAGAGAAAAACAGAAAAGGAACGGAAGACAGAAAAAGGGACCTCCAGACTTTCCACATGGAAGAGTGTCGGTGGATCCGCGGGCCGAATCAGCGTGTATTGAATGACCAAAAAAGATGCCGAGGTCCTGGAGTTCGACGACCATGCACTTGCACACCGTGATTCGATTACGACAATTTCCGACTGGATCCCTCAGTTCCGATGGTGATGGCCTAGATTTCCCATTTCAAATGAATTATCTTACAATAATCAGCTGAATAGAGGATGCATATGAAGTCACATTCGCCATCAAATGCCGACTCAGACCTCGGAATTCAAACGCCGACTTTGAGATTCAGATATCACACTAATATTTATAGGCAAATCCGCTTTGAACTACGCAGTACTTATGTATATTATTTGCAAGGTACAGTCGAAATGAGTGTCATATTTGACATTAGTCAAATCTCTTTTGCCCTAAAAATCCGAGCAAAACAAAGAAAATGTGTAAACGGCTTCCCATGAAAGCTCAGAGCAAACGAAGAATTATTTGAGAAACATTCAAGAGATATCTGAATGACATCAAAGATCTCCCTCATACTTAGATTCATCTCCGCTCTCTGCAATTTCATAATCTCCATCGACATCCTCCCCCATATCAACTTCAAATCCTCCATGGATATTGTCACTTGGAGTACACCTCCCCTCAATGACACTCCGTTTCAAGGAAGCTTGCAACATATCCAGCTCCCTTCGTAATTGTGCCACCTCCCCCCGCGCCTCTCGTAGTGAGATTCTCATCCGCTGCATCTTCGCCTGATATGCGCGACCCAGCCCATCAGCCTGTCCAGCCAATCTCGAATACTTCTTCTGCATCCACTTCCTCTCTTTACGCAATCTGCGCACCTGTCGATCTAGCAAGTGCCTCTGCTTAACGTCCGTGTCGCGGATCGTCTGGATCACTTTGTCGATGACGCCTGTGTGTTGTCCTTGGAGGATACCTTCTTCGGAGTACTTTGCGATACTTATGAATGTTGCGCAGATGTCGGCTGCGACTGATGCCATCAGCTCGCCTTTTGTAGTGGAGGTTTGTTGCTCTAATCTTTCAAGACGTAGAGCGCAGGATCCTGGTGTATTTTGTTGCTGGCTTGGTTGGTGCGGTGCCATCGCTGATTGGAATGGGATATTCGGCTTTTGGAATGACATGCTGAGGGCCCGGTTTCTCGTGAGAGACTCTTCTTGAAATGGACTCTGTGGAGGTATGGACGCTCTGAGCTTGAGTGGATGTAATGTTTTAGACATAGAGAGGAAGAAGAAGAATGGAAGAAGGATGAAAATGTCTCTAAGAATATGCCAATCTAATTATAACTTTGGAAGAATTGTGAAATCATGTAATATGTTATCTAATTTCCTTTCAACCCCAGTTTTCAGCTAACAAACATTGCCTTTGATCGATTTCTGTCTTTATCAAAGTTACACGCATTGATTGATCGGTGGCCAGTTTGACGCATATGCTTAGGGCTTTGTCTTTGAACCGATCAATCATAGATATAGCTATTCCTAAGTTCTATACTACAATGCAGACACAATCGCGTCGCCCAATTCTTTAGTCCCAGACTTACCTCCAAGGTCAGGTGTCCGAATCCCTGAGTCCAATACTTTACGCACCGCATCCTCCACACGTTGAGCCTCATCTTCCATGTTCAACGAGTATCGGAGCATAAGCGCGACACAAAGGATCATTGCAACCGGATTGGCAATATTTTGTCCCGCAATACTATAACAAAGTTAGCACAGGCGTATTTTCATCCTTCAAGCACTTACGTCGGAGCAGATCCATGTGTGGGCTCGTACAGCCCGTAAGGCCGTGTCTTCATCGTCTTATCACCAGGCAGACCGTTGAGACTGGCACTCGGCAGCACACCTAGCGTACCTACAATAGACCCAGCTTGGTCAGAGATCATATCGCCGAAGGTATTGTCAGCCAGAATAACGCCATTCAGGGATCGCGGGTTCGTTGCTAGAATCAATGACGCGGAGTCGGCAAGCTGGTGCACCAACTTCACTTGCGGGTACTCGGCTGCCATAGTCTTGTCTACTACCCGGCGCCAGAGTCTCGAAGAAGCTAGTACATTAGCCTTATCTAGTGAGATGACAGGCCAGGGGGGATTGTGTCGCAGTGCCACTTCGGCGGATAGACGGGTAACTCGTTGGATCTCGGCTTCGGAGTATCCCCATTCATCCATCGCTGTAGTAAAAGAAAAAGTTAGGTTGTTCTTGATTCACAGCTGAATCTCAGCCCAACCCACCGTATGTTTCTTCTTCGACCTTACGGCCAAAGTAGGCACCTCCGCAATTTTCCCGAACAACAACGAAATCAACACCTTCAATAACCTCGTGCTTGAACGGGCTGAACTCCTTGGCGACAGAGGCACTGGGCGAGGTAGAACAGCACGGGCGTAGATTTGCATAGATGTCCATGGCCTTGCGTATTTGGAGTAGTCCTCCCTCAGGTCCATCAAGACCACGACGTTGATTGTCCCATTTTGGTCCTCCAACTGCGGCGAAGAGCACTGCGTCTGAGTCCAGAGCTGCCTGCTTGACTTCTTCTGTCACGGACTTGCCATAGGCGTCAATGCTGCATCCTCCGATCAACTCCTGGCGCAATTCAAACTTGCGTTCGGGGGTCTCAAAGACCTTGAGGACTTTGATGGCTTCGGCCATGACCTCAGGGCCGATGCCATCGCCGGGTAGGACTAGGATGTTGAATGTTTTGGTCATGGTGCTGTGATCTTTGTTGTTACAAAGTATTACCTGGGATAAATTAGATGGTCTTTAGACCACTGGGACCCAGGACTATATACGTACTGCCTAGATCGGAGCTCGGTCTTTAACCCGACTGATGCGGGGTTTAGTTTGGTCGGGTTTTCGCCGATGATATGGCCTCCGATGTGCGGAGTTCTGTTGCAGCTAAGGAGGCATGCAAATTTTGTGGAGCTGTCAGTTGCGGGGATTAGTATACAAGCTCGTAGATGTCCGCTACCATCTACGGAGTACTAGGTAGTATTGTCATCGCTTGGTAGAGTAGCTCCTCGGGTATCAAGTAGTATAATATATGCCTCTTTTCCTGTTATAGCAGAAGTTTGATAGAATTACGCTCAATATTAAAGCAGATATAGTGAAGTATAACCCAACGGCAGGAAATTAATAGACTGATTGCCAACTAAAGAAGGATATCAAAAATCGATGCCTCAGGCACCAATATTAATATCCACATGCGGTTATCCGACTAGAAACATCCAGTACATCATGGAATATTTGCATGATTTTAAACCCAAAAATCTTCGTACAGTAGTCTATTTTCTTTTGGTCCATTCCTTTTTCGTCGCAAATCTTACATCTTTCCTCATCTCCAGCCCGACTAATCCGGTAATAGGGTTTAGGGCCGATAAGATCCCCCTCCTGTTTGCATCGTTTGCATTGCGGGCATCATTTCTAAGCATCTGGATCTCCAATCATCTCCAAAAGCGCAATATATTTTCCTGTGACCAACCCTCAAGATGTCGCGCATTGAAGAGCTTCCAGATGACTTCAATGAATCGCTCAACCTCAATGATGCCCCTCCCGAGGTCACCCAGCCCGGGTTCGACTTCTTCGCTCCTACAAACGAAATTCCCTTTCCAATCAACGAGGAGGGACTAAAGGCGCGCAAAACCGATCCATATGCCCCCGATCTTCCGCCAGCTATTGCCGCCGTTCAGTCGCACTCTTCAGAGGAGTTGCAGGCAATGATGAATAAGACTCCTCTGTTCATGACCGATATTGAGAACGCAGGTGACGAGAGTACGTCGGATCATTCCTTAGACATGATCGTTCCATTTGACTGACATAAATGGCTTCACAGAGGGTGAAAATGTACTTCTCGATGCCCTCCAGGCTCTGCAGAATGAAGGTACCAGGAGCGAGGTTGCGAATACCTTCAAGGGACAAGGCAATGACGCCGTGCAGGAACTCAAGTGGATTGACGCTAAAGAGTTCTACTCAAAGGCTATTGCTGTCATTAATGCCAAGGTTGATAAGTGGGAGGCACCCGAAGATCCTGTAGAAGAAGCTGCGCTGTTGCGCAAGTTGGAGGAGGCGTCTTACATCAACCGGGCATTGGCCAACTTGGAACTAGGTATGTCTTATCTCTCTACATATATGGGACGTTGGCTAATAAATTTCCTCTGCAGGAAACTACCGTGCCTGTACTCTTGACTGTGCTTCCGCCCTCAAGTTCAACCCCAAAAACGTGAAGGCCTTCTACCGCTCCTCCTTGGCACTCTTCAAGTTGGATAAAGTCGCTGAGGCTGAAGATGCTGCAGCCCGAGGATTGGCAATTGACCCAGCAAGTAAGGCTCTCCAAGAATCTGCCAGAAAGATTGCCGAGCGCAAGACCCTTTTGGAGCGTGCTGCCGCAAGGAGGAAGGCCGAAGAAGAAACGAAGCGCAAGAAGAATATGATTCTCAGCACAGCTCTGCGCGCCCGTCAGATCAGAACCCGCAAAACCGATCAGCCTCCTGATATGGAAGATGCTAGGATCCGCCTTGTCCCTGATCCTCTCTCGCCAGAGAGCACAATCGAGTTCCCAGTCGTCTTCCTTTACCCCATGGACGCCCAATCAGACTTTGTCAAGTCGTTCTCAGAGATGACTGCTATTGAGGACCATCTGAGTTACATCTTCCCCCTTCCTTGGGATACCAAGAAGGAATACACAGTTGAAGGTGTTGAATGCTTCATGGAGACTGTCACTGGTGGTTTGATCAAGGCTGGCAAGAAGCTGCCTTTATTGGAAATTCTCTCTGGTGGTAAGGTTGAGGTTATTGATGAGCTCGTCAGCATCCATGTCGTGCCTCTCTCCAAGACCGGTAAATACATTGCAGAGATGAAGGCTCGGAAGACTGGCTGAGCGGAACTTCATTAATATGAAGCTCAGCGCCCAACTTTCAACCGAAACCGAGGACTTTTATGGAATTTGAGTCCACAAAATCTTCACGCCCATGGGAGGAACTGTCTCCCTGCCCATCGACCTGCTGGTCTGGACTTGGCTGGAACAGTGGTACATAACCACTGTTGACGCTGTGCTCTGGTCCTACCACGGAGCAATATGGTGTTACAAAATCTCTGATACCCCTTAAAAGAGCCAGCCTTGTTTGTGTACATAGATGCATTTTCAGATTCTTATAGATATCATTGAGGCGGAAACGCCCCTCTGGAAACAAAACGTCCCATCATTCATCATAATCCAATATATCCAAGGCCAGTTAAAAATCATCCAGTATTGGCTTAAATTATCTGTAGCTATTCTTTGAATTATCTTGACCGTGCGATGTTGATCGCAGACTACATCTCCTATTGACGATAAATACGCAGTGCCTCCGGGAACATTGATGCTTGTGGAAATAGTGGGAAAAAGCCCAAAAAAAGGACGAGCTGAAAAGTGAGAACTTAAGGTCTTCGCTCTCAAACTACTACATTCTATTTCTAGCATCTCTTTCTTTCATACTCTGCTCCAGGATGTCGGATGAAGTCGGCCTAGGGGCATTAGCCGAAAATTGCCAAGCTCACAGGGGCAGCAGACCCTAGAAGTGTCGCTGGACCTGAATATTACCAGCATCCATCTTCCCGGTAACACATGTGTGTATGTCAGGGAACATGTCTGTCACAGCAAAGCTTATGCTTCCTGCAAGGAAAACAACTGACCGTGCGACGGTTCCAGCCCCAGGGATCCCCGGGGCTCGAGAATGTCGCTGCACTATGCAAGGATGGGCGGCTCGAGCCAACTCGGAGTAGGAGGAAGTCATGTCCGGCATAGAACGCATGATTGTATGATGTGTACTAAGCGCTAATGTAGGTTCAATCATCCAAAAGAGGGGATAAGCACCTGTCTAGCCTGAATGATTATTGTGGGGGAAACTAATTCACCCTGGATTATCAAATTGGCTCTGATTCGGGAAATATTGTACCTTTGGGGCTAGGCCAAGATATACCCCAGAGGAGTTGGAGGGGAGGAGAAGACTCGATTGACGACAGCCTTGAAGATTCCCCGGATTTGTGGAAGCGGAGAAGAGCCCATTTACCCGGTTGCTCCTTTTCTTCAGCTTCATTCTATGGGGAACATAAAAACGCCTCATTTTTTTTCCCTGAAGAAAATACGGAAATTGCTCCGCTGTGTCTCCATTCGTTTCTCCACCATGTGGCGCCGGGCCCCATGTCTATTTCTCTGGCTAAAGTGACGAATTTCATGCACGAACTCATACTTCTCCGGCATCTAAGGAGTAATCAAGCCTATTTGACTATTTGAAACGGCCGCGACAACTATGCCACGGCATGTCGGTCCGTCAAAATTGTCAGATGGGAAATCTACCTAGCGTCGGGGCAAATGCTGAACATTCTAAGACCCTGCCAATTTGGCTACCGCTGCTTATTTCTGACTATAAAAGGAGCTTGATTCTTTTGATTCTTCATTCCAGATCTAGGTTGTGATCAATTCGAATATTGGCGTTGATTATTCTCGTCGCCATGGTTCACTTCTCTACTATTGCCCTGGCATTGGCCAGTGTTCTTCCTCAGCTGTATGGTTGATCGTTCAGTTCCCAGCATAGTTTAACAGTGATTGATGCCCGTTTCTTTTCAATAGGACCCAAGCAACTGGATTGAATACCGCTGCTGTTGCAAAGGGAAAGCTATACTTCGGATCAGCCACCGATAACCCTGAGTTGACTGATGCTCCGTACCTTGCCCAATTGAGCAATACCGATGACTTTGGTCAAATTACACCCGGCAATGCGCAGAAGGTTGGACTATACTTGCTGTGGTATCCAGGTACTCGCTAATCATCGCTAGTGGGATTCGACTGAGCCTTCTCAAAACACCTTCTCCTATACCAAAGGAGATGTCGTTGCCAACCTTGCTGCTGCTAATGGTCAAAAGCTGCGGTGCCATACTCTAGTTTGGCATAGCCAATTGCCCAACTGGGGTAGGTTTCATTATCTCACGTTCCTTCAATCTGTGAATAGCTATTGATTCGTAAATAGTCTCAAGCGGCACCTGGACCAACGAGACTCTGATTGCTGCCATGAAGAACCATATCACCAACGTGGTGACTCACTACAAAGGCAAATGTTATGCTTGGGATGTTGCCAACGAAGGTCAGTACCGAACCTAGGAGCTGACGATATTATCATCAAGCAGCTAATGTCTAGATTGCTAGCTCTTAACGAGGACGGCACCTATCGTAACAGTATCTTCTACCAAACCATCGGCGAGGCATACCTCCCCATCGCGTTTGCAGCTGCTGCTGCCGCAGACCCAGATGTCAAGCTCTACTACAACGATTACAACATCGAGTCTGCCGGCTCCAAGGCAACAGGAGCCCAAAGAATCATCAAGCTCGTGCAGCAGTATGGAGCCAAGATTGACGGTGTCGGCCTCCAGGCACACTTTATTGTCGGAAGCACCCCTAGCCAGAGCGCGCAGACCAGCAACTTGGCTGCATTCGCAGCCCTGGGAGTCGAAATTGCCTACACTGAACTTGACATCCGCATGACTCTGCCATCAACTGATGCCTTGCTTGCTAAGCAGTCAAGCGATTACCAAAATACCGTTGCGGCGTGCATGGCAAACACTAAGTGTGTTGGTATTACTATCTGGGACTACACTGACAAGTACTCTTGGGTGCCTAGCACCTTTTCTGGTCAGGGTGCTGCCCTTCCATGGGATGCGAACCTGGCGAAGAAGCCGGCCTATGCGGGTATCTTGACTGCCCTGGGTGTTACATCTGGCACTACTACTACTACATTGGTTACTACCACAACTACTGCCAGCTCTGGTGGTGCTACTGGCGCCCCTCTCTATGGACAGTGTGGTGGCTTGAACTGGACTGGAAGCACAACCTGCGCAAGTGGAACCTGTACATATGCTAGCGAATGGTACTCACAGTGCCTGTAGGCTTATCAGGGTAATAATTCCTGACGACAAATGGGAACTAGACTAGCCTGTCCCCATCCACATTTGTATCTATCGCTGGATTTTTCACAAACACGAGCCCATTGTTGATTATACAAGTTCAAGTTGTCTTGTTCCAATGCAACCCAAACAAAATTCATTATCGTAAAAAGACATTATATGTGCTCCGGTCCGTGTGCTCCGGTTTATGCTAAGGCGCTCAGTAGTTGAAATAGTAGGGGTGCCCGTATGGCAACATTGTTCCTGCTGGCAAGTTTCCTGTCGAGGTCTGTGTATTTGGAACACCTGTATCCTGGGATAAATCAGGGGTACCATAGAACTCCATCTGGTTTGGGTGAATGCCAGAAACGCCAGGGTATGAATAGTGCGGCAGGCCACCGGGGTGTCTCCGATCAATCAAGTGCGACCCAGCAGAGTGTGATTCGTGTTTCGGCCTCAATTCTAACTGTGATGTCGACATGTCTGTAGAAGGGCCGACGGACTGGTATTGGGGGTTGTGGCCCAGGTGCATTGCTGGGTTATACGGATTGGAAGGGTTGTAAGAAGGCGCCCTCGGCAGGTCGCCCGGAGGAAGGTGGGCTATATCGATTCCGGGGATTCCGTCGCTGCAGTCGGATTCGGCGATGTCATACGATGAGACCGGTTCGATTGGTGAGCTTTGTCCGCTGGATGTGTCTTCGGCGATCTGAGGAAGATTGGTACGAGATATACACACGTTTTTTCCGTCTGTAAAACACATGTGAGCATTAGGGGCTTGGAAGGTAATGTGAGGAAGTATGTACCGGAAACTCCATCCAGAAACTTTTCCTCCTCCTCGCGAACTCGATATGCCTCATCCAAGATTTGTAAACGCTCGACCGGGAGAATCTGACGACGAATGGGCTGATCGCATTGTTTTAATCTGGCGGTTGTAATTCCGTGGGATTTACGCATCTCGCAGAGAATGTATACCAAAAGTCGGATGCGTTCTGATCGTTGTCAGCTTGGTAGACGATTCGGAATGAATAGTTCTTTCTTACCAACTTTCGGAAGATGATCCGGCTCCCTGTGGCTCACTCCGCGCGGCCACCACGGTGGCTTAGTTGCCTCTGGATCAAGCTGCTGAGTCCTTCCTTCAACAATCTTCCGCCCATTGTATGGGTAGTTCACTTGCTTGCGTGGCTCGACTAGTTTGACGTAGGCTTTGGCAATAATTCGACAGTTTGTTTGTTGTAGATTCTGGAAGATTTTCTCATAATAGAGACGCAAAAGGCCTCTATCTTTTATGGAGATCGAGGTTATTTGTTGTGAGGCCAAGCTAAGGTGCCGAGATCCAAAATTTTTCTTAGGTTGTGAGCTGGCTTGTAGAGGCCACTCGCCCGGCGGCCACATTGTGGGCCTAAATGGGGAGTCTGGTTGAGTGAGAACTTGCATTCTCTGCTGAGGGACCCCGCTAGACGGCACTTGGGCCTCCGGAGAAACTGTACTAGATCAGTAAAACTCTTCACGTGGGGCAGATATAAACCTTGCTAGTACTTTGACCGTGTGTTGCCTGTGCTTCTCTCGACAATGCCACTGCTCTGAGGAATTCATCCGTGACCCTAGGAGAGAGGATGGCTTGGCGGCTCTCTGAGATGGACTCGGAGGCCCTTTGGCAAAGATTCCCATCCCTATCTATATAGATCATTGCAAAGTGGGTATATTCATGTTCCTCGGGGGATTGCCGACACATCTTTTCTAGGGCCTGGCTAGGGTCAGCTCTGTCAAGGTCATTAGTCCCATAAAAAGGATATAAGTACCCTATAGTATAGACCTAGGGGCTGACCCCGGTTTTTGTACAGTTGGCAAGCAAACTCGTCGAGTTCAGCCCCCGAACCAGAAGGAGGGGAACGGAAGAAGTGGGGGGGGGGGGGGGGTTTCTACAGCAGATTTGGGATGGAAGAAGCGGACGAAATGAAGACCATGCTGCGACTACGGTCACACAATATCAATGCTTCTCGCCAGCTTGCGACTGTCGATCAATGAGTACCGAGCGAAACGATGTGCTTACACACATGGATTTATAAACAGTCGATGGGTCTATTCGGTTCCGGCATACTGCCTATCCGTACCTATGTACACAGCTAACTATAGTGTGCCAAGGTGGAGGCCCAACTTCAAAGAGCAAACCCCTGTGGGGACAAGAAAAGGATGGATCTGCAAAGCGCCAAAGCAGATACATACAGTATCGAAACGGACTGCGGAGTACAAAGTATTTTAGTTTAGGGCCTGAACTCGGACTTCTTTTCCCTTTAATTGGCCTATCATAATACCAGTGTATAGCCGCAGGAGAATCCCCCGAATAACACGATCTGCTTGAACTTGACGTTGTAACGCTCAGCCGCTCAGCTACTGTATATGCAGTCACCTCTCAACGGCATGTCATTTGCTATGGTGCAGAGTGGCTAAATGGCTAGGTGGGTATTTCCATGCCAAACTCTCGCTACTGGTTTGGTCTACTGAAACATACCCCTTAATAACCTGTCACTAGGCGTCTTGCTGTACAACTAATATCAACCATACCCTAACAGCACAATCAGAAATCTACAGGATATAGAATTGAGTTACCGCAGGATAAGAATAATAATCAGCCTCAAAAAGCCCTGTGGGACCTGATGGATATCAATTGATATTCGGTGAGCGAATAACAGGGGAAACGGATAAGAACCGTAAATGACAAGAACCACCTATTTTCCAAACCAATATTCGACTTTTTCACCAGAAAAATGTCATCTAAAATTGAATGAGTGATCGGCGGAAGTTTGTAGTGGACTTGTGCCCAGTTGCCTTATGCCCACCAATATTCCCGAAGTTGTATGTGTACTTTGTACGTGCTACTCCTACATCTCCTTGCTTACCCTCACGGGCTCAAATGCAGAATCAAACCCCGAAAAAGAATGCTTTGACTCCTGACCAGAGTGCTGGGTCACACCGTTTACTCTAGACACAGAGCACTAGTATACGGGCGCATCTGATGCATGCATACGGAGTACTCCGTAGATGCGCACTGCATTTCTGGTATATCTCTACGGAGTAGTTAGTTTGACAATATCACTGTACCCATTCCTATGCATGAGAAGCTTTCATCTAAGCATGCACTATGTTGTCATAAGTGGCTGGGATGAATACGAAGTATAATTCAAATTACATAGAAATTATAACCAAAAAATATCCCAAAAAATGTACAAAAAATATACAAAAAACAACACAAAAAGAAACAAAAAAGCACCCACTTTTCCGGCCGATACGGGCTTAGCTCGGTCTCACCTGAAAAGCCTCAAGTCCGGGACTTTTGGGTGATCGGCATGCGCCTGAAAGGGGTTGCTGACTCGCGAAAATGAAGATGCACGAAGATGTAATGAGCCACAGTTCAATTTGCCACAAATTTGCCACTATATGTTTCTCATACAGCAATCTGGCCAGAATTCTACATAGAAAGGACCTTATTTATAGATGTATAAAATATATAGACTTTGATCGGTAACATCGGCGACTACGTATGTAGTCATACATGTACAAAGTAGATTCTGTACTTTGTAAAAATGCACGTTAACTTCTCCATTCTAGGATGTTCTATTGTGGGGAAGAGTTGTTTTTGTTACTTTTCTTTGGGGGCATAGAGTCTTCTTCGAGGGAACATCCATGGATACTACTTCTTAGGGTGAGACACTTGATTTGACATGGGGCTTCATACTCCCATACAAATCATGCCGGAGAACATTCAGCAGCTAATTCCGAGCCAAAAATGAAGTCATAGTTTCAGCCCACATTTCGTAACCCTAAAAGAGTAATCTAGTAGGTAAACATAAAAAATCGGTTATCTGTCTAACGGTAAATCGTCGGGAAAGAGATTGAGTTTAAACTTTGGACTCATCCATGGGTAACTTTGGACTAGAAACTATCTCCTTCAGGTCTTGGCGAGCTAACAGCCTGTCAATCGCCATATTATGGAACCCCATTATCCAATTCGCATAAAGTGCGCATATCCGACTTGCATTTCCTGGAAATCGGGTCCCCTAATCGAGCCTGTGGCGTCTAGATGACGCTGTACCATGGCCCACAGTCCCCCTTTTAGCGTCCTGCATAGTGGCGATGCACAACTATGTGTGTTCGTGTTTACTTATCCAATAGACCTCTTCCCCTTAGCACAAAATTTTCCAAGTTGGGCTTCGCTTACACGCAGATTTTAACAATATGTTTTCGTTATCCCCTGCAGTTCCTATGAGCATAACATCACATGCCTTTTATGATGGCTAGACTTATGTTCTATAAACAAAGTTTAAAGGATCGACTACCAACATACATATGTATTACGTGATGTGTCGCTTACTCCGTAGTGCTGACATGCCCTAACCTTGGAAGTTCCTATCTAGGTGCTCCGTACAGGTTGGATGGTTTGTCATTCTTTTCTACAGAGTAGAATTCTCCATATGAATCTATGCCGTTCAAATAGTAGTTCCTGACCCGTCAGGTTTGCACGGTTTATCAATCCTTAGATCTTGTCAAGCCCTCCAAATCCCCTTTGTCATGTAAGAACTGTGTGCCCAATTCCCCGATACCGGGGCCATGGGTACTGATCGCTAGTATAAATGCCAAGCGATTGCTGCCAAATACATACATGTAGCCCTGGAGATAGTTACCTACTTTGTAGATGTACAACAAAGTACTAACCTTATTAAGGATATCTTTTTGTTATTCTTCTATATTCTTATTCTTATCGGAGAACTCGGCAAGCTTTTTTCCGTGAATAATTATCGCCACCAACCCCCCCCCCCCATAGATGTGAGCCGTCGGCAGTCTAGAATGAGAGGGAAGTCTAACGACGGTAGATAACGACCAAAGTACCAACATGGCGGTAAGCGGTATGACCGAATGTACAGAATAATAAGGGACTGAAGGTTGCTACCTACATAGGTATAAACAAGAAAAATGTCATATGGCAGGAAGCAGTTTGTTATCAAAGAGGCCATAGGCTGGACAGCCTATGGGTTAGCTTTCATAAGTTATAGTTGAACACTCGTTTGATATTTGTATGGTTTTCTGGTTATACTTCCTCGGATATTCTGCAATTTGTCTACGTCAAATTTTCAGACCTCTAGGTAGAAAAGGGAAATGGCACACAAAAAGATATGATAGTATTATCTTCCATAGAACGTCTCCATATCGGCTCATGCTAATAGAGTATACTCCGTATATTGGGACCACTTAATTCCTATGTTGTATGTTTTAAAGAAAGAGGCATCATCAGCCAATTATCCTCAAATATTGCCCAAAAAAAAGAAGGAAAAAAAAGGAAAAAAAGGAGTTGGATGTCGAGACAAAATGATGGTTCTCCTCCATATATTTCAGGCAACAATATTTATCGCCTGAGGCATAAAAATGAACCCGTGACCTTCGAATGTCACTTCGTTGTGGACGCCATTTACTCTCTCCGGTAAACATCAAGTACACTCTTAGAACTCTGAATCACAAAGTCAAGTTTCAAGTCAACTTGAGATATTGCCGTTATCATTCCAACATCATTTGAGTCTGTGTCTCCACCATTCCAAAAGCGCTCCGCTGCATTAGCCCGCCCACGGCCGGCTGATCCCTCTGAATCTGGGCACCAAAATTTGTCTTGTTCCGAGTCCCAGTACGCTGTGAAGGCCGTGTTCTCAATACATCCCTGCCTTTTGACTGAGCCAATCACCACTGTCGTTTTTGTTTCTAGCAGCTTCGGGGTCACGCCAAATCTCCCCATCCCTGGATTCCCCGTCAACAAGCGCCGTTGGGCCTTCACCGTCTCGTCCGTGCGGCCTGCGTAATCCAACTTATTGCCCACAGTAGCTTCCCTAAAACAAGGGGATCGCTAAAGAGAAGAAGTATTACAGGGTGAACAGAATCCCTGAAGCCACCCCTCAACCGTGATGGTCCCTCATTACACAATGGACCCCAATACTGGTTATCCCGCAGGCTATCCCGTGCCGACTCAGAGCCCCCAAAACCAACAGATGTCTTTTTACCCTAACTCCGTTCCCCAATACCCCCAATCAAAGACACCCTCGGCTCAACATTTTGGTGCTATGCCCATGCAGCCTGGTCCTGGTGGAGCTATGATGCCGTCAGGTTTCCCACAATCTTCCGGTTCGTTCCCCCCTCTCCCCCCTTTTTTCGTTATCATTGGTACGGGGCACCTGTCACCTTTGCCCCGATAGAGTAAAATTGTTACTCAAATTCTTGGGGAAAGGGAAGGGGTCTCAGGCGGCTCAAGATTTGATTGAATTATTTCCACTCAACCTCTCCCCCCCCCCCCCCCCCCCCCCCCTCCTCATACTTGTGTCACCTTCCCTTAATGACCCTACCGCTTGGATGAAATTGACCATGCCGCTATCAATGCTTTGACCCTTAGCACTGCTTGGCTTTTTGATCATTCGTCTCCTACCTACTGTGGCCTCTCCAGGTCGCTTTATTTTATTGGAATACATTGGACTGACCATATGCTTAATCATAATAGCAGCACCTATGGATAATTTCTCAGCGCCCTACACCCAGGCTCCCATCCCTAGCCCCATGGGCCAGTTCGTCCCCCCTCAAGGCACATCCGGCGCAAACATGCCATCTCAAGTAGCGCAGACCTTCTCTCAGAACATGGCTTCCATATCAGCGAACAACCTACTCGGCACACAACCCAAACCCTCTTCGCAAATGAACTCGCCCCAAACCGGCGCCACTTCTGCAGCTCCAAACCAGGCCCAAGCCCAGGCCCAAGCTCAAGCTCAAGCTCAGTTTGCGGCGCGTGAGAAGGCCCGCGTCACGGCCCTCCTCGACATCAACTCAGCCTTGTTGCAAGAAGTAGTGAACCTTCAAGCGGCCGGCAAAGCTGGCCCCGCTTCCAACCCCGATTCAAATTCACCGGCATCAGAACAACCGGATGCATCCAAAGCCAACCAGAAGCCGACTCCCGAATACATTGAGTGCATGCGACGCCTACAAGCCAACCTAGCCTACCTTGCGACTATCGCTGACCGAGCGAAGAAAGCAGGTGGCGTCGTTCCTCAAACGCCAGCAATCATGACACCACCTCCGAACCTTCCTGCTGTGAATGAGCTATATGCCAGACTCAATGAGCTTTTCGCGCGGTCTGGAAAGTCTTCTACTCCACAAAGACCCAGTCCTCCATCCATGCAAGGAAATGGCGGACCTAGCCCTGGCGCTATGAATGAGTCGATTATCTGAGGCAACTAATAGGGAAACATACAGTCCTCCACTTGATAAAACATGTCACAGATTATATCGAGCTCCTGATTCGCCCGCCATGGTGAATCATGCCACTATGGTTTAGGCCACCGACGCAAGCTTTGTGGGAGGTGTCGGCCCATTCTCTCCAACACCATGCATACTGGCTGAAGCATGGATCTTCCACCATGCGCACCATATCTACTAAAAGACCGAATGTATGACCAGTTAAGAATTTGGAAACAGCCATGATCTCTGTGATGTTTGACTGGGTAATACTCCAGAGTCCTCTCTTTGAAAGCATAGGATCATTTACCAGGAACTCTCATGTTTGAGTAAATCAGGCTACAAAGCTGACCCCCAAATTTGTACATTAGTTGAATGTAACATCTTATGCTTCCTATCCACATGCAAATCAGGCAGAGGCAGTCGGAGTTGAACAGTTGGGCGCATGAGGCTGCCATGGGATCATATCGTGCAACTACGCCATTTTTAACTTTAGTCTTATCGAAATTACCGCCTGTTTTTTCCGCCTTCTTTCAGCCTGATACCCAACATCCTATTATTTTTCAAGGCGAAGCATCTTCCAATGCTAGATATGAGAATTGATATGCTACAATATTGAGCCTGTTAATAATTGTAACCTGTCAAAACATAAAGATAATAGGCATGTATAGGTCTTGGTAATTGGTGATCTAGCTTTTTGCCGGCAATAATACTGAGATGTGGAAGAGGAGCCTCACGCCGCCCGTAAACCATCACGTGCCAAATGAAGCTCTCGGCCAATAATATGGGGCTGTTATTTCTCCGCCTTTGGGACTTGTGTTGAAGGGTCCATTTTGCCTCGATATCGGGGCGCGTACACATTTTCCCCAATTGTCTAGTGGATGTATCGTTCTTTGTCGGCTGTATCCAGAAGGAGCTTGCAAATCGCTACCGACTTCCCTTTGACATCTTATCAAGCTTCAAATCAATCCTCCACTCCTTCAAGGTCTCTAGCCGCTGATCGGTCATCTGCGTCACATTCCTTAGCTCCGCATCGTCCGTATCTTCAGGTGTTCCAATCGTCTTACATCCCATTCTCTGTTGCCTCATTAGCCGCAAGAGGCTCCCGGACCATCTCGTCCCTTGCCAAACACTTACGACCCCGTCTATCCCACCTCCAGAACTCAGATATCTTCGCTATGGATGGCAAGGGCGACATAGGTGCAAAGCGAAAGCGTAGCACTGCGGCGGCCAATATTTCCGAACATCCCAACAAGCAACTCAGACCTGAACCCGCGATCTTGACTCCTGATGACGCAACACCTGCCAACGGAACTGTCTATGAGGTCGAGGAGGGTGTGGATGAAGCTCCCTCGCCAGCTGTCATCCCCGCTACGGCGGACTCGCCTGAATGGCAGGCTACCATCGAGAGGGTCGTGAAATGTGCTGTCTCCATTCACTTTTGTCAGACTTGTTCGTTCGATACAGAGCTCTCAATGTCTAGTCAAGCAACTGGTTTCGTGGTGGATGCAGAGCGTGGCTACATATTGACCAATCGCCACGTTGTCGGTGCTGGTCCTTTCTGGGGATACTGTATATTTGATAATCACGAGGAGGTAAGTCGATCCTGCGCCATGTTTTGGTCAAAGCCCTTGCCTGATAAGTAACTAACCAACTTGTCAAATCACAGTGCGATGTCCAACCTGTATACCGAGACCCTGTTCATGATTTCGGTATCTTAAAGTTCGACCCCGCAAAAATCCGATATATGGAAGTCACTGAGCTTAAGCTCCAGCCAGATGGAGCGCGAGTCGGCACAGAAATCCGTGTCGTGGGTAACGATGCTGGAGAAAAGCTGAGCATTCTGTCCGGTGTGATCAGTCGACTGGACCGCAATGCGCCTGAATATGGAGAGGGCTACTGTGATTTCAACACAAACTACATACAGGCCGCTGCTGCAGCCAGTGGCGGTAGTTCGGGAAGTCCTGTGGTCAATCTTGCTGGCCATGCAGTTGCTTTGCAGGCTGGTGGTCGAGCTGATGGAGCCGCGACAGACTACTTTTTGCCGTTGGATCGCCCGCTCCGGGCACTGGAGTGTATCCGCCAAGGCCAGCCTGTCACTCGTGGTACAATTCAAACACAGTGGGTCTTGAGGCCTTTCGACGAGTGCCGCCGTCTTGGTCTGAGCCCGGAATGGGAGGCTGCTATACGTGCCGCAGCGCCCACCGAAACGAACATGCTTGCGGCGGAAATCATACTTCCAGAGGGTCCTGCGGATGGTAAGCTGTTGGAGGGAGACGTGCTTATCAAGGTGAATGGAGAGCTTCTTACTCAGTTTGTTCGTCTCGACGATATCCTAGACTCGAGTGTCGGCAAACCTGTCAAGTTGCTGGTTCAGAGAGGCGGTCAAGACGTTGAGGTCGAGTGTCAAGTGGGAAATCTTCACGATATCACCCCCGATCGTTTCGTGACAGTTGCTGGCGCCAGCTTCCATGATTTGTCGTACCAGCAGTCACGTCTCTACGCCATTGCCACTCGCGGAGTCTATGTCTGTGAGTCTGCAGGCTCTTTCAAGCTGGAGAACACCGTGGCAGGGTGGATCATTGATTCAATTGATAAGAGGCCCATCCGTAACCTCAATGAGTTCATAGAGGTCATGAAGAACATTCCCGATCGCACTCGTGTCGTGATCTCCTACCGTCATATTCGCGACCTCCACACAAAAGGAACTAGCATCATCTACGTTGACCGTCACTGGCACCCCAAGATGCGGTTGGCAGTCCGTAACGACGAGTCTGGTCTCTGGGATTTCTCCGATCTCGCCGATCCCATTCCTGCCGAACCTCCTGTCCCAAGAGAGGCCAATTTCATTCAGTTAGACGGCATCAGCCAGCCTGCTGCTGCTGAGATTGTCCGTAGCTTCGTTCGTGTATCGTGTATCATGCCGTTGAAGCTGGATGGATACCCGCAAGCAAAGAAGACTGGATTTGGACTGGTCATCGATGCTGAGAAGGGTCTAGTGGTAGTGTCACGAGCCATTGTCCCTTACGATCTTTGCGACATCAACGTCACTGTGGCCGACTCCATCATTGTCAGTGCTAAGGTTGTCTTCCTGCATCCGCTTCAGAACTACAGCATCATCCAATACGACCCCAGCCTCGTCAAGGCTCCGGTCAAGAGCGCCCAGCTCAGCACCAACTATATCAAGCAAGGCCAGGATACCATCTTTGTCGGCTTCAACCAAAACTACCGCATTGTCGTGGCCAAGACCACTGTCACTGATATCACAACTGTATCAATCCCCGCCAACGCAGCTGCACCCCGTTACCGTGCAATCAACCTAGACGCTGTGACCGTGGATACTGGACTCAGCGCACAATGTTCAAACGGTGTGCTCGTCGGCGAAGACGGTGTGGTGCAGGCCTTGTGGTTGAACTACCTCGGTGAGCGCTCTGCAAGCTCTCACAAGGATGTCGAATACCATCTCGGCCTTGCCACTCCATACCTGCTTCCTGTTACTTCCAAGATCCAGCAAGGAGAGGTCCCAACATTGCGAATCCTGAACATGGAAAGCTATGTTGTGCAGATGAGCCAGGCTCGCATCATGGGCGTCTCGCAGGAGTGGATTAACAAGGTCACCGAGGCCAACCCATCACGACACCAGCTGTTCATGGTGCGCAAGGTTGACAGCCCTCCAGCAGGCGTCGTCCCCGACCCCAGCACCAGCTTCCAAGAAGCCGACATTATTCTCACGCTGGATGACCAGCTCATCACCCGCGTTGCAGAGCTAGATGTCATGTATGAAAAGGAATTCCTGGATGCATTGGTCATCCGAAATGGCGAGGAAGTGCGCATCCGCGTCCCCACCGTACCAACTCGGGATATTGAGACAGACCGTGCCCTTGCCTTCTGCGGTGCTGTTCTACAGAAGCCCCATCATGCTGTTCGCCAGCAGATCTCCAAGGTCCACAGTGAGATCTACGTGAGCGCGAGGGTGAGTTCCGATCCCTCGGTTTTACATCCATTGGACAGCTGCTAACACTAATCTTCAGAGCCGTGGTTCCCCCGCTTACCACTACGGTCTTGCACCCACCAACTTCCTCACTGCTGTTAACAGCGTCTCGACTCCCGACCTGGACAGCTTTATCCGGGAAGTCCGCAAAATTCCCGACAACGAGTACTTCCGTATTCGCGCCGTCACCTTCGACAACGTTCCCTGGGTTGTTACCATGAAGAAGAATGATCATTACGTGAGTCCTTTGCCTTTGCAACTCATGCGCCAGGATAAAAACTTGAACCACGTGCTAATGTTTAACAGTTCCCCATGTCCGAGTATATCAAAGATCCCACCACTGCATCTGGCTGGCGCACCATCTCTTATGAGACCCAAGCTGGCGCTGCACCCGACGCTGCCAATAACCCCGATGCCATGGATGAGGCTGCTGGGGGAGGAGCTAGTGATATCGAGCCGGATATGCAGTAAGTTCTGGCTCAGTGTCGATATTTACTACGTTGGGGCTAGAGAATCTTGTATTATATTTTTCTCGGCGCTGCCAGGGGGGGGTGGGTTTGGACCGGGGTTTTCATTTTGTCTTATTTTTCTGTCTTTCATTTCCATCTGGTGTATCTGCCGCAAATGGGCGGCTGAGTACAAAATCATAAATAATGCACATGTGCCACATCTTCTTTAGTTTTCTTTCAGGTTGAAATACGGTTGTACAAGACTAGGTCGATTCTTTATAGATTGGCTATCAAATTATCATGTTCCTAGGACATTTGTGTCTTTGGACTATTTTTCTATTCTAGTAATCATTCATAGCCTGTACAGTCATGTTCCCGGCCCCAGGTCTTTTTGGGCCTGATTGGCCCAGATACAAACAAGGCTGGAGGTTCTGGAGTATGTCCCGTAATGGACCCCAACTACCTATGTAGGCAAGTGATTGTACGTCAACAACCATATCAGATACAGACTCTCCGGAATTATATAGGTAACAAAACACCATTTATTCGGTGTTTCTTTGGTTTTGCTTTTTCTACTTTAGTCTAGACACCCTTTGAATTATAGATTAGGTAGAAACAGTGGAGTGGCGCACCTATATATATTTCAGTCAGGATACTATGCTAAAAGGAAAACAACAACCATATTAGAACCGACAATATTGAACAAATTATGAATAAAGAAGGGCGATAAAATTAAAACATAAAAGATATAAAATGAATAGAAGCTCGAAAAGATAATAAGTACACCAAGAGCAAAATCAAAAACAAAAAAAAGATGTGCATCATCCGTGAATCGAACACGGGCCTCGTCGATGGCAACGACGAATTCTACCACTAGACCAATGATGCTAGTTGATGTAATGGACAGCCCTATTATGTCACATGAGCCTACAAAAGCCCTTGGCCCTAAATGAAATCCCAACTATCCCATCCATGGATGTACTCAACTTCAGCAACATGATAGCAAAACAGGAACATAAGAACATCCAATGTAGGCCAAAATAACAATTCATTAACCCGATGCACCGATGGATGCAAGTATGCAGCTGTTGTCTAAGACCATAAAGAAGTGACCACAAGAATAATACAAGATAACGCCATGAGGTAGATACACCCGTAACACCGACATAAACCAATGTCCACCACTAAATTCATAACCTCCAAAAAAGGCCGCCGCTGTTCGATGTACAGAGCAAATTACAATCCAATAAAAAAAATCCCGTAAGGTCATGTTGACCACTAGGTGTTGAATCTCCAACCACCATTGAGTCGCAGCCGCTGTCGTTCGGCAACATCCCTCCGAATCTCCTCTTGAGTAAGTCCATCAGGTCCGGACCAGTTTGCACTGCTGGTGCGGTCACGGTATTTCTTGACTTTCTTGTCGGCCTTGAAGGTTTCTTCAAGTGAGAATGGTGCAATTGGCCCGAAGATCGAGTCAACTTCCATACCATCCTGCTGCCGGAGAAGACCTTCCAGTTCCTTCGCCTGTGCCCACTTGGGAACAGGGAACATCTCAGAGTCAGAGTCGTCATCGTCTTCACTGTCAGTGTTGATCTCCGGCAAATGGATATTTTCGCCATTGGGGTACTTGGGAGATGACTTGGCTAATGGGCGCTGAGCGGAGCTGGGAGCAGCCTTATGTGCGCTTGGTGGAGGAGGCGCATGATTTGGTTCAGCAAACGGTATCTTGCCGTTCGTGTACGTGATTATCGGGTGAGCAGGACGTTGAGGTTGAGCATTTCTGTAGCTGGAAGAGCCCGACTGGGGCGCGATGGAAGACTGCCCACGGCCAAGGGTAGAAGGCTTCATAGAGTCCTGAAGTCAGCAATTTATTCGTCAGGATATTGCATGGGATCAGATGTTACTAACCTTTCTGATATTTGATTGACGGATGGGCTGCGCCATTGTGCGCACAGGTGGCATAGGATTGTGCTCATCCTCTGTCTTTCGCCGTTTGAACTCGCCAGTTGATTGCACGTTACTGGGTTTAGACTGCGCGGGTCGGTGGTTGGCTTCATCATTGCCTCTCTTTGGCGGCTTGGCGGGATTAGGTGGGGGTGGGTTGATGCTGCGGCCACCGAATGGCTGAATTGAGCTACCCAATCGAGAAGCAGGGCGGGAAGAACCCAGATCACTTCGCTGCGAAGACTGAGAATATGTCTGCTCATGCTGTAGAATTGGTCCCTGAATGCTGTTAGTGGTAGAAAAAAACCCTGATCGAAATACCATGCTTACCTCGTTAACTATCTGCTGGCTGCCTTGCCTGCCATGCTTCCGAGCATTCTCTGCTTGTCTCCTTTTGATTACCTCCATATGGGCAGCTTTGTTTGGATCTTCCTGAGCTGACCGTTCGCGGCGCTCCCGTTCGGCCTGGCGCTCCCGTTCGGCCTGGCGTTCCCGTTCAACCTGGCGTTCCCGTTCTACCTGACGCTCTCTTTCGGCCTGACGCTCCCGTTCAGCCTGGCGTTCCCGTTCAGCTTCAGCACGACTCCGCATCTCCTGGCGACGGGCCTCTTCCTGTTGTTGCTGTTGCAGCTGGGCAACGCGTTTGCGTTCTAGCTCACGCTTTTGTTCCTCCTTCTTGCGTGCCTCACGTTCTTGCTCCTTCTTGCGGTCGCTGGCGACCTGAGCCTTGCGCTGGGCTTGCGTTTGACTGGAAACGGAGCTCTTAAAGCTACTTGCAGAAGATGACGCATGTAAGGATGCATTGCTACCCTTCTTTTTCAGAGTTGGTTTCGGGGCAGAGCTAGCTACGGACACAATCGACTCCTGAGATGATGGGACAGGGAGTTGCTGGCGAGACATGGTGCTGCCAACACGAATCGACATGGGTTGCGGCGTTGGGCGTTTCATGGGCTCGCGAGTGGGTTTGAGAGGACGACGGTCATTTTGCTTGGGCTGAGGGATCGCAAATCTTGAGCTAGACCCCTGAACCGATTCAGGTTCGCGCGATTGTTGGCGCTGTGACTGCGAGGTCTTGTGTACTACCGAGCCTGCCCTCTCTTCTGGCTCGACTGACGAATTGTCTTGAGCGGATTTAACCTGGAGGGCTCTTTGCTTTTCTTGTTCCCGAGCTCTCTCAACACGCGCTTCTTCTTCTTGATCCTCACGCTCCTGTTCTTGCCGTTCGTGCTGGCGCCGTTTCTCTTCTTTCTCAGTTGAGCTTCGTGTCCTACGGCCTTCCGGACGTTGAGGACTGGGGATAGGAAGAGGGAGTGGTTGAGAGAGATGTTTGGCATTTTTAGCAAATATGTCAGCAGTTGACTGGAGGCGTGCTGGCTCAGGCGATGAGGGTTCCATCCGGGGGGTGTTGCCAGTGCTTGAGAATAAGCCTTTGGCAGATTTCATAATCGAGTGCAGTTTCAGTTTTGATGCACTGATATGACCATCGAAGCGCCTCGGCGAGCCCGTCGGGGTAGTAGACGCATCGGCAACGCCATGAGAGAAAGAAGAGTTTTGTTGGTGACTGTGCGGTCGTGGGGAAGAAAATATCGAGGCGGATGATTTGGGACGTTCAGGCTCTGTTTTCAATGTATCTTTTTTGTTGACCGCTCGCGCCTTTTCGAATTCAGCAAGCTTCTCCATTACATCTGTGGTCTTGCTCTTCGAAAGCTCAGATTTTTGGGGAGAGCTCAGAGGCTTGATCCAGTCATCGTCCACCGACATAGGCTCTGCAGTGGAAGACTCATGTGCCCTTTCATTCGAAGCTTCAGACTTTGCCTCAGCCTTGGAAGCTGCAAGGTCTGGGTAGGGAACCTGACCAGCTGGTAGCCCAGAAGCGGATGGGATTGACTTTCTGGGTCGAGATGGCGGGAGTTTGCCTAGCATGCTGATTCTATCATGCAAGGACTGGGTAGACTTTTTGCTGTGTATCCTGGTAGCCTGCTCAGGATCCACTTCTTCACTTGGTTCTTTCTCATCATCAATTTCTAACGCTCTGGAACCGGAATTATCATCTGCTGTAGCTTGCGGAAACCTTTGGCCGCCAGTCTGCCTGCCAAAGTAACTGGGACGCCCTGCGGTACTCATTTTCGCTAGGTCAATATGGCTTGTACGAGTCTTCAAAGGTTCCCGCGCAGGAAGGGTGGCAAAGCTCAGGCTGCTTTTACGAGCGAATGGCCGCTCTGGAGTAGAACCATCTGAAGGAGAGCCGATATCATCGAGATTGTCGAGAACTGTGTCGTCTTTCGTAGGATCTTCAATAGCATCCTCCATATCCCTGTCTACTAGGTGAGACTCTTGCGTCTGGATAGGTGAAGCCACCGGGGATACTGGGGCCTTTTCTGGGGATGGATCAGGAGTTGAGACTGCCAAATTACTCTCCTTTGGTGGTTCAGGATCCTCGTTCGGTTGCTTTTCCGAGATTTCAACATTTGGCTTCGATTCTGTGTTCTTAGTCGGAGTCGAGATTATTTCAGTCTCAGATTCTTTGGGAATCGATGTAGCCGGAAGCGTTGTTCGCTCCTGTATTGGAGTTGGGTTCTTGTTCGGCTCGACAGTCTCTCCGCGGGAGCGGATCTCTTCCCGCGCAGAGTGGAAGGAATCTTCATTTGTTTGTTGACCAACCGAAATTTCGACCTCTTGAGTACCCAGATTCATGCGTTCGTCGTCTTCAAAAGGCTGGGTAGAAGCCTGTGATTCTTGTTGCACGTCAGGCAGTACCATTTCATCATCATCGGGCATGCCATGATAGCCCGAGTCAGTATTGTATGTTGGGAACGAGTTCAGATTTTGGGTGAGATCAGGGTATTCGGATTGCGAAGCTTCCTCAGGCACGTTCTTGGTGCGGGGCACAGGCGATGCCGCCACGGGAGCGGGCTTAGAAACAATTCGATGAATGAATGGGCTCGGGCTGCCTTGGTTTTCCAATTGTTTCTGGGCGGATGAGAATATTTCACTCAAGGGCTGCAAGGGGACATTAGACAGGGACCACTGGAATCAATTCGATATGGAGAATACTCACCACTCGAGACTCCTCGGGGATACGCTTTCGAGCAGTTCGAGGCGTCTTGCCTCTCATCTTTCCGGGAGTCTTGAACACGTCCGCAAAGTTCCTGTGTCATTGTTAGCACTGAGCAGACGCAAAGCATAGTGTGCGGTCGCAACTTACGTCTGGCCCTTGGAGAAGATCTCGGTCATATGTTCATTCAACCAATCCATTTCGTGTCGGACAGGATATTCCACTTCTTCCATTTCTTGTTCCACTAGTTCGGCCATGTTTTCCTTCTCTGCTGCAATCCATGGTGCTGAGCCGACGGGCTTCTGCGCCCTCGCGCTTGCCGCCATAATCTAAACAATGCGCCGTTGGCGAAAATGGAGGAGATAAAATTAAGAATTAACGGCGTATGGAGATTTGTATGAATTGTAAATGCGCAATCATGGAGATTGTGGTTGTGGGTCGCGCTGAGTTGTCGGAGAATGGAGATGTCAAGAATCAAAACAGACCTAATCGGGTTCGATGGCAACGCGTGGGTCACGTGCTCCTTTGTGTTGTTATGGCACTTGACATTTTCGTTTTTATCAAACTTGAATTTCAATTGAAAAAGGAGACATTGGAAACACATTATATCACTTGTTATCTTTCACTACTTTAAGAATCCTCGTCGGAGTCCTCGTCGAAGTCCTCATCGGACTCCTCATCGGAGTCATCCTCAAACCCATGTGGATCCAGTTCACTCCTTCTAATGCGATTAACTCCATACCCATCAGCGATGTATTTAGCAACCACTTCCTCAGTAGGAACTGTCATGGGTATCCCTGCTTTCTCCAAGTATGATTCATTGATATATTTGAAACCAAAATCCCGAGGTAATGGGCGGCTCCAGTTGACTCGGAGAGGGGGATTCAAACGTTCCTGATCATCCAAGCGCTCTTGCGAGGGCCGCCAGGTCACAGTCGCAAAATAGTACTGAAGCTGACCTGGCGCCACCTCATCACGTACCCAGCGCCGTTTGCCAAGCATGGAACTTCCTGTCCATCTAGAAACCGAAGTATCAGCCTTGGCTGCGAGCATGTTGGTGCCGTCAGCTCGTTGGAATCGCCATTTGTCGGCCATTTCGCCCGCAATGTAGTTCACTTCATCTTTGCGTCGCTCGATGCTTTCAATATCGATATAAAACCTGGTGACGCTAGAGGGCAGTACGAGTCGTTTCCCCCAGGCTCCTTCGATGTGCAACTCCTCGTTTTCTTCCCACATCCAGGTGTCGGTGTATCGGACAGTGATCGTGACGGACTGGGGATAAAAATGACGCATCTGAAAGATTCCATCGAAGTCTCTGGTGCTCTCGAGCTTCCATAGCTGAGGAAACACTCGAATATGGCCGCCCCGCACTTCGCCATGTCGATCATAAATCAAATCTAGGCCTGTTTGCATTTCCTTGACCGTAATCATTCGCCCAGGAGTGCGATCCTGGACGGCCATCCAGAATGCATGCTCCGAACAGATGAAAGGCATAAACCATGCCTCCATATAAACCTTCTTGCAAGTTCGGAGCAATTCTGTGTAAGTCCGATGGCGGGTCTCATACCCTGGTCGGGTGCAGTATCCATATTGCCCAGGTAGTTGCGTGGTATCTGGGGCGCTTGTCAAAGAGTAGGCGAAGATCACATAGCGAATCTCTGGGGGGAGGATTGAGAATAGATTGCTTTGGGTCTGCTCGTTGTACTTTGTAAAACAAGCAGGAGAAAGGTTCAGCTCTGTCATTTTGAGCAAGAAATTTGTTTTAAGTGAGAATGGAAGTAAGAAGAGAAATTTTGGATATCGCTGTGCACAATATACGTCTTACTGCGCGGGTCGAACTCGGACCTTGATGCTGGCACGGTGCTGCCTGCGATATTAGCGGGGATTGACCAACCACATCATCAGGAATGTGTTTGTAGGTTATGCCTAACAGGGAAGCGAGATACATTAAGACTAAGAAACTAATCTCTATAATTCACAACGATGCACTTCAACTAACAATTTTCATTCTTTTCAAAAGCCAAATTATCATTGCAAAACTGCAAAGTCCATCGATTCCTTCATATCTCATCCATATCTCCCGCAGTCCATTTCAAAATGTCCTTCCTCTTGGTAATGTTTATCAATGAGGCATTTACTTGAAATAAGGGGTTTCCTTACTCAGAATCCTCTTTGATCTTCAACTTGTCCAGGCGTCGGAATAGAATCCACAGCAGAACGGTCGCTCCACCCAGAAGCCCCGTCAGGATGGCATACATCGTGGCCAGATACGGGTCCTTGGTGAGTGGGGTGAAGGCTAGGGCAAGACATGTCCCGATCCCAGCCATGGCGAGCCAAATTGCTTGGACTAGGGTCTTCATAGTCTTGGGTGCATTGTTATAAGCATACTCGGTCCCGGTGGTGAGGCAAAATACCTCTGCCAATGCTCCTCCAAAGTACGTTGGAACCTGGAGAAAGACTGAAATCTGGTTGGGAATAGTGTGATCATTGGCAGCAGCACACGCGAGTGGCGCATTGTAGCATGGTCCGGTCTGGTAGATAAGCTTCTGAATCACCGTGGTGTAAACCATGGAGAGGGTCAGGAAGACGAATCCGACTGTCATCCGTGAAATCGGTCCAAATGAGACTCGTCTTCTTGTTAGGTAAGGATAAAGTCCTTTTTGAATGATAGGCGCAATGATGATCCCCGATATGGCCCCAGAAATCTTCATCATGTCATTTGGAATCCCGTACGTGACCATCTGCCCAGCCTGGGAGATCAAGTTGTTGAATGTCTGATTATAGCAGAGCCAGTGAATAGGGAATAGGAGCCTATGTATCGGTTAGATTTTGCTATATAATAGAAATTGCATTGACTTACAATACTCGGCAAGTCAGAAGACTTCTCTTGATTTCTTCAATAAATGAGTCTGTCCAGGGGACTGGGCGACTGTGTTGATGAAGCTGGGCGCCTGGTTTTGCGGCATCCATTTTGAAACCACCGGTGATCCCATATTTCAAGGCAGAGCATACCTGGGGCATAATGTTGCTTGTTGGCAAATGCTGGACTGTTGTATCCAAATGTTAGTTAATGGATTTATTACCGTGATAGTAAGCACACTCACTAAAGTATTTGCGACCAAATAGTATCGGGATCAGGGCTAACCACATGGCGCAGCATGGGATCAAGTAGGCGAGCCAAAAACCAACATACCGTTCCAATAACGGCGTGGCATCGGCCACGAAGCCAACAACGTTAATGGCCCTGTTTTCCAAATTAGTCAGATAGCAAAAGGGAGATATCAGTATACTTACCAGTAAAATACATTATAGATATAGGTGATGGTCAACTCCCGGCTAGTGACAACCCTCACTCCGTTTTTCTGAGTCTTGATTCGAAATTCAGCTTCGTCATATTGGTCGGCTAAACAATATCAGCCTCTGGAGTGGTGCACCTGAGTATAAGATATCAACTCACCAATAAATGGCACTACAGTAGTTTTGAATGCGCCTGATCCAATAGCCAGCAGTATACAGGCAGTTATTACCCCGGGCAAAGCTGCGCCCTCACGAATGGCGATGGGCAGGGACGTAGCAAACAAAATAGTTGCCCCGATGGCCTCAATGCTGCTGTAGTATTAGCCATCAAACAAGTCGAAAGGGAATGATAAGATAAAGAAATAAAACTTCACAGTACATAGCAGAGTATATCATGGTTTTGTAGCGGCCCAGCCAGCTATCGGCAACAACAGCAGCAGGCACAGGCACGATATACGACCCGATTATCAGTGCATTGACGATGTTCGATGCAGTGGCCTGATGCAAGCCCAGTGCTCCTGGCACCTCACCACCGGGTACATTTTGCAGGTAATTCTCTGTAGACACAGTCAGTCAAACAATATTAGAAACAGGGAGGTAACACGCACGTAGAGGAGCGGTTGCCCCGTACCAGACAAAACGTTCCAGAATGCCCGCGAGGCATGCTATCCACAGCCGAACAGGAATTTTGTCAACGATGTGAAGAAGATTTTGCACTTCATCTTCGCTGGCCACACGACCGTCATCGTTGTCCGACGGGTTCGCTATACTGCGAATGGCACGGAGAGCCACATGGTCTTTGACATCAGAAGAAAGACTTGCATTCTGTTCTGTTTTCGGCAAAGAAAGAAAGGCACAGGCATCAGTATCATCACTCGCATTACGAGTTTCAAGAGCTATCACCAACCGTGACTGTAGGCTAGGCTCTGCGGTAATATCCGTAGAGCCGTGAACATCAGGCATAGGGCCCGACATTTTTGAATATAGATTTGTTTGGTAGCAAGGACACGTTCGACTTAGTTGACGGGAAAATCTTCACTAGGAAATGTGGATGCAGAGACAAGAGGGAGGGGGTTTTTAAGCTGGAAGAGCGAAGACGCTCTAAAATTTGGAGCCGTCGGGGACCGGCGGGCCTTCTAAAGCTCTTAACTGCATTTGGGGCTCCGAACCCCGTGATTTGGTGACAGGGATTAGATTTAGGACAAGCGAGTGCAACATGTTTATATGATGTGGGAGAAAATACTGCCATTTTACCACTAGACCATAACGAAAACCAAGTTCCTGTTTAGGGCCTAGGGCCATATCCCAGTCTGACATATGATGAAGAGATACAACCCACGCTCTCCAAATACCAGCGTGTTTCCCCTACTATCTTCAAATAGGCCCAATAACACTAAAATGCAGCTCTAGAAAATCAATTGCGCTTGAACCCTGAGTTGCGCCACAGTATACGGAGGCCTCGTTCTGTTGCTTATTAGCATTTCTTGCTCCCTCGCTTTATTAGTGAGGGGGTTTTCCTTCCAAGATTACTCTTTACTATTACCGCAGCGCGACCTCGTTGTATTAAGCAAGAAAGATAAAAATTTTGCAAGATTTCTTTTCCTACATGCTAATAACCCCTTTAGACTAGAGATGCAGCAGGTTTAGTATACTAGGGCAAGGTATATTGATAGATAGACAGGCTGCATTATAGAGTGTATACATGAATGCCAATTTCTCGTGCAAACGATTCAGCTCGAATGACCCTGCGTATACCACGAGGCAGCAGCCTTCTCCCCGTCGAAATACAACCTCTCACCCGTCATATTCGTCCGATCATAATACGCCGTAGCGCTATTCTGGCCCGAGGTGAAGGCCGCTGTCTCCTTGCCCAGTTGTGCATTCACATGATACCCCTTTCCCTTATCAGAGGGTTCGGCAAAATCGTAGTCGTCGCGGATAGTAAATGACTCTCCTGTATCGACAACGTGGCCGGAGACACCCTTGATGGCAGCTGCGTACGATTCTTGTCCCTGGAAAAGAGTGGTTAGAATGAAAATATGTGAAATTCCACACATGCGCAATCCATACATTGGGCATGGTATGATGCGTCACATAGGAGCTGTGCGAGTCGGCTCCACTTGGTCTGCCGGCCTCGATGAACTCTTCCACCTTGAGAGTATGTTCGCCATTTTTGGTCACCCAGTTAAGGGCATCCTTGCGAGGATTGCTGCTTGGAGTGACCTTTTCTCGACCCATGATAAGATTTGATAATATCTGTATGGAGATGGAGTTGATAAGAAATTTATAGTCAACAGTCAACATAATCCTTGCAAGACAAACAGTCCCATTTATATTCTGCTTCTCTCCCACAGCAGAGCCTCGTTTCCAACCCCGCATCAACACGAGCGACGAGGATAAAGCAGTGGTGTAGACGTAAGTCCACAATCAGCTCCACTATACGAGGCTGATTGAGGCAGTGCAATTCAAAGTTTGTATTATAAGTTCGCATCAGCCTTGCTCGACGTCAAACACACCTTCGATTGGAACTGCCGAGTGAACGCCCACTCACATGCCCCTTAGGGCCTCCGTTATTACCTTGATTTATTATTCTTATTTTTTGATCGGGTTTATTATCCATATCGAGGCCTAAAGCTATGACAGACTGTGACTCCGAGGCAGGGAGGAGGCTCTTTTGGTTCTTGGGTGTCTTTCAGATCCAACTTTTGATGCAAATTTATGTAGAAAAATGCAAGAATATGCCAAGATCTTCCTAGTTAGTCCTATTGATGCTTATTTATGGATGAAGTGTAGGAGCATTACTAAGATAGTTCTATGATACCGAACAGCATAGAGCTGGCTACAGAGCTTTCAAGCCAAAATACAAACTACTCGTGACGCAAGGGAGGCATAATGAACAAGAATTTGATGATATTGGTGAACTGAGAGGGTGGAGTCTAGCTACTAGGTAGATAAGCTGGCCGATTGAGCCTCATGCATTCTCTTAACACAAACCTAAAGTGTCTACAGAATACGAGTTCCTTATTCGCTTTTTAGCAGGCTGGGGAACACCGCGTCGGACTGATCCTGAACACCCCGAGCCAAAGCTTCAGTGGCTGCGTCCAGTTGTCCCGCCTTAACCGCCTTGTTCACCCATTCATCTATAGGCAGAGCATCCAATTTCTCGCCATGTTTTGTCTCCAGGTGAGCTTTCAGCTCTGCCACTGGGACCTTATGCTCTGCGCAATGATGCACGAACTTGAGACCCGTCAACGGCGCAGAGTGCAGAGCAGCTACTACGCCGCCCGCAACTTCCTCCACTGGCACCCAGTCGAAGTTTCCTCGCCACGACGTGAGAACAGGCACTGACTGGATCTTCAATGATGCATCGATGATCCGCTGCAACAAGTCGGTTTGGGGAGTTCCATCGCCAGTGATGTTGCTAGGTCGATGAATCCATACCGGGAGCTGGTGGGCTTCGGCGCATCGCTCCAGGTATACTTCGCTTGCCCATTTAGACGATGAGTATCCATTTTGGCCACCAGATGATGGGTGGTACTCTGCCAGCGAGACTGGTGCGAGAGTATCCATCTCGAATAGTCTCGCGACACCCCCTGAGGAGATATAATGGAAGGGAATGTGTCGGGGGGCTGCCATCGCCGCCAGTGCTTTTGTACTGTCCAAATTAGGCGCACGGAGAGAGATGTAGGTCCGCAGGAAGGACACGGCTGCACCGTTATGGATAATGCGGTGGACGCGTTGGGATAAATCCATGTATTGCTCAGACGACAAGCCGAGAAGAGGCGAGGAGAGGTCACCGGGATATTGGATAATTTTCGGGGATGAGACAACCGGAGATCGAAGAGTTCCATCAGGGCTGGTTCGGATCGCAATGCAATGGATTCTGACCACGTTGGGGTCATCGACTAGTTGTTTGAGGATAGCTGATCCAAGGAAACCAGTGGCACCGGTGAGAAGAACTTCCAGATTCGTGGTTACCTGTTGAGCGTTGTCTGTTTCGTCTGTGACTGGCATAGTCGAAGGCAAAACAGGCAGAGTCTCTTCATCCCAGTCAATGTGCGTAACGGAACGCAAAGGGTCCGCGGTCTCTAGTTTGCTGGCCATGGCTGCAAGCGTGCTTTGCTGGAAGAGGTCGGCTACTGGGACTGTGATGCCGAATTGACGGAAAACTAGGGATTGAAGCTTGACCAGCAAAACTGAATTGCCACCGACGCTGAAGAAGTCGCTGTCGGTAGAGATGGTAGCATCACCCAAGATGGGAAGGGCCTCGAGCCAGAGTTCCTTGAGCTGGAGTTGTGTATCGGTGAGGTGACCTGCATCATGCACAGATTGCAGCGTCGGAAGTGGCAGGGCATCCACCGCGGGTTGGTCTAATTTTCCAGCTGAGTTCACTGGAAGGCTGTCCACAACAATGATCCGGGATGGACACATGTACTGGGGGAGTGGTAGGCTGGTGCGCAACCCCTCGATGAATGAACTGGAGTCGGATGATAAGACTTCCTTGGCTGACAGAACAACGAAAGCCACCAGAACTTGATTACTGGAGTCTCCGGCCTCCAAATCTCCTCGGATGGTAGCGGCCGCATTGCTCACGCGACCGACTGACGTCCGGATAATTGTACTAGCGATGTCATCAAGTTCGATGCGGAAACCCCGGAGCTTCCTTTGGTTATCGCCCGCAATACGACCTAGGAACACGATGCGTCCATCTGGCAAGAACTTGGCCTTGTCGCCGGTGCGGTACATGCGATTCCACCCATTCTCGATCCATGCAGCTTCCGCAAAGGGATTAGGCAGGAATTTGGATGCTGTCAGGTCATCCTGATTGAGATAGCCCTGGGCCACACCGGCACCTCCCAGATAGAGCTCCCCAGCGAAGCCAACAGGCACCACTTGTTGGCAATCATCAAGGATGTATGCTGAATAATTGGGAAGAGCACGACCTATCGGTGGATGGCGAGTGTCTCGGGGTGCCGAGGGACTCAATTCGTTGGACCCATGGCAGGCGAGGACGGTGGCTTCAGACGGACCGTATGCATTTGAAACCTGCAGATTAGTGAGATGGAGCGCTCGGAACTCGTCGACCAGGTGTGAGGTCACTGGCTCTCCGGCCTTGAGTGCGAACTTCCACAGTGAGCATTGTCGCAGATCATCCGACCCGTACCGGATCAGGCTCAATGCCTGAGTGGTAGTCATGATGGTAAAGGTGATCTTCTCCTGATGCATCAAACGCGCCAATTGAGCAGGGTCTTTTCGAGTCGGAGAAGAAGCAACCACGACAGTGCCACCTCCGAAAACGCCTTGATAGATTTGTCCTAGAGAAACGTCAAATCCCCAAGACGTTTGTTGGAGCACGGTCTCTTGGCCAAGAGCATATCGTTCTCGTAATCCCGCAACACTATAAGCCAGATTGGAGTGTTTGATCACCACTCCTTTGGGGACGCCAGTAGTGCCACTCGTGTACAGGATACAGGCCACAGACGAACCCTTTGAAGCATCGGGATACTGGACAGACCGTGTCTCGCTTGCTCGTGGAGTAAACTGGGTGATTATAGCGTTGGTCTCAAATTCTCGAGCACGAGGCGCGGTGGTTTCATCACACAAGATCAGCGCCATTTGGCAGTCTTGAACCATGAGATTGAGTCGGCCGACCGGATTTTGCACATCGAGGGGCACATAGACACAGCCCGTCTTGTGAATTCCAATGATATACACGAGTATATTGCTGCTGGGCTCACAGTAAACGCCCACGCGGTCTCCAGGCTGGATGCCTGCCTCAACGAGTTGATGGGCGAGATCATCTGCAGCAGCGACCACCTGATCATACGACAAACGGGCGCCTTGATCGTCTAAGATTGCCGTGGCAGTGGGCTGAATGGATGCCCAGTGCGCAGCCCACCTAGAGAGGGTCAGAAATCGAGGAGAAGGGCTACCTGAGACTTGGCCGAGATGGAGGGCTTGCTTGGATTTCTCTGGTGGCGCTAGGTCGACGGTCTTGATGTCACGGCTGGGATCCTGGCACAAAACACTCAGAAGATGAAGGTAGGTCTCAACCACAACAGAAATTTCGTGCTCGGTGTAGAGATAGCGCTGTGACTGCACCGTTAGGTGAGTTGAACCATCCGAGAGCGTCTCAATTTCAAAGTGCAAGTCATATGCATTTCGAGCATCTTCAAAGTCAAGGGCATGGGCCTGGCATTGGCCTAGGGGGACAATTTGGGTGGATCCCATCTTGTAGTTGATGGCCACCTGGAACAGCGGCTGATGCAACGTGCTGCGAGGAACGTGCAGTTCATCCAGCAACTTGTCGACAGATACACGCGAATGAGCCAAGGCTTGGTCCGTCTTCTTTTTGGTCTGCCCCACAACGTCGGCAAAAGTTGGGGTAGTCTCGAGGCGGAATCGAATGGGCAGGAGGTTGACAAAAAACCCAATGGTCTCTAAAAACTGGGGGTCATTCTTATTGGCATCCGTCATTCCAATACATAAATCGGTAACCGAGAGTAGCCTGTGCAGAACAATCTGCAGGATGGAGAGGTGGAAATGGAATGGAGTACACCCCAGACCCCGGGCAGCTGATCGAATCCCTTCAGTCAAATCCGAAGGCAGCATCTGTGTCATGCTTCGTAGCTTGTACTCCGTCAGCGGAGCGCGAGATTTGGTCTCCGCAAAGTCTAATAGAGGTAGTGTGGGAGGAAGATCGGGGAACTCCTGCTTCCAGTACTCTAGATCACACTGGACGCGTTCTAGCTTTTCGGATCGTTGCTTGATGGCAAAGTCAATGTACTGCGGGGGCGCGGGGGGCAGTGGCCGACCAGCATATGCTATGGCTAGATCGCGAATGAGAGTTTGCGCGCTGAAGCCATCGAAGGCGATATGGTGGAAGCCAATCACTAGGAAGTGCTGCGATGGAGACGGCGAAATCATGATGGTTCTCAGAATTTCACCGTTCTCCAGGTCATAGCAGTGGTGGCGTATCTGATCAAATGAGGCCTCAACCGATGCCCCAACCTTTAATTCCACCTGGAAGTTGCTTTCTGTGAGGACTGCCTGGGTTGGGTTGTGGGATTTCGGGTCATTATAGAAGCACGTCCGGAGAGCCTCATGCCGTTGGATCACGGAACAAAAGGCATTCTGAAGAGTTTTCCGGTCCAATGGACCCGCCACTTTGTAGGAGATTGTCACATTGTAGGTAGTCGGGTCTCGGAGGTAGCCTCGGAGGAACCAGAGTCGCTCTTGGGCAAAGGACATGGGACTACTTCTCTCGATAGGGAGTTCTTCCTGGCGTGAAAAAGAATTTCCCGCATCCGAATCAGCCTCCCCCTTTTCTGATGATGCTTGGGAGAGATCTGGGCTTTGTGATAGACTAGAAGGGACACTGGAGGAATCGAATATGGAAGTGGCGGAAGACGAATTCTCCGTAATCGAGGGTGTTGGAACAGCTGACACACATGGTGATTCTTTGATGGCCGGCTTGTTTTGGACAACCTGGATTGCATTAGTGGGTGACAATATAACAATGGAGTATGCGATGAGAACGAACCTGCTGGGCTGGTGGGGCTTCAGTCTGGACGACAGGGGCTGCGTCTGTCCAGACCTTGGTTGCCGACTCGTGGCAGAGTTCAGCTACTGATGCACCTCCCAGAACCTTCAACACCGGAATGTCGACGTCGAGCTCCTTGAAGAACCAGGAACGGATCTCGACGGCAATGAGCGAGTCCACGCCCAGGTTGATCAGCGGCTGGTGCCGTTCGATGGAGTCCTTGGCTGCTTGCAACATGCGCTCCAGTTTCGTGCAAAAGGCGTCTTGGATGGCGGCATCAACATCATCCAGGTTTTGGGCCTGCTGGATGGATTGCGTCAAGGATGCCTTGGCCGTGGTAGCGGCCTCGGTCTGATGGATTTCAGTCACTGAATGATGGGAGAATCGGTGGTTCTCATGCCAAAACGGCTTCTGGGTGTCTTCGCTCAAGCTGTGCCGGCTCAGACCAGTGATGAGCTCTGGGGAGTGATCTGACTGGGGACGGCCCACTAGGATGGCCTCAGAGAACATGTCCAAGAACTCGGGCTCGGCAATGGGCATGTAGTTGTACTGACGTAAAGTCGACTCGTAGATGCCCGTTGAAGATACGTAGCCTACACCCAGGACCATGCCGATGTGGAAGACTGAGGCAGCTAGCCCGCGCTGCCGACGCTGTTCGGAAATAGTGGACATGAACATATTGGCTGCTACGTAGTTGGATTGACCTCGGTTGCCGACAATGCTGGCCAGCGACGAGAATAGGATGAAGAAATCCAACGGGCGATCATTAAAAATCTCATCCAAATTCTTGGTGCCTTCGACCTTGGGTCCCCAGACGTCATGGAAGTCTTTTACCTTGAGCTCGGCAAACGACCGATCTGCAAGGACCATGGCCGCGTTAGCAACACCGGCAATGGGAGGCATACTGCTTTCAATCAGCTCACAGGCTGCCGACAGCGAGCCTTTATTGGCCACATCACAGGCAAAAACTGAGACTTGGGCGCCATTTTGCCGCAGCTCTTCAAGCCAGGTCGAGCTGACTCGGGCTGGGTTGCGTGTGGTGAGAGCCAGGAAGCGCGCTCCTTGAGAGACCATCCATCGACAAAGAGCCTGTCCTAGACCTCCTGTACATCCGGCCAGCAGATATGTCTTGTCAGAATGGAATAGACGAGCTGGATCCAAGGATCGTGCAATTGACTGCACGACACCGGAATCAGTGAAATCGACAACACTGGAGTAAGGGATATCGGCCCGTGCGCGGCCAGCCAGATTGGCGATAGGAATAATTTCCACCACCTGAGAAGTTGCGATTTGCTGGCGTGCCCAACCGAATGCCTTTTCAAAAATACTAGAGGCAACAGGAGTGCTGCCTTGAGATCCATCGGTAAATAGATCGTTCAATGTTAGAACCTCACATCCTGCCGGCACGATCTGCTCCCATGGGACCGATGTTGTTGATGCAAAGTCCAGTACGAGCTTAGTGGATGAAGGCACACTTTTTTGCTGAGACTTCTGCGAGGCATAGGGATGAATTGAGACATTGCTCACTAGAACACCCAGCTCGCCTGCGCGTTGCTGAATGACAGCACCCAGCTTGTCGTCCGCTTGGTGTAGTACGACCGCGTTTCCAGGAGACACTCTAGACAGCAATTGCTCAGCCAATGCGCCAAACGCCGTGATCTGGAGGAGGGCCTGTCCTGATACAGCGCTCAAGACAGGGAAGACGCATGTTGGCGAAGTGATGACGGTGGAGCTGTTGGTCTCGGCAAATGCAATGACGTTGACATGAGGGTTGTCCACAAGAGAGCCGTAAGAAACAAAGGCCGTCGTATGCGGGCCTACTTGAATAGCTGAAAGGAGCGAGTACAGGACCTTCACCTTCAATTGGCTGAGGTGCATGTCCGTCACCGTGGCGATTGGCTCGGAAAGAATATAACCGTTGGCCCGAGGCAGAATCTCCACGCCGTCCTTTATCGATGAGGATGTTTTGATCACCATTTTCTGCGCGTTCAATCTATCGTTTAGGCGCTGATCTGGCAGAATTCGGGGAATGAAAGTCTGTCCGTTCTTCAGCAGCAGCTCTGGCTCTGAAGTCCACAATAGGTCACTCTCCGGCTTGATAGCCGATCCAAATGCCAACCGGACCAGAGTTTCAGCAATCACGGTTGGGGTGAATTCATCTATCTTTGATTCCATGTCTAGATGCTGAAGAGCAATATGGGGATGCTCAGCGGCAAGAGCGCGACATAATCCGATGGACATGTTTCCGTACGGGTCGCCAGATTGACATTGACGAGAAACCCACAGAAGACGTCGACATTGCGGAAGAGATAGCTGGAGTGCTTTGAGTTTGTGCTGGGAAAAGTCCCTGAGAATGCTATCATCCAAGTCCTCCAGGATTACAAGCACGGGAGCTTGTAGAGCGGCAGGATGGCCCAATAGATCCGCCAAACTGTCAATTTGGTAAATTTGAGCTTGGTGACTGAGCAGAGGAGTGAGCATGTGCTGTGCTTGGACAGCAATGTTGGAGGTGCATCCGCCAATGATGGTGGTGGAAGGCAATGACCACTGGGAATTCTGATGCAGTGGTTGCCGAAGCAGCATGACATTCTCATCCACCGCTTGAGAGACCATAACCGACGTCATATGCTTTGATGTATCGATAAAGTCGTGGGTAACATTATCGACGCCCGAGAAGCCAGTTTCTTTCAGGAGGGAGTCCCACTGGTCTCTAGTGATGGTTGGTCCCATACGACGGCCGTCATCACCTCCGAGCCACCAACCCGGTAACCCAGACATCATCAATTTCACTCGGACAATTTCACTTGTAACCTCCAGCAAGACCAGGAAACCACCTGGTTTGAGCAGCCGACGTACGTTCTGCATGGTGGCAGACAGGTTCTTGGTCGCATGGAGGACGTTGGAGGCCACGATGACGTCGAAGGTTTGGTCTCCATACGCTTGCTCGGAAAGATCTAATTCTACATTCAGGGGGCGGAATTTGATCTTGTGCGCCCAAGGCTCGAAACGAGTTGCGGCTGCTTCGAAAAATCCTGTGGAGATATCGGTGTACGTGTAGCTTTCAAAAGTCTCCCCCAGCGACTCAAGAATTCCCTTGGTAGCGCCACCAGTGCCAGCGCCAATCTCAAGGATCTTTGATCGAGGGTACCTGTGTGCAATTTGCTTGAGAACTTGGCCCATGAATCCGTTGGCTCGCTGGAAGCCGAGGCCAAATTTGTAGAAGCGATTCAGAACGTCATCACGAACCATGTGCTCTAACATGGTTGTCTCGCGGCGGACGACCTGGGGGAGGTGTGTTCCCACGGCTGTAATTAGCTGCAGGTCGACCGAGTCTGGGAATCGAGTGACCTGGTCAAGGAGCCATGATGGATCATCAGTGGCCCATTCCTTTCGGATAGTTGGGTGCGTTCCTGATTCAATCCACGGGAAGAGGTAATCAATCCACTCGAAGATGCATTGGAAATTCCACTCCATGCCCGGCACTTCACTTCGGTCAACCTCTGCATTCAACAGCCGTAGATAATAATAAGATAGTCGTTCACAAAGATTAATGAGCTGCAGGTCTTCGGGAGCATCGTTTTCGACGGCGGCTAAAGAGGAAATTCCACTTCCAATGTCCAGCTCCCATACATTTTGTGAGTAGAGCTCCTTGTAGTCGTTGGGACCGGGAGGCGTGAGGCATGAGCAGCGCAGACCTTGGATCTGCACGAGGGCTTTATTTCCTTCCCTCAAGGCATAGAGATCTAGATCGGCAGAGATCGCTTGTCCGGAGGCTTCTGCAATTGATGCGACCACTTGCACCTGGTCTGCGGCCTGCACTAAGGCCCCGTTGACAATGCGCAAGCTGGTGAGCTTTGTAGGAACGAAAGGGGCTCGCAGACTGCCATCCCCAGGCCAACAGAATGCGGCAAATATGGATTGGAATGCGGCATCTAGGATGGCTGGGTGAATGGAGCCAGCCAGCGGAGGTGATGGGATCTGATGTAGGGTCGCACTAGACACACCCGATCGGCGGCAGATGGAGTTGAGACTGCGGAATGCCCCTGTATAGTTTAGTCCAATCTCAGTTAGGGCTCCATAAAATCGATCGACGTCGACGTCGACAAAAGCTCCCTCCAAAGCCGCCCTAGGAGGGAGAATTTCGGAATTGACATCGCCAAACACCATTCGGACATGACCGCGAGCATTAAGTCTCCATGATCCCTTGCCCTCGCCCATTCGTGAATAACAGGCCCACTCGGCGGTGATCATGTCGGATTGAGAACCTGCATCCCTCGGGCTCAAGGAAAAGAGAACGTCAACACCTGGAGCATCCTCGGATAGGGAGATAGCGTTGGCAATATCTACATCGTATAGCTCCAGAAGCTGGATGCCGCGGTCCTTTGCCACGTCGTTGCACGACTCTATGGCCATTACCAGATAAGCCGCCGCTGGGTAGATTACCTGGCCCTCGACTTTATGTCCATTCAGCCAGGGCAACTCTCCGAGGCGCAGAGTCTGCATCCAGCGGAGGTTCTGGTCGATGTCTTCGGTGGAACGGGATCCGAGTAAAGGATGCCGTGGCTGAGCCCGCCGGCGATAGTTGGCAGATTTGTTGGATTCCCTCCAGTACGACTGCCGGTGATCCCATGAGTAGGCGGGTAGGCCTGGGATCCATTGAGGAGCGATGGAAAAGGCGGCAGCAAACCGTTCAAAGTCCACGGAGGACGAGCCTAGTCTCGTCCATAGGAAGCCAAGAGTGTCACTCAAGGCGCTAACATCATGGCGATCCCGCGACAGAGTGCCACTGTAAGCGATAGAACCAGTAGTCGCCTGTTTAAACGTCTGATTGAAGGGCGACTTGAGGGCGGGATGGGGACCCAGCTCAAGGGCGATATCACAGGGCAGTTCTCCTGTCACGGCCACCTCCACAGCGATGGAGAACAAGACAGGGTTGACCATATTATCGTTCCAGTACTCACCTGTCAGTGACTCGACGTGTTCCTCGCCCTGCATGCGGTACCCATGTACACTCGATACCCAGGTACAATCGTCGCGCGCTGGCTGAGGGCGGATTCCGCAGGCAGCCAGAGACGTGGAGTAGGGGATTGAGCATTGCTCCATGTGCGGCGAGTGATACGCTGTGTCGACGAGCAATTTCCGAGCAAATTTGCCCTGGTCATCCAGAAGAGCTTTCGCTTCATAAACAGCGTCCTCATTTCCAGAGAGCGTGACGCTTCCGGGAGCGTTCGAGGCTGCCACATCCAGACGACCAGGGAAGTACTGTTCACAAAAGTCGCATGCATCTTCATAGCTCATACCGGCTGCCATCATTGCCCCTTTCTCGCCATCGGCGCCTCTAGCCAGTTTCGCGTGCACTCCGCGATAATAGGCGATACGGATAGCATCCTCTGCTGTAATCATTCCTGCGGCATAGGCAGCACCAATCTCCCCAGACGAATGACCAATTACAACATTAAATGTGACGCCAGCTATTTTAAGCAGATCGACAAGAATGATTTGGACTGCAGTGCATAATGGTTGAGCGACACTAGCTTCGGCCAGTCGTGACGAGGCGTGATCGGCCTGAATTTGATCGGCCAGCGTCCAGGAGGGAGGATCGGGTAATTTTTCCAACGAACCCTGTAGCCGTTGCACAATATCCTGTGCTACCGAAGAGGTTCGCAGTAGTTCTCGCCCCATTGTGGGCCACTGCGCACCCTGTCCAGTGAAGATTCCGAGAATTCGTGGACGATCCACCTTCTGGTCGATTCGCACACCCATGGAGTCCTCTTTTGTGAGGGAGCCTTGGATGCTTTGAAGAAGTGATGCGCGGTCATGCCCAGAGAAAGCCACTCGAACGGCATGCTGGGAGCGTTTTGACTGCAGAGTCAACGAGATATCTACCGGCGATGCCCTGTCGGGTGATTCGAGGAGATGGTAATAGCTTTCAATCTGGGAACGGAGGGAGATCTCCGAGTTGGCAGAGAACACCAAGGGAATGGGGATGACTTTTTCACAGGTCTGAGAGAGCCCGAGATGCTTGTTTTCAAAACTCTCGATAATAGCGTGGGCATTAGTGCCACCGAAACCTGAAATTTTGCTGGTCAGTCAATTATTACGTGGCAAGGAGGAAAGCCCTCAAGGGCACCCACCAAAAGAATTGACGCTTGCCCGCCGGGGAGATCCGTCGGCTACTGTGGGCCACGGCAAGGCGACAGTGGGCACTTGCAATCGGTTCACCCATGGAAGTACGTCTGGATTGAGGGTCTCAAAGAGCATGTTAGGAGGGATCACACCACGTCGCACCGCCTCGGATGCCTTGACTAGGCCTGCTAGTCCTGCACAGCCTTCCAGATGGCCAATGCCTGTTTTCACCGAGCCCACAAACATGGGCTGGGTGGATGCCACCTGGCCCTGCGATGGTGGAAAGAATGCCTCGCAGATGGCTCGGGCCTCAATGGGGTCTCCAGCTGGCGTGCCAGTACCGTGTGCTTCAAAGTATTGACAAGGTTCCTTTTCTAAGTCAATACCGGCACGTGCATAGGTTTGACGGATCAAGGCCGTCTGTGACACAGAGCTGGGTAAGGTAATTCCGTTGGTCCCTAGAGGAGCACGAGTTAATGGATAATGGCCCGGATCAGGGGCCAAACAAGGTTGACTTACGGCCATCGGAATTCACGCCTGTCTCTCGGACAATGCAATGAATAAAGTCGCCGTCGGCAATGGCTCGAGACAGAGTCTTCAGGATAACGGCGCTGAATCCTTCTCCCCGAGCGTAGCCATCAGCTGCGGCATCCCACATGCGGCTGCGCCCAGTGGGAGAAAGCATATGCAGTTTTGACTCAGAGATCATCATCTCAGGGCCCAAAATCAGGTTGGCACCTGCCGCACACGCGACCTGTGATACACCCTGTCGGAGTGATTGCACAGCCTCGTGCAGGGCCACCAGACTAGATGAGCAAGCCGTGTCGATAGTCATCGATGGACCCTTCCAGTCGTAAAAGTACGAGATGCGGTTTGATAGGATACTTCTGGCAGTTCCTGTCGCCATATATTTTGGCATATCTTCCGGATCGCGGAGCAGCATTTCATGGTAGTCTCCGGTCATGCTGCCTACATAGACCGAAGTGTCAGAGCCTTGCATGCGCTCCATGGCACAGCCTGCCGACTCGAGGGCCTCATACACAACTTCGAGGAGAATGCGTTGTTGTGGATCCATGGCCTCGGCCTCGAGCGCGTTTGTCTTGAAGAACGAGGCGTCGAATTGACGAATGTCTTCGTCCAGTGTGTATGCATGTTGCACATTCATACATCCCTGCCGTTCTCCGTCGGCATCAAAGAACCCCTTTGCATTCAAGCGGTCAGATGGAATGGGCTTCAAGATATCACGCCTCTGTTCGAGGAGTTCCCATAGTTTTGCCGGAGTGTTGGCGCCGCCAGGGAAGCGGCAGCCGATGCCCACAATGGCCACGGGCTCTGGTGTGTTGATCATTTTAGGAGGAATCAATTGGTGTAGTAAAGAGAGAAAAGAGACAGAGTGATAATGAGGATATATGACTTCTATTCAAACAGGATATTGTTGAACCTGTGACACCAAAGTTGATGTTGAAGAAGTTGGTTGCAAAACGATCATAAAAGCATGCGAGGCCACCCAATTGATATAAAATTGCATACCAACGTTTTATTGGCCTTTCGCATCGCCCGTAATAATAAGTATCCGCATGCTGTCTATTCTCGGAGTCAAGAATTGAAAGTCGCCGAGCACCTAGTTAGCATCATAATATCAATCCCACCGATAGTCGTCCCATCCTCCAATTGCTGTTTCTTTGTTTTTCTTTCTCTTCCATCTGATTACAACCTTTATCATTGTATACTTACACGATGTACAAGATCTTTTCGTCAGACTTCTTCAATTTTGAGTTCCTGAGAATTCTGGGGAACGCCGGCTGTTTGGGGGCCGAAAGTGGCGAGTGTCTTGTTGCACGCGCTCAGATTAAGGATGGAGACCCTGAGAGCTGGTATAGAGCCTGGACAGAGCAGGCTGATAAAGCTATCGCCCTAGCAGAAGAAGCCCGAGCCAGTGATGACAACGTGGGTGCCTCGTGGGCGTATCTGCGCGCCGCCAACTATTATCGAGCGAGTGAATTCTTCCTGCATTGCAATCCTGAGGACCCTCGCCTGCTCTCTGCTATCACAAAAAGTGTCAAGGCATTTGATACAGGGTCCCAATTCCTCGACGGCGAGGTAAAGATTCTCAGCATTCCTTATGAGAATGGGGCATCGCTGCCAGGACGGTTGTTCCTCCCTGCCAAGAGAGGCCCTCGACCCCTCCCACTAATTGTTCAAACGGGTGGCTTTGATTCGACACAGGAGGAACTATACTTCTATGGTCCAGCAGGAGCGTTGCCTCGAGGATATGCTGTGTTGACGTTCGAGGGACCCGGTCAAGGAATTGTCCTGCGACGGGACGGTCTCCACTTCCGACCAGACTGGGAGAAGGTGACCAGCAAGGTGTTGGATCTTGTTGAACATGAGTTAGCAGGCCTGTATAACCTCGACATGAATCGGATTGCGGTCCAGGGGGCGTCGTTGGGTGGCTATCTCGCCCTCCGCGCAGCAGCGGATCCCCGGGTGCGGGCCTGCATCTCGTGCGACGGATGCTACGACCTCTTCGACATTACACGCAGCCGTATGCCAGATTGGTTCATTAATGGCTGGATGAGTGGATGGCTAAGCGATGGCTTTTTCAATGGGGTCGTGGGCTTCTTGTCGGCGACTAACTTCCAACTCCGGTGGGAGTTCGGACATAGCCAGTGGATCTACGGTGTCGATACCCCGGCTAATGTCATGCGCATGATGCAGAAATTTACATTGAAAGGGGATAAGGGCGGGGACTATCTATCACAGCTCAAGTGCAGCACGCTCGTTACCGGGGCTGGCGATACCTTCTACTTCACTCCGGACATCAATGCCCAGCGGATCTTCGATCAGCTAGGCCACCTCCCTGACAACCGTAAGCAATTGTGGATTGGAAAGGGGGCCGATGGGGGTGGTTTACAGGCTAAGATTGGTTCGATTGCGTTGATGCATCAAAAGATGTTTGCTTGGTTGGATGAGCAGTTTGGGAAGCCGTGATGATGACCCCAGGTCACGTTGATCTTCCATAAGCCTGAAATTTAGATAGTACAAGGCCATTCAACTTTCATAGAATCTACAAACCTCTTAGGACAACGAACGAATGTCATTGAGATAATGGAAATTTCGGTGGTACGCATTTTATTAGGTATATGTTAGACTCACAATCAAGGCGTACCATAATATCAAGCACGAGCAAACGAAATGGGGGGCAGCGGGGGCTGCATAACAAGTCGCCGAACATATATCAAGAATCTATACCTCTATGTATAAACACCGGTCGCTCCTGCGTTTTATTTAGCCCCCTTCCACTTTCCATCTACCTCGAGTATCGGGTAGAGAAATATCCAGCAATGGCCTACATCGGTAAATTATACTCGTACATGCCCAATGCGCGGGTCTTGAAGGTACAGTTACTCAACAGTTCGGAGCATTTTTATTTGCCCCATCCACCGCTGACCTGTCTCAGATCCAAGCTGCCGCACGACTCAACAACGTCAGCCTCGACATCCCTACCGACTTCCAATTCGGCATCACCAACAAGACGCCCGAGTTCCGAGCCAAATTCCCCGCGGGAAAGGTGCCGGCTTTTGAAGCAGCTGATGATGGACCCTATATCGCTGAGTCTGACGCCATTGCGCAGTTCGTCGCAAGCTCCGGACCCCAGGCTACCATTTTGCTAGGTTCCACAGCCGTGGAGCAAGCACAAATTCGTCAGTGGATCTGCTTCGCTGAGAATGAAGTCTACGGGCATATGTTATCTGTCGTTCTCTGGCGCGTTGGGTACCAACCCTACAATCCGGATAATGAGACGAGGGGTGGGAAGGCGCTTCGGGATGCTCTGGAGATCGTTGAGACACACTTGAGTCGAGAGAAAGGCTTCCTAGTGTGTGGAAGACTGACTTTGGCGGATCTGAGCCTAGCATCTGCACTGTATTGGGCTTTTATGCATTACTTGGATGAGCAGCTTAGGGGCGAGATTCCTCAAACAGTACAATGGTATAAGCGGACTATTGAAGAGGAGGGGGTTAGGGAGGTGTTTGGGGAGCCGAATCTTGTAAGTGTGAGGCGGATGCCGGAGGAATTTGTTGCGTAAGAATTGAAAGGGAGTTAAGAAGTACTGATCCCATTTATTGAAAGGTACATAGTATGTAGACTTATGTTCATTTGAGCCAAGGCATAATCATCTCTTCTCATACAAGATAATATATTCACTTGTGGTATTCCGTGAACTTTCTTTAACTATGTTCCTTTGAATGCTTCACTCGAAATTTGATATTCCAACTGCAAACCAGGCCCATGAAGCGAGATCGACTGTCCACGTGTATATACGAAGGAGGATCAGCCAGCCCTCGAGGTCCTTTGTGGATAAGCCATATTACGTATCCTCGACCATAGCGTGGACTTTAGGCACAGTCGTGGGCACGAAAATGAATGAGGTGACTAGCGGCCAATAGTGTGCCACCAGTATTACCAGTATACTAAGCTAGGCAGGCCGAGCTACCTAATCCCGATTGTTACCCCATTAAGATATTATATCTGCCTCCAGTTAGGGTTAGCGCGAGAAGGAAGCACGCGTACGGTATTGGGACCGAAGAAGACGCGGAAATAAGATGTGGCAGAAATTTATTACTTCGGGTGCGGTAGTCGGAGCAGAGGAAGATATTAGGAGAAAGTCCTGTTCCTGATTGAGCCAGTACTAGAGCATGCAGGTTGAGGTGATAAGTGGGGCGGTCCACAGGAGTTTACATGAGTAAAAAATGAGTCCGGGTGTCATGATGGTCGAAATAGGGGCAGATGGCGAGAAAAATCACAGACGAAGCAGAAGGGTTGCACTGGTAGCGAAAGTGTCAAGTGATACCGTGGTTTTGGAGGATTGAGGTGATGTTGAATAAAGATGCTACATGATTTCGGATATAAGGAACGGCGTACAGGCTGGTAATTGGTCGGAGGATCAATAGTGGCTTGATAGATCATATATGGAGAACGATCGCCATTGAAGGGTCATTCCGTACTCTGATGCGAGGCGCTACTAGTAGTATTGTAACCCTGTACTCCGTACACGGAGTACATATTCGTTGAACTGATGGCATGACATTTGAAAATTACCCTCGGGTGTGAAGTTGAAAAGGGGAAAATACCTCTCGGCGAATTTCCTCTCTACGGGGATAGACAAAGGAGAAAAACGCCGATATAGATAACATAAGGCAAAAACGCCAGCCAAGACCGACTTAGTCTAGTTTTACTATTCTCGTTCCTTTAAGCTATTGTCCCGGTCTTGTTCTTGATTTCCTAGTGTATGCTCCATCACCACACACCATGGCGGCATCGGAAAAGGACGCAGAAACCACTACCACGCCAGCCGCGGCCATGCCAGACGAGGCCACGCCAGACAGCAATTCTTCATCAAAAAAAGACTTGCGATTCTGGCTCGTCTTTCTGTCTATAAGTATGGCCACTTTCTTGGCCGCCTTGGATACCTCCATCATCTCGACTGCCCTGCCGACAATTTCGGCGGAGTTGGGATCCGGAGAGCTGTATATCTGGGTCATAAACACCTACCTGCTCTCCTCGACTGTCTTCTCGGCCGTATTTGGCCAGGCATCTAATATCTTTGGGCGCCGACCGATGACTGCCGCAGCTGTGGTAATATTCGCCGTAGGCAGCGCGGTGGCCGGGGCGGCACACAGCACGGGAATGTTACTTGCAGGACGCACAATCCAGGGTATTGGAGGCGGAGGCATCGCTACCATGTCGGAGGTGGTCATCTGCGACATGGTGTCTCTACGCGAACGAGGTATGTATGCCGGTATCATCGGGGCCGTCTGGGCCGTGGCGGCTGTCATAGGCCCTATCATTGGTGGCGGATTCGCGCAGGGTGTATCCTGGCGCTGGATATTCTACCTCAACTTGCCTATTTCCGGAGTGGCATTGGTTCTGATCTTGACACTATTGAATCTGCGCAATCCCCGCAAAAGCACTAGTATGAGAGAGCGCCTGCTTAGCGTGGACTGGGTAGGCAACACTCTGCTCACGCTAGGCGTCACTTCCGTTCTGCTCTCACTCACCTGGGCCGGTACGACGAATCCCTGGTCATCATGGCGAACAATTGTTCCCTTAGTGCTGGGGTTAGTGGGATTGGGTGGCTTCATGGCATACGAGGCCACGCCCTGGGTCAAAGAGCCCACAATGCCTATCCATCTCTTTGCCAACCGCAGCGCCGCCGCACTCTTCGCAATCAGTTTTGTGCACAGCATGATGCTTTTCTGGATCTGTTACTTTATGCCCGTGTACTTCCAGGCCGTGCGCGATGCCTCGCCTACCCGGTCCGCCGTCATGCTGTTCCCCATCGCCACCACTACAGCACCTGCGGGAATTTTGGCAGGTGGTATGATCACGAAGACAGGCAAATACCGCGTCTGGCATTTCTCTGGGTTTCTGCTTATGACGCTGGGATGTGGTCTGTTTACCCTGCTCGATGAGAACTCATCGACAGGCCGATGGACTGGATTCCAGATTCTATTCGGAGTTGGTACGGGCGTCGTTTTCACCAGCGTGCTGCCGCCAATCTTGGCCTGCTTGGACGAGTCGGACGTGGCCACTGCCACAGCAACGTGGACCTTTCTCCGCAACTTCGGCTCCATCTGGGGCACTGCAATCCCAGCGGCTGTGTTCAACACTCGGGCAAATGATATGTTAAGTTCCATCGCTAACAAACAGGCTCAGGCCTTGCTTGTAAATGGGGGCGCCTATGAACATGCCACTAAGGCGTTTATGGAAACCTTCCGCGGCGATCCCAGCCTACTCGCCGCCATCAAACATCTTTATGTGGTTAGTCTGAAAGAAGTGTGGCAGGTGTCCATAGCCTTCAGTGGGGTGGGCTTCCTCCTTGCGTTCCTGGTGCGGTCGTATACCCTGCGCGACCAGCTCAACACCGAGTATGGATTGAATACAGAGAAAACAGCTTCTCCGGAGGCCCCGAACCCGGATCCGAATATTTGAAAGGGGCGGCGCTCATGTACCGTGCCTTCATTTAAGCGACTCCTCTAAATATGATCTGTTAGAATATCCAGATGGAGTGGGAGACCAATCAAAATATAGAAGTGATCCAAGGATGAGGCGAATACCAGCTGATATTACGAATTGAGCCCAAAAGGCTCATCAAATCTCCTGCAGGGAAAGCCCTCATAGAGTAGAATGAAGATAATCACTGCCATAAAAACCCCCATACCGGATCAGCTCGAGAAGCCGCCGAATGAGTGAAAAATTCACCGACAGTGGATCAGGCCAGGTAAAGCCTTAAACATGGAGCTTAGCCACGTGTCTAGAAGTTTTCCGATGTACCAAAATTCTCTACTCCGTAGTAGGAAACACACGGGCCATGGATTTCACCACCTTCCACAACATCATCGCAGGCGAGCGGCGGAGTTCGTCAACTGAGTATTCAGGCACTTCACCTACTACCTTATTGTCGCTCTGGCCTGCACCGGTGGCATCTTCGGACGATGTTGACGATGCAGTGGCTGCAGCCCAGGCGGCTTTCCCATCATGGGCGGCCAAGTCTTACGTTGAGCGTACGCGGTTGTTAGATCGGTTCGCCGATCGCTACCTCGAGCTTGCCGATGAATTTACCAAGTTGCTACAGGTGGAGACTGGACGGAGTGTATGTTTTGCCCAGATTCTTCGCTAACACTCCGAGAATCATATTGGATGTTGACTGAGGTCGGTGGGTTTGTAGACCCAGGCATCGGCGATTGAAGTGATATGGGCGGCTAACTGGCTGCGATACCCTGGTAAGTTCTGGTTTATAAGGGATGAAGGATAGTCTAACCAAGGAAGCCCAATATACACTTCCGGAAAAGCGTCACGAGGATGATGAGAAAACCGTGCTTATCAAATACGAGCCTCTGGGGACTGTGGCTGCCATTTGCCCGTGGAATTGTAAGCTGTCATAGGTTCCAAAGTTGTCCCTAGGGTTAACTGTGGTTTGTGTGCTAATCTGTATAATTGGGATGAGTAGTTCCCTTGATGCTAGGTTTGTTCATTACACTTTCTTGTTGTCTTTAATACTGACTAAGGTAGCCATTGGTAAGATCGCCCAGGCCGTTGCAACGGGCAACTGTGTCATCGTCAAACCATCGTGAGTTTTAAGCCTGCTATTTCCAAGTCATCAGTCGGTTAACAGGAGTCGAGGCCCTTCACACCCTACTCTGCCCTGAAGCTGGTCGAACTAGCACAGGAGATTTTTCCGGCCTCGGTGATTCAAGCGCTGGGGGGCGATGACCAACTTGGTCCGTGTCTGGTGAAACATCCTGGTATTCATAAAGTCTCGTTCACAGGGTCCTCTGCCACCGGCAAGAGGGTAATGCGAGCATGTGCCGATACGCTCAAGAGACTAACACTAGAATTGTGATCACCCTATCTATCATTGATAGTAAACTGTAGACTAATCTACCTTGTCTAGGGCTGGTAACAATGTATCCATTATACTTGATGACGTGGACGTCGAACAAACTGCCCTTCAGACTGCACACGCCCTCTGGTTCAATGCCGGACAGGTGTGTCTCAATGCTCGGAGACTCTTCATCCACGAATCTATCTATGAACCTTTTGTCCAGGCATTGGTCGCCGCCACAAATGCACTAGGTGGTGATCTAGCCTCAAACGTTGGACCTATCCAAAACGAAATGCAGTTTCAACGCATCAAAAGCTGCCTAGAAAACTGCCGGAATGAGGGATATCGATTTGGCACGGGCGAGAATCACAAGGCTGTTGGACTGTTTGTTCACCCCGTCATCATCGACAATCCGCCCAATGAAGCGTCGGTCATGCAGGACGAATATTTTGGTGGGAATTTCCTTTCATGCGCTGGTTATCATGGATATTTCGCTTATACACAACTAGGACCTGTTGTTTCATGCAAACCATTCTCATCTCTGGACAATGTGGTGGACTTCGCCAATCAGACAAAAAGTGGCTTGGATGCAATTATTTGGAGCAAAGATATTGATTTGGCTGAGAGTGTCGCTGTCCGCCTGGATGTCGGCAGTGTGTTCATCAATGGGCCTCCAAAGCCGGATCCTTTTGTGCCTTTTGGAGGCCATAAGCAAAGTGGAATTGGAGTGGAGTATGGATTGGAGGGTTTGCTGGGGTGCTGTCAGATTAAGACGATTCATCGGTATAAATAGATATAATGAGAGTTTGGTAATGCATATATCTGAGTCTTTGCTCCATCTGTTCGATTGAGCTTATTTGGCCGAGCGTCCTTTTACATCCGTCATCTGTGTCTCTTGCAATATATAAAAGCACAAATAAGGCCTAGAATCCTCGGCAGCAGCAAGACAGGTGGGGTGGCTATAAGCCAACAAGATGTGCGGCAATTGGTGATTTTCCGAAGCCTGACTGGGCTGATGGTGTCGGCGACTTTTAGAGACTCCACACAGAGAGATTATTGCACCACTTGCTCGAATAGAGGACAAATTTTATGTACACAGTAGGACGTTTATATTTAGATAAGTACTATTCTTCCGTGTAAGGCAATTGTCTCCATCACTACCGATTTGTCCTCAAAATGAACACCAACAACGGCACCACGACGTACCATGTCGCGACGCATACCCAAGAGGAGTCTCTTTGGGACTACTTGACTTTCAAAAATATTGTAGTCACAGTTATCCTGTTTACTCTCATAATTCCAAAGGTTTTGCAGGTAAGGAAACCTATGAATGATGCTGCCGAAGCATGACTGACTGGCCAGCGCAGTTGATCCAGAGGGTGTTTTCGCCCCTCCAAAAGGTCCCTGGTTCTTTTGTACACAAGATAACATCATGGCCACTGAAAATATCTATCACCAAAGGTGAAAGGTAACGTCTTTCACACCAGTATTCTATGATTATGGTTCTTATGATGAACAGCCACCACTTTACCGTCAACCGGCATAAAAAATACGGCCCCGTCGCCGTTCTCGCTCCGGGTATGATCTCAGTTTCTGATGCCCATGAAATCAAACGCATTATTCAAACGGAGGACTGGCCCAAGTCCGAAGCCGTGTATGGCAACTTCCGCCAGGATCCCGACCGCCCAACTCTCATCGCTTACACCGACAAAAAGGCGTACTCACAACGCAAGCGCCTAATCTCGTCCATGTTCGGTCTCCGCTATATTCGCAGCATGCAGCCATCTATGTTGGACTGCATCACGGTACTAGTCAAGCAGTTGGAAGCTCGATGCCAAAGCGCCGGTGACGGCATAGTGAAAGTCGACATGCAGCATCTCATCCAAAGCTTGGCAGTCGACATCATCGGCATCACCACCTTTGGCCAGAGTTTTAATGTTGTCGATAATGGGTCTCACCCCTTACCGGATCGACTCAAGCAGGGTCTCAAGCTCTCTGGTCTCCTACAATTCATGCCCTGGATCCGCAGCATCCCTTTTCTCCCCACACGCGACCCGTACGTGAACAGTTTTACAGCTGGTGTTGTCGATAACCGACGGTCGCTACTTAAAGGAGAGGGAAAAGCACCCCAAGACCTGCTCCAGAAGCTTGTCGAGGCGTCGGACAATGAGATCGCGTCGGAATTCCGCCTTTCGGATGTCCAGGACGAATCTGTGATCTTACTAGCAGCAGGCAGTGAAACCACTGCAAATGCGGAGCTCTTCACCCTCATGATGCTAATAAGGAACCCCGACAAAATGGCCAAACTGTACAACGAGATTGACTCCTGGTATCCCGCCAATGATAGCCGCCCTACCGACTGCGAATACAGCTTTACAGGCATGACATATCTGCAGGCGTGCATTGACGAGGCGATGCGTCTTGTGCCAGCTCAGGCAACAGGAAGTCCACGTCAGTGTCCCACTGATCAAACCATCCTCGGATACCGGATCCCTAAGGGGACGACTGTTTTCCCTGTTACACAGCAGGTGCAGTTGGATGAGACGTGGTGGCCGAATGCTACCGAGTATCTGCCTGAGCGATGGCTCAAAACAAATGAAGAGGAGAAGCCGTACTGGCCGTTCTCAGCGGGGAGTCGTGTGTGCATTGGCAAGCATTTTGCTTTGCAAGAGATGCATTTGACGCTTGTGTCGCTTCTGAGGAGGTTCAAGTTTGCGTATATTCCGGGGCAGGATGAGTCGACTCATTTTAGAATTGCACAACAGATGAAGGCGCCGCAGTACATGATGAAGGTGGAGAAGAGGTGAAGGGATAGTTAGTCATTGTGTATAGTTATCAATGGAGCATAGTATGTGGAAATGTTTATGAATAGATACATTTGCCACTTGATTCTAGTGATAGCAGATATGCCGTAGCTATAAAAATTCTCATAGATACTAGCACATTCCGGCCTTTGTTTTTAAAAATGATCCTTCCGCAATGTTACTTTTGAACAAGAGATATAGATGTTTGCTACCATTTTTCACTACGAGAGTCTAACCTGTACAAGGAATGCTCTATATCTAATTATTCCAACAGCACTAGATACTGCCGTTATTTTGTCATTTGTGAAATTTCCATCAGCCAAGAATACTCAATTTCTTCTAGTAGTGACGTTGAGTAGACCTCCGCAAAGCCCACAAAGCCCAAAGCCCAACCCGCCCCAACCCACTAATGGGCTGGGGCTTGGGGCCGGCCCATAGCCCACCGGTGGGCTATGGGCCCAAAAGCACCAAACAATACAAATGTTCCGAAAAACGTGACTTTTTTAATTACTATACATATAGACCCCGTTTCTCGCCTTTATCTAGGGGTGATATTTTATTATTCTAATTGATATATAGTAAATTAATAGTGAAATATATTAATCACGTTTGAAAACGCGAGAAGACGCGCGGTTTAGAAATTTTATAAATTATAGAGTTTCACCAGGAAAGTGGTAGTGCTCCTATATACATAGATCTAAAATATATATCTGATATCAAAGCATACATTGACCTTTTTTCGACCTCCACTGGTTGGATTTTATTTAAAACTAGAGTATACACTTATATAGTAACTGCAACTATATCTTCCAAATTTAAAGTCTATACAATTAGTAGAAGGGTCAGAATACAGCGATTACAAGATCCTAGTTGAACCCCCTTAATGGGCTATAATGGGGGCCTTATGGGCCCCCACGAATGGGCTGTGAGTTGGGTTGGGCTTTGAAGGTTAAGCCCATAGCCCACTGCTGGTTGGGCCTTGGGCCCGAGGTCCGGGCCCATTTATGGGCTTTGCGGAGGTCTAACGTTGAGTGTACTAGTACTATTGTAGAAAAGTTGAACTGCCATAAATGGTTAGTGATTACCCAAATAGGCCTAGTCAGATGTTACACTGAATCTCGCCGGAAGTCGCCGTATACTAACAAAATCCGCCGCGAGTGGAGACCGTATACATCAGATCTATCATGGCATCAATAATGTATGACACTTCCAGTATAGTGCCTACTATCAGACACCAAACATGGCGTCCGACAAGACTCTCGCCAACAATGTTCCCATGCAAGGCAATGGCTTCTACAGCTCAAACTCAGCACTCCAGTATGCGGCCATGCTGAATGCACTTCCATTACTGTCTGCTTCAGTAATCCAGAAGAACACCAATGAGGGTAAAATGCAAAAGCGCCATCTGGCTGCCATTGAATATGGCTCTGCGCATGGCAATAACTCGTACGTTTATTCCGTCGAGACAAGCCCTGCACACAACCAGGACGCTAAATAATATTTTCAGTGAACTTCCGATGAAAGAAATTATAAAACTCACCGAGCAAAGCACAGACGTGCAGCTTCACTTCAACGATCGCCCTGAGAATGACTTCACGACGCTATCGCGAAATGTCACAGGGTTCCAGTGGCCGACAGAGGGAACTAGACGGGTATTCACCTCCATGGTGCCCCAGTCATTTTATGAACCCGTGGTTCCCCCGTTATCCGTTGATATCGGATTCTCTCTGGCCTGTCTGCACCATTTGGATCATGTCGATCCTCGTCCGGAAGGCCGGAGCCCCGTCGACCCAGAACGTCAGATCGCCTTGCGGCACCAAGCAAAGAAAGATCTCCGTCGCTTCCTGAATCTACGCGCTGAGGAATTTGCTCCTGGCGGCTCACTTGTTCTCTCATTTGTCAGCAAGGCATCAACAGGAGAGGAGAACTATCCCGGTCCTGTCGATGCGTGCCGCTCAGCTCTCATAGATATGGTCAAAGAGGGCTTGATTCCCCTAGAGGTTGCGGGAGAATTTGAAGTGCCGACGTATAATCGGACTTTGGAGGATGTTCGGGAATCCCTTGAAGAGGTGAAGGGAGAATGGGCAGCCGAGGAGGTATACGAAAAGAAGGTTCTGCATCCTGCGGTAGAGGAGTTTGCAGCAAAGAAACAGGCCCATCCCCAGGATATTGACGCCCATCGAATCAATTATGGAAACACCGTGATTGATTGGCTGATGGCTGTTGTTGGGGGATATTTTGATAAGATGCTCCGTCTTGGCTTGGGTGAGAATTACAGTAAGGCTAATGGAGAGCTATTGCTGGGTGAGTGGGTCAAGAGAACCAAAGATAAGTTCTTGGAGAAACACGATGTTGAGGATGTTTACTGCTGGTTTATCTATGTGCGTCTGACGCGGCTTGAGGGACAATAGATGTGATTTTTGTGTTTTACTTGTGCATACAGGCAGATAGATAGACACAGTCAGGAAAAGGACCTTCAGCTCACATTCGAGCTGGGTAGTAAGCTGAGATATTCTACGAGACTCTATTGGAACCTCCGACAAATTTGAATATATTTACACAGTTAGGCTATAGTTCTTAAAGTCCACCCATCCGATGGAGATCGTCACCGGGAAAGTCGCCGATACTCAACTCGCATATATATTGGTCAGTTTATCGCGAGTCGTTTCGTCTAGTAATTTTTCTATTCATATATCTGCATAAAATAAGCAGATACCAAGAGAAAATGGTGCGAATTGCTTTAGCTGGAGGACATGGCGGACTTGGGCGGGAAATTTTGGACGTACTAGCTGCAAGTGGGCAACATGAAATTCTTATCCTCTCTCGCCGGGTGAGACCGACCTCTATAATGTCTCCATAGCAGACATGACTAACCGAGCGACTCTCAGGACAAACCAGCCGATGAAACGAGAGAGATGGTGGGCTGGGCAAGGGTGGATTACAACGACAAGGAACAGCTAGTGCAGGCGCTGCAAGACATCCACACCGTTTTGTCCTTTATTGTCGTTGCACAGGACAAGGGGAATGTTTCACAGCGTAACCTGATTGATGCCTGTGTTATAGCTGGGGTGAAACGATTCGCCCCGAGTGAGTGGGCAGGGTATGAACATAGCCCTAAGTAAGAAGCATCCGAATATGAAATAACACAACCTCCAGTGCGAGCACCGACGGTCTTCCCTGGTACGCTGGAAAGACAGCAGTCCATCAATACTTGCAGGAAATCAACCGAGAACAAAAGGTAGTTGAATCTAATCTAACAAAAGAGTGCTTGAATGCTTCCGAGTTAGGATAATGATACTAGACCTAGGTCCTGGAGTACTGCTGTTTCCGCCCAGGCGTGCTAACTAACTATCTGGCTTACCCCCAGAAAACTACCAAGCACCTAGAGACCTGGGGAATTCATGTGGATATGCAGAACCGACGGGCCATTCTCCTTGCCGACGGGAAGAATCCAGGGTACCTATCTCTCACGACTGTCGAAGATGTTGCAAATGTCGTGGCCAAAGCCGTCCTGTACGAGGGCCAATGGCCAGAGGTTGGAGGTATTCGTGGGGATGAATTGTCTATGACTGACCTGGTGGCACTTGGGGAGAAGGTCCGAGGTAAGAAATGTATCAAATAAGTCAAGGCTCAGATCACTAATAAGGGTTTCGACAACTACATAGGCGGCAGCTTCTCGGTGGAAAAAATAAAATCAGTACACGCGCGCATGGGGCGGTTAACGGCCTCCTGGGCTCCCGAGATGGGCCACACTGTTGTCTCTGAAGGGATGCGAGAAGCAGCAGCCAAAATCTTTACGGCAAAGACTATTCTGTCCATCTATCAGGCCACCTGGAGGGTCTCGGATGAATGGAATCAATTACTTCCAGATCATAAGTTTACTTCCGTGGGGGCCTTTTTGCAGGAATGGTGGTCTGATAAATAATTCAGCTCAAGGTGTTCAATATTGTGGGCGCAATGGGGGCCGACTGCTACGGCAGGATCTATCTATAGGCTTGAAATTGGCCGACCCCTTTCAAAGCTTTTTCACTGGGTATTCGGTGCTTTTATCGAGTAGCTTCTATTAAGATGTCAAAAGGAATCCTTAGAATTGAAAATTATCAACTACTTTACTACCTAGACGATTAAATACCCTGTAGCACGATGTATTTTCTTTTCGCCTTCTTGGTCCTCTGCCTGGCTGCCATAGGGTATTCACACCCGTCAGGTCCATCCGCGTCCCGCCCGGTCTCCATTCCGGCTTTCTGGACAACATACGGATACGTCTTCAATATTACCGTTGGCACGCCTCCACAACAACTTGCTGTCCTAAGTGATTGGACATGGGTATCACTTTTCACAAGATCCGGACGGTGCAATGACGTGTACGATGTCTCGCGCTGTGTAACCGAAGGACAAGAGTACTTTGACGAGAAAAAGTCCACCACTTTCAAAAACACAACGCTTGGATCATTCACCTGGCCCAATACAGCCTTTGCGCCCGACTTCACCGTTGACTATGGCCGTGATTCGGTGTGTACAGGCACTCTGTGTACCAAGCGTACCATCCTCCAGCTATCCGACTTTCCCTACGACGGCGACATCATCCCAATCCAAGAATTTGGAGGCATCTATGGTCTAGCGCCAGTAACCCCCCATGCCGACCCCCGATTTGTGCCCCACTTCTACCAAGCCTGGAAGCGCGGCGAGACCAGCCCGCGGGTGGGCTGGAACTCATGCGCAAAGCTCTCTTCCTCCCAGCCCTGTCTGGACGGAGACGCTAAATATGTTTTCGGCGGATCCGATACCACCTTGTATAACCAGTCCGAACTGACATGGTTCCGCACCAAGAACACATCATACATTACCGCCACCAAATCACTGTACTATCCCCAGCCTAATGATCTTTGGGCTACGCGCTGGACTGGCGGGTGGATTGCAACGCAGGATGGGAACTGGTCCCGCAACTATGCCGTGGACTTCACTAATGTGGGCCATGACAAAAAGGCTATTACCACTACGGCCATGGCTATTTTGGATGAAGGGTCTGAGGGCCTGGGAACAGCCTTGTCAGCGGATGCGTATGCGCAGATGGTTCAAATGACCTCGGCTTCACCCGCGAGTAATGAAACTATCGCTGCGATCCGCAGCCAGGGAACCTCCAGCGGTACAGGCACACAGCAGCAGCCGTGGTATCTAGTCAACTGTACCAATACGGCGCATTTCCCGTCTATTGTCTACGAGCTGGATGGTCGGGCCAATTATACTGTTGGGCCTGAAGATTACATCCAGAAGTTGTATGCTACGGGAGAGTGTTATCTGAATATCAATATATGGCCGTATGTTGATCAGAAGGGAAATTGGAAAAAAGGGAATTCGAAGGTGTTGCTGCTGGGGCTGGGCTTTTTGCAAAAGTTGTACGTCGTTTTCGATTATGAAAAGTCGAAATTTGGTTTGGCACCGTTGAAGGCGCAGTAGACCAAGGTCAGGAGATGCTTTGTTACTATCCGATTATACATATACTCTAGGTCTTTCAAGGTCGGCGGTCCTAAAACTGCTGATTTATCTTAATAAAATACCCTCCGTGGATTGTTTATCACTGTGCTAGCTAGTCATTTTATTTAAGTTGACAATTCTGGGCTGCGCTATGTTAAAAAGATACAAGTAAGGAACTATGCAGCATGTAGTAAATCTATATAGGTAATTCTAAAAGGTTGATTCGTAGATCAATCACTATATTTAGTAAAATATGCGTAAGTTTCAGATATATACAAGCATAGTAGGTAATACCCCTATATTAGGGATACTATATTTGTTCGAATACATATTTTGAACAACAAGGAATATAATATATTGGCACGGGCCAGACCACTCAGCCCCATTGGATATACGACTTCTCGCCTTAGGTAAATTAATCAGGAGAATGTTCGTCAAGAAAGCTCAACAGGAATGCAAGTATCACATCATACTAACAGATCGGTTGGGGCAACAACGGATTTACGGATAAAGATCGACAGGAATCCCTATAAGTGTCAGACCATACTGGCAGATCAGTCGGGCTACTTGGCCAATCATGTCAGCATTGAGAGGGTGGAGACGAAGGGAAGGAATGAGCAGAGAAGCGCGAGTTTTCCTTATCGTCCACGTTGTCTTATGTTTTCCCGTGCCCAAACCTTTTGTGATTGGGCTTACGTTGCTCCAGTTGTGTTGTCAAATGGCTCGCAAGTTATGTTCCATCTACGTATTTTTTCATAAAATTTGGGGCCAATGTCGGCTCGGACCGAGGGGACGGTAGGCCCAGTGGGGAGACCTGCCCACCTGGCGGCCATGTGCGGGTCCGCACGGCCCCGGGGGCTGATTTGGCTTAGAATTATTACCCCCCGGGCTAAATCAGAAACCCCCTAGATCTCTATGTACGGTTATTTTTTAAGGTATAGAATCCATGTTTAGAAAACAGGTTGGGATCGTTTATATCCATACTGGCGATCCAAAATCTACTCTAATTTGACCTCTATACAGGGCGCTTTCTACTTCTAGCTCTTGCGCTATGACGTTGGGGACTCCAACCTCGCCCCTTGAGGTTCGGAACGACATTAAAATCCGCTCTACCTTTACTGTGGGTAAATTAGAGGAGCCAACCCGCCAACTTAGGTTAGTTCAAGCCCTGTGAGTGAAGGATTGCCTCAAAAGCGTAACAGCCAGGATTCGTACTTTTCCGCTAATGCAGCTAGATACGCTGGACACGTTGCATGTAGTACTACTGGGCAATAGATAGTTATAGAAATTTAAATGAATTAAGATAGCAGAATAGAAATGGGCGAAAGGATTCTTTCCCCAGCATAAGCACGCCTTTGTGTATTATGGCCGTTATAGACAAGACCGCATATGGGAAGAATGAGGGGAAAGAGGCGGCATACAAAGTAAGCCTAGGGTCAATATGTTTGTATAATTGCTCCACCTTCGATCGACTCTTCAAACCCCTCAATCCGGTAACCTCGACCGATTTTTAGACTCAAAGTACCCATGTCCAACAGACGCAAAATCTACGCTGTTCGATATGCAGAAATGCAGAGATTGCTGTGCCAAACGATAGTAGATGCCAAGCCCAGAAATTGTGTCGTCCACCTAGGAACGCACACCCGGTAGATCTCGAACCTGAACCTAATGTAATATACAGGTCCACAAGTTCTTGGCGGATGGGTAAAGGCATTACCGAAAAAGCAATATCGCGAGATCTAGATGTAACTGCGCCATTTGGGTAATTTGAGAAGAGCACGGGCAACCTAGTAAGTCCAGAGTTATGCCAAGCTGGACCCTTTTCCCGCCCGTTTTAATGATATCACTAAGGTTTTGAATAACCTACTGATTTCATAAGGATTTATTTATACGAGTTCGAAGAGTTCTTGATAGGACAAGCTGTCAACAGACATGGCTCCACCAGGCCCTACACAAATATCTTATGTAGTGGGAAAATGGCTGTATTATTTTCAATATAACCTAAAGAAATAGTGAAATGACAAGGGATACTATCCACAGTGCTGCTTATTGTTTGCCGCTGAGATTGTGGCTTAAATAAAAGCATCCGACCCCAAGATCCTTTATTCATGGTCGGCAACATAAGCGAGGCCATTATCTTGGGGGCCAAATACCAAGCCATGGTGAGATCCCATATAATGATACAATACTGAAGCCCACACCTCAAGCAAGGCCCCCAATTGCAAGTGGAGACGGTTGAATATATTCCTGGGTTTATCAAAGAAGCAAAGCCGGTTTTATCTACGGAGTACCAAGATTATTCTTCTAAAGTATCATAATGGCCAGCCCAGACTCAACCATACCCCAAAAACGACCTGTCGCACGGCAGGCCTGCAACCGATGCCACGCAGCTAAGCTGCGATGTATCCAATCCCCTAGAAACCAGCAATGCGCTCGCTGCATCAAGGCAGGGGCCGAATGTGTACATGATCCCCCACAAAAGCTGGGCCGACCTCGAGTACACAACCTCCCACCTCCTGACACCAATTCGCCGCCGCCAACCCAGAAACAAGACACGAATTTCAACACTTCATTGATAGACGATTCATGTTGGTCAACGCAAGATCTCAACTTGGTCCACACTACCGGCACCAGCCCTAGAAGCTCAGTGAATGCTGACACGGAAGATGCCACAACGGGGAGCAAGAAAGATGTCAATAGCAAAGGACAAAATCCTCCTCACTTGGAGCTGGAATTTTTGGCCGTCCCCCAGTCCCATTCAACAGAGCTAGAGTTTGATATTGGTAAGAATCTATGCACCGAACCTTGAAAGACTAAGGCAGCATGCTGACGGAGAGGGACGACAGACTTATACCAAACCGGGGACCAACCAATGCAGACTGATGACTCCTGCTTTTTCACTGATTTGTTAACCCCCGGGCACAACCTTGACTCCCCCCTAACTCCGCCATTATCGATGGAGTCTGCTGGTGTATGTCATGACTATAGAAGTTCTGGATACTCAAACCCACCGGCCCCGCCCACCTCGTCCTCTAATTCAGCACCCCTTCCATCCCTTGCAGATGAAAGGAGCTACTCCAGCATATCACCCCAAGAGTGCCCACCAGAAAACTTAGTGCTGGTACTGAGCCAGTTAACCGCCAAGTTGACCAAAGTCCACCGCCAATTAACCGGCAATAAACAGACACAATCACATTTGTCTCCGGGCCAAGAAATGGGGCAATTATCAATCTCCGATGACTGCTTCAGGGCCCAGCTTCGGGCCAATATTGAAGCCTCGGAGCAGATATTGGAGACCTTGGGTTGTATCAATGACCAGTCCCGCATCGACACTCCCGATTTAGCAGGGTCAAGGCAACCAGACACCTCGAATCTATTCGAACGGGGGCGGCCGCGGAGGCCTTCCACCTTTACCCATCGACAGAGAGATGGCCAGTCGTTTTCAGGTCCTTATTCAACGATGGGAAATGATCAAAATTACCCAGACTCTCCTCCCACAGATCCGCAGGACAGTATCATAACCATGTTGGTAATCTCGATCTATCTACGCCTGCTGCACAACTTTGACATCTTGGTGTCAATCATGTACATGCGCCTCACAGAGTTTGGACCGACCACGCGCAACTCTCAAAGCTCGACATCGGGCCTAGAAGTCCCCAAAAATGAACCTGGACCCAGCTATAACCCCGCGCTGCATGTTTCAATGGGCAATTGCTCCTTTTCTTCTCCCTCCACAGCATCGCTACAAGTACTCTTCAATGTGCAATTGATCAACACTTTTCTCGCGAAGGTAAAGATTTCCATCCAGCGCATGGTTTCACGGCAGAAAATATCGGAGGCATTTGGGATGGGTCACGATTTGTTCAACTCTGCATTTTCCAATGGGCACCAACATTCGGCGTCTTCGGCTGGTGTGCCTGGGTTACACTACCACTATCACGGAATCAGGCATGAGACGCCGCCAAGCTCCTCGCATGGGGCCCCGCGTCCTGATGAAGGGGTCTTTGCCGCTGGAATTTATAGAGCGGTTCGGGGAGTTCTGGGGGAGATTGACCATATGGAATCAAGCTTACAAGGTAGAGCTGACTCCATCCAACAATGGACGATTGAGAAGACTTGACATAGGAGTGAGTGAATGCGTGTGGTTTCACATCCCGATCGTCATGATGTATATAGATAGCTCTGTAATGAGATTCTTTAAGGATCGTATACTTTCTATTAGATCAGAGCTTGCGGGATTGCTGTCGCCCTGTTCTCATTAGTGTAGATCATATATGGCTGTCTATTATGATACTCACCGGTATAAACGCATAGAGGAGATCAAGTATACCCACCACTTCCGATAAGACCCCGTAGGCTCATCGCTGCCACCTAGTGCAGAAATACCTCTAGAAGAACAGTCGTATATTTTCCATCGCGAATGTGAAACCCGGAATTCTTTCGAGATAAATTATCTAGTTGTGACAAGAGTATTTCAATTCCGGTAGTAAATACTAGCGGATATGTCGATGTCTGCCCTATAGGTTTTAGGGCTTACTAGATTGCAGACATCCCTCTATAAATAGACGACTCTACATAGGTAGCTTTAAGATGTAACTTAGTAATCTATCTGTGGGGTTTCCTTTAGCTTATATACAAGAAATTTGGATCTAAATTATGTTTGTAGACTAAAAAAATCCCCAAATAGTAGATATGAATCCTTATACTATGCTGATCTCGGCTATCGGCAATGCTTAAACCTGAGCGGAATAAATCTAATCGATTGCTAATCTAATCTACTCCTATCCTGCATATGTACATACTTTGAAGTAGGAAGCAGCGAAAGCACATTTATAGAAAGCGGAATAGTTAGAAGGATGATATCGATTATTTCCTGAACTCGTCTAGGAGTTACCACGAGGGAGGCATCGTTTGAGAAGATCTGGAGGTCTGTGCTAGCATCGTCTCATCGTTGGATAAAAATAGTACGAAGGGGGAGGCATTATTCGCCGTCTCATTGTCAAGTTAAATATATTCAGTTATTTTTTTCTAGTATTTAGTAATTTTCATGTTGATCTCATCCTAATACAAGGGTATATTTTCCTAGTCAAATCAAGATTAATAGAGTCTTTCGTAGTGTACTTTGGAAATTCGTCATTCATAAGACCTGGAGCTGTTCGGGCTTGGCAACGCACATGACAGCATCACAACAACCTTGGAAGTCAAATCTTCCCTTATCTTGTTCTGGGCTCACTTTCTCGTCCTTGACTTCCCCCTTTTCTCCCCTTTAGTTTCTTTTCTAGAATTCACGCCTCAGCTCAGTTGATACGCTTCTTACGAATTTTCTAAGTTCACTTCTAAAAAACCCCCCTGAGTGCTTCTCAAAAATATCACCGTTATGGCTTCTGGTGACGTGACCTACCCTAACACGGGCAGTAAGGTAAGAAAATCAATAGATCACTTCAATCCTGCAGAACGGATATGCTAACTTAGTCAACTTGCAGTATTATCCTCTTTTCTTTTTCCGAGATTCCGTGACCATGAGACTGACCTTGACCCCTCTTACATTCAGGCATCAGCGATGTTATTACCAAGGGTAAATAGGAATTCCGAAGACATTGAAGTCACCAAAGCAAGCTGACCAGTTTCTCGACAGGCCCAATTGTCGATAATATGAAGTCCGAAGCATCCCGCACCAGCGAGGAGCTTCGCGATCTGAAAAACTCGCGTGTGACCCCTTCGACTACCACCCTCGATGGTCAACCATTGACCCGTATGTCATGAGACTGGATTGATCAGGTAGCGGGATATTAACAAGCGTTTAGCCTACCACTCCTTGATGTACAGCCTTTTGAGCGTGAGTTTTCGCCCGAGTCTTCAATTTGGATAACCCGACTAATATCTGTGTGTATAAAGTGGGAACAACCCCGTGCGACCGCCGTTTCCTACGCCAGTGTGATCTGTTTCATCTTCGCCGCTCGTTATCTGCCTCTTCTCCGCTGGGTCTTCAAGTTCCTGTACATGTCATTGGGATGTGAGTTGGTCGCGTGACCTACAGTCAACAGAATGGTTGGTTAACAATTGTGTGCAGTGACCGCTACCGTCGAGATTGCTGGCCATGTCATCCTTAATCGCGGAATCGCCAGTGGATTCCGCCCCCGCCGCTACTACACTGTCCCCAAGGAGACCGTTGAGGCTGTCCTCGAGGACCTTGAGCAACTTGCGGACTTCTTCCTGATTGAGTTCCAGCGCATCCTGTTCGCTGAGAATATTCTCCACACTCTTTTGGTAGGCTGCAACTTGCTAAGATTAAAGACGAATCAAAGGGCAGAAACTAACGGTTTCTCAGGCTTTTACTGCTGCTTTCACTGGCTACTGGCTGATCCGCTTCGTTCCCTTCTGGGGCTTGGCTGTGATTGCCGTGACCACCACATACTTCGCCCCTCTTATCTATATCAGCAACCAGGAGATCATTGACGAGCAGATTGTCAATATCCAGGAGATCATCCACTCCCAGACCAACCAGCTTCGGGACATGGCTGGCGAGCGTACCTCGCACGCCACCGGCTTGATGAAGCAGTATGTTGGCGAGTACAGCTCCAAGGCCCAGGGATACATCGGCTCCCGACGCTCTACCTCCCCGGAGGCGACCAAGATTGTGAGCCCGATCAAGCGTGAGACCGTTACCGAGCCCGTGAAGGCTGCGCCTGTGAAGTCTGAGCCCATTGCCGACTCCCCTGTCCCTATCACTGCCCCTGTTGTCGAGCCCGTCGTCAAGCACGAGGACTTCCCTGAGGCTCCCAAGGCCGCTCCTATCGCTCATGCTCTCGATTCTGACATTGTTGCGTCTGTGGAGCCGGCAGAGGAAGCAGGTGACCGTGAACCTCTTCTGGCTATTTGAATAGGTCTCAATGATACTAGGTCATTCTAACTAAGAATATTAATTGACCTCAAAAGTTGGGGGTCAATCAAATATTCTTTGGTGAATGGATATCATTATTCTGGCCATGGTTATTACTGGATATGCCGGATGGCACGTGAGATCGGTTTTTGAGTCACCTGTTCTTGTTGGGGATCCCTTGAGAATACATGGGACGCGCTCTGATCGCCAAATCCTCGTGTCGACGACGAACAATAAAAATAAGGATTCTTGAGCGATGAATAGGTTGTCATGTCTCTTGTTTCCCCTTTTCATTTTTCTATTTCACCCCGTTTCAAACCCACTGGACATTTTTATCTGTCTACTTCTTTTCTTCAAACACCCCTTGTCTATGTCTTTCTCGGGTTCATATTGTTTCTAATGGAATTACATTTACATCTACATAAATTCATCATCTTAACCTGGCTTTTCCATATCTCCCCAATCAAGAACATCCCTGCAGTGTGCCCGTCCTCGAGCCTCGCGCAAGGACCTCGACCACTATCTAGGCAACTATCATGGAATATTGTATGCGTACTACTCAACAGGAAACTAGATCCAATCCATATCCTGCCACATCCGTGCGTCATGACTCCCATCTGCGCAAAAGGCCTCGACCCAACCCACTTGGGTAGTTGCTCATTCCATGCAAGCGGCCTTGACCACCCAACCGTGCAAGGCAGCCGTTGAGTTTCATCCCGGTTCACCGACCCGGCTCCCTATTCGCCGCATCGCAATTCGGGCCAGCCTGTGACGGTTTTGCTTTTCCTTTTCATTGAACTTCCCCTCATCCCTCGAAGACTTGCCTTGTTCAGTCGTGCTTGGAACTGTGTTTCCTATTCACCTCTCACATCCCCCATATACCCCGGATTCGAGAGCTGTGGTACAGATTCCGGAATGTTGTTTGATATCTGCGGGGAGTGGGTATCTCGTGGAATCTCAACTGTCTTGAAAATCAAGTGGGGGTCGGGTCCGGTTTGTCATTCTGTGTTCAACGGGTCGAGGTCTGGATTGATAAAAGTGAGTACTTTGTCTGGTTGAAACCTCGATTTAGTATCGAGTCTTGCAGGTTCAGATGGGTATGAACGCTCCGTTTATTCCTTGTCCGCGGTTGAGACCTTGCTATCATGATACCACAGCATTCCCTCAGGAGTACGCTCAGCTCTGATCTGAACAATGAGTCTGCCGACTCACTTCTCGATAAACATGTGAAAAGAGGAACACCCCCCAAGGGTGACCTGAAAGAGCCAATGTTACTAAGAGCACTCAGATATAATTTACAGAAAATGAATAGGAAGGAAAATAACCGCTTGAAAAAGGCCTGAACACCAACAGCAACATCCCAATTGAGACATAGCATTCTTGCCCCTTTTCCAGAAGCCCGGGGTCTGAGACGCGTCGCAGATGCTGAGGGACACGCATGCCTGGGTTTACCGCTCTTTGGGGTTTTAATAGAGAGCAAGTTTAGCTAGCGGCAGAGTGTCTAAGACATTGGAAACCAGTCCTCGTTTCTGAACTCTCCTATCGGTCTCGGCTGTTGGGCACTCTTTGCAGACCGACTCCAATTCAATCGAGCCCATCTCCCCTCGAAAACTAGCCCGGTTGTGTTGACATCTAGTTGAACGCCTCAGTCCTCGACCTTCGCAATTTCTGACCAGCCAGATTGTATAGCGTCCTGCCGGCGTCTATATGCACCGTTTTCTGCAGTGCTCTGTAATGCTGCTGCCCCGACCCGGCACCGATTGGCGGATGGACCCCTTGTACCTGTTGGAAGTTTTATGCAGAATACACTAGACTGGTAGGTGGGTACAATAGTGGGTTGCAAAACGGACTGGGAGATGTTAGTGTGGTACTATGGTACAAGTCAGTTCAAGCAGAGAAGGAGGAAGAAAAAAAATACGGGCAGAAAAAGTGGGCTCTGACAGCCACCAACGTGTCGGACTACTGCATAGAAGGATGCATGGAAAGTTCTTTGAGGTCGTTATTATGTCTCTTGTGTCTCCGGAGAGTGCATGTCTCTGTTATACGCACGCTCTCAGACTTTAATAAGCGGTCTAGTAGAGAGTGCTATGGCTCCCAGAATGTGTATTCGACCAAGAAGGAAAAAGAATAAGTAGTGAAGAGTAAAACTACATACATTCAACATATAACAAAGAAATACTCCAATATTCTCTAATATGATCAGCATTTGTTTGTATCATTCAGCCTTACCCCGTTTATCCAATGTATAGACCGCTTGTACAGCCTAGGGAACACTCTATAGGCATGGAAGCGTGGGGTGCACCTAAGTAGATCCCTGTCAATTTTCCCAGAATCTTTGATCCGGTCAGAAGTTTATCTTTGCAGCACAGCTTTTCTTAGATGCACTTCGCGGACTCGCTAGGTGATGCAGCTTCCCGTTATACAAGGAGTAGTTGCCCTGCAGCTTGCCGTGGGTCTGAGACCTCTTTGATGCCCATCCTGTCGAGCCACCATGGGGTATATGTCTTCTTATTGGACCATTGAACTAGTATCCTAATGCTCCGGTTACTGCAGCACCCTAGCTCTAGTCCGGTGCCAAGGAAGATCTGGCATGGGTTCTTCGATAAGATTCTGAAGGAAATACGGTGGGACAACGGTTGAGCTCTCTACCCCGGGATATTAGGGCATCGTTAACATACTTGAGTATAGTATACATGTGTAGTATGTGCTTTGTGCGTGCCTATCACTGTAACGGGCTGTTTGCATGCAGCGGTGACTCTCTGCGTTTCCAAAAGGAAATCCAGGATATCCACATGGTCCCTGAAACGGTTGCTGCCATGCTTTTCTTTCACTGATCTCTTTTGGGGGAGATGTTTGGGTAGTCGCAGTTAGTGAATGTGAAACAGGTTATACCTCGAGATATGAGAGACACTGGTCTCAAATTCTCTGTATTTTGTAATTGCTTCCAGGGGCATCAATGGAAATCAATGCGCACTGCATCATCAGTCCAGAGTCGAAGATCATTGGAACTTTCGCTCCCACGCGGAGATACAAACAGCCCGTGGACTCGTCCGACTTCAACAAGGACCCTTGTGATATGAGAAGAGAGATAGAGAGAGAGGGAGAGGTAAAGTAACGGTGAAGCCCATTTCCATTCCGAGTGTCAGACACTCTCAGATCCGAGTTCTTCTATTCACCGCTGTCTTCTCTGTCTCCTATCTCCTCGAAAGTTGTCCGTATTTGCCAACAAACAAAACACCTGTGCTCACCTCTAGACGCTGTACAGAACAAACCTTCGAACAAAGGTCTTGGGTTGTCTTGCTTTACTTTGTTGCTTCTCGCAGGTTTGACTTCTCTGTCTTTCAGTCCTTCTGGAAAACTCCATTTGTTCCAAGAGACATTAAGCTCCTTCCTTCCCCCGGAGACTCCGTATTTCTTCAAATCTCCCCTTCCTTCAAGGCTAGCACTTGAACTTCTTAATGCTATCTATCAAATCCCTTCTGAATCCTCAGCCTGAAAGGCGATCTCCTTATCCATTCCCTTTCTCACGTGAAAAGCGGCAGAAGATGGCCAAGGACGCTCCAATCTTCCGTCGTGGCAAGATCCAAGGCGAGTGCCGCTATCCTCCTTGCGAGGAAAGAGATGCAGAGTTAGAGAAGGCTCACAGAGAGCTCTCCTTACGTCCCATGGGCAATATTGCCGACTATCCTCGTCATATCCCCTATGCCAGCGACAAGAAAACCTTCCAAGAAAAGACCGGCCGAGATAGTTTCCATGGTAAGTGCCCTTGAACATGCTTTGATATTCACGTCTGACTTATTCCATCTAGTTTTTCAATACACATTCCAAATACCCGGCGAAGAAAAGGAATGGCATGTTATGTGGGACTACAATATTGGCATTGTTCGGATTACACACTTGTTCAAATGCAACGGCTACTCCAAGGCAAGTTGATAAGATAGCTCTTCTATATATTCGGCATTTCTAACACGCCATAGACCACTCCAGCCAAGATGCTAAACCAGAACCCCGGTCTCCGCGATATCTGCCACAGCATCACTGGCGGGGCACTTTCCGCTCAAGGTATGATCTTTATACCCTCATATCCTGCCCACTGCCTCCTTGGATAGAGAGAGCTAATACTCATTTTGCTTTGCACATAGGATACTGGATGCCCTACGAAGCCGCCAGAGCTATGGCAACGACCTTCTGCTGGAAAATCCGATATGCCCTGACTCCCCTGTTTGGCACCGAATTCCCAGCCATGTGTATCCCTCCAACAGACCGCAAAAGCCACGGCCGCATGGTCATCCCTCCAGAGATTGTGCAGCGTGCCACCAATACCTCCAACTACTATCGCACTTTGGAGACGAAGTCTAGCACCAACGCCAGTCCTCCCGTAGTCAATGTGCCTTCCTCAACACATACTCTTCTCCACGATATGGGATTATTGAGCCGACACGAGTCATCCTTGACACTCCCGCCGCTCAAGATCCCGCGTACCAAATATGCAGATAGTAGTCCCAGTGCCAGGGACTCTTCTATGGAACCTTACTGCATGTCTCCCAAGAGCCAGTCGCCGATGTCTACCTTCACACCCATCAACCCCCCTCGCAGCTCCAATATACCTCGCTCGCGGATGGAATCACCTCGCACTATCCTCCGTGCTATCTCCGATGCTATGCGCCCGGAGAATGTCCCTGGGGGAATCAGCGAAGACAGTGACACGGAAAGCGATGGCTCATCAAACATGTACTCGACTCCAAATTGTCCTTCTGTGGATGAACATATGGAAACCGACAAGCGCGGTGTGCTCGAAGAGCCCAGCAACGTCGTATCAGACGTGCATACCATGCAAAGTGACTATGATGACCTAACTGACTCGGATGAGGATTGGCAAATGGATGATGCTAATGATGAAGACTACCGTGGGCCCCCTCTCAAGAGAACCCTCGGTGGAGCTTCGATTAGCAAGGACGGTTCTATAACTCCCGGATCCCAGACTAAGAAGTACCCCAGCCGGAAATCTCGCGCTGCGCATCCTCAGTCGTCGCCTCATTTCGCCCGTGAAGTCAAGGCTGCTGAAGCCCTTCTTCGTCTGCACATGAATGAGCTTGAAAGCATCGGGACTGAGACTGAGATGGATGATGATGAGTTGATCTCACCCTCCAGCTCTCGCTCTCTTCGTGGTGACGATTCTCGTGGTCGTAAGCGACGTCGAGCTTCACTTTGATGACTGATTACGCTACAAATTTGAAATGGGAATGGCGTTTATGGTCTAGGGGCTAAAGGATTTTGTTTTGTGTGGCGGTGCTGTCTCTATGCATTTTGTGAGGAATATTTGTGTGATTTGATGATCCCTTTAGTTGGAGCTGATGGTTTGCATGTTCAAGTTAGTGTTTGTTTTATTTCGCATGAAACAGGATTGAGAATACTAAATGAAGGATTAGCTGACACTTTATCAAAGGTTTCAAACAGCCTGTCTGAGGCTACGAATGCGACTTCGTTCTCTTAAGGGATAATTCCTTGATGGGCAATGGGCTAGACTGGACGGTATTAGGTGTTGAATGGAAACTGGAGACATGAAGCTATCATTTTATGAAACAGTTCCCTATGTTTGTCTTATTTACCAACGTTAGTGCCTATCACTGCATTCTAGTCTTTAAATCTAGAAGAACAATAACGATACTATGGAGGCCAAATATCAGATACTAGATGTTACTGAAAGATTAAACATATGTATTTGCCTTGCATACACTGGCTCTGCCAGATCTCCATAAAATACCAATAAACTAAGACATGGAGATGAAAAAAATAAAATAAAACCACAATAGAGAGCCTTGCAAAACAAAAGCAGAATATCCCGAATCAGCTTCTGGGCCTCAGTATTTCACTACTTAGTCGCTCTCATCTTCATCTTCGTCAAAGTCATCAGCCGATGCTTCTTCGTCGCTCTCATCCTCAATGACGTAGGACTTCTTCTGCTGTGCGGCGCCACGACGAGCAGGACGACTTGCGGCGGCGCGACGAGGGGCGGGAGCGGGCTCATCATCGTCCGAAATATCCACATTCACCTTGCCCATTGGGGAATCCAGGATATCGTTAGCCATTGCGTCGATGTCATCCTCTGAATAATCATCTACGATCTTCTTGCTAGTCTTGGCTTGCTTCGAAGCATAGGCCTTGGCCGCGGGGGATAAAGCTGGGAGAGCAGACTTGGGTGCGGGCTTGGGAGCTGGTTCTTTCTTGGGGCGACCACGACCCTTTGCCGCCGAGGTGGCGGCAGTGGCCTTCGGGGCAGCCTTGGCTTTGGGAGCAGCTTTACCCCGACCAGTTGGCTTGACTGGCTCCTCCTCCTCCTCCTCCTCATCGTCGTCGTCAAGCTCGATTGCCTTGGGAGCAGCCTTTGGCGCAGCCTTGGCTTTGGGTGCAGGCTTGGCACGTGAAGCTGGCTTGACTGGCTTGTCCTCCTCCTCCTCATCATCGTCAACCTCTATGGCCTTGGGAGCAGCCTTTGGTGCGGCCTTGGCTTTGGGTGCAGGCTTGGCCCGAGCAGCTGGCTTGACTGGCTTGTCCTCTTCCTCATCATCATCTTTGTCGTCGAGCTTGACGTCCTTGGGCTTGACCTGGATGGAGCGCCGTGGGGAGTTTTGAGGAATGAGCTTGCTGTAATCAGTCTCATCCGGGTCAAAATCGTCGTTGGCTTTAGAAGACTTCGCGGCAGCCTTCACGCTGGCACTGCTTTCTGAACGGGGGCGCTCCGAGAAGAGTTGTCGAGAATCAGCAGCCGAGTCACCACCAATGCCCTTGACCATCATGCTAACGTCTCCAAGAAGATCATCACCATTATCGCTGTCAGAGTCGCTAGGCGCTGAGTACTTCACAGGTTTGCGAGCACGACCGGGCTGCACTGCGGGCTTGGAAGCCTCAGCCTTGGCAATTTCCAAGAAATCGTCATCCGAGTCCTCTTCGACCTTGGGCTTGGGCTTAGCTACTCGTTTAGCGGCTGGTTTCGCCGCTGCCTTGGCTGTTGGTTTGGGCTTCGGTACCTCATCCACATCTACGTCCATCGTATCATCAGCTGGCTGAACTGATGCCCGTGAGGGATTGGGCATGTCGTCGATATCGACGAAGTCGTCCTCTTGTTTAGGCAGAGTCTTCGGCTTTGAGGTAGCACGGCTCTTCTTCGGAAGGATCTCCATGTCCATGTTGAATTCATCATCCGAGTCACCAGTTCCATCTGCTGCAGGAGTTGGGGTTGAGTTGTTCGAAGATTGATTGAGGAAATTCATCAAGCTGTTCTTGGGCTGCTCTTTTTTCTTGGCTGCGGCAGCCTTCTTCGTCTTGGGGCCCCCGAAGTCTTCATCGTCTGGATCATCGCCATTAGCAGCCTTACGCTTGCGCGAAGCCGCAGCGCGACCACCGCTAGTGGCCAGCTTAGTCGAGGTCCTTCGACCCATGCTAGCCACCTTGCGTGCTCGACGATCCTCATCTTCGAGCTGGAAGCGCCACTCGTTGATGAACTCGTCTAGATCGTGGGTCCAGATGTCTTCCTTGGACAGCTTGATTAAGACATCGATCTCTGTTTCCTTGTCACCAATCTGGCGACGGAGCTTCTCCACCCGCTCTTGAGTCAGCGACCACATAGGCATACCCAGAAGGTAGTCAAATGAACTGGATGAAATTTCAGCTTCCTTGTCATCTGACTCCTCTTGCTCTTCTGCTTCTTCTACCACAGGCTCATCTTCACCCATCTTGGCAGCCTCGGCCACCTTGGCAATTGGCCTGAAGCCCTTTTCCTTTAGTTCTGTGATGAGAACAGGCTTTTTCTTCTTGGAGATGACCAATTTGCCATCAATAATCATCTGCACGAAGCGAGCTTGGTTGCTCAGCTTATCCAGCTCTCTCTGTAGATCGGAAAGTTGGAATTGCTTGCGTCGCTCATAATACTTGAGACGGACGACGAAGAACTCCTTGAGAATATCGTCGACAGTGGCGTACTTGGTGATGCGGCCCTCAGGATCGAAAGCAACCAAATTGGTTGTTGCAATCGTCTTGGTCAGCTTGAATTTTTCTTCCAAGCCTTCAGTCAGAGCAACCTTCATGTGTTTCTCATCGAGTTGGATGATGAAGTGCACCTTGAGATGATTGTTGTAATCCCGGTAATCCTTGATGAAGGATGGCACCTTCTCAGCCTTGATGATCTCCTCCAGCTTGTCCTTGAAATCCTGTGTCCAGGTTCGAATAGGCAATTCGGTGATTTCGACCTCCTTATCACCACATTCCCTGATGATACCGCTAAATTTGAATCGATCCCCACCCACGGCCACAACCTCACCGGTGAAGCCACGGAACCAAGGCTGCATTGTCTCAGTAGGCTGGCCTGCCATCAGGCGCTTAAGGTTGTTCACAACGTCCTCGGGATTGTAGTTGGGTATAGACGAACTCCAACCAGTTCCGATACCGTCCGCGCCGTTGATCAAAATCATCGGGACGACAGGCATAAAGACCTCAGGCTCAATCTTCTTGCCATCGTCCTCGTTATATACCAACAATGGTTCATCGGCGGTATGGAAAATCTTGCGTGCAAAGGGGGACAGGCGAGTGTAGATGTAACGAGCACTGGCACAATCGCCACCACCTTGAAGTCGACTACCAAAATTTCCACTGGGCTCCAAGCAGTTAATATTGTTGGAGCCAACAAAGGTCTGGGCAAGACCAACAATGGTCTGCTGAAGGGAGACATCACCGTGGTGGTAGGCTGTCGTTCCGGATACATGACCTGCCAGCTCAACCACCTTCATGTCCTTCTTCAGGTTGCGGCGGAAACAGGTATGAAGCACCTTGCGCTGACCTGGCTTCAAACCATCCACAACGGAAGGAATTGAACGTTGGTTATCCGCCATACTGAACAGGATAAGCTCCTTGTTGATGAAGTCGGTATATGTGATCTTCGCGACCGAATGGTCCAGGAATGTGCCAGGTTTGTATTGACGAAGCCACTCTTTACGTTCATCGGCCTTCTTTTTGGAGAAAGCCAGCTCAATGAGTCCATCCTCACCCTCTTGCATGGTGTGGAACTCCTTGAGATGACGATCGAGGTCGCGGAAATAGACCTGGGCATCATCCGTGGTGCTGGTTCCCAAACCCTTGTAGTACTTGTTTTCCCAGCCGCGTTCGTGTTTGTGAGCTTCACGCCACTCATCATGTTCGGGCATGGTGAAGAACGACTTTTGCTTGGTCGGATTCTTCGGGTCACCCTTCCAAACTTTGATAATAGGTGTGATAAACTCAATGAGGAACTCAGGAATCTTGAGCAAGCTGGGGAACTGTGCTTGAAGGAAATTTATGAGCAAACCCTTGATGTGACTACCGTCGTGATCCTGATCAGTCATGATCATGAGATGGCCATATCGCAGTCCCTTGGTATCGGTGTACTCCTTCTTGTGCTGCAAACCAAGGAAGTTCTTGATGCTTTGGATTTCTACATTCTTTGAAATTTGGTCAAAAGAAGCATCGCGGACATTAAGAAGCTTTCCGCGCAGGGGGAAAACACCGAACAAGTCTGGTCCAACAACTGCTCTGCCCGCCATGGCCAATCCCTTGGCTGATTCACCCTCAGTCAAAATGAGGGTGCAGCGGTGACCATCTCTGGTACCCGCTTTGTTGGCGTCGACCAACTTCGGGTTATTCATACGAGTGCGTCGGCCAGTATCACCCTTCTTCAAGATCTGGTCGGCTTTTTGCTCCGCGAAATGCAGAATATTTGACATAACCTCAGTCTTCAAGACCTTCTTATAGAAATCTTCGTCGAGGGGACACTTGCTACCGAATTGACTGGCCTTTGTCGTCAACTGTTCCTTGGTCTGGGAGGTGAAGGCCGGGTTGACAATCAAGGCCTTCACAAAAATGAAGATGTGATTCCGAATCTGTGCCGACTTCAGAGTTGCTCCAGACTTATTCTTCTTCTTCACCTGGTCAGCCAAACGGGTACAGATCTGATCTGCGATGTAGTTAACGTGTGTTCCACCCGAGGTTGTTGCGATCGAGTTAACGAATGAGACTTGTTGGAAGGAACCATCCGAAACAGCAAAACCAATCTCCCATCGAGGATCCGGGCTGCATGTAATAATTTCATCCTTTGAGGGAGGGCCATCATCACCACGCTCCTTGCGAATAGCTTTGGTGTACATTTCCATATACCTTCGGAAATTGCGAATGGGGACACGTGTGCCGTTTAATTTGACAGCAACATCGGCGGTACCTGCCAAATCGTAGACTCTACGCTTCACGAGAGCTTCAAAGTCATCATCGATGCCGTCCATGCCGAATTTAGCAAAGTCTGGCTTGAAAGTGACCTTGGTGTAGTCATCTCCCTTAGCATCTGTGATCTTTGCCTTGCCCATCTTCGTCATGTTCTCAGTCCATGTTTGCTTGTACTTCTTCTTCTGACGGGAGTCCTGGGTTTCGAGATTGAATTCTGTCGAGAAAACGTTACAAAGCTTCGCACCGAAACCGTTGCGACCTCCAGTAACCTTCTGCTGGGTATCATCGTAGTTGGAAGAAGTGAGCAAATGGCCGAAAATGAGTTCAGGCACGTAGATTTTCTCTTTGGAGTGGATCTCGATAGGGATACCACGTCCGTTATTCCACACGCTGATTTCACCGGCCTCGCGGTCAATTGTGATCCGCATCTCGTTCATATTCTTGTCGTTGTGCTTATTATCAGCGGCGTTGACGACAATCTCGTCAAAGATTTTGTAGAGACCAGGGACGAAAGATACATCGCGGTACTCCATCGACTCGGTTCCGGAGTTGTACACCCACATCTGCTGGGTGGTGCGTTCGGTGGATCCAATGTAGGTATCGGGACGTTTAATAATGTGTTCAAGTTGAGTGAGCTGTGTTAAAGATTAGAAATAAGTATCCGGCCAAAATTATATCGAGCCAAAGGCCGCGGAAACTTACTTTCTGATACTTCTCTGATGCATTTCCACTCTTGCTCGCACTGTCAGCAGCAGCGTCTCCTCCGTGAGACTCATTTTCGACATCCGCAAGAGGCTTTGAGCCAGCTCTCTTAGGTGCAGCCGTCTTCTTAGTCTTGGGAGGGGTGTGAGAGAGCACAGAATCAGCATCGGACATTTGAATATCGGACATTTCGTCCTCGCTCTCGGCCTTGACCTTCTTCTTAGTGGCAGTTGACTTCACAGCAGGCTTGACCTTCAGTGTGGTCTGGGTGGTCTTTTTTGCGGCAGGTTTGGCAGCAGCAGCTTTCTTAGGAGCCGGCTTAGCTTTGGGTTTCTGGGGGTACAATGTCAGTAATCCAAGTCAAGCCTGGTTTCAACATGCTTTGCGCAATTCATACTGGTGCAGGTTCGGGAGCAAAGTCAGAGCTACCTCCGTCATCCTCGAAGACCGAGTCTTCCATCATTGAATCATCCATGATAAATATCAGTAAACAAATTCAGCGCGATGGAACGCTATGGGTAAAAAAAAGGAGCCCAAGTCAGGCCTCGAAATTTAAGCAAACAAATGATGTTAAGCAAACGAATGATGCTATCTTTCAATGCTGAAGAATGAATCAATCAAACTCCGGCATGCTCAAGCCGGAAAAAGATAAAGCAAGCAAAAGAGCGAAGAGAGAGAATAACGCGGAGGGGAAGCGCCTGTTGTTTTTTTGCCCGGGGAAGTCGCGACTGACAGGGGGGGCGGTGGGCACTTTGTAACCACTCGGATCATAATTATTCCTCACCGCCTACAAACGCGACCCGAATAGGCAATTCACAAACAAACGTGTGGAAACACGAAGTTCCCCTCACTTTGCATGGTTTGCATCTTCAGATCAATTCGTAGGTGAAATATAAGATAAAGACAGATATCTACAGATTACTGCCCGCGTGCAATAGCTTTGAGGTGACAGATCCCTTATTCTTTATTGAAGTTAGCACCACTACTCCAAAGTGAAGATCTAAATATAGTTTGGCGGGTAAAACCAGACCAAGTACTCCGTATAATCTCCCTCGAAGGTCAAATCTAACTGAATTCTATTTGTCGTCCCCTCTAACACATGTATGAGGAATCTCTCATATTCTTTTTAGGCAGTGTATGTCAGTTTATATTGCACAAGGAACACTTGGATGATGATATAAAGCAACTTTCATAAACAGGACTAGTTATATACAGTTACAGTCTACAACCCAGCCGCGGGGTCGCCTCTAACCCTAAAGTGATTCTGAATACAATGTATATTATCAAGATTGATACAATGAACGGTTGTCGTAATGGCCATTGGTTGAAATAAAGTCAATGTTGTGATGCATGGCTTTATTGTTGCAAGTCTCTTTCTAGCGGATGTGAGAATCAATATCGGTCTAAAAATCTATATACTACCTAGGTACATAGTTGTCGCAGGAACTCACCCCACCGCCTGGTGAAGAGGATATGCAACCCTAAACCCAAAGGTCACACGATACTAAACAACCATAACTGGCTCGTCCAGAGTCCGAGAAATCCCTCGAACTCCCGAAAAGCAGGCTAGAAACCATCACACCTTTGACAGCCAGACCGCATAGACCACGTCCTGTAGATCTCTACGAACATTTGTGAGCCCAGGGGACGGTACGGAGTAGTACGACCTACAATTTAGGTAACTAGTCTTCAAGGATTTATATAATCCTTTTCGAGCCAGCCAAGGTACGAAGCAAGTACAACAACGTTGGCTAGCCTTAATATTGAAGTGAAACGGGCAAGCCAGGGGGTGGTAATGGCGTTTCAATATAAGCCCGAGGGGCTCACCAATGAAATTGACCATATCTGAAAAATGAACCAATGAAAGACATGCAAAAATTACAGATGGATCCTAGGATGTATGAAAGATACAGGGCTGTAAAATGACAGTGCCCCTTTGACATTTAATCTTCCAAATGTGAGAGCGTACATGCAGGTGATATGCAGTTCAAATAACGGGATTCGAGACACATGCACATTCCGTACTTACATATTGTTCATAACTTCAAACATACTAGTACGGATTACTACAATATACTTGAAAACCATCCGACACCAACTTTGGATGGGGAATGAGTGTGAACAAATGAAATTAACACAGTTAATATCTTTATATTTGATACGGAGTACAAATATACAATATAGTCATTTCATCTTGGAAGCACAATATAGTTATTTCCACCAAAGTCCCATAATATATCCTTTTCAATGGTCAAACAGTCGGTGTATGAGGATCTACGGGGCCGAGACTCCACGAGGGGAAAGCTAAAGGGGCTAGTGAAATAGGTGGGATCTCTCCTGACTCCCTTTTTTTCCCTTTCACCAGCCTTTTCTCCTTGTACTGGATACAAGTCTAGATCAACATCCAGGCCCACTTCTGCTGGAAGGAATTGGTATTTCTTGAATACTCGAAATTTTGTCCGAAGTGCATAAACTATGCAGTTGAAACCCGCCTGAAATACTCTCCCTGCTATCCTCCGATATCAAGCATTGTCAACATTAATAACGCGTCTACATCCTTGGGATCACATACGATATTTTCGAATCGCATCAAAATGGAAGGTTCCGAGCCAGCATCTCCTACCGTTAGCCACGCGCTTAACCATGACTCGATGGTCACTGTCGCGTTATCCGATAACCAGTCCAGTTCAGAGCACACCCAACCGGATTGGCGCACTCTTGACATCCCTCCAACCCCAGTGGAGATGAGCCATCTCGGGAAGGAGAGTGAGGAGTCCTTTGGACCGGTGCCACTACGGGACGCGACGAGGACCACCCCTACCCCCGAAAGCCGAGGTACAGATAGGCAGAGACAGGCAGGCAAAATGTTTGATAACGAGGCGGATTGGGAGAACCTTGATAAGACAGAAGAACAAGAACCGCGTGGGGAGGGGTCCGATGAAGTACATGTGACAAGCTGCCACAGAATTCTGGAATGGGTGCTAACATTCTTTGACCTAATTTTAGTCTACGGCCCTACTCCTCGCTCGACTCGAACAAGAGAACAATGCTTTGGCGACCAATCCCAAATCCCGGATACCCGAGATTCCTGATGGCAAGATACACCAGCGGCAATCCCGCTCCGAGTCATTACACCAGATCAAGCGGCTCATTAGGGATCCCGCTCGGGCAGAGTTGCGATATTCGCAGCTATCTCCTCCTCCGATGACCGAGTTAGAGTTTTGGGCTGCGCTTGTTGCTGACTACCATCAGACTGCTCAGCGTTTACCAACATTGACCTCGAATAAGATTCAAAGGGGTGTCCCCCCGCCATTGCGAGGGGTGGTATGGCCTAGCCTAGCGGGCGCACGCGATCCTAATCTGCTGAGTGAATTCCAGAGACTTTCGGGCGAAAGCAGTCCGTACGATGGGTTGATCGGAAAAGACATCGGTCGCAGCTTTCCCAATGTCGAAATGTTCCGCGACCCGAACGGCGAAGGTCAACAAATGCTCGGCCGAGTGTTGCGATGCTTCAGTCTTTATGATACCAAGATTGGCTACTGCCAGGGTCTTGGATTTGTTGTAGGCCCTCTGCTCATGCACATGTCAGATGCTGAGGCCTTTTGTGTTCTTGTCCGGTACGCCCCCTCGGACAACAATATAATTTGGAGAAGTTGTACTAATGTGTAACGTATTGCAGTCTCATGGATCACTATAACCTCCGATCTTGCTATCTTCCAGACCTCTCGGGTCTCCATCTTCATGTTTATCAGTTCCAAAATCTTCTAGCACGACACAGGCCGGTCCTGTTCCAGCACCTAGAAGCATTGCACGTTGAGCCGGTCTACGTATCGCAGTGGTTCTTATCATTTTTTGCAGTGGCCTGTCCGCTGCCGATGCTTCTCCGAATTTATGATGTTATTTTTTTGGAAGGGGCATGCGAGACTTTGATGCGAGTTGCACTTTCCCTGATGCAACGCAACGAAAAGAGAATTTTGGCTTGTAGCGAATTTGAGGATGTGATGCAACTCTTGTTATCTCGAAGCTTATGGGACACGTGAGCATTGCACAAAGGAAACCTTGGCAACAAAGAACCCCGCTAATCCGTGATATCTAGATATGCCTTCAATGCTGATGATCTTGTTAATGATTTCGTGTCTCTCACTTCTCTCGTGACGAACGAGAGTCTTCAAACCCTTGAAGCCAGCTACAACCAATCTAAAGGCTCACCGGCCGGACCCTCTTTCCCGCAGATGCAGGCATCGGCTTCTGGCTTCCTTGGGCGCCTATGGGCTGGCTCGTCAAATTCTCACACATCAGTCAAGTCACTCAATCCGAATACTGGCTCGTCACGTCGCAATAGTACTATTCGTCGCACCACCTCTAAACAGAGCCTGACTTCCACTCTCAGCTCCATTGAAACCACGTCAGACGCTAGTACTGCTGCCACTGAATTATCAGCGGCTGCAGCTAACAACGATAGTCAAAAATCGCGTGTTAAATCTATCATGTCTTCACACCACAAAGACCGCGACCTCCACACCCAGATTGAAGACCTCTTGATGGCGCTCAGCGATCTTCAGCGCCAACAAGCTAGCCTCACACGTGAACTGCAGCAGGAGAGAGAGGAGCGCGAGGAAGATCATACCCTGGCCAAAGAGATGTTGAACCAAATCAGAGAACATTCCCTTGAGACACAACCAGCCGAACTAGTAACAAAAGCTCAAGCACGTTTTGAATCGGTCAAACCAAAACGTGTTTCAATCACACAGACTAAGCTCCAACTCAATGACGATGTGACTCGGTGGAAGGAAATGTACGAGGTGGAAGCCGGTCGTTGCTTGAATCTTACACGGCGCATAGACGATTTTGAACAGGAGAACTCGTCCCTGAAGGAGCAATTACGGGAAGCCCGAGGCCGCATTCAAGACGGTCATCGGGATCGACAGCGACTCGAGCGCATGAACCGGGAGCTGCGTACTCTCAAAACTCCTATCTCCGAAATGCCGCTAGACACAAGTTATGGGGTTGACTCTGGGGAGTCAATATCTCCTACTAGTGGTCTGCGCGAGTTCAAGCTAGCTCGCACCAACTCGACAAAAAGCCCCACATATACCAGGCGAACAAGCAGCCTGGGCCCCCAGAGCGTTTTGTCGACGGAGAGTACCAAACCTGCCGCCGAAGAGAAGCTACTCATGGAGTTGGTAACTGCTAAGACGGCAGAGGCAGTTGCTAGGCAAGACCTTGAAGAAGTAAAGTGCCAGTTGGATGCATTGCGGAAAATGGTCAAGACTTCTCAGGGGGTAAATCCTGGAGGCCGCCATTCCTTTGTTGGACTGTCGCAATCACGGATCAGCTTGGCTAATAATACACCCATTGAAGGCCCGAAGACACTTGGGACACCGCCCAGCAGCAATGGCGGTGGAGGATTTTTTAGTGGATGGGGCCGACGAGCTGGAACTGACTAGTGAAATCCCATTATGATGGGGATTCTGGAAGAGATACGTGTAAACTTATTGGAATGGCTGTTTGATATATGCATTGTTCGTATCACAGGCTGGTATTGGAGGTATGTTTTGTGCCCAACCTGGTGATTTAGTAGTTAAGTACATAGTGATATCCTATTGAGACGAGTACATATTCTGGCCTGGCTATGGAAATTAGGGCTATCAAGACCAATAAAAAGAGAAACAATAGATCCGGACGATCCGGATGCTGGCCAAGGCCCGGCCAAGATAAGAAAACAACGACACCTGATACTAATTTGGAATTCATGGACTAACAGCCCAGAAAGACTGCATTCTGGCCAAAATACTACTTAACAGGAATCATGATTACCTTAATCAATAGTCTTCCTCCCCTTTATTGTTCGGGTCTCTCGGGAGTCTCTCGGCAGTCTCCCTCTAGTCTCCCTGAATTATTCCGTCTATTATTGGCCGAACAAACAGATCAAGCCGAGCCAAGCCACTAGGGCCTCAAGAATAAGTAGAGAGTACAAAACGCGCGAGGCTCCCATATTAAATGTTTGGCTTCTGCAGATTTTAGATTCTAATGCATTTCTTTGTGTTGCTGCGGTGGATTTTCGGTTCTTCAAGGCGCCGCTTCGCTGCCGCCGCTGTGTGCCTGTCGGTGTTTTTGATTATTCCTTATTCTAGAGAAGCTCTAGTAGTTCCATTGCAAGTGAAGCTGTCAAAGTAATTGAAGATCCCTCCCCCCAATTGGTCAATTCTGATCTTTATCAGCGCCACCCCTACAGAACAATCCGTTGACCCGTTCCCGAGCGATTATGCTTGTCAACATCGAATTTCTTCTCAAGTGATCAACGACCCCTATCCAAACTATGATAGTGAGGAATGGAAATCGACATCAAAGGGGTCTTACCAGCCGTGTATTGGACCCCAAGGGCGACTCCTGAGCCGCAAAGATGAAGATATGATGATGAGCGGGTTTCGCTGGAACACTTCAGGTGCGAAGAGGAATATTTTAAGCGCCGACGGGAGAAACTAATCATCAGAGGCTAGATTTCCCAACACCAATTTTTGGATCGTATGAGTCGTGGAATTTGAACAACAGTCTCTGTGCCGATCGCTACTCCCGATATGGCGCATATGGTTACCTAAAGGGCAACAAATCCACCCAAATCCAGGATTGGCAGGGTAAATTCGGTTCCAACGAGGCCGCCGAAATAGATTGGGAGAAGGTGAACTGGGCCAATCTACAAAATGAGTGCCTGAAGCGCAATATCGTTCGGTATCGCACGCCACGATCCGAAAAGAAGATATTCGCTTTATACAAGTCACTGGATTCGGATTTGCAGCCTCGAGAGCCCTTGAACGAAACAAGCAAGACCCAACCCCGGACAGCCGTTATACTGCGCTCTTGGATCGGCATGAAATACACTGAGAATGACTTGTATCACATTCGATCTATGATTGTGGAGTTGTCACTGTATTCCGGTGCGGAATATGAGCTTATTCTCCTGATTGACTGCCAGGGCGAGGAATTGCCCAAAGAGGCTGATGATGCTGCCTGGAAGAAATTCCATGAGAAACATTTGCCACAGGAGCTGCGCAGCCTGGCGGTTTGGTTTAACGCTGATATGTTGAACGACTGGTATCCTGGGATTGATGTTCACGTGTATGTACCCGGGGCTTTCAGAGCTAGCCTTGAAAATTTGCCGTACTGACATTCTATTAGAGCTATATTACAGTACTTCCAGCCCACGCAGATCTTCTCACGACTACACCCTCAGTACGACTACATCTGGCAGTTTGAGATGGACTCGCGATACACCGGCCATATGTACGACCTTTTGCACAAGGCAACAGAATTTGCGAAACAACAGCCACGCAAGTACCTGTGGGAGCGCAACTCCCACTTCTATATTCCCGCTGTCCACGGCACCTGGGAAGAGTTCATGAAGAAGGTAGACAAGGGAATGCCCGGCCATGACAACAGCAGTGTTTGGGGCCCCCGCCCCGCAGAAGGCATCGACATTCAAGGGCAAGCTATTTTGCCCCCTGTGCCACATCCAAAAGATGAGCCAGGGAGCTGGGGTGTGGGCGAAGAAGCCGATCTGATCACCTGGTTGCCGCATTTTAATCCTGTTGATACGGACTGGCCTTTCCGTGACCGTGTCTTCAATTTCCCTCAAGACCAAGAGACCCCACGCTGGGCAGCTGTCGTGGCAATGTCTCGGGTCTCGGCGCGACTTCTCGGCCTGTTGCATAAGGATAAGGTGGATTCCGGAGTTGGACTCGCATCCGAGATGTCTCCTATATCCTGGGCTTTGTATTACGGTCTGAAGGCGGTCCAGATACCTCAACCGGTGTACCATAATGCCAAATGGGACCCCGAGGAATTGAACCGCCACGCCAACCCAGGTGAACCTGGCAAGGTCAACGCTGGGCACGACAGTATCTGGAGCTGGGGCAAGCATGATAATATCATATACAACACGACATTCATGTTTAACTCTGAATTCGCAGAGAGAATATACAGAGCCTGGTTCGGCTTTGATGGCGCGAAAGAGGTGAGTTCTTGGTCTTTTGGTCTTTGATATATTCCAGTGCTAATTGTATGCAGTGGGAGAAAACAAACCCCCGGCTCTGCCTTCCTCCTATCTTTCTACATCCAGTTAAGAACCTCGAGTCCGTGAAGACAAAAGGTGCTTGATTCTTTGCCCCGTCGCCCGCTTCTAACTCGCTTTTTGTTTTGATCATGGTCATATACCCCAAATTGATAGATTAATATAGATTAATATATATAGAGAAGGACATATTCAGCTTTTTCAGATCTGTGAGAGCATCAAATTTTCTACTTCCTTCTCCAAATACTAACCAGTTTATCTTTACTTGGCCTAAAAATAAAGCAGAAGAAATAATTAAAGATTGCACAAAAGGAGGTTCAGCTTCACTCATGAACATTTGGTAAAGAACATTCTGCGTAGTTCTCATTAAACTGAAAAGACACCCTCATAGGCAGACAACAAATGCCAGAAGAAAGACTGTGACAAAAGATCATAGTATGTCCCCCATTCCATGTATTTCTCTCCCTACTCGCTCTCCGAGTGGATTTCCTGCTTGATATTGCCGTCATCACCCTCAATCTCGGAATCAGCATCGTAAGTCTGATCCTTGGTCAGAGCCTCGTCCTGGTCATCATCCTCGTCCTGGTCACCATCCTCAACCTTGGCCGCATGGGCCTTTTTCTCATCACTCTTGGTAGAAGCTTCCATCTCACTGAGCTTAGTCTTCAAACGCCTGAATCTACATTCAGCGGCATTCTTCGTGATGCCAAAGTATTTGGCGACGGCTGGGATGTCAACCTGTGAGTTAATATTGTTATCATAATTCATGAGCAGACGAAGGCCAAGCGAGAGCTAGCCGGGAAAAACCAACGCGAATACCCGAGACCTCGTAGCAGACCCATAGGAATAAGAGCTGCTTTTTCAAATCAGAGTCTTTGGGCTCTTTGGGTTTAGATGGGCTTTTTCCAGCTGCCTTTAGGCTGGACTTCTTTGGAGCCATTTTAAGGGTGAAGGAAGGATGGGGTTCGGCGAAGAAAAATGCTGAACTGTTTGTGGAAAGATATCGGAAGTTAAATGGCTTCCAGGGAAGATAATGCAGTTCTGGAGGAACAGGATGAATAGTAAGAGAGAGGTAGAAGGATAGTTGAATACGTGAGAAAATAATCATAAAAAAGCAGACTAAGGAAACGAAGAAGGTGGAAGTGTTTTACATAGTCCCGGGTGTCATCTCCATTTCTTTCCTCTTTCCCTTTGCCTCTCTAAATTTCATCTGAATCAGATCTTACAATGGAAAATACAAATCCCAACGAAGCCCTGGCCCTCCTATGGGCCTATGAGCTCAACCGGGAGAACAAACAGTTGTTCAAGGGACTCAAGAAAGTGAATCGTCGTCTCGATGCTTGCCAGTCAACCACGTCAGCCAATTGTGCCAAAGGTCCACATCGAGGCGATCAGAAATTGAATCAACAATCGAAGTCATAGGTTTTTAGTGGGCATGGAGTGAAGCATAGCGGTACTGCATCATTGGCCTTAGGTCGCTTTCGCCAGAATTACCTTATCGAGGTCAGGCCGATTTTTAGCTGCAGGATATCGGAGATGACCCGATGCGGGGATACAGGGATGACACGTCTCATATCCAAATTCTTCCTTCTCTGTTGAAGCTTTGATTGTGTTCATACTATTATCTCAAGTGCAAGCGACGAACTATACGACAAAATGGTCCTCGCACAACCCCCAAACCAGCATGTCACGAAGGCCTTCGATCTCACGGGCAAAGTCGCAGTTGTGACTGGTACGGTATCTCCCAATCCTCAAAAGCATGTCAATAACATTTTCTTACAGGAGGCGCTCGTGGAATCGGTCTGGAAGTCTCAAGAGGATTGGCTGAAGCTGGTGCAAATGTAAGCCACACTACCTGATGATACAAAAGAATCAAATTCACAAACTATAAAGGTTGCCTTGATCTATCACACATCCGATACCGCAGAGACGATTGCAGCAGAGATTGCATCTACCAACAACGTACACGCAGCAGCGTACAAAGCCAATGTGGCCATCCAGTCTGAGATTGAGGCGGTTGTGCAACAGATCGCGAAGGATTTCGGGAGACTTGACATCATGGTCGCCAATTCTGGGATTGCCTCGAACACCGCCGCCGAAGACTACACGTCCGATCAATGGAGCGAGATCATGAAGGTTAATCTTGATGGTGCTTTCTATTCTGCCCAAGCCGCCGGTCGGATATTCAAGGAACAGGGTCGTGGAAATGTTATCTTCACGGCCTCTGTCAGTGCGACTCTGGTCAATCTCCCACAAAAGCAAGCGGCAGTATGTTTTCTATTAAAAATGGTCCTCCTTCATGTCGCTAATCCTTGCATAGTACAATGCGTCCAAGGCGGGAGTTGTTCAGCTCGCTAAGTGCTTGTCTGTCGAGTGGATTGACTACTGTCGTGTCAACTGCATCTCACCTGGGTACATCGCTACCGAAATTCTGGATACTTTCCCCAAGGAATGGCGCGATAAATGGTTCGACTTGATTCCTGCCAAGAGAATGGCCCAGTCTTATGAGTTGAAGGGAGTAAGTCTCCACCCATCCAGTTCTTCTAGAACTCAACTGACAACAGCCCCATCTAGGCCTATGTGTTCTGCGCCTCGGATGCATCTAGCTATATGACTGGCGCAAACCTCATTATTGATGGAGGGTACACTTTGCCTTAGGTTCAGGGAATAATGATGTTGCCATGGTTATGGATCAAGAGGCTACTTTAGGTGTTATGCGCGAATGAAAAGAATATTGCCGGACGTCCATATTTGGCCCTATAATAGCCAAACAGACAGTTATGCATGCAGTATATATATAATGTAGAAAAGAACTGCCACTTTCTCGGCAAATTTGATCCCCGATCCTAAATCAACAATTTACTGATAATCGCTCAAACTCGGCGGGAGATCCTCAATATGAGTTCCCCATTCACTCTCCTTAGGTCCCAATTCAAGTTCAAGCACACCACCATCAGCGAAGAAGTCATGAGTGATCCAGTTCTTTGTCCACGGTTTGCCGTTCCACTTGACACTCTGGATGTAGATGGACTTGTAACTAGGGTCGAAATTGATGTTGCGGATAGTGGCGACTTTTCCATTAAGGGCGTTTCGAATGCTGACTTCTTTGAAGTAGGGTGGAGTGATCAGGTAGACGTCCTGACCAGGCACTGGCCAGAGACCCATCATACTCAAAAAGACAAAAGAGCCCATGGCTCCGCTATCATCGTTACCGGCGATACCATTGACCGTTGTATTAAATTGGGATGGAATATAGAAGTGGCTCTGCTTTGCCGAGAGACCTGGCCGTCCTGAGTAGTGGAATTGATAAACGGGCAAGAATGCCTGTTCATCCCCCACGTAGAGTAAACCAGAGTCATGGAGATAGCTTAGCCGAGAGGTGAAGGATTCGGCACCGCCAAGTGTCTTGATAAGAGAGCCCATATCGTGGGGAGCATAGCTGCAAGTAAAATGTTAGTTGGGAAGATAAGCAAAATTAAGCACAAGTATGCACATACAAGGTATACATCCACGCGCTACCTTCATAGGTCTCATGGCCATCGGGATTGAGATAACACGAGGTGAAGTTCAACAGAGGACTGCAAAAGATCGGGTCCTGGTAGCCCCATGTGCCGTTGGTGTATCGAGGCTGTAAGAATCCAGTGAAGTTGGTGTCGACGCCATTGATGTTCGACTTCTGGTCAGGATTGAACATGTGGGCCCAGTTTCCAGATCGTTTCGTGTATTTCTCATAGTCAGCCTGGTGGCCCATGCCCTGTGCCATCTCGGCAATGCAAAAGTCGTTATAGGCATATTCTACCGTCCGCGATATACTCCGAGTGTGTGTACCTTTGCCATCGGGATCATAGTCATCAAAAGGAATATAGCCGAGGCTTTTCCAACTCTGCAAGCCACCGCGGCCTTCCAAATCCCAGTTTTCGGGTTCTACCTCTGCGTCCTTGACAACAGCTTCATATGCAGTATCCCAGTCGATACCCGGGACCTTTTTCAGATACGCATCTGCCATAACCACATCTGCATTGGAACCGCCTTGCGTGAATCCCTTGCAAAGCGACATGCGACAGTCAGGCAGATATCTTTCGTGCCTATAGGTATCAACCAAGCTGCGAATCATGAGGGATTGTGAGAAAGGATCAACCAGGGTCAGCATTGGATGAATACTACGGAAAGAATCCCATATGCTAAGCCATATTATTAGCATGCTACTCATCTGTTTCGAAGCTGAATTTGCTCACCAATAGTAGCTGTCATAATACGGCTCGTCACTTTCCCAGAGAGGGTTTTCACCGGTGTAGTCTTGGGGGCTGATGAATGTTCGGTATGCTCCACTCCAGAAGACTTTTTGCAAATCTGATGAAACTCCATCTGCATCCACAGAGATGGTATCCAGCTTCTTTCGCCAAGCAGATTCAGCAGCGGAAATTGTGCCCTCAAAATCAAAGTCGGGTTGTTCTCGCTCCGCGTTGGAGCAAGCCTGGTCAACACTTATGAAACTAACGCCAACGCGAGCAAGAATATTGTTGTCTTTGGGGGCGTGGAATCTAGCAAATGTACCGGCCGAGAGGGTAGACGCCGAGTTAGACGCAAGTGTCAGCGTCCGTTTGCTGGTGTCTGGTTGCTTTTTCTCCCAGATGCCTGTATCACGAAGCTCTGCTCCTTTGAAATCAACGCAGACATACGATTTATAACTGCCATCACCAAAGCTTGGGCTAAAAGTACCACTTCCCGTAAAGCGCCCAGTCGATCGGTCCACCTCGGCACTTCCACTTGATCGAGATTGAGGTAGATCCATCAAATCTAGAAGGACCACTGGACTGAGCGACTGGCTGGAGGTTTCATTAAACGTGAACCGATATAAAACAGATCGATTTGTAGTTGTCATTTCTGCGTGAACTCCATTTGCCAATGAAATGCTGAAATATCCCGGGCGAGCTTCAGGGGACTTTCTGTCCCAGAGACTAGCTCTATCGGATTGTTGCCATTTGCACTGCTTAATATCGTCATCGGGGCAATTTCCTTGCGCAAAGATAGGGAAATTTCCCATTGATGGGGACTTAGGAGCGAGTCAGATACAGGGCGTGTTTTCTAACTCTCTGCGAGAACTTACGCCGCCAGTCCCAGAATCATGCATGTGTGAGAACCCGGTCACAACCTCCGTATCATAAGCGAAGCCAGCCTGGTTCTCACCTGTTGTGTCTGCCACGGCTTTGGCCATACCTTACATTTGTTAGCCTTGCTAGATGCACGAAGTATGGTATGAATTACCAAATGGCAAAGTCGCGCCAGCAAATACATGGCCTGTAGAAGTTGTTAGCGTTCGCTGACAGAAAGGCTCATCATATTGGAAACAAACCTCCATTTGCGGTTCCAATTAAAGGATCAACATATTTCAAGACGTCAATTTCATCTGCTGAAGAATCCTTTGCGCCTCTCACGTTGGAAGCATAGAGGGCTGTTACGATGCCACCGAGTAGCCCCATACGGAGGGAAGGATGCTGCGATGGCATAATGGATTTAGGGGCTATCCACAACCACAAAATAATTGAACAAGTTTCCAACGGCTTGGCAATTAAGATGTAGAAAATTCGCGTTCTGCTTCAGAATTTAAGCTCCTTATTTATGGATTGGAACAAGTCGCGGGGAAAGCATTCCGAGCCAGATCGGCATGTGAACTGCCTTTCCAGGGGGAAGAGGGAAAATAGGAAACCGCCAGTCATGTCTCATCCCCTTAGGAATTTTTGGTCCAAATGACAATATGCAGGAGCAGTTCATCCATCGACGTAGCATCTCGATGCTTGGCCAAAGTGGTGTCACATCTATCTCCAGAATACACCATGCGACGTTCGTTTGTTCCACACAAGTGGAGAAGTTAAGGAGCGAAAAGCAACATGAAGATGCGCACGGAAGATACTTGAACAAGTATCCGATAAAACTTCATAATGACGCAGGTTCCTGATTGTCGATCGCTGAGGTTGAGGGGAAACAAATTACCCCGAGCTGCGGGGAACGTTGTCTCTCCAGGGATGGGATGGTCCGTCAGTTCCGAGAGCAACGAGACCGAGCTAAAGCCGTCGCTTCATGTAACCCTCTCCGCGTTACTTTGCGTCAAAAAAATATGGAGAGGGTTACTGGGGTGACATGATCAACATGGCGATCGACCGGTCGGGTTTTCGGCGAAATAAGGATTTCTAACATGCATCTAGAACGTCGAGAAATGGCGATTGGCAGTTATCACCATTGGAAATGACCATATCGAATAAATTGAAATCTCCAGACATTCGAGGTTTGTACTTTCACTGCAGTTGCAACTCTTCACCGGTCACTTCAACCTTCCTCGTTGAATATGAGTCAAAAAATGCTTTATGAACAGTCAAAAGAGATCAGCGGCAATGCTGTCCCAAGCCGTTCCCCTTTGTTCAGACACTGGTCTCTGGGTGGTGCTGTGTAAAACAGTCGAAGGGCTGGGAATGGCAGTGTCTCGGGGCGAGCCCCTAGAATCAAGGTACGCTTTGATTTGTGCATTTTCGCGCCGTAATCTTGAATATTCCTCTCGGATATTCGCCTTGTCTCGCATTGATGCCCGATTTGATTCAATCTCTTTCATCGCCATTCCAAGCTGATGCTTGAACTGTGACGATTGGGCCAAATTACCTGCCGCAGCATCTGGCAGCGCTAGATATTCCAGAAGCTGAGGGTACATCTCTGCAACAGGAGATACCTCAGCTGGCGTACTGCAAGCATCGACTTCATCAATACGGTTTAAAGTAGGGGGAGGCATCATTCGTGGGACCACTGAGGATTTACGCCGTGATATTGTTGATGATTTATCGCCTTGAATTGGAATATTTCCAGATAACGGGTCTGAACGGCTGATTGGAGTTGTCCCACCAGTACTTGGGGCAGGAGATGGTGGTACAGGGAACTGGGGTGGTGCATGATCCCAAGCTCTTGCCTGGCAAGACGGACAATGGAAGTTATTGGCAGAGCGGACCACATCCAATAGGCATGCTGTATGATAAGATCTACAGCATGTCTGGCAACCAATCAGACTGTCAGGGAGACGACACTCCCAACAAACTACATTATGAGGCTTCCCAGCATCTGCAAACATCCATTAGCAGATATCGCTGGTCAATTCGATGTAGTGGCACACCAATCCATTCGTGATATACGCGAATTTGTTCTGGGCCTGAAAGAACAGGCCGTGTTGAAGATATTGAGCCCCATCGGATTGGAAAGCTCCTTGGGTGTACATCATTGTCTTCAACAGACTGGGCTAATGGATTAGATTTACCGCATTGGCTATCAACAAGAATTGATGGTTTTCGGAGCATGATGTATAGTTTTTTCTAGAAGAGAAGTAGATGACGACAGGATGTACAAGAGGGAGAACGTGACCAAATTCCGAGTTCCAGGCGAGAAATCTCCGCGTTATTAGGTAATCACCACTTCAACGGCCAAGCATCTTGCATCATTCATTTCTAGAATTCTTGCCGTGGAATTGCATCTTCGCTGATGTATATCCGATATGTGAAGTAGCTTTGTCTGTTATAAAGACGCAACGCGGAGGTTCGTCGATGACCTCAAAACCCAAGCACTAAGCCCTGGAGATCGCAATACCGGCACCCACAATGCCTGGGGTGCCGTCTAATAAAGCCTGCGAGCGTTGCAAAAAGAGGCATCTCAAAGTTAGTTCGACTTCATTTGAACATGTATTTGCAGTTTGTCGCTAATCTGTGGCAGTGTGATGAGACTCGCCCTCATTGTCAGCGGTGCACTACCGCGGGGGTAGAATGCCCGGGGTATGTTCAAACCCGCAAGTTCATCGATCAAGGAGCCACAGTAAGGCGCCGTTATGCTCCATATCAGGAGCCCCACCCGAAACCAGGTTCTTCATTTAATTCAAGCAAGGTAGGTGGAACAGCCAAATATCCTTCCGCCCAGCCACTCATGCTTTGTGATAGGCCCCTGCGGAGCTGGTATCAGGCCCAATGCAGCCAAAAAGCTCGCAAGCAGCGCTCAATGAGCACATTTTGCAATGGAACCAACCTCAAGAGCAAGGTGATCCTGCTCTTCCATTGCAGTTAGGGGAGACAATGTTAAACTCCCCAAATGATCCGATGATAGTAGAGATGCATGGTCCTTCTAGCCAGCCAGAGATTGCTATGGGGGGTTCCCAGCAAACAGCTATGCATGCCCCAGAAAGCCCAGCTATCTCTATTCCTAGCTCCATCTCTGGCATCGAGGAAGGCAGCAGATCTACAAGAAACAGGATCTATAAGTCAATTTCACCAAATGCGGCAACAGCAGGTTTCCCAGCGTTTGATAACACCTACAATGCAATTCCAAATAAGAGCCCCGATTACCAAAGGGTCATCTCCGAAAGCTCATCACATCGAAGTGAAAGAGAGGAATTCCAAGATATCTTCTCGGAGCTCATGACTGGAACTGAACACGAGATCGCGTTCCTCACTCGACATTACTCAGAGACCATAGGTCCATGGTACGTACAACTGACATTTCTTTTTGCATGTACGGCGTATTGATAATGCAACTAGGTTGGATTTGTCGGATGCTCAAAAGTTCTTCACCGTCCATGCTCCTATTCGAGCCATCAACAATATGTCTGTGAAGTACGCAATTTCAGCGCTAGCAGCAAAACACCTAGCCCGTTTAAAAGGGGTCAAGTCTTCCACTGGTGGAATGTTCACGAGCCCTGCGACTACGGAAACCTACCCAAATGCAACTCAAGTGGACTGGTTCCTCAAGGCTGCCAATTACTATTACATGGCAGCATCAGATCTAAATAACACCACGTCTGATGGCTATACCACTGTGTCTAGCTCAGCTATCTTGGAATCCCCCTTTGAGATCGTTGGTCGATGGATCAGTTCCCCTCAGACTCAAGCAATCATGAAGCCCGCGAGTGAAGATCCAAACGACGTGGCGGTCATTCGAAAAACAGAGGAGATGCTGGCGACCGCCACACTCCTTACCATGTACAGGCTTATAGATATGCCCGGGGACGAGTGGCACATGTAAGATTTTCTCTTTGGTGGCTGCTATTTTATTACTAACACTTAGACCCAGGCAACTTGCTCGCATTCGTCCTTTGTTTGAATCTCTTCTCAGTTTACATTCGCCAGTATCGGCCCTGTTTTCTCATGGCATTCAGGCTGCCTTCTGGAATTTCGCTCGCCAAGATTATCTCGGCTCTTATTTCACCCGATCACCTACACACTTCGACCCAGAAAATCTGCCCCTCTGGCGGGCAGCAGGAATTTCAATTAATGATCAGAAATCCTTCCATCTTATCCGGAATGGGTCAACTCTATCACAAGAAGATCAGGCTGCAAATGGCTTGATATGGCTTGTCACGAAAGTCATCAACTTTCTCGCCAGGTCTAAACAATTACAGCTCGCGCAGTGGACAGGATCTCCGCCGGCAGCTTCAACTGGAATCCAGGGCGCAACAACAAACACCACTCAACTGCCATATCCGGACACAGATACCTGGCTCAAACTATGTTTCGATTTTCAGACATGGTTTGAAAACGTACCCGAAACGTTCCGTTCCTCTGTGCGGATCGAACGCCCCAGGGACTTATCAAAGACTGCCGATGGAAGTTACTTGCCATTTCCTGAAATCTTCCATGGCTTGACAACCTGTGCTGCTACCATGCAACATTACCATTTCGGGCGCATCGCATTGTTGCTCAATCGTCCGGCAGATGCGATCAGTGCGCCGTCTACAGCCTTTGACCGTTTACAGGGATATCGGGAGGTCACGAAAGAGGTCGAGTTCCGTTCCCGTGAAGTCAACGGCATTGCATTAGGCCGACCCCAGGGTGGAGTTCGCATATATATGGTCCCGCTTCTTGTCGCCGTCGGACAATGTTCAGAAAATACCGAGGAACATCAGATTATTGTTGATCTGTTACGGGGCGTCGAAGCCGATTTAGGCTGGACTACCGAATATGCTATTCGGAAACTCCAGGATTATTGGAATCAATGTCAATGATTTTACTTGTTTCATGTTTAAATATTAGGGACGATCAACTATAATGTTTCTATACGTCTATATTGTTTATTTTTAATTCGAAACATTTCTGTCTACAAAGTACTCTTGTTCGATATTGAAGTATTGCCGCTTGGGCTTCATCGGGAATTATTTCCGTGTTGGCTATGACATGACTTGATGGGATGATGGCATTCTTTCATCACGCATAATTGTGCGAGAGCAAATATATCACAAAATGGTTCGAACTTGAAAGTAAGCCCATTGTAATAGTAGATCAATTTTAAATTAAAATAAGAAAACTGATTTCTGGTCTAACGATGAAGGAAGGCCAAAAAGAACATCGACCAGCACGAAGAATGTCTCCATAAAACCAAAGAAACCAAAGAAAAGCTTTTCAATGCGACCGATTCCTATATCCTGTATCAATGAATGCATACTCCCTCCTTCCACTGTTTTAATGAGAATCTCAATCCAAGCCACGGCAAAGCTAGAGACATATACCATCTTCATGTTTCATTGGTATAAACAATTATTCCCACGGAACATTCAGACACTGGCTCTAGTTCTGGTTTCGCTCGAGGAACGCTCAGACAAATACCTCTCGACTGGATCTGGATCACCGGAACCACAGGAAGAAACCCTGCGGCCAGCCTTCTTTCGGTCCGAAGCCAAGGTCTGCGCGAATGGTGACAGTTCCCGAATCCTAGGACCTTTCCAATAGAACACGTATATTGGAATGGTGAAGAGGATCGCCATGAAGCCCAGGAAGGTGGATGGCCATTCAAGATGGTTTGTTGTACCCATATGGGTATACACTATATTTCACTGTCAGTGGATATTCTACTATAGAGTATTGGTAACTTACTCGGCACTGAATACATCGCTGCAATACCAGCCAGGAAATCACGGGCGAATCCATTTCCTCCTGTGGCTGAGGCGGCGTATGGACCATACGAGGCAATCATGTAGTCGATTGTGGCCATGTAAATGGCATACTTGATCATAGAAGGAGTTATTAGTGCTGTATCAAGAAGTAATTTTTCTCTTGACTTACATTAGCAATGGCAATCAAGGCTGAAAAGATCATAGGTGCAATCCAATGGACATGGGGTGGACCGAGACTAGTCCACGAGAATCCAAATAGGCCAATTGTCAACAGAGGAGCCACTGTTGCGAGTGAGTAATGAGACCAACAGACCAAAGCCGAGAATACTTACCCCATAGCAACCAATAAAGACGAGCTTCCGGCTGAAGGCCATCTGGGTCTTGCTTTCTAATCCTGCCATGCCGATGAATCCATGGAATGAACGAGAAATAGGCAATGAAATAGCCCACCAAAAGTCTGCGTAATCAGATTATCAGAACCAGTCTAAAATTCAAAGTCATGTGCACTCACGGAAGGAAAGAAAGTCCAGTGGTAATTGTATTAAAATGCCACTGCTTGTATACCGGCGTATACGATTGAAGGAAAGTGAAGATGAGAGAATCACTGAAGCCGCTGAGCAGAGAGAGGCACAAGACGATAGGCTCACGCACGAACATGATAAACGGGCGTACCCAAACCATGAACACCCAGCGGAAAGACATGCGAGTTTTCTTCAGCTCGTCACCACTCCATACCATCTCCCCGTTTTTGCGTCTTCGCCTAGCCTCTCTCGTGACGAGGATGCTGCACCTGGTCTCTGGAATGAAGAAGTGCAGTATCTGCACAAAGCCTCCGAGGATAAGCTGAAGCCAGAAATTCCAGCGCCAGCTGAGGAAGGTTGCCACAAAGCCCCCGACGACTGGGGCAATGACCGAACCTGCCACGGAGGATAGCACAATGAACGCTACGGCGTATTGTTGGTTCTCTGGCTCCCACATGTCTGCTACCATACCGAGAGTTACAGAACCACCGGCAGACGATAGACCCCCGAGAATGCGGCAAATAACAATGGTTCCAAAGTTGGGAGCCAGAGCACAGGGGATTTGCCATATGTTGACGAAGAACAAGCTGAGCTGCATGATTGGCCATCGACCAAACTCTTCACTGAAGGGCGCCCAAAACTCGCAGCCAAATGCATAAGCAACCAGAAATCCCATCTGACCAGTACGCGCAGCCTGCTCTGAGATGGCGAAGTGCTTCGCATACAGAGTGATGCTGCTGGCATAAAAACTAGCATTGAAGTTCATTGATGTTTGGACAGCAAAGATGACGGAGAGGATAGTCCATTTCTTCCACCAGGAAAAAGAGTATCCTAGCTTGTCGTAGCAGGCCCATTCTTTCAACTCTTCTCTGGCCTGTCCATCGGCAGCTCCATCTGCACCCTCTTTCTTTTGGCGGCTGGCCCTGGGATTTCCCCCAGGAGAGCCGATTCCATCATCACTATCATCTTGCTTCTCCACATCTCTTTCTCCATCTGTATGATTGGAGAAAGGATCTTCGTGATGGCTCATTGCAGTAAAGTATCCGATAAATATAATTCAAGGGCTCTCAGCAGAATAACACCCAAAAGGACAAAGGCCGCCATCCTGGGTATCAGGCATAAACTGGGGCCCCAGAGCCTAATTAAATGCTTTTGGGGGTTGTCCAGAGAAGTGCCGAGACTGCATTACATAGATAAAGCACCGGTGTCTCCGATTGGTGCGGTGGCCAGCACAGTCTGGCTCGAACAAGCTTTACCAAGCTTCTTCGCGTGGTTGGTGGTGTGGAGGTGACATCCGGGGATCATGACTCGGTCGATCATCATTGGGCTCATCAAAATTCTTCCCTCCACGGGGAATTAAAGACAACGCCACGACGACAGGCCGCAACTATAATCCGACAACGCGGAGATGTTTCGGGTCCAAATTTTTGCACCTTTTGAGCTTCGAAGAGAAGAAGAGAGCAGGTGAAATGGTCCGGAGCATCCTCCGGCACGGTACCTACTCTTCCCAATAGGGGTAATCTTGATGGCGAAGCCGGGATCAAAGATCGTGAATGACTATGGAAGAAAGAAGTGTCCATTATATCCTAGTGCTGGCAAAACAGCATAGCCTCAGGCAGCTACTAGTACCTCTCACCTTATTTCATATATTGCACATGTGCTATGGATTCATATTCCACAACTTCCTAATGATAAATCTCACATTGTATAAACGACTGCTGCGATTTTGACCAATTCCGTATGTAGTAATATGAATATATGAACAATATTCTAAAGTTCCCTTGTTATTAACTCAACTTTGCCACATCAATCGCTGCATATGCACGTCGATCTCCAAATAAGCGTCCCCCCTACTTCATTTTTCTTTTTCACCCTTACTTGGTTTGGACTTTAATTGAAAGAGATCTATCTCGGGAGATCAACACCCAAGATCAGCTAGATACATACATTTGACGACTCCCATCCCAAAGCAGTCTAGATAGACCCTTAAATACTACAAATATGCGGGGAAGTATCAAGGGACCTCCAGACGCGGCAATATTCCGCCAGGCATTTACCGAATGCCTATCAAAACAGACCTCGGGATAATTCTGATGTGAAGAGAACGGTTTAGCCTATGAGAATCTTAGCAAAAACTTAAAGCGCATGGAGACTGCGGGGAACCTGGGGGGTTTTGTGGAGTGTTTCAGTCTCACGTAGAGATAGACCTCCATGGAGCTACGATGTATGAATATCACTTGGGCTAGAGCCGTTTTTTGACTAGTCAGAGTCTCGCTAGTTGACTTGAAAATATGATAGATGCGCCACGCTTATGGACACAGGGATGCTATCGGTAGTTGTTTGCTTTGCTTTCCCGAATCCTATCTAGGGGTCCAATTTCCCCTATACGTTATGTTTGAAATATAACTTACACCGGAGCCAGCCCGACCTCATGAACTTGAGTTTAGCCATAGCTCCAAGATCACTTTTCAATTCTACCCAGCTACTTGTGACTTCGTCTCAAATCCAGCTTAAAAGGTAAATCGAAAACATGGAGATGAACTATGATGAAGGGGTGAGTCTTTCTTCTCAATTGTTTTTTGTGTCTTTTGGCTAATAGACCTCACATCTAGACGCTTCATCGGTATGTCGCATTGTCCAACCTGCAACAGCCATGCCTGCTAACTATCTGACTAGAATCGAGGAGGAACTGGGAACAGTGATCTACCCAGGGACGGAGATCATGACGGATGTTGGCTCTCATCATTTCGTTAAATCGTCCTCCAACTCCGATCGGGTGCTGGTGCCCCAGCCATCGCAAGATCCTCACGATCCATTGGTAAACACTTCTTAGGAAATTGACCGGATCACTCAATAACCAATTATGTTTATAGAACTGGAATCGATTCTGGAAAATGAGTGCCATGACAATATCCACTTTGACATCCTTCAGTCAAGGCTTGGGCCCTTTGGCACTGGCGCCTATGTTCCCACAACTGATGGAGGCGTTTAAGTCCGATTTGGCCGCCGTCGTGCAGTTCACGGGTGTCTGCATTCTGGTGCTAGGGTTCAGCAATTTCTTCTGGTGAGGATGGTTCATGTACATCGGTACGATCCTCGCTGACTCTGGCTTGATATAGGATACCACTTCAATCATCCTACGGACGACGACCAGTCTTGATATTTTCAACGCTGATCTGTCTGGTCAGCAATATTTGGCGAGCAATGGCAACCAGCTATAGCAGCTATATGGGCGCTTGTGTGCTCAATGGATTCGGAGCTGGTCCTGCAGAAGTATGTGTCTCGATCTCCCTCCAACGGATGAAGCCTAACCGTTCATATCTAGACGTCTCAACCAGAGATCATCGCGGATATCATGTTCTTACATGAGCGCGGTGCGTACAACACAGTGTATTTCACTGCCTATTTTGGGTCTCTTATGGTAAGTAATTTGGCAGATCAAAGCTTTGCTTGTTACTGACGTCGTCTAGGTTGGTCCTATCATCGCGGGTCCTATGGCCGAGCATAGTGGCTGGCGCAGTTTCTTCTGGCTGAACGTCGGCGTCCTTGGATTCGTGCTTCTACTTCAGATATTCCTTTTCCCCGAGACGAAATGGCATCGCATTCATCCAGATGAAATCGCTCAGTCCGCATCTCCCTCTGAGTCGGCAATCAACGAACCGGAGGCAGAGAAGCCGCCAGTCAAAGTCACAAATCAAGAGCACGAGAATGTGGAAACTGCCGAGCGCGATCCTTATTTGCACAAGGGTACTCCATCAAAGCAACAGTTCAAGCTCTGGCAATTGGATGGAAGCAACATCAAGACTGTTATTGTCAGTTTCTATATTCCATGGAAACTGTTGACCTTCCCCATTGTCGAACTGGCCGCGTTCGTTGTGTCATGGTCAGCTAGTTGTTTCCTCACTCTCAATCTCACCCAGAGCCAAGCATTTGCAGAACCCCCATACAACTTCGGCAGTCAAACTATTGGTTTCTTCAACTTCGCCATTTTGATCGGGAGTTTCATTGGATTGGCTACCAACGGTCTTCTTTCAGATTGGGTCTCCATGAAAGCCACAAAGAAGAACCGCGGTATTCGAGAACCTGAGATGCGTCTCCCAGCAATGATTCCATACGTCATCATCTCGATAATCGGCAATTTCATTGTTGCATTTGGGTACCAGTATAAATGGGACTGGAAGGTGAGTGCAATCATTCCTTGCTCGGCGGCTGTTCGACTAACTGGTCCATGTACAGATCATCGTCTTCATTGGATACACTGCAGCAGGCATTCAGGTTGCAGCCCTTCCGGCTATTACCAGCACATATGCAGTTGACAGCTACAAGCCTGTGGCGGGCTCAGTTTTCGTGGCTATCACGGTCAACAAGAACCTTTGGGGCTATGGCTTCAGCAAATTCATCACTGAGTGGGTGGAAAAGAGTGGCTTTGTCAAGCCAATCATGCTGAACATGTCGTTGGCAGCATTGTGGTGTTTCTGCGCCATCCCCTTCTACTTTTATGGTAAAAATTTCCGGGGATGGACGGCCAAGTCTTCAGTCCATAAGATGTGACAGCTGGATTCAGGAGTCCAATACAAATGCGAAATGAGAAACAGTTGAAAAGAAAAAAATTATCTTAAATGGCTTTTTGTGCTGTTGTAGCTGGTATCATTATGAAAATCGAAATGTAACGCCCGCTTTAAAAACACTCAATCGTCATCTTCGTCTGGGTCGTAGAGATCAAGGTCCAGCATCGCCTTGGGTTTCGGTTTCGGAGCTGGTGCTTGAGCATGCGCCCGCGGCATTCCAGCGGCCGATGATCCAGCTTGAGCTGCGGCCTTTGCAGCCTCGCCCGCCTGCTTTGTGCTTTCTGCGGGTGCCATCGGTGCCGGCGGTTCTGCGGCCCCAAGACCCTCAGCCTCGCGTATCAACCGCTCTACCTCCTTTTCTGGGTCGTCGCCAGCAGCAAGCTGAATTTGACCCATCAGTCCCATCCGTATCCGTTCCTCCATCGGGTAGGGCAGCATGTAGACCTGGCGCGTAACGTTCGCGGACTCGTCCAACCACTGCGTTGCGTTTTTGGTGACAGATGCCACTGGCTCTGCGCCCTCCTCTGTTGGATGTTCTCCATTTGTTCCAGTCATCGCCACATCTTTATCGGCGGGGGCATTTCCATGTTCTGGCCGTTTCACAACGCCTGTTGCGGCATCGGCTGCCGCTTCGTGGTTGTATTTGCTGATGCGACGTGCGAAATCCAAGAGTAATCTGTAGTCAATCTCTTTGATTCCCCGTAGCACTGATTTCTCTCCCCCAAGGTCGTCATCCGAGTCGGAGTCGGAATCGAAATCGCTGTCGCTGTCGCCGTTGTCTCCACAAGCTGTGCGGATCTCTTTCTCGAACCCTTCAATGTCCCCCACGATACCCTTGACTCGATCCTCCAGTTGCTGTGCCTCTGTTCGCAGTCGAAGAATCTTTGCGTAGTTTTCTTGGTGCTGTCGAAGGGATTCAATGGCGGAGGTTAGCGCATCGTCTGCATCGAGCAGGGCGACAGCTGCGGCAGGGGCTCCTGCAGCAGTGGGTGAGGTTGTGAGGCTAGTCAGGAGAGCATTGAGTTTAGATTCGACATCAGTCAGGGCAGACTGGACAAGTGCGTTCATTGTTGGGTTGTGCTCTTGGGAGAGCGACAGCTTGCGCGTGGAAATGAACGGGCCGAGCTCCATGATAGGTCACGTGGATGGTACCATCTAAGATGAATGCAATAAATGCGACAATGGCAATAATTACATGATGACTTTAGTTTTTTTCCCTCGTTTTTGAAAGGATATTCTTTGCACAGCTAAATATCATCCTTCTCCTCATTTGGTCTGAGTGGGGATGACAGCCCCCCCGGATATATAACGATCTCCCCAGCCACTTGGAAACCCCCGGATTTACTCAACATTTCAATTTCTATTTAACTGAAAATGACCGAATCGAGTTCATCCTCTGCTCAAGTGGAGTTGAGTCCATATGTGACCATTCAGCCTCCTCTTTCCCGATGTGGACACGGTCCAGGGCTGATCCTCATACGGCCTGTTTGTTATGCAACATGCCAGCAGCAAAACAAGACACTTGACCCAGAGCCTCTCAAGAAATGGGCTGAGGAAAGCTTTACAGTAGCACAGATCACTGTGGATGAAAAGTCTGCCATTGACGTCTCATCTCTACGAGAGCTTCTTCAAGAAGCTGAACGTGGCCTAACAGAGAGGCCAGAATGCGATACGAAGGAAAAGCTTGGATTGATAGGTACGGAAGTGTCAACCCGGCTCTTTCACTAGTCTTTACTGACTTCAAAAATCAGTCTATGGATCAAAAAAAGACTATGTTTCTCAAATCGAGGACAGTCTGCAAGGTGCACTACTTCAAGGCACGGCTCTGATCGCCGCAGTATTCTTCGAGTCTTGGAACATACCCTTCTTCCAGTCAACCCTGTTCCAGTTATCTATTCCAATGGAAGGCGAGAAGAAGGAAGGGCAAACTACACACATCTACTCAGATGTGTCATCTCCAGGCTTCATGATCCCAGGCCACCCGGATTTCAAGATATCAACAGCAGGGGTAGCTCATACTCGGATTGTCGGATTTGTTAAAAAGCACATGGGTGGCCCATTCTTTGACCTTGAGAAGATCTGGGATGAGCACACCTATTATGAATTTGAAGCTCGCTCGGTCGAAAAGACAATGGCGACGATGGTCGCAGAACCTTACGTGAATCATGTGCCAACTCTGACAGGAGGCATTGGACGAGCCCGTTTAAGCCACTTTTATCTCAACCACTTTATCTTCAACAACCCCGACGATACAGCTTTAGAGCTTATTAGTCGGACAGTCGGCACTGATCGAATTGTGGACGAGTTTATATTTGTCTTCACTCATGTGAAGCAGATGGACTGGATGTGAGTGATTTGGTTCCTGTGGTTCGATCGAGCAATTAACTGACGTCTTCGCCCACCTTAGGATCCCCGGTATCCCTCCTACCGGCAAGCACGTGCGCGTTCCGTTCACATCTGTAGTCAACATTCGCGGAGATCGCTTGTTCCATGAACATATTGCATGGGACCAAGCAACAGTTCTTGTGCAGCTGGGTCTGTTGCCCGAGTATCTACCCTTTCCATATGCACTGCCCGACGGATCTGTGCCAGCGCACGGGAAACGATTCGAGTACCGTGTGCCAGCAGCGGGCGCTGAAAGTGCCGCCAAACTCCAGGATGAGCATGAAGTGCCTTCTAACCAGATGTTCGAGTATAAGATTCGCGAGGTCGATGGTTGAAGGGTTGAGCCATGTCACTGTGTAAAAAATGAACATTCCAAATAAACAGCTCGTTCTAGGCAACAATCGTATATACCTTTCGGGATCTCCGGCTGAGGTTATGTTGCAGTTGGAGCCCAAGTACGGAGCAGGCGGAGTACCCCGCAGTCTGTGCTCGCCAACAATTCCCTTCTGTACTTTTGTATGAACGGAGCTCCAACCCTGATTTAGTGTAGCGTTGATTGATTCGAACGCAAATTCCGGGGAATGTCATCTCTTATTGGTGTGTTATTGCCGAGCCCCAAAGTAATGTCTCGCTTTGACATCATCATGTGTTTTGTTCGCAAAAAGGAACTGACCGCTGACTAGCCTTCCCACATTTCTCGCCCTGGAGGTAAGCTTAGGTTGCAATAATTGGTAGGGAAGCTTAGGCACTAGTACTACCTAGGTATCTCCCATTCTCCGTCCACCGGTTGGACCGTCATATATGGAGTACTCCACTCGGACCTATGAAATTGATTCTAGTCAATAATAATAACCTGACCCGACTTCGTTCATAACTAGTATTAATATAAACCTAGAAGCTCATGGGATTCCCTCTTCCCCGCGTGCTTATTCTGCTCTTCTGTGGTTAAGATGGTCCTGGTATTGTTGCTGACGCTGGCTTCAGCGTGTCTGGCCTCCAAATTACCGGTGGTTGATCTGGGATATGAGCTACACCAAGCAATTTCATTCAATGTCAGCTGACTCTTCTTTGGTTTGATTTTCATTACCCCTGACCCTCGAAATAGAGCTCGCATGACCTTTATAATTTCAGCAATATCCGTTATGCCGCACCTCCAGTTGGCGATCTGCGATTCCAGGCACCTATACTTCCAAAGCAAAACAGGGAACACATCCAGAATGGCTCTATCGGCAGGATATGCCCACAAGCAGACCCATTATGGTCGACAAAAGTCCAACCAGCCTTCCTCTTGAGTTACTTCTATAACCAGTCCGTCTCTCTATCCACCAACATCTCTTCCTTTGAGTACAAGCCGGCGGAGCAAGACCCACGCACCAGTGAGGACTGTCTATTCCTTGACGTCGTTGTCCCCAAAAAGATATTTGAACGCACAAAAAATAAGACTGCAGCATCTCGAAAGCACTTGGCGCCGGTGCTGGTGTGGATTTATGGCGGTGGGTATGTAGGGGGAGACAAGGGGAACTCAGACCCAACTGGGTTGATCCAGCGAAGTAGGCTGGGAGGTAATGATGGCATTGTCTACGTTGCTTTAAATTATCGAGTAAGTCAAACGATTCCTAGGTCGATGCCATGAGAATACTAATTCCTCTGAAGTTGGGTGCATTTGGCTGGCTTGGTGGTGACAGTATCACGGCCAATGGCACCGCCAATGCAGCACTCCACGATCAACGCTTTGCTCTTGACTGGGTATATAAGAACATTCACCTTTTCGGTGGAGACGCAACCCGAGTCACAGTTATGGGAGAGTCTGCTGGAGCCGGATCAATTCTTCATCAGATCACCGCCTATGGAGGCACACGGGGTGCTTCACCTTTCAAACAAGCCATTTTACAGAGCCCAGGCTGGGTCCCAGTCATTAGCGAAGAGCAACAAGAAGACACTCTGCAGCAGTTTTTGGGAATTCTCAATGTCAGCACGATTGAACAAGCCCGGAAATTACCATCGCACAAATTGATCGCCGCCAATGCGTACCAGGTCGCGACCAAATCTCAGTGGGGACAGTTCACTTACGGTCCTGTTGTGGATGGCAGCTTCGTGCCTGCTCTGCCGGGGCAGCTTTTGCTTCGAGGCGATTTTGATCACAACCTGAACATCATGGTCGGCCATAACGCGAACGAAGGGTTGATCTTTACCTCGCCGGACAGCGTCAATAGCACCGGCTTGGCAATTCAGATGAAGACCTTGTCGCCGAATACTCCCAGAAACGTGTCCGACTTTGTCTTGGATGTCCTCTATCCACCAGTCTATAACGGCTCCTATGGATACACCGACTCGGTCGCGCGCACAGCGCTCGCAATCTCGGATCTCATATTCCAGTGCAATACCGATTATCTCAACCGTGCTTTCTACAATGAGACCTATGCATATCAGTTCAGCATTCCGCCTGCGCTACATGGACAGGATGTCTCGTACACCTTCTACAACAATGGGAGCAGCTCTGTCGACAATGCGACTGTGGCGTTGGCTATGCAGGACTATTTTACTAGCTTTGTCCAGCATGGCGCGCCGAAATCCCATCTGACCCCGGTCTTCAGGAAGCATGGTGAGCACGCACAGCTCATGAACATTGGCAATAATACTATCCAGCCGACGCCGGACCTGACCAATAATCCACGCTGTCGGTTCTGGCAGACTGCGCCCTATTATAAACCGACATGAGTCCTGTATCGTGTTATAGGCATGGTGTGCACAGTGTGTTTATTAAATAGGCAAGGTCCGTTGGTGGAACTTCAGAGAGGATTTACTGTGTTCGACTTGGAGAGATAATTAATTAGGAATGACAAGATATCCTTCACACATACACTCCGTGTAAATGCCACGTGGTAGATTGAGGCCAATGGGACGTCCTGGGTGGGGAAAGTAGAGGGCTAACTCTTCAACATTGAAGTCAGATGAAAAGCGTTATTGGTGAGATCTCAATTTCTTGGCACACACGGCTTTTCAAGCACCTCCCGATTGATGTTTGGCTCGAAGGCGAACGCCTAGCGAGAATCTCTGGGGATATTATATGCCTATATCCCTTGGTAATTTTAACCGTGATAACCGGTCGCGATCCTGGTGTTATTCACACTTCCTGAAGAGGCAATTCCTGGGCGTGAGGTGGACTTGGAATTTTGCCGAGCCGTGTATGTAATGACTTCTCTTATTGATCTATTCTCAAACAAGCGATCTTGCAAGCCTAGCGTCCCATTCATTGGCGAAAAGTAACAAGAAGACACGCTGCGGCAAGTGTTAGGGATTTTCAATCTCAACACGATTGAACAAGCCTGGAAATTATCACTGAACAAATTAATCGCTGATGCGTACTAGGTCGCGACCAAGTCTCAATAGGGGTTAGCACAAAACGTTGTATACAACGTTGTGCAGCAGTGTGCGGCGTCGAGCAGATGTGGAAACTCCTCTTGGAAGAAAGCGCAATTGCACAATACAATAGAAATGGTAAGAACCAGAGTTTTTTTATTTTGTTTTGCCAAGAATTCCAATAATGATCATGCGGCCAGGGGATTCTGAAGTTCTTAAGGCATTTTTTTTATCCTATCGCGCTAAACAAGGGGACATGGAACAGATTTTCAGGGTCCAATAATGTATGAATTTGCTTGATCATGTCTGCAACTTTTTGACATCAATTACCACATTAGGGTTCGGCAGTCGAACCGAATAATGTTATTAGAATAGATAGATTTGATTGGTCCACACAATCCACGCTACGCTAGAACAAAGCCCGTTAGTGTGTTGATGTCACCATGAGAGACTAGGCTGTATTAAGGGATTGGTGAAAAGAGAGAACTACAAAATGATCGAGGTAAATTCGGATCCATTCGCTATTCTAGTATTAACCTATACCAAAGTGCTTTATAAGTTTGGTCGGAGTTGGATGAAAAAGAGATTGAGATATATATTTATGATAAGTCTACCTACGTAGATAACATTATAGACATCTCTCTTTTTCTTTCTTCTCTTTCTTTGTCTACTTCATCCTCGATCTATTTTTGTCTGTACTTCGCATCCCAAGTTGCTCACTATGCGGCTGCTATGGGCCATCCTCTACCTGGGCAATGCCCTCGCTGCTTCCATCCCGCATGCGGATTCTCATCAACTCCGACTTCCCTTCGTTCCTTCCCCTGATGACCTCGCAAATGGCGTCATATCAAAACTCGTGGGTGACATTTTACCAATTCATCACCAGTATACTAACATAACACAGTCTCTCAATTTCTCAATCCAGAATGGATACCTATACGCCAATGAACACCAAGTCTATCCTCCATCAGTGAAAATGCAGCTCCACGCACCTCTCTATGAAGGCGTAAACCTAAATAAACTCAGTACCAGGAGCGTGGATTTATCCTACACGCTCGAGACTCAACAATTGAGCAAAGATGACACGGGATCCACGGCGGATATGATCCGCGTGCGAATCGAGTTGCTCAGTCTGCAGGGCAACCTGGTGTCACCGCACGCAGTAGCCATCAATCTTCTCGTCCACAAAAGTGGCCAGTACGAAATGGACCGTCTCCGTATCGAGCCAGCTCGCAGCGGTGACCAGGAGGATCATTTCTCCCAGAATAGCCAGCCGTGGGTGATCAGGTACTGGAATACACAATTCGGTTCTGCTTTCGACAATCCCAAGGCCGAGACCATGATGCCAGCTCAGGGGCTAGCGCCGGTTAAAAAATATTACCCCCAGATCGTTGCTACCAACGCCGAACCCAGTGATACCGCAGTTGAACCTCAGTCTAAGGGTCCATTCTGGGCTGAGCAGGCCAGGTTTAACCGTCATCTTTACCACGACTATCATCCCAAGGACTCGCCTACGCGAACCATTCCTCTCATCGTTCTTCCTGTCTTGCTGGTTATTGTAATCGGGCTGGTGGTTTGCTTAATTGGGTTCCCTGCCGCAAATCTGCTGATGTTCTTGGGGGTGTGCCTTGGAGGGCAGAAGGTACAAAGCCACAGATCACCGAGTGTCTCAATGGAAGAAGGCACATTTTACGAAACTGTCCTCATGATCCCGCAGATTTGCGTAACAGACGCTTCCGATTCGAAAGTCTGACTTGGTCTGGGTGATTTGGGCGGCATATAATTTTCGGGGGAGGGGAGGGGGGTTTTACGGCGTTTTCTTGCATTAACATACCCTTATACCATTCATTTTTTTTTTGCTTTTCTTTTCTTTCTGTCATATATGTTGTTACTGGTCTGTATCTATGGCTCTATTACACTGTACAGGAGTGATGTCGATGAAAATATACTTAACATGGTCTTTTTCAATATAGTGCATAATTTGACCAAATCACATATAGTACGGCCGGCTGGCCCAATGGCAAGGCGCTTGACTACGAATCAAGAGATTGCAGGTTCGATCCCTGCGTCGGTCAGTATCTTTTTGCTTGTTAAAGTTGAAATTTTTGTTAAACTCCACCGGAACCCGAGCCGAATCGGCCCCGGCATGGCCGAGGAGTTGCGGATTAAAGATGTTAGTACGGAACTATACTAGTACATACAAGTACTGCTGTGTATTGATGTATGTATGTATTTGTATTTTTCGTATTGTCATCTATAAATTTTTCTTTTGGTAAAAAGCTTAATCTTGGAACTCGTCGACGTCCGGGACATCCGGGGATGTTCACGTTAGAATTGCTGCTATATTCAAAAAATTATTGATTCGAGCTATGGCTTCGGATCTAAAGTATATCTACTCCGAATCTCTATGTCGTATGCAGAGTAACAAGCTGGAAATCATAAGCCATCAGTCCTTGCGATCGAACCACATCTTTTCTCCATTCAAAGCGGGTTCCATATCCATACCCATTGCTGTGGCAATCCCATTGGAACCCACTATGAATTCCGTGGCGTAGTAACCAGAGAGAGATCCGATTTTCTTGGGTTGGTAGTAATGCGCCACAAAGAACTCCCCGCTTGCATGGGTGAGAGTGATAAGGGAAGGTATAGCACGGTCTAGCAGTTCTGCAACCAAATATCCGTCTTTGAGGGATAGAGTGATGGAACTGTACGCCGGATGCTCGTATCTCCCAACATATTGGTGTAACTGTAAAGAGTGGGAAAGAACAGGATCAGGAAGAGACGGATAAAGCCGTTTGGTGGCTTGTTCCAAACACTCGGACTTAGCTCCGACCTTGCCGTTTTCTGGTTTTGTCGCCTGACCCACTGAGCGCGGGATCCCTGGTCCACCAAAAATCTGATCCAGAAGGTGCATGTAGATCCCCAGCTCTGCATTTCGGGCATTGACTGTGTTACCCATCATAGCAAAGCCGAACCCCTTGCTCGGTAGGAAGCCCACTTTGATTCCAAATCCAGGCCAGCTCCCGCTGTGCCAGTAGAAAGGCTCGCCGCGGTAACTATCCACAAACCACCCCAGGGCATAGAGGTGGCATGGGGCCGGCGGTGGTCCGACGAGCTCTTCCCAATTCGAGATCACTGTGCGCGGCTTCAAGAGCTCTGCGTAGCCCTCCGGAGAGATGGGACCCTTTTGGTACATCATCGCGCGTAGCCACTTGGTGTACTCGAGTACGTTGCTCACCATGGCGCCGGCTCCAGTCACGGCGACATCGTTCATGTAAGGTTCTGCAATGTAGGTGTCTGTGTCTGGGTCCCAGGTGTAGCCTTGCGCGAGTCGAGGACGAAGAGATGGGTCCTGCGAAACATCTGTCACGGAGAAATATGTATCGTTCATACCTAATGGATCCCAAATGCGTTTCTTGAGAGTCTCGCCGAGAGGTCGGCCTTCGATTTGTTCCAATGCATGAGATACTGCCATATACATATTGTTGTTGTAAGAGAAGGTAGTGCGGGGAGCATATGCCATAGGAAGATATCGCAAGTTTCGAACTGCTTCGCGCAGTGATCTTTTGGGATCCACTAAATTTAAACACGCATCGTGTGTTGATAGCCCCGAGCGATGCGACAGAGCGTCTTCTATGGTAGTATGCATTGTGCTATAATCGTTCTCCAACACAAAATCATCTCGAAGTATGGACGCAATTGGTGTATCCCAGCGAATGGGAGATTCAGTATCCTTGCTATCGTCGATGGCGAGAGACATGGCCGCTGCAGTGAATGCTTTGGTCGTGCTACAAGTGCAGAAAAGAGAATCGGTGGTCATTTTGCGATCAGGAAAATCGGCAAATCCATATGCCTGAAATGTAGTTTTAGTGGTTTGTACTTGACAAGTGGATTATATCTCTATACTTTTGACCAGGTGCTAGAGCCATGAACCACTGCCATGGATAGTCCTGGGACTTTCCATTTGTCCATCTGCTCCTGTACCAAGGCATCGAACTCCGAGGTCAATGGCGAGTTCGAGTTTCTGAGAACCATTTTGGTAAACAAAGCTTGTTTTGCAGTCTGATAATTGTAACTATCTAGGTAGCCCTAGAGGTTTGAAGAGTTGAAGTTGGAGGATTTGGAGCGGGGAAGTCTAGATAAGCGGCTCGTAGTCCAGGCAGTAGCGCTGTACTCAATGTAACGTCAATATCACTAATCCTTGTTGGGAATTTGTGATCTTAGTGATTATACCATATAGAGTAAATATTACTCTGTACCGCCTAGCCTTGTCAGCATGATGGATTACGATATAAAGAGCTTCAGCATTGCGGGCATAGGAAGTCAGGGATAATAGTGTCTGAAACATGTCAAGGGACCAAGGGAAATCCTATGCAGGTTTCCAGGGACATAGTCCTCGAAGCGGGGTTGACATCTGCATGAACAGGAGCTTCAATTGTTGCAGGCTGGTTAGACAACAGCGGGAACATGCCGTTGAGTACGAAATACGGAGTACACCTGCAGTTGAGACGCATGCTTGACTTGGCGCGTATCCTAGACAACATCAAAATACTCTCCCAAGGCCCAAAATTGGCGATTGGGTATTAGGGCTTGATACTTGCCACCATGGTCACAATTTCACGTGGAGTCAGGAAGCCTGGTATATAAAATCTTCAGAGGCTTAGGGAAGTACCCGCAGCATTTAATAATATTATTGCATGGAAGCACGGAAGTACGGAGTAGCTACTCCATATTTTGAGAATAAAATTTATTTGGTACGTGACCTTTATGTGGCGTACAACAGTGCTATATCACATCCAATGCGGAAGTTTGATTTCGATCTGCAAAAGATTTTGGTTTTTGGAGAAAAACAAAAAACAAAAAGCGAAAAAAGAAAAAGAAGGAGAAGATACAAGGCAAATTGGTTTCAATTCTGATAGCACTCCTCCGTACATACGGAGTGTATAATTAGTATGTCCTGCAGGGGGTATCCCTTGAACTTGACGCCTTTCCCCTAAAAACAAAAAGTAAACAAATGGAAAATATAGTATGCATGATGTAATAGTATGATAGTGATAACTACTCCGTAGTTAGTGATACTAATCAAGGTAATAATAGCCTGTGTACGGAGTACTCCGTGTACCTTAGTGTGTGGCTGAGCACAGCCACAAATAGCGGTGACCAAATCCCAAGTTCCTTTTTTTGATTTTCAATAGTGCGATCGAATGTCTCCAGCCATTCAAGCCATTCAACTACATTCGGATTAGTCTCAGCTGGATCCCCGATTTGAATCGAATAATGGATCCGATTTGATCTCTACCATTCTTCCGGAGGAAAGGATGAGCCAATGTTAAGCTTGGTTACGGAGTACACTTACCATCAAATATTGCAGCCTACTCCGTACGGAATACCCCGTCGGCAAAATTGGAATCTAAGAAACACAACCTTGGAAAACCTCAAAAGCTGAAAATCCAATTCCTATCAGCCCTAACGATTGGATGAACCTATGAGATCTGCATAGGGAAGGGGTGCAAGCTATCTCCTGGGCGATCATCCCCCATTTCAGAGCCCAGATCCAGGATTGAGAGGGCGTGATGACTTCATAGGAGATCAGGCAATAATGGGCACTCTCTTTAGCCACGTTGGCTGGGTACCATAACAATCCGAACTGCATGGCCCTGTGAGGTAGCCCACACAGCCGATCGTCCATGGTGATTGGACTTTACCGCCAGCTTTGCCCACTTTTGTCCACTTTTGTCCAATATGGAGTCTCAATTTCTAGTCTGGGGCAGGTGGCTGGTGTTTTTTTGATGCAGAGTTTGTTTTTCAAAAACACTGAGAGCTCTGTATAAAAGGACTGCCCCCAGCTCTGGATTTCATTCAGTTCCCACTTTGCCCACAAAATTTCCTCTTTCTTTAACACTGACCCCCATAATCTTCCCTTTCATTTCCAATCATGAAGTCTTTCTCCCCCGTTGCTGTCGCCTTGATGGCCGCCTTTGGCATGGTCGCAGCTGAGATTTCCGCCTCTGATTGTGCTGTGAGTAATTTGATCCACCCCATTGAGTTGAAATAATACCCAATGCTAATCCTATCCGGTCTATAGACCATGTGTCTCTCCAACATGAACGCCCAGGCCTCCGAGTTGGGTTGCAAGACTGGCGACTTGGCCTGCCTGTGCAAGAGCGACAATTACAAGTTCGGTATCCGTGACTGCACCAAGGAGGCTTGCCCCAACGACGACGCCGAGAAGGTTCTCGCTGAGGCCGTCGCTAAGTGCCCTGGTATGTAACAAGTATCAATCATTTCTCAACACTTGATACAGTGAACTAACATTATATCGCAGGCGGTGTCGCTGGCTCTGACTCCAGCTCTAGCTCTACCTCTGGCTCTAACTCTACCTCCACCTCTGCCTCTGGTTCCGGTGCTGGCAGCGACGCCACTACCTCCGGCTCTGGCTCCGAAACCACCACTGGCGCAACTGGCTCCAAGACTGCCACCGGCTCCGACTCCAGCGTGACTGGCACTGACGCGTCTGGCTCTGCCTCCGGTGGGAGCGGCTCTGCTACCAAGACTGGCACCGATGCCAGCGTGACTGTAAGATGCACTTCATTATTTCTCTCCCTGAACCATGCTAATCATATCTCTAGGGCTCTGACTCTGCTAGCTCCACCTTGGTGACCAAGACCAGCACCAGCACCGGCGATTCTACCACTGCCACCACTACCACCACTTCCGCTGTCTCTGGCAGCGACTCTGACTCTGGCAACGGCTCCGGCTCCGACTCCGACAGCTCTTCCAGCTCCGCTTCCGGCACTGCTGCTCCCACCTCCAGCGAGGGTGTCGCTGCCCCCATGGCCACTGTTGGCACTGGTGCTATGGGCGTCCTCGGTATGCTCGCTATCCTCGCTCTGTAAATTTCCTACATGTGAAGGCGCAGAGGCCACTCTCATGTTATCCATGGTAATTTATGGGTTATGATTATGTGTCGCCGTTGTCTGGCTTGTACAGGTACAATATGGAACGGGTTCACGGTGTGTTCCATCATGTTTTGTCTTCTCTTTGCTCTACGGAGCTGTTATTTAATGTCAATCCAGCTTAATGAATGAAATCTATATTATGACATCTATCCTCAGTCTCAGGGTGTGAATATCAACCAAGTACACACTCCTTACTTCGTACTGAAGGCTTGAATAGTAAATCAAGCTCTCGTCATACTCTAATTCTCTTGGATTTGAATACCACTGCTATAGTATATATCTCACTCTATGGATGGAGTACAAAGCATGGATGTTTAAAAATATATATTTTATCATCACGCGTCCCACTGATGAGCATGTGGATTTCCATGTGATTGCGACCGGTCTACTATGTACCCATATTTCCAGCTTCTGACACATGTGCAATGCAGGTGTGCGCTTTATATCTACCCTGCATCTATGCATCTTAGGAACGGTTGCACGGAGTAGAGAGAGCTAATAGAACCTAGCCCTAATACGGCCATCCTTTATTCCGCGGGGAAATGTGGCGTGGTTGAGCTCTCCCGCTCACCCGGACTTGACGCACTCGGATATTACCAATGTTATAAGGAGCGAATATAAAAGCTCTTCTAGGAAAATCCCCCATTGATCCTAAAGTCTTTACAATATTTGATGCTACAGTACCGTTGTCTTCCTCTTTACGTGCTATTTACTACGGGAAGTCGGTTTTTCCGCTGCCGAGCCGAGGTTCACCTGGGTCCGGGGAAGCCTCCAGTCGGCTTCGGTGTGTCGGGTGGTCTGCATCGTCGCAAGATCTTCGGATATTTTTTTTTTTTTATCACACTATTAATTACCTTTTACATCTTACTCTTGGCTCCTGTTCAGTCTTTTGTTTCCTCTTCTCTTTCTCCTTCTCATCCTCCATCTCCGTCCCTATATCTTCCCCCGCTCCGACCCGCACACAATGTCCTCCTCTACTTCCCCCTCGGAGCAGCTGAAAGATGAGATCAAGGTCGTCGAGACCAAGGCCGTCAACCAGACCATTGTACAGTTGCGCTCTCTTGCAGCTGGTGCTGCCGGTGGTCTCTGCGCTGTTGTTGTTGGACACCCATTTGATCTGGTGAAGGTGCGCCTGCAGACGGCCGAGAAGGGAATTTACTCAGGTGCCATGGATGTGGTCAGGAAGACAGTTGCACGTGAAGGATTGGCTCGAGTATGATTATCACAAGCACATCGAATATTTCGCGACCGAACTGACAATGGTTTCGTAGGGATTGTATGCCGGTGTCTCTGCCCCACTCGTTGGAGTTACTCCTATGTGTAAGTTCCCCATAATCAGCTATGATGGGTCTCCCATCAGCAATCGGTCGAGTTATGAGCTAACCAGTACTGTTTCACAGTTGCTGTCAGCTTTTGGGTACGTTGTGTTTTTTTCTCTCTTGGAGCCCAGAGCCAGCTGCGCGCGCCCGGTCGGAAGCGATGCTAACTATACATTAGGGTTATGACGTGGGCAAGACTCTCGTGGACAAGTTCTCCGTCGTCCCCGTCAAGAACAACACCCCGCAGTACTCCATTGCACAGATCTCTGCTGCCGGTTTCTTCTCCGCCATCCCCATGACCCTGATCACCGCACCCTTCGAGCGCGTTAAGGTCCTCCTCCAGATCCAGGGTCAGAAGACTCTGGCTCCCGGCGAGAAGCCCAAGTACTCCGGTGGTACGGATGTCGTGCGCCAGCTGTATAAGGAAGGTGGTCTTCGCAGCGTGTTCCGTGGTAGCGCCATGACATTGGCGCGTGATGGTCCCGGCTCGGCCGCCTACTTCGCGGCCTACGAGTACATCAAGCGCACCTTGACCCCCAAGGATGCCGAGGGCAATGTGACGGGCGAGCTATCCCTGTCTGCCGTTGTGTGCGCCGGTGGTGCTGCCGGTATCGCTATGTGGATCCCTGTCTTCCCCATTGACACCATCAAGTCCCGCCTGCAGAGCGCACCGGGCAAGCCTACCATGAGCGGTGTTATCCGCTCGGTTTACGCTAGCGGAGGTTTCAAGGCCTTCTTCCCTGGATTCGGACCGGCTCTCGCTCGTGCTGTGCCTGCCAACGCTGCCACTTTCCTCGGCGTCGAGCTGGCACACAAGGGCATGAAGAAGCTCTTTGACTAAAGTTGATGAGAATGCTTGTGTGTGTACATACCTTCGGTTGGTCTCTTTTTGCAGCGTTTTGTGTCCCATCCACGGATGGTTGTCTGTGACCATGATTTGACTTTGATTGTTTGCATCTTTCTGGTCACGTTTTGTGTCATTTTAGATCTTTGGTCGATTTCCGATATTCTATAGAAGGTCCTTTTTTGTTTGATTGCTGGGAGTTGGCCATGTCACATTCCAAGATTAGATCTAGAATGTGTACAAGCTTTGAGCAAAATTTTCAGCCAATAAAATTTGTAGGAGGAATTTATCGATGGAATATAGGCAAACATATCCACTTTGCCTGGAAACAATTGAGGCTCAACAGGTATTTTTTCCATTTTTCTCCAACTCTCCACCTGCGCTATATCCGAATGGGTCTTAAACGAAGAAGTGGTGGCAGGATTGCCGAACCTCGCCTATGAGCGTGCGCTACGGCCTGGACTTAGCGCTAACACGTCCGGGGGCCATTTCTGATCGGGGCCATGCATGGTGGGCACGGAACAATTGGATGCCGATAATATCAGGGGGTTCTATTTTTAAACATTATGATATTGTACACTTTTGAGAAGTAAATAGTAAATTTATGAGCTATCAAAGTGGTAAAAAGGAAAATGGGCAAGTTTCAACAACTGGAGTGAGGTTGATAAAAGGGTACTTGGCAGGTACCTCGAGTTGTAAGTGGAGCGCGAACGAACTTAAAGTACTGTAAGAGTACCCATTGACTCCGGCGCTAGCGGTCTGCTGCCTGCTTTGTATCAGATAAAAGCCCCATCCTCCCCTCTATTTCATCTTTAATCTTCTCAAAGTTCCATCTCATTTTCATCGAATATATCTATATTCACCATCGGTGCCGGCTTCATCATGTCCGTCACTAATGCTCTTATACGTCGGGGCACCGAGCTTGCTGTCACTCACATGCAGTCGGATGATCCTGAGCGCTACCGGCCTAATGGAGGCTTGTTGGCTCTATTCGCCATCACTATTGTCTTGCTTAGTTTGGTTCTCTGGACTGTAAGTAATAAACATTTTTAGATGTAGTCTTGTGGAACTAACACTCGGTAGATCGAGTATACCTACGGAATGGTGATCGCTACTCTGGCTGCGGTTGAAGATACCAACCCCGATATCTACGTGCGCATTACCTCCGATCCTGCCGATCCCACCAAGCCATCCAACGAGGAGGATCCTGAGCTGGTTTCTGCTACTCCACCCAAGCCTATTACTGGCAAGCTGCGCACCACTCTGAAGCATCTACGCTCCCGTGCTGGCTTCTCGTCTCGCTTCCGTGGAATCGGCATGTTCATTGCCTATAACTTGGCCCTTGGCTTCCTGTCAAGCTTCTTCCCTGTTTCTGCATATCTGTACCAGTTTTTCGTTCAGTCTGCCGGGAGCCTTCTCCTGGCTACTTGGCAGATGGCCTGGGTGCACATTGTCATCTCCGAGCCCTCCCCAAAGCGCTTCTATCAGCGTATCCCCAGCTTTAAGACCTGGATTAAAATTGCCCCAGCTGCTGCTCTCCAGGATATCCTCACCGCTGCTGCTTTCTTCATCCCTATGGCCATTGCCAAATTTGCTGGCTGGCTCGATGTTTCCCATGACGAGGAGGTGCTGCCTTTGGTGGTCTTTTACCGTGTCATGGGTGTCACTTTGGTCCCTGCTATCCTGGCATTGCTGATCTCTCTGCCTGCTCGTGTCATCTTCATACGTGTGGCTGCCTCCATGCTTCCCGAGGAGGATGAGACTATCGTGCCATTTGATCGCTCTTTCGGAGGCAAGGTCAGTCCTGCTATTACCGGTGGCAGCGGCAAGATCGGCCTCATGGATGCATGGACTACCTTTGACTGGCCTGCCCGTGTCCGCTTTGTCAAAGTTATTCTCAAGACATTTGCCATGGAGGTGGCGTTTGGTATCTTCGCCATGCTGGTGCTTGGTGCTCAGGTCTTTTGGATTGTTAAGACTGCCAAGCCTGTCGACTCAGATGCTCCTGGGATGCAAATGAGCTGGACTTAAAAAATCACCGAGATCCGATGAATCTCAAGTGGTAGGTTGTGAAGAGTGTGGAACGTTGGTGTAATTGCTGCCTTTGCTATATCTATATCAGTGGGGTTAAAATGTTTGCCCCATGCAATAAATAGTCTTTCATCTTCCTTATGAGCTACTAGATTCGAACATCCTGACATTCCTAAGGTCCTCAAATTATATCTATATCTGGGTAGGTACAATAGCCGATTACATCCAAATGGTGTATACCGCCTCCCTATCTAGGCCATTTAAACCCCGCTTTAGCCTTACCGCCTTCATTTCTTTTTACCCCCCCCTCATCTTCTCCTCTTTGTTCACTCTCGACATTGAAATCAACTTCGGGTATCGACCGACCTACACATCTTTGTCCTTCTGCTTTCTCTTCCGCAGATATCAGCATGGCGACTTCTCCCGCCGGGCGCATGCTGTCCCGCCAACTGCAGCAGATGCAGTCCGATAAGGACATCCCCGGCATCAGTTGCGGCTTGGTTGATAATGACATTTTCGAATGGGAGGTTATGCTCATGATCTCAGATGATGTGAAGCTGTATGGAGGTATGTCATGATTCTGTTACACCTGAATTTCAGATCAAATTTTCAGACTGGTACTGTGGCAAACATAACGCCGCCTGCGATATTCTTACCCTGCGATAAGTGTGTTGAAGAATACTAACAAGTTTGCTTGTATAGGTGGTTTCTTCCGGGCTCGTCTGTCTTTCCCAACAGAATACCCTCACCGGCCGCCAAAGATGAAGTTTGAATCTCCTATCTTCCACCCGAATAGTATGTGGTTCCTGTTGAATTGCTGCTCACGGATAATTTACTCACAAGTTACTGCGCTTTGATAGTTTACGAGAACGGTGATGTATGCATTTCCATTCTGCACCCACCCGAGGAGGATAAATACGGCTATGAGTCGGCTGCCGAACGCTGGTCTCCCGTGCAAACCCCCGAGACCATCCTACTGTCCGTCATTTCTATGCTTTCCAGCCCGAACGATGAAAGCCCTGCAAATGTGGAGGCTGCACGACTATGGCGTGACGACCCTGCGGAGTTTAAGAAGCGCGTCCGCCGATGTGTCCGTCTCACATTGGATGACTAGTACACGATTTAATAATTCACGGCAATTTAAGATGGCGGGTTATGATCTGATTTAACATGGTGTTGCCGGGGCTTCTTTCTCTTCTTCTTTCCACTTCAATCTGCCGCGGTAAGCGGTACGGTTTTCTTCTTTGTTGCATAAAGCGAGCAATGCTTTGCCATGCTCTTGATCTCTGGTTACTTTGCGGTGCATCTCTGCGATTTTCATAAGGGCTGGAGTTTCATCCTGACATCTTTGTTTCTGGCTTGGGAACAAATCTATTTATGTGAACACTTCAATTCATTTATGTGAACATTTCAATCTATCCATGTGAACACTTCATACCACTTGACGTAAAATAAGCACAAATGTAGAGTCAATTCACTTTGGGTATTCATCATGAGAGGTTGCCCAATCGAAAGGGCACCATGATTAAAAAGCCTATCATTCCTGGTACAGGCAAACATGCTGAAAGAAATGATCTAAAATAAGGCCAAGGCGACTCATCAACGCAAGAAACGATTACGTGCGGTTCTTGGGCGCGAAACGCAATGATTTAAGGAAGATTCCAGGATGGAAGATCGTGAAGGCCAGACAGGCCAGAGCAACCATCCTAATGAGCATGTCAGCTAGGGTTCTCCCAGTACTGTCAAAGGAATTAAAAGACCACTTACATTCCATCCAAGAGAAGGAACTCATTCTCCTTCTGCATCAGCGGGTTTCCCCAACCACCAGCCATCTCCGGGAGACTAGAATTCGTGGTCAGTAAAATGGCATGTTTTGACTTGAACATTGGCTCTTACCGATAGATGCACCGAATCAGGACAGTGACATAGGCAAAGATCTCTGTACCGATGACGAACGGCATCCACTTGGCAACGAATGCCGAATCACCAGTGTCGAGGTTCTTCTCGCCTGTAAACCCATCACCACTCTTGTAGACCCTCCAGAAGAAGACGGCAGCAAAAAATGCACACACAATCATAGTCGCAATCTGGAAGGCGATACCGGCGATGATGATGTTGTCGCCTGCTTTAAGCATTTCAAAGTCGGCCTTGCCAGCGGCTGCAGCGACACCACCTCCTGCAGCTTGCAAAAGAAGAGACCCAATGTCGCATCCGATGAAAATCCAGGTAAACAGGCGCGGCTTCAACATTGAGTGTTCGGGTCCCAAGCTCATAATGATATGCTTCAATGTTAGGTAGACACCCGCTGCGACGAAGGTCGGTGCGAGAATGAGACACACGATCTGAAGTTTGAATGCAGGTCCGGACCATGGGTTATCGTTCATAAGAACTCGGCCAATGTATCCCGCCATTTCCATGAAGGTGCCAACAAGGAGAGCTATCAAAAATGTCCATGTTCGATAGTACACGCCGAGACCGGTTTGGCATATTCCGAGCACGCCAAAGAAGACAGTGAAAAAGATATTTCCGCCGAAATTAGGGTAATAACCATATGTTGTAAGCTCGACAGGACACCGTGGGCCTACTTCGGAGCAAGTATCGTAGCTCGCCATGTTGAGAGATGCAAATTCAAAAGAAAAGAGAGATGAAATAGAGGAGGAAAGAGAAGAATAGAGAGCTGGGGTAAAGGAGTGTAAAGTCCGAGCAATAATATGATAAGATGATAAGACCGCAAGGGAAAACAAAGGGTCTAGAGTCTCTCACCTCTCAATCCTAGGGAAACTCCTGGAGCATTTTGATATCAAATCAAAAAAAAAAACCCATCATCTTTCGGGGTCAACGCCAAGGGGTCGCAGCAACAATCGTTCTCACAGGTGGAGCCTTAAATTGAATTAAACAGGCTGAAACTGACCCAAATGCATTGTTATTGGCTGCTTATTGCCGTGCTCGTTTTCGTTCTCGTTTCCGTTATCCCACGTCGCTTACACTGGGCTCCACTGTTTTTCTATACGCTTTGATCTTGTCGGAGAATTGTTGCTTTTTTGGCCATCTTGATCTTTTTGTCCGATCTTTCTTTTCTTCTAGAATCTATATAGAATACACATTCTGACAATGTCGATCCATGTTTGAGTTTAGATCCTCTCTAGCGGTCTATTGCCACAGGGCTGATGTCTAACCTTGGTAGTCCATATTGGCTGACGTGGGGGTGAAATGGCTCTTTTTCATATCAAATGAGAATAATCTGACAATGAAGTAAAAGTAGAAACTGCACAAAATGACACTTCATATAGAAAATGGAAAATAGGACAAGTCACTGAATAGTCTTTTTATAGTTCTAATACACGTGACACTCCGCATTATCTTCTCTTCTCTTCCGCGCTTGGACACTTTCCACATCTCGAAGGATCCGAGCCAACCGGTTACATGGACCCTCAGGCACCGAGGTTTCCGAGATGCCTCCTCGCCGAGCGCATACAAAATCTCGCCAAGGCTGCGACCAGTGCAAAAGTCGTCGCGTTAAGGTTAGTTTCGGCTCAGGGTGGCCCCATAGATTGCCCCCAGGTTCTATCAAATCATAAGACTGACAGCTGCAGTGTGATGAAAAGGGGCCACCATGCTCCAATTGTATCTCGCGGGAACTCTCATGCACATATTTGAGAGCACCGTCTCGGTCTGATTCACGAGCTAGCCAGACCCCGGCCCCAGCCCCGTTGGCTATTGTAGAACCAACTCCCCTGCGGCTGGGTATACCTAGCCTAACATCTTCCGTTTCTCCAACCATTTCAGGAGTGCGAGATCTGGAACTTATGCATAAATTTTCCACCGAAACTTTTAAAAGTCTTTGCTCTTCCCCCTCAGAGCATGACGTCTGGCAAATTGCCATCCCTCGCCTGGCTCTTCGGTATGATTTTTTAATGAATGGCATATTGGCCCTTGGAGCTCTTCATATTGCTGCCACAAGTGAGCCACCGGAATCGCTGATGTACATTGATATCGCCCTTCAATATCACAATCTCACATTTGCACCATATCGCGCAGCGGTTGATAGTATCAACCCATTGAACTGCGAGGCTGCGCTGGCGCAGTCAATCATCACCACCGTTATAGGCATTGCTCTACCAAGGGTAATTGCTGCCCGTGGAGAAAGTTCAAGCATCACGGAGAATATTATCGTCGTATTTGAACTCTTGCAAGGTGTGAAAAAGATCCACCGGATTGGCGAATCTTGGATCAAATTAGAGCTCTTTTCCCGTCGAAGAAACTTTCGGGATGCCGGATCACTTAGTCTAGATACCGACACGCGCGCTGCCCTTGAGCGACTCGGCTCTTTGAATGACGAGGTCCTCGCCAGTATCGACCCCGAGCAGCATCGGGTCAACAACAATGCCATTGTCTACCTGCGGCACTTCTCAACCAGAGTTGCCAATTCCATTGACCCTGCTAACGTCCTGGCCTGGCTTGCCATGATCGACAAGGAATTCGTGGACAATTTGCGATGCCGACAACCTTTATCATTGTTAATCCTCATGCACTGGGGTGTGTTGCTCGGGGAGCTTAATGGTCAGCATTGGTGGTCTCGAGATTCAGGCCGGGCATTGGTCTCTGAATTATTGGACGCACTGCATCCCGGAGACATGCAATGGGCTAACGCTGTGGCTTGGCCCCGGAAAAAGATGGGACTCTGATGTATTATAGTTATTTTTTGGAATTTGCATATGTGGCTTTGTTTGAATCAGTAGACGAAAGATTCAAACCCAGATCACCAATAATGTATCTGGAGCCCAGATGGCGAGATCTGCCCAGGATTCCTTGAGAGTCTCAAAGTATGATCTCAACAACCCAGTTTGTACTTTGTATTGCCCTAATTCTTGAGCAATGCAATATACAATCTAAAGGCACTACTAGTCTGTGAATCAAAAAGTAAAGAAGGAAAGAAAAAAAACACCTGTGAAGAAGTTAGTCCTATAGATCAATATTAATAGATGATGTTCTATTGCTGTGTACTACGGACCATTTGTACTCGAGAGGGCTTGTTACGCAGATGTTATTCTTGGTGGGTGAGTGAAGATGACGAGGGGTACGTTGCTTGAGGGTGAGTGGCTAGGGGCTAGTTCTACGCTATTAAAGAAGAAATTCCGCCATTTCTCGTGCAGTAGAAGGGCTGGGAACTGACCTGCGATAATCTATAGAGGAAAACCATTTTGTTGGGGTGATTCTTCTCCAATCACGGTCAATTTAGAACCATGAGCGTGGGTTTCGGCGCGAAAGCTAGTCCCATGAAGACGCGTCCGGAGCATTGATTCGGGTCCGCTAAAACGGCACGCTGCTTTGCGAACAGCGCTGATCTATCGATTCTTTATTGCCTGGATGGCTAATAAGCTCTAACCCTCTAGCTCCATTGAATTTCGAGAGATTCCGGAGAGAATTGGGGGCATAAACTTGTAGATATTATGCATTCGAGCAACCATCAATCTGACCAATTTCATACATGTATATATACTGCAGCCAGCCTCCAGCTTTCCTATAGCTCATTTTACATCCGAGCTTTCTCCTTTCTAGTCCCGAGGACATCGTGAGTCCGTATCAGATTGAGCGCGTCTGCCTCATGCTTGCACACCTGCACGCTCAATGGCCCACTCACCTGCTTGAGCCAGTAGGACCGCCCGCAATCGAACAACCAGCTGCGAGTTCCTACTTGAATCAACTCAGCAAGGAAGCACTGCGGCATGCTGCGATCTTGGGTAAAGATGATCTTTGGGAACTCTCGCTGGACTGCAGGCGCAGCATTCTCCAGGCCTAGGCGGAATACATCATCGAAGGTAATCGGGTGATAGAGCTCGGAACCAACCTGCACAATCCCCGTGGTCCGTGCTGCTGCGTGTAATAGGCATGCATTTGCTACGAGATCTACGGGGATCTCATCCAGGATATTGGTGCCTGTCTGATAGCCTTCTGTGGCGTGCCAAACTTGTGTGGTATTCCGATCGGAGAACCAAAGCCTAGTAAACTTGGTGAGAGGCGTTGAGTCCTCCGATCCATATAGCGGGTAAGGGTGTCTCAACGCAGGACCGAAGATTGTTGGCCGCAGCAGTAGGATTGGAAGAAGAGGGAAGCGGCTCAGTAATAGACGTTCCATGAGATGCTTGGCTTCGGTGTAGGTAGACGAGAATTTACCCGCGTGCGGTGATGTGTTTAGCGTCAACATGGATGCTAGTTCATCCTCTGGATCTTCTTCGCCTCCCAATTGATATATCCGCTCCAAAACTGGGCCATCGGGAAGGTGACTATTGACATATGATGTAGAGATCTGGATGAGGAGTTTCAGTCGCCGGAATCCAGAGGCAACCCGCGCCATTTCCAGCGCAGGAAGGCAATTGCTTTCCAATGCATCACGAATGGGACCTTCAAGCTTGATCTTGGCTGCTGTATGAATAGCCAGCGTCACTTGATCTTGAAGTTGTCCAAGGACATCGGTTTTGATACCGAAGTTCACCGATTTCATATCGCCAATCACAAATTCCACTTTCTTCGTGTCTAAAATAGCCTGTGCATGATTTGGCATCGATTCTCTCAATTTTTCGATAGCCCACTGAGAGCTCCCTCGAACCAAAACGAAAATCTTGCGGGTTGGCAGTTGTAAAGCAAGCTTGTATAGGAGACAACCTCCCAAACACCCGGTACCCCCGGTCAGGAAGACTGTATGGCCCTCAAATATCTTTCCATATCCTCCTCGCACGACTTCGTCGGCATATGGTGATTTTTCGGTCGAAGCTGATGACATTGAATAGGCTGCATAAAATATTTGGGAGAAGAGCAGAACTAATATCTCTATAGAAGTATCTGTAAAAGAATGACATGAAGGGTTGGTTGGGTTGCGAGAATGTCGGAAGGTATATAGAACGCCGTAACATCTTTCGTTCAAGCCTGGAAGTCGATTGGTTGGTAGGACAAGACCCAATGTTACTCTTACATTTGTACGGTCTTAGGTGCTGGAGGTTATTTTTCTGGGGCTGCGGCAAGTTGGCTAGTGGCCCCGATTTGGCCAACAAGGCTGCATGTGGAAACCTCTAGGGACATGGAACGGGGGTTTCGCAGAATAACACAAAAGGTAGACCTTGACTTTCACGCCATGTGCTGCCGAGGTTCAATGTGATTGTGTGACCTGAAGAAGCATCGTGTTGCAATTCCTAGAGATCTGGCCCAAGGGGCACAGGCAGAGCTGCAGTCCATTTGGTGGGAAATGCAGAGCCCGGAGTAAGTATATCAATTCAGGACAGCCCATAACGAATAGACGGGTTGTACAAGTCTCACCTTTGAATGATTTCAAGATAAATTCCGCCTACATGTGATGCGATACAGAATTGGGTTTCGTAATTGAATCATTGAAATATATGCCTTCCACTTCCGATGAAGACTGTGGAGAAAACTATGTGCTGTTGACTGGTATAATTCCTCGGCGAACCGATCCAATCCTATCTGTACAAGAGAGATATAGACATCCGCCGGGGCGAAGCGATGGTAAACGCACCGTAAATCCTGGCTCCCTTTTGAGAGTAGTTGGTAATGGGTAAAACATGGTTGTCACCCATCAAAAGCCCTTGCTTCCACCGCCACACCAACAGCGCGCATCTCCGTCGCGCTCAACCTGGACGAGTATATCCATATTTTTCTCTCCAAGAAAGTCAACGGTCCGTTTACGTACGTCTTCCAAATCTGCGCCCCGAGAAGCAATGATGTGAATCACTCCGAAAATGGTCTGGGGTTTCTTTTCATGCGCATGTTCGTGGTCATGGTCATGGTCATGGTCATGGCCGTGGCTGTGACCGTGATCGTGGTCGTGGTCGTGGTGCTGCTCATGATCATGACCATGATGATGTTGACTGTGGCTATGATCATGGTGATGATCACAATCCCCATGGGTGGAATGGTCATGGGAATGGCTATGCCCGGAAGATACCGTCCCCGTATCATCAAGCCAGAATTTAGGCACTGTATAACTCACCACGCCCCTCAAAGTGCTGACTCCCGCTAGTGTTTCCCGGATATTATATTCGGTATCGGCTGGCAGAGTGAGCAATAGTGTTTTGGCCGTGCTGCTAACTAAAGGAACGGCCGAGGCGAAGATCAATATGGCAATGAAGCACGATGCCAATGGATCGTAGCCAGCCCAACCGGAGTAATGGACGAGAATGGTCGAGATGACGACTGCCACTGAACCAAGCGTATCGGCAAGAATGTGCAAGAAGATACCGTGCATGTTCTCATTGCCATGAGAATGATCATGACCATGATCATGGCCGCCATGAGCATGACCGTGTTCGAAACTGAAGATTCCGACCAAGTTGACTGCGAGACCAGCAATACTGACGATCAATAGCTCGCCAAGACGATGCACCTCACTCCCAGATGAGAGACGTTCCACCGCTTCATATACGATCTCCAGGCTGATAATCCTGCATAATGTTAGAATTTGCACTGACACACCGCTTTGAAAATACTCACATGAGGAAAATTCCATTGGCAAATCCCGACAAAGTATCAACTTTGCCATAGCCATAGGGGAACCGAGCGTTGGGGGGCCACTTGCTCATGACAGCGGCACATAAACCAACAACCAGCGCAAGACAATCAAAGAACATGTGAATACTGTCACTAAGCAGTCCCAGTGATCCAGTGAGGAAGCCATATGATAACTGGACAAGCATAAAGGTGAAATTCAGGCTGCGAAATGTTAACAGTAATTCAACAGCGACGGCATTTATATTTGATAACTCACCACATAAAGTAGAAGATGCTCCGGGAATCCTTTTCCTTGAGAATGCTGTGTAGCAACGGGTACGATTCGCTTTTATGGAGAAGCCACTTTGATACCCTGGAGGATTCCGAGGTGGCGTGCGAATATGAATGGCTGTGCGTGTGGTTATGTGTATGCGAATCTGTATGCAAATGCATGTCATCTCTTCGAGAGACGAAGAACGAGGCCGTAGCCAAGATACCACGTGTGGCATAAACCATGATTAAGTCATCCTGGGAATGTGGGGAACACAGAAAAGCTGCAGCTCCGGCGCAAATGGCGAGTCCGGTCTTTTGGGGAGAGCGGAGGCTAGGGGGCAGGGAAACCATGAGAGAAGTAGCAAAAATACCTGTGGGAATAAGAAGGTATATCAGTTCCGAGACACCGAAGACAAACTCTCGGTTGAAAAGTATTGTTAGGAGCGCAAGGGATAACCCGGATACAACAGCCAGTGGTGCATCAGTTGTAACCACAACAGAGGAGCGGCTCGGGTGTGAAGTCTTGCTCTGTGCAGCAACCAGACCTGGCTCAGGAATAGGTCCATTCTGGCGGAGGGAGGGGAATGGGGGAGGGGCCACAAAAACAGATCCTAATAGGGCAGCATATCCAATGGCTGGAGATACATCCCAAGCATGGTTTAGACCAAGGAAACTCGATATAATAATCACCATTAGCAGAGCAATGGATAGAATCTTGCGACTGTATTTCTCTTGAGTGTGCGAGGCCCCATTGATGAAGGCTGGAACCCCCGATGCGGTGGCAAGGAGCAGCGCAAATGCAACCAAAAAGCCTCCGACCTTGAGTGCTGCAAATATTGGCAGTGCCACTGAAACAATCTGTGAAAGTGAGGCTTGGATGCTCTTCACATTTAGTTTCGGCAAGTTAACGGATGAGAGCCTGGGCGAGCCAGCCTTTTGGTGGTTGATCCGTAGTATTTGACCACAGCCGAAGAGGACGAGCGCGATCGCTGTCAAAAGGCAGGTCTTTTGACCAACTTGTCCGATAGAAATACTCGCTGTCGTACCAGGTATACCTTCGCCAGATAGCTTTTGGTTTTGAGCGCATTGTCTCTGGTACCAAGAAAGCGCAACCCACGGCAACACGATGAGTGTGCCAATTAAAAGCTCGTGGCTGTGATTATGGTCAGCCTTTACTTGACAATCACATTCTAGCCCACATACACTTTCTCTGAACTATAGCCTGCCTGTATAGTTGTATCCGTAGATAACATTCCATGAACACCATTGGAGTTTTTCAAATGGTGATCATCTAGTGCATCATGGTGAAGAGATGACACACTATGGTTGTGATTGTGGTGAATACTGGAATGCGAGTGCGTGTGTGCGTGCTGATTGTGCCCCGATGATTGATGTGTATGTCTATATGAATAACTCGAGTTCACAGCATTGATTGGTTCCGGGTGTTCAGGAAAGCTGGCATCAACTGGTTTTGAGAGGGGTGGTGGAGGTTGCGCCCAGCGGTTGGATCGAGAGTGACCACCACGACTGCGACTGTGACCATAATTGTGTCCATTGGATGGTGGTGTGAGATCCACGCTCAGCGACGGTGCCCCCGTCGACATGGTCTTCAGATGCTGACGATGCGCAGCAGCTGGAAGATCCAGCAAACAGGATAGGAGATGGGGCACTGCCAAGATATCGGGGTGGAGCAGGCGATAGCTCAGATTAGCGGACAAGTTGTCGGCAAAAACAGCATTGCGGAATAGGATAATAAAGGAAAGTAATATAATTGGGAAAAGGGAGCGCCAGTTCAGGCTCAAAGAGATTGGCCACTTTGTCCGGGGAAAAGCCCGTCTTCCACCAAGGTTCTCATTAGGGGAATCACGTGAAAACTTATCAGATTACGTATCAAAGAAAGCTGCCCATGTGTACAGGTGTTAATATCCCACCTTGAATTACTTAAACTGCTGTTTAGGTCTCTATGGGCCATCAGATTGAAAGCTGATCAATACCATGAGCGACGTACTTGAAGTACAATTGCCATCATGATCGAGACCCTTATCAGCATAGTGTTCTGCCTGTCTAGCGCCATCACTGTGTTGATTTTGTTACTCCCTTCGCAATATCAGCCAAAACAAGCAGGACCTCCTCTAAGGTCCCCTGAGACAAAAAGTCGCAAGGCATATGTTCAAATCCTTGTTCTTGGCGATATTGGCCGAAGCCCGCGCATGCAGTATCATGCATTGAGTATTGCGAAACATGGCGGGGAAGTGGTAATTATTGGGTATAATGGTTAGTGTAAATATCTTGATTGAGACTGTAATATAGAGTCGCTAACTACTATATATGGAACAGAATCTGATCCTCACCCTGATATCATGTCAAACCCCAACATCTCGATTGTTCCGCTTCGCCCGCACCCCGCTTTCCTACATACTAGTAACAAGCTGCTGTTTACAATTTATGGCCCCTTAAAGGTGTTATTCCAGATTGCTTGTCTCTGGAAGTCCCTTGCATATACTACAAAGCCGTCCCAGTGGCTTTTGGTTCAGGTATGTTTGTGAAATGGAGGTTCTTTAATACTCATTTGAAGTACTGACTTGTCTTGTGGTAATAAAAGAACCCGCCTTCTATACCTACACTGGCTATAGCCTCTATTGTCTGTTTTTTGAGGCAAACAAGGCTTATCATTGATTGGCACAATTTTGGATATTCCATACTCGCGATGAAACTCGGCCAAAGCCATCCATTGGTAAAAATGTCGATATGGTATGAGAAGGTATTCTGCAGATCTGCTTCAGCCCATTTGTGCGTCACAGACGCCATGAAATCAGTTCTCAGGAAAGATTTCAATCTCCAAGCTCCTGTCCTGCCACTGCACGACCGCCCTGCCAGTCACTTCAGCCCTATCCTTGATTCCAATGCCCGGATAAATTTCCTCGCAACTCTACCGGAAACCAAAGAATTCCTCTTCTCTTTGAAAGCAGGATCTCTCCGGGTTCTGGTCAGTTCAACCTCATGGACTGCAGATGAGGATTTCTCGGTCCTTATCGATGCCCTTCTTCAGTACTCTGAACTGGCAAACACAACGAAGCCTCATCTACCCGAGGTTTTAGCCATCATAACAGGGAAGGGTCCACAAAAGGAAATGTACTTGGAACAGATTGCTACGCTGGAAAAGTCGGGAAAGCTACAGAAGGTCACAATTCGAACTGCGTGGCTGAGTGTTCCAGACTATGCTCAGCTGTTGGCATCTGCATCTCTAGGGGTCAGTCTGCATACCAGTAGCAGTGGGGTAGATCTTCCCATGAAGGTTGTAGATATGTTTGGAGCTGGTCTTCCTGTTGTGGGATGGGATCGTTTTGAAGCATGGCCCGAGTTGGTCACCGAGGGTATCAATGGGCTGGGCTTTGGAAGCTCGGAAGAGCTGGCTGAGCATTTGGTCAACTTGTTCGGCGAGAACGATAGACTGGACAATCTTCGTCTAGGTGCCCAGAAAGAAAGCTCTCGGCGATGGGACGACGAATGGAATCCTATTGCGGGCACCCTTATTGGCCTGACATAGATAGCTATTTGTAATGACATGAATATGTATGATTAAGTAGGCATTATTTGAAATCATCATTTGGCATTGTCATACTATTATTACATTTGCTGGCAAGTTTCTGGTCCTGTTGTGGGCATTGGCCACCACCAAGGATGCCTTCTCGGTGTTCTCAATGAAAATCCTGCCCAGGGATAACTAGTAACTAGCCTGGAATTTGACTGCGCAGTGCAAGCAGATATCAAACGTCTCAAAGAGAGCATCGAATGTTCGACCTTGTTTCTCGCCACGTGTGTATGCCACAAGTTCTTCATCCAAGGCTTCTTTGCGACAGACAGAACAATACTTGGACACCCCAGGTTCTTGAATGGCGAGGAAGGACAATCCGCATCGTTCTATATGAATAAAAGGTTAGCCTATTCGAACCAACAAATTCAAATCACAGAAAGTGTGACCTACCCCAGACATGGCCATTGGCGCACTGAGCCGACTTTGCCGTGGGCCACCCAATTCCCACATCGCAAATTTCGCACTTCTCGTAAATATGACCGCCAGGGCCAGTGAGTTGATCCATAGTCTTCGCAGCTATCGGGGCGGGGCCACTGTTGCATTTGGAAATCTCATCCCTCAGATCTGCGCCTGTTACTACTGCGAGGCGCTCTAGAGACCGCTGAGCGTGAAGTCGAAGCGACTGATCCTTTTCACCCACAATGGCACGACAGGCAACGGCATAAACCAAGCGTTGGCTCTCCGGGTCAGGTTGAATGTCGCCACTTTCACCAGGTAGCACAAAACGTATCACTTCTCCTGTCTGGTTGTGGCCGGAAGTTTGACGATCGGGGACGTGCGCTGTAAAAAGGGATTGTGTATTTGCCGTCGGCTCACCCTCTTCTGTAAAGACAATCATAGACCTGTCATCAGAGGTGATGCGATACTCAATCATGTCCGTTGGATGTGAAGTGAAGATAACCGCAGTCATGTTGCGATAGGATGCGAGCCCCCAGATTCTTGAGACTGACATTCCTCCTAAGTTGTGCTCAAGGTCATAATCATCCTGGAAATCTTCAATCATACGTTTCCACTTTGGCTGTTGTAGAGCGTTGTTACTTTGGAGTTGGTGAAGTTCTGTGACTAAGCCAACTCCGCCGAGTGTGCCTAGGTGGAGCTTGCATGTGTCGCTTTGTTGATTCATGGAAGTGAGCATTGCTAGAGCTTGTCAGCACTGCCGAAATGGCCTTATAGATATTGTATGACATACCAGCAATCGGTTCCAGGTGCTTTCTTTGTTGGCCCTTGTTGTCCTCTGTTTGTGGCTCATAGATCGGGTAATCACGGAATTCGAAGGCATCAGAATTGGCAACACTACCCATGTACACAGCGTAGGGCATAGATATGGTTATAAAACCTGCCATGGCACCCACTGCCAGAGCAATGGACGTGGAAGATCTCTGTTAATGGTTCATTAGCGAGACAGCCCATTTGAGCATGAATGTAAGAGATCGAGCGTACTGTATGGAGCCATCTAAGAGGGCCAGCGGTGTTGTGATATCCCCATTTGTCATTCAACCTGTCCAAGGGATGCTCAACCAAGCATGTGGCTAACTTGTACTCTTGTGAGAACTCTCCGAGCGAGCTTCTGATAGTGACTTCAAGTTTCATGAGCCGAAGCTGCGTTCCACACACCGCAGCTATCATAGCGACTGCGCAGCCGAAGTTGTCTGGGCTGATCGCTGGTGAAATCTGCCATGGACCACAGGAAAGTGCAGTGGTGCGCTTTCTCTCTCTGAGCGCCTTCTCAAAGAGTGACCCAGGGCAGACCATACTCTTTTTTGGTTCCAGGTTATTGAGAGTGTGGCGCGATAGAATTTGAAGATCATAAGGTCTGGAAGGGTTATTAATTCTGCGGACCTGCAACAGCATCACTTCATTGAAATCGTTCACTACTGTTAACAACGGGATTCCCCAGCGACTTTCGTGCGAATGTAGAAAGGAGGAGCCTGCGGTAGGCGCTGAAGGCTTCAAAGACTCGCACCAGGTGAAAGATCGAATGTTGACCTTCCGGAAGCCATGGCTTTTTGGATCCTGTGGTGGCTGTAGCTGTGGATAAAACACATGATTGGCGACAGTAACCCTAGTCCATTGCTTCTTAAGGCCAACAGGCTCCCAGAGCGACAGTACCAGATTCGACGTCAGCACAGCTAGCACACTACGTCGATATTTACCTAGTCCGGCAGGTGACCAAGCCAGGCTGATAACATTGCTTTCTGAAAGGTCAGCGGCGACTGAAAAGTCATCTCGATTTCCCGGGAGGTAGGCTGGCCATTCAGAGTTCGTAAACAAGTTGGCTCTAACACGAGCCACGAGCCAATCTTGGGTTGAGTTGGGGGCGGAATCATCATCCTTGCCATTCTTTGGCGTCTGTAAAAAAAGTCAGTCATATTCAACCCCATCAGATAACTAGATACATACCAGGATTTGGAAGTATTCACCCGCAGCGATAGCAAGCTCACCATCCGGGGACCAAGAAATGGCATTGGGACAGGATGGATGTAATGGTAGGGCCACAGGGTTCAACATGGTATCAAATATCGGGTTTTTGCTGCGCCAGCATTCTTGATAAATGAATTGTCTGCGAGGTAGAGTATGTGAAGAAGGAAAGCCGGGCTTTTGTTTGGGCGGCATTCTGCTGGTTGATTCCTGAGGAATCAGGCTCCAACCACAACCCTAACGTAATCCACTACCGAGTGACGCACACTACCGAGTGACGCACCCCCTCCCAAAACGCGTCAATTAATATAACCCTCTCTCTTCAACCACCCACTATGCCACCAATTCGTTCTCGATCGTCTAAAGATTCAACCGAGCAAGAGGGTAGGATCTTATTAGCTATCCAAGATTTTAAGAATGAAAAATTCTCTTCAATTCGTGAAGCTGCGCGCTGTTTTAAAGTGCCTGAGGCTACCCTCCGCCGCCGCCTCCGGGGTGTTCAAAACCGCGCGATTTTACGCGCTAACTCATATAAACTGACTGAGCTTAAAGAGCAATCTCTTGAAAAATGGATACTCTCTATAGATCTACGTGGAGCAGCCCCCCGGCCTGCTACTGTACGAGAAATAGCGAATCTTCTTCTTGAAAAGCGCGGATCTAGCCCGGTTCTTTCGGTTGGCGAAAATTGGGTTACAAAATTTGTTAAACGACGTCCTCTTCTCTCCTCTCGTTTCTCGAAACGTTATAACTACGAGCGTGCGAAATGTGAGGATCCAAAAATTATAAAGGAGTGGTTTGATCTTATTCAAAAAACTATCCTACAATTTGGGATCGATCCGGATAACGTTTATAACTTTGATGAGACGGGTTTTGCGATAGGATTAACGGCGACTGCGAAGGTTATTACGAGAAGCGAATACTACGGTCGGCGAGCACTTTTACAACCTGGAAATCGTGAATAGGTGACGGCTATTGAGTGTATAAATACTACTGGTTGGGCCCTTCCACCGTGTGTGATTTTTAAAGGCAAAGTCTTTATTGAATCCTGGTTTGACGGCCTCCCGGACGATTGGCGATTTGAGGTTAGTCCTAATGGATAGACCTCTGATAAAATTGGACTTCGCTGGTTAAAAAAGCTCTTTATTCCTACCACTTCTATACGTATAAAGGGGGTATATCGGCTTTTGATACTTAACGGCCACGGAAGTCATTTAACCCCGAAGTTCGATGAAATCTGTGAAGAAAACAAAATTATACCGATCTGTATACCTCCGCATTCCTCTTACCTTTTACAGCCTTTGGATATAGGCTGTTTTGCGGTGTTAAAACGCTCGTACGGCCGGCTGGTTGAAGCAAAAATGCGGGTTGGGATAAATCATATTGATAAACTTGATTTCCTCGAAGCATACCCTCTCGCACGAATTGAAGCTTTTAAATCAGAGACTATTAAAAACAGCTTCGGAGCAGCTGGTTTAGTCCCTTTTACACCGGAGAGAGTGATTTCGAGGCTTAATATTCGTCTTCGAACCCCTACCCCCCTTCTAGCCGGGGTAGTGATTGGGATCCAAAAACACCTTCGAACTATATGCAATTGCAAAAGCAAGCCTCCTCAATAAAAGCACTACTTCGTACGAGATCAAGGAGCCCCCCTAGCCCGCTCAATTCCGCTATCAACCAGGTTTTAAAAGCCTGCCAGATCACGATGCATTCCGCCGCACTACTAGAGAAAGAAGTGAGCGATTTACGCGCTGAAAACGAGAAGAAAAAGCAAAAGCGAACCCGATCTACAAGGACGATAGTCCACGAAGGGGATCTCTCAGTTCAGGATGTTCGTGAGCTACGTTCAGAGCCATTTAAGGCTCAAGTAGCGCGTATCAACAACTATCGTGAGCAGGTTTCGGAAGGTTTAAGGCCGCCCCCCCAGGCTGGACGAGCATGTGGAATATGTAGGAAGCCAGGACATAGGAGAGAGACATGTCCAGATAGATGATGATTTTAGTTTATTTAATTTAATGGCGTTTTGGTTGAGATAAATGCATTTGAATTCAGGAAGTTGGGTGGGGGTGCGTCACTCGGTAGTGTGCGTCACTCGGTAGTGGATTACGTTAGTTAACAATAACTTTGAAAGTCACGTCAAAGTTACTTGACGGGCGATTGATAAGAATAACGATATTGAAGACCTCACGCGCAGTGAAAGGTGAAAGAGAGATTGATTATTGGCTTTACAGAGGTATCTAAGAGATTAAGAGAGCAACAGAAGAGAGGAGGGGGTATAACGAGACTCCACGCTGCGTTGCGCAGTACATAATCATATACATGGAAAGGTCCGGAAAGAAATAGATGGATACTCTATGCAGAGGGAAACCTGGAAAGCAACCGCGGGTGAGTGAATATGTTATTCCAAACCGCAAGCAAAGGTAGTTGCCCCGACTAAATGGGATGACATCTAAGCTTAGATCGTTCATTGAAGGATATCAGTCATAACCATATTACCACCGAATACACTGCAAAATTTTGGTGAAATTAATCCACCCGATCCACTCTCTGCACAACCATCGCAGTCGCAGCACCGCCGCCGTTGCAGATGGCAGCCACTCCATACTCGCCGGGCTGCAGTTGGTGGAGTAATGTGACGAGAATACGCGACCCCGAGCTGCCGAGAGCGTGACCGAGAGAGATGGCACCTCCGAGCATGTTGACTTTGGCATTTTGCAAACCGAGAATCTAGAAAAGTTAGTCCCGGAGACGGGATATAAATGTTAGGTAAACACGGCACTGACCTTTTCATTGGCTTTGATGACAGCTGCAAAAGCCTCGTTGAATTCCCATATCGCCACTTGGTCCTTGGTAATACCAGCACGCTCCAGCGCAATCGGAACTGCCTTGGCAGGGGCCACTGGGAAGTCTACAGGGTCAATGGCGGCATCGGCTGTGGAAACAATACGGGCCAAGACACGGCTGCCAGCACCATATTCACGAGCAATATCCTTGCTGCCCAAAATCAGAGCAGATGCTCCGTCATTCATGGTAGATGCATTGCCAGCGGTTACGGTGCCAGTCCCATCTCGCAAGAAGGCAGGTTTCAGAGTCTTCAACTTATCGGCACGCAAATTTTCGAAGCCCTCATCTCGCTCGACAACGGTATCGCCTTTCTTACCTTTCACAGTGACCGCGGCAATTTCATCGGCGAACTTGTTCTCCTTCCATGCCTGCTGGGCCCGCTCATATGATTGGATGGCATATAAATCCTGGTCTTCCCGCGAGATGTCATAGTTCTTCGCAGTATGTTCTGCGCAGATTCCCATATGGAACTTGTTGTAAACGTCCCATAGACCATCCTTGATGAGACCATCCTCCAGCTTGATATCACCAAAGGGGGGCAATTGGCTGGCACGTGCCATATAATAGGGGACTCGAGTCATGTTCTCCATGCCACCAGCTACCTGTGCCTCTGCCAAGCCCAGTTGAATATTTTGTGCGGCAAGTGCCACTGCTTTCAAGCCAGAAGCGCAGACCTTATTAATTGTCGTAGCTTCGACGGTGGAAGGCAGACCGGCAAAAATAGACGCCTGACGGGCAGGTGCCTGGCCTACTGAGCCCTGCAAGACATTTCCCATATACACATCCGTAATCTTCTCGACAGGTACCTTGGATTTAGCTAGGGCGGATTTGATTGCAACAGCGCCAAGCTCAGGTGCTGATACGGAAGCAAAAGAACCATTGAACTGGCCAACCAGAGGTTAGTGAATTGTTCAGAACATTTCTCCAAATTCACACACCTTTGCTGTTGGTGTCCGAGAGGCACTCAAAATGTAAGCTTCCTGAATCTCTTTGCATGCCGGGCGTGTGGAACTGAACTGTCGCTGGGCGCGGAATGCGGGGAAGGCCCGCTTGGGGAGACGAACAGACAGGCCTGGGGAAATCATCATTTATTTTAGATAAGGATGAGTTGGTGAATCGATAGGATCTAGTAATGGAAGGGTTATTGAAAGGAAAGAATAAAGAATGAAGAGCTGAGGAATACTGTTGCATGTGCATATCGGAAACCATGTAACCGCCTATAACCGCCTCTCCGCTTGGGCCGAGGCACCCAAGGCGGTCGGGGTTATGACATACTTTGGAGCCCGGAGCACTCTTGATTCTAATCTAGCCTTTTTAGGCTAGTTTCTCCATTAGGGTATTTTATCCGATCTTCCCCTCTATCGCTTCGCTGCATATCGCCTTACCGTATCAATGACTTTCGGGTTTCCTCTCCTCCCTCCCTCCCCTCTCCTCCCTCCCTCCCCTTTCTTTGCCCTTCTCATTTGACTGCCTTCGGAAAGTCCCAATATCTCTAGCCACATACACACAGCTTTATAACACTTTTTAAATCGCCTTACGTCTTTCCCGATTGTTCTATCATGTCTACATCCGCCCGCCGTCGTCTCATGCGGGACTTCAAGGTACGCGTTAATATGATCATCTCGCCTTGGATTCTTCGAAAGTTTCTGCTGTATCCATAAATAAACTTAACTTAAATCATTCCTATGTTTCTTTTGGGCCCAATTTGCTTTCTAGATTCTTCCTCAGTGTCTGTGTCCAAGATGATTCGCCCCCGCTAATATTTCCATGCTCACAGCGCATGCAAACCGATCCTCCAGCTGGCGTCTCTGCATCTCCAGTCGCTGATAATGTCATGACATGGTGGGTTTCTCCTAAATTATCTTTCAGGGTCTTCACAATGGTTCTAATGAAATGTTAGGAATGCTGTCATCATCGGTCCCGCCGACACGCCGTTCGAAGATGGCACATTCCGTCTAGTCATGAACTTCGAAGAACAATACCCCAACAAGCCCCCGGGTGTGAAATTTATAAGCCAAATGTTCCATCCCAATGTGTATGGAACCGGTGAGCTCTGTCTCGATATTCTGCAGAACCGCTGGAGCCCGACATATGATGTGGCAGCGATTCTTACTAGTATCCAAAGGTAGGACTGGGTTAGTCATGAAAGATAAATATACAGATGCTAATATGCGGCTTATCAATTCTAGTCTCTTGAATGACCCTAACACCTCGTCTCCGGCCAACGTCGAAGCCTCGAACCTCTACAA